AAGAGTATAATATCGCCACTAGGTAGTATACGGGCTGCCGCAATTCGTCGATGTGCGATGGTGGTGTCTTGAGTGCTGCGTATTGCGAGATTTGCCTTCTCCACCACCTTATCCGGGAATCGACGTATCGGGTTGAGGATATTTGGATCGGTATGTTCCAGATAGACCTCTAGGTCCTCCTGGCTTGGATATGGGGTTGATGGCAAGCTTCCTCCACTACTCAATCCCACGCTAGGGACCGTGGGAGGGTTCGAGGGCACCTTACGTCCCCAGGCCTGTACGTACGACTCTGAGCTAGTTGTCACGTGACTGAAGCTTGGAGAATTTTTCGCGGTACGTGTCCCTGGGGATGTTGGGTGGCATATTGCCTCCACCAGGCGGTTCGTGTTGCTTTTGGTCGTAGTAATCTCTCGAGAGGCCTGAGATACCTCTTTCTGCGTCTTTTCCACGTGTAATTCGACCTTCGCGAGCCGCTGCGCTAGTTGCTCATTCGTAGGCGTATTCTTCACCCTTCGAGCCAGGTATAAGAACGCGTCAACCACGGAAGTAGAGAGCTCACGGGGCATGCCAATCTCCAGTGCTTCTTGGTGCTTCTTCAGTGCCTCGAGATCTTTGATGGCTGCAGCTACATATGCGCGTATATCAGGGTCATCTGCAAACCGTGGTTCTGGCCACGGAGTGCCCTTTTTACCTCTTTTCGGGCCCATGCTTCAACCGCGTCGATTGAGCAGGCGAAAGTTGGTAAATATACTGTCAAGGAGGTCTATTTTCACTGAGATTCTTTCCAGCAGTACTTTTTACCTGCGTGGGTGCGTTTTCATAGGTGCGCGAGGTTTTTTTTTTGAAAATATCAACAATTGCATACATGAACCCACTGAGGTTCGCTAAGGAGCTTCCGATAATCTGTTTCGCGTGCTTCTTTCCAGAGAGTCTCCATACGCAGGTTTATATGGGTAGGACACTGTATGAGGACGTGGGCCATATCCTGATCTCTAAGGCCACATTCGCATTGAGGTGAGTCTTCAATCCGTACACTCGCTAGGAAGCTGCGTAGCGCTGATTTACCTGTTTGTAGTTAGATTAACACCAAACTCCAAGCCTGTCGTAATCCCTCGTGTAGCTGCAATACCATCTTCGTTGGTACTTTGATTATCCGATAGAGATGCCGTCCATGGTTGGCATGCTCCCACTGTTCCTTCCACCTCTTTGCAAAGCCTGCATGTAGCCTCTGGCGACACACTGCCATAAGGATAGTTGACTGATTTGGAATATACGACATTCGTGCGGCGTGTGGTGTAGTCTGATTGGGTGCGCTGATCCTGGCTATGCGGGCGTTCTCCTGTGTACGCCGTGTCGCCTCGACTGCAGCCAACTTTGCCAGCTAGTCTGCTTTCTCATTGCCTGGGACCCCTTTATGGCCTGGCACCCACTGTAGTCGTACACGCCATCGAGATCGGTTGTCGCGTAGGAGGCCCAGGTGTCGTACGATCCGTCGAAGGATATACTGCCCAGAGGACCGCCCTGGCTGGCACGTGGCGCGTATTGCGGCTTGATTATCTGTGTAGATTGTGGCTTCGTGTGGGTTGTCATCGCATGGCTGGCTTTGGAGTAGGATTTCCAATGCCGCATCGATTCCCTCCAGTTCCCCTGCATAAACAGTATGTGTGTCAGATAAGCCTACTGGCTTATAAGCCTATCCTATTAATGAGTAGACCGCTGCCCCAATCCCATTGTCAAAGCCGCTCCCATCGGTAAAGAACTGTATTGTTGTATCTATTCCTAAGATTGCTTCAATAGCCTTGATAGCCTCATGGGTATCGTCAATCCTTGCTTCTGGTGGCTCCCACCACGGTGGCACTACAAAGGGGTAGATTGTCTCGATGCGTTGGCTAGTATCATGTCCCAGTTTGCGGTTGATGGCTGTTTCCAATCGATGAAGTGGCAACGTGTATGGGTCGTTACGGTGGGCTTGGCCACGTATTTGGTAAAGCGTAGATCGAAGTGGTGAGGTCATGATCCGCAGGCAGGCCTCCTCAGCCAGCTTTGCGAGCGTGAGCTCTGCAGGTGGTACGTGGAGGCAGACCTCTAGGGCCTGTCGTGACATACGTTTGAACGCGCCAGATATCTGGTGAAGAGCCTGATCCTGGATCAATCGGATGGCTTGCTCTGCAGCTCGCTGCGCACCGGTGAACCCTCTTCCACCTCGTATATACCACGTGGAGCACGCGTACATGATCTGTGGTTGGAGGACAGCCATGTATATCTTCCTTAGATGAACCAGGAGCGTTCCCCATATCGATCCTGCGATTGAGCTTAATCCCGCCACCAGTTTTGCAGCCTTCTTTCTCATCTCCTGTACGTGCACTTCCCCAGTGAGGTGGATATCCAGATAAACTCCTAGATATTTGATTGAGTCCATAGGCTTAATTTCTACTCCCTTAATTATGAGAGGTACATCCAGCCTACCACTCGGCTTAGGCACCATTTGGTGCTTCCGCCAAAAGTGGGTAAGTTGATATTTAGCAGGCGCAAATTTAGAGGCATGTGTTATCTCCCAGCGCTCTGCAACCTAGTATACTTTGGTGAGTGTGTGGCAGTTGGCTGCGGCGGAGGTTCTATATGTTATAATGAAGATGTCGTTAATATATCCAAGTACAATCACGTCCGGGCACTCGGCGAGTATCTGCTCAATAAGATCTGCATTAAAGAATAGGAATAGGATTGGTGATAATGGGGAGCCCTGCGGAATGCCTATATTAACTAGAAATTCCCTCATATTGCCCTCTAGGAGTGTGATTAACGTGCGGCGATTATTTAGAAAGCTCTCAATCCAGCCAATCAGGTCATCTGGCACCCGGCGCTTTCGTAGGTCGTGTATCAGCCTTATATGATTGACGTTATCAAAAGCCCCTACCGCGTCAAGTGCAAACCCTGAGGCTACTCTTGAGCCCTCTCTCCACGCACTATGGGTCTCTTCTAGTAAGAGATGGATTGCTAGTTCGCATGAGCGGCCGCGACGTCCTCCAATATGTTGCTTTGGTAAAAGATTATATTGCTCCACTAGATAGCTGAGACGTCTGGCTAACACTGATTCTAGTGCTTTGCCAATCGTGCTCAGTAACGCTATTGGGCGGTACGCCTTTAGATTAGAGTAATTAGGCTTTCCAGGCTTGCGAAGGATAACTGTTGTCAACTTTCAGAAATGGTCAGGGCAGTATTGTTGATATAGGCATGCATTAAAGAGATTAACAAGATAGGCCTCAATAGTAGGGAGCAGTCTTTGTAGGACCAGATTGGGGATCCCATCTGGCCCTGGTGCTTTGTCGGGCTTCACGTTGGTTACTGCCATTCGGACTTCGTCTAACATGATTGGTGGCATCGTATATGGTTTGGGATATCTATATTGTGGTCCAATATCTGACAGATCTGCCTCCAGGGGCTCTGGGTGGAGGACCTCTCGGAATAGAGCTGCTTTCTCCTTTGGGGCTGTGTAACTCGTGTTATTGTAGTATAATGTTGGGGTAAACGTGGCACATGGTTTGCCCCTATTGCGGACCCAACGGGCAATTCTCCAGAATCCATCTATTGACTCTGTTGCCTGCTCAATTCGTTGGAGATGTAGATCTCGTGCGAGCTCATTGGTGCGCCATTTTATCTCTTTCCTAGCCTCTGCGTAGTCCTCCCATGCCTAATCTATATTTATACGACGTGCGTGTCATCTACACCTAGATACGTGGTGTTTAAGCTTCGCCATCTCTGGGGTGTAGCCCGCTCGTAAGTAGATGCTAATCTGTTTTGTAGGTGTTGCTTGCTCAGCTGCCTGATTGATTGCCTCAACTAGATAGCGGATCGCCTCATTGATCGCCTCATTGTCATTGAGCTCCCTTGGGTGCCAATTGTATATATCTATCAGTTTAAGGAAGAGGTCCCAATCTGTTGCATTCTACTGCTTGCGAACCATTGGAGGAACACGTACAGCTGTAAGGTCAAACTAAGTGGAGATTGGGACATAATCTGCTCTATACCACCACTCTGGCTTGGTGTCGCAGCTCACTACCTGGTTAGCTAGATTGTGCGATGCCCACACCAGATCAATTGTAGATTTGGCGTTAACCCTCTCGTACGTGATCGTGCCTAGTGGCAGGAGCTGCTCAAGCCCATGCTCATCCATAAGATTAATCAATTCGGTGGCCTCCTCGTCAACGTGTCGGTACCGCGGGCCCGCCCACAGCGGGTGATGTCGGTTGAAGTCCCCCAATACAATATGCTGCGCCCTAAGTGCCATGGCGGTTTGCAGGGCGCTAATTACAGATTCCTTGTTGCTATTGACTCCTGGATTGTATACATTGTAAATATAGATGGTTCCATGGGCAGCTGTATGAAGTGTCAATGTGCTCAGATCTCTATTATAGTATTGGACCTCCCATGTGGCTGGATCTAGCCCTCTATTGACGTAGAAACAGACTCGTGGGCATTTCTTGTATTCTTCCTTGGGTGTGGGCTGCAGTAGGATATGGAAGCTGCCCTTGAGCGCTAGTGAGTATGTTGTTAGTGGGTCGGTATGTTTGTTGATGTAGGGTTCCTGGATAGCCAGGATATCGTAATTTTGCACCTCGCTCTCACCAAAGAGATGCATCTAGACCTCGTCCCGCGATTTCCAGCAGTTAGCCTGCAGGATTTGTAGTCAATTGGTGTTACGATACATTACTGATTGTTAGCCCAGGTGCTGTCTTCAAGGTTCGTGGTTATTAGCGTATCAGCCTCCTGAGCTGGCTCGATTGGCTCCTAAGAGGCTTCGTGGATTGATGACTGGGTAAGTTCATCCTCAGATGAGTCATCATCTGGGATCGTACGCACACTCTTACTTCGGCGGACAGTCCTAACAGCTTGCACATGTGAAATTTCCAGTGGAGCAATATCTGATTGCAGAACCGGGGTTCCTGGTGGAGGCTTCGTATTCTGACGTGCACGTGTGTTATATATATATTTGATCTGGGTCTCAGGTTCTATCTTAGATTCAGGATTAGGATCTGCATCTATAACTAGATCTTTATCCTACTGCGCTCTCATAGGCTTTTTCAAGGATCTATTGGTAGGATCACCTAATGTAGGGCTTATTAGCTCAGGCTCAGATTGTTCTGCCACTCGTTTTCGGGCGGCTGCTGTGCTCTTACTTCTTAAGTTGGCAGATCGACGTGTGGTGGCTATATGAGCCGGTGCGCGAGGACTTCGCTCTGTATTGGCTGCTTCAGCTGGTGTAGAGTCATTTGGTGAGATGGCTCTGGGCTAAATATTGCCAGGTCGTATCACAGGAGTGTGATATTGTGGGCTGTATGTACGTCGTTGATGTGCCCCTGTGAGGCATGTAGCTCGTATCGGGCACTCCCTCGCGTACGCAAAGTGTTTCGTATTGAGTCTCTTGGCAGGATCTTTGATATGGACATTTTCTGCGGTGCAATTAGCACATTTAGCGTATTCTTTCTCTTTCGGTGTAGGGCAATCCCCTGTATCATGAGATCCAGCGCAGTACGCGCAGCAGATCTGGTGCTGACAGTGCCTGGCGATATATTTATACATCTGACACTTGAAGCACTGCTGGAGATTGGCTGCTTTGTCGTATATTGAGACATTGTGCTGTCTTCCCTTAATAATAAGGCCGCGTTAGATTGCAAAATTAGCAATCCTTTCATCATCGAATATAACTACAAGGTGGGTATTTGTGAGCTTCTGTTCCTTGATCTTATACTCGCTTAGGAGCCAGCCCGTGTGTGTGACATTCATAGAGGCTGGAAGCTGTGCGAACACCGGGGCGTTCTCTGAGGTAAGCGTGGTTATGAATTGAGGCTGTTTGGGGTTGATATTCGTGTTGACACCGTGTACGACGACGCCCCATGTACGTTTTCGTATACATGCTTCGTTTCCGAATGCCCTAATCCAGTCCTTCTTGCGGGTAAGCTGGTCGACATCGTCCACTGTGCCTAGTAAGAGTATAATATCGCCACTAGGTAGTATACGGGCTGCCGCAATTCGTCGATGTGCGATGGTGGTGTCTTGCTTCTCCACCACCTTATCCGGGAATCGACGTATCGGGTTGAGGATATTTGGATCGGTATGTTCCAGATAGACCTCTAGGTCCTCCTGGCTTGGATATGGGGTTGATGGCAAGCTTCCTCCACTACTCAATCCCACTAGGGACCGTGGGAGGGCTCGAGGGCACCTTACGTCCCCAGGCCTGTACGTACGACTCTGAGCTAGTTGTCACGTGACTGAAGCTTGGAGAATTTTTCGCGGTACGTGTCCCTGGGGATGTTGGGTGGCACATTGCCTCCACCAGGCGGTTCGTGTTGCTTTTGGTCGTAGTAATCTCTCGAGAGGCCTGAGATACCTCTTTCTGCGTCTTTTCCACGTGTAATTCGACCTTCGCGAGCCGCTGCGCTAGTTGCTCATTCGTAGGCGTATTCTTCACCCTTCGAGCCAGGTATAAGAACGCGTCCACCACGGAAGTCGAGAGCTCACGGGGCATGCCAATCTCCAGTGCTTCTTGGTGTCAGATAATCCGGCTTTCAAACGAGGCAGAAAGATCGACTGTTCAATCTTACAGGTCTAAAAGGCACCTTTAGGCATATATCTGGGCACCTAGATTTCAGCCCAATATTTACCCCTCCTGATAGCTCACAAATCACCCCGCCAAAGGTGTCTATAAAGGACCCGGCTTTAAAAACTTGAAAGACAGACACAGAACTCAATACATACAATCTTGCTAGTCACTTCTTTTCTTTGATCCTAGTAAAACACTCTTCAGGATTGGCCTGGAATAAACCGACCAATCCGACATACGTACGATTCGGAGCTACCTGTCACATGACTAAAGCTGCACGATTTTTTTGCGATACCATAGATGCGCGTGCTAGGGTTTGTAGGGTGGCATATTGCCTCCACAAGTCAGTTAGTGTTACTCTTTGTTGTATTGATCTCTCGCGATACCTGAGAAACCTCTTTCTGCGTCTTTTCCACGCTCAATTCTATATGGGTTAGGCTCTGTACGAGCTGCTCATTCAATGGCGTATCCTTTACCCAGTGAGCTTGGTGTAAGAATGCCTCTACCACGGCGATTGCCAGCTCGTGCGGCATATCAATCTGGTGGGCTTCCTATGTTTTTCAATGCCTTGAGGTCTTTGATAGCCGCTCCTGCGTAAGCGCGTATATCAGGGTCATCTGCGAACCGTGGTTCTGGCTACGGCGCCCCCTTTCTTGCTGTTTTGGTGGCATGCTTCAACCACGTCGGTTGAGCTGCCGAAAGTGAGTAATTGGGCTCGAAGGAGTCTTTTATAACTGGGATTCTTTCCTGCAGTACTTTTTGCCTGCGTAGGTGCGTTTTCATAGGTGTGCGAGGTTTTTCGGCCGTCCACTGCGCCACTACATTATCACGTTCTTCGATTAACTCTACCATGGCACAGCGGTGTTCCTTCAGGCTTCAGCTGTTCTTTGAGATTTTCATACTCGTCTTCTAGGGCGTCAACGTTATCCGTATCAGCGCTGTATTGATGATCTTGAGCCTCCTGCAGCTGGCTCCCTAACTTGGTAATGTGTTTGTAAAGAATATGATCATAGGTCACGTGATGACTACCGTCCCTCACCGCCTGAGGAATAACCCTACCTGAGGAATAATTTCAACGGCTTACTGTACAGAATATTTTGAAGCTTTACAACACCACATAATAATTAAATATAGTGAATTTCTGGTGTAGCACTAAATAAGCTATGGCGAATCTAAAAAGCATAAAAGTTAATCGCGAAAACGTGCAGGGGGCCGTATCGCGCGGCCCCTACGGTTTGTAGTAACAACCACCTCATTATCCTCCACATGAGCCTCAGGTTGCACTCTTGGCTTTGCTTGCCTAGAAATTTGCTTTGTAGGCCTTTTTGAAGCCTTTGGAGTTGATATAACATCATTTTGAAGCTGTAAATCAGCTAGCTTAGCCAATTCTTGCTCGTCCTTAAGCCGTTGCTTTTCCGCAGCCTCTTGCTCACGCTGCTCGCGTTTTTCTTGTCGGATTTGAGCTCTTTTAACCTTTTCAGCCTCTCTAGCTTGCTTTTTAAGCTGTTGTTGAAGCTTTTTATCATCTTTATGAGCCTGCTTCTGCGCGGCTTCGTCATTTTTTTGAGAAATAATATCACGAGCTTGCTGAACCTTAGTAGGGCTCATAAAAAGCGCTCCACCATCTTGTTCTGATGGTAAACCTAGTAATAAAGGCTGTTTCTTGTTTTTAGGCTTCTTTGCATTTATGAGAGCTCTTTTCAGGCCTTGATTCTCATTTTGAAGCAAGATAAGCTGAGTAGAAAGATGTGACACCGTTTCTCGAAGCTGTACAGCCTTTTCATCATAAATATTGTTAACAACAGTTTTAACAAGCTTCTCAAGCCGTCTCCAATCTTCTGGAGGAATAATTGAAGCTCCGGATTCGCTTGAGGATGGCCGGCTGGTGATTTTCTTGTTGAATTTGTTGATAACAATCTCCGGATCAAAGGGATATAGACCAGTCGTTCTGAATGCTGAATTGATATTCTTGCTTATAAAAACCTCATTCCAGCTAGCCCAAAAAAGGCGAAAAAAGTCACGTTTAGTGAGCCGGGTGAAGCCTTGGCTATCCCTTATAAAATCATCCAATTGCTTCGTATAAGCGTTAGAAAGAGGCGAGAAAAGAGCGACATCAAGAGGCTGTAAAGTATGTGTTGCATGAGCCGGAAAGATTGCTAATAGAATTCGATTCGAGTCGCAGTATTCAATAAACTTCATTGTAACGTGGGATCCATGCCCATCGAGGATAAGAAGGCGCCATCCCCGGCTTGCTTGAGATTTTGTCTCTTTATCAAAAACATCCACCAACCAGCGATATCCGATATCATTATTAGTCCACCCTGACTCTGAGGCTGCAAAGAAGCATCTCTGTGTTTGGGGATCGTAATCTTGAAGCCAAGAATCCTGTATAAAGCCCGATTTTGCCATATAAATAAGACTAGGCGCTAAAGCAGTTCCATTGGCACAGATACAACCAATTGTTGTAATCCATTCTCGATTTCCATCCTGAAGATGCTGCTTATAGCCCCCTTGCTCATATTTGCGCCGAGTAAAGATTCTTTTCCGTTTTGTGCTTACTCCAAGCATGAAGCCCTTCTCATCCATATTATAGATTTGCTCTGGGCCGAGGTTATATTGCTGTATTTTCCGTCCAATAAGCTCAAAATATAAAGCATATTTATATGCCGAATCTGCCTTTTTTCTATCCGAATCAAGGCCCGTTGAATAGCGAGAAATCACCTTATCCGAATGAGCCTTGAGCCAGCGTGAAGCCCAGTTTTTCCCAGGCTCTTTACCAGATATTTCTCTTGCAAAGTTCGCTAACATTGAATTTGTAGGGGGCAGGCCTCGCTCGGTGAGTTGATTTATCCATTTTATAAGCGCTCTTGATTGCGTGGTGGTGAGTATTCGTTGCTTGTCGTATTGCTCTTCTTTTGAGCCTGTAACGCCGTGAAAACGTTTATAAAGGCCCGATTGGCTAACGCCGTATGTTCTTGCAACCAAACTAATATTAGGCTTTTCTCCAGGATCCGCTGAACGTAATGCTGCAAGTGCGAGCTCCATTGAAGCCATATTGGTTGATATATCGCGGTGTGAAATATTCGCGATTTTTCGCGTTTTGGGGTAAATTTATTCCTCAGGCGGTGAGGGACGGTAGTGATTCCGAGGCTAATTATAGTCTCAACCCCTGAGTTGTATGTAACGAGAGATAAGTGAACACAGAGATTCAATGCATCGAATCAACTCCTTATCAATACTAACAAGCAGCTGATCATTAATCACTATTACTGAATGATATTATTCCTCTGAGTCTATACGATCCATTCACCGAATTCTTTACAGTGTTCATACAGGCTGTCAAATAATATATCGAAGTACAGTGCCTTTCCAGTAGTGTTGGCACCCTTGGTGTAAGCTTTGCAGGCAATAAACGTGGGCGGTAAGAAGGGGGGTGTCAACACTACTGCACCCCCACTGTAGCTCTCACAGAACAACATGAAGTCTCTTTTGCTCAGGGTACATCTAGGTTTTTCCTCTATCCCGAGGTCTTCGAAATCAATCGTCAGACGTCTCCTAGCTTCACCAGGTTCAACATTCTCCGTGGCCGTAGCCCTAGGCGCTTCCTCAGTCGCCTCTCCATGACCTGGTCTTGCCATCGCAACAGCTTCCAGAATCACGCATCGATAAGGAAAATAGAAAGAGATAAAGATTTTATGATAAAAATGATGAAAAAGGGACTCTGTGCTTGAGCGTTGATGACTAGGTCACTTGCTTTGCAAGCTCTCGGAGTGACGAGGATGAATAGAGAAAGAAGAGGGATTCTCACGATCAGAGCGTTAGGTGTCGGCGAAGCCTTGCTTTGCTGATTTTCGTGAGATAGAGAAAGAAAGAATGATGCTCAATATATAGTAGTAGGAGATTTGATATACCCCGTGAGGCTGACTATGATGGGAGATGTTCGCCATTTAGCGCTCCCTTTCCCCCCAAGTCAATACATTTCGGTAACAGAGAGAGATGGTATGTGGCAGAACCAACTTTTCCAACGCATCCGAAATGATCAATTCCAAATGTTCAACCGTCTGATAGAAGAGTCTCCGGCCCTCGCCTAGTTTATCGGCTACGTGTGGATCAGAGCTGATACTCTGCTCCGTGCTGATGAACAACGATTCAGAAGCCATGATATTATCTATCAAGTCCAACTCGTCGGAGAAGTCAGAGGCATAGAACACTGGTCCCATGGTTTTCAATCTCAGCTCCTTCAGGAGATGTCTGACTGCAAGTTGGAGAAGATACCAGTCATTGAAAAGATAGCAAACGTCCAAAGACTTGATTTCTGGGTTTTGGCCTGTGGACAACCCAAGAACCCATTCGTTCGGAAGAGAGCGAGACCAGCATATTAGACGTTCAAGAAGAGACGACAGATCCGTTTGCAACTTTGTGTAGGTATTGACATCTTCTCGCGCTATATCGTTCTTCAAAGATAGTATCACCAGGCAACAAGCATCAAGTTCAGTGGCAAACGTATAAGAGTCGCACAATTGACGGACCTTGTCGTCATTAAAAAGAGTCCACATCGCGTAATTTTGATCCATTGGTCTGGTTCCAGCGAACGCAAGACCGACGGCGTTATGGCGAACAGCATCAAAAAGTGCAATGGAAGTGTCATCTTGAAAGTTCGACCGGTTTCTCTTTTTGATCAGGGCTTCCGCACCATCCTGATGGACTAACATCCTCATTTTGATGTCGGTCTGGGTTATTGCTTGCGGTCTCTTGTATTGGAGGTAATCTCCATGCGCGAGAAGGATGACGGCAGTCAGTGTCTCATTTGTAATACTGTCACTTGGGTTTTTCAATGCATTCGAGATACTTTGAAGCGCACGACTCATCAATCGATCCATTTCTGGGCAGTAAAGGCGCTTGCTGCCGCTGTCGCATAAGCCCAAGACCAACACAGCAAACCAAGTCGTAGCTCGGGCCAAGGCAGAATCTGATGCAGTTTTGTCATAGAGGTGTCGTAGAAAATCAAGGTGTCCATGACTTGATCTGCTGTCTTTCTTAGATAAGATGGTACTTGATGTGAATAAAAATGTTAAGGCGCGGAGCTCCACGCTTTGTGCGAGGCTCTTGTGTACAGTACTGGACATCACCTGAGCAGATGATCGGGACTGCCGCTTTCTTTCATCTTTACGACGATTCCGAGAGACAACGGCTACCGTCTGATTCCTCAGAATCACATCAAGGTCATGACCATACCCCGGGCAGCTGAATTTTAACCTCGCACATTGCTGGCAAATTGGACGTTTGAGATCACACTGCTACTTTTAGATTAATGTCAAACCCACTAATTGTAACTCGAATAGGATCTTGCCTTGACGTGTCGGTCTTTGCACCTTTGACAGCCCCGGGCAGGACCGCTGTAAACCATCGTATTTGACTAACCAGTACATGTGATGCTTCTCCTTTTGGACCCGGATCGTTATACGCCCTGGTGAGATATTTTCCGGCGAAACGGAATCAACGTTGTTGATGTGTAGGAAGGACCTGGATGATTAATCGCGAACTCTGTCGCAAGGTCTTCCCTTTTTGGTCTAGCATCGTTGTGGTCGTTTTAAGGCAACCATATCAAGTTGCTGACCGCAACAGCTCTATTTTGTCAATCACCCTTGGTGTAACTTCACATGGGAAGGGCCTCGCTCGTTGCCTTTGATTTCAAATCATGAATTGCAGTCTCAATCATGTTCGTCTCAAGAATTACCGAATTAGGAAATAAGTCCTACACAGGTTCTGAGGATAGTAAGCTGGCTCGCTGTCTATAAGAAGCTCCCAAAAGCCTCTACATTTTCCATTGCAGCAACGCCATTGAAAGCAAAATGTCAGGATTCAAATATCTTAACAAACTACAAGACAAACGTGTCCTCGTCTTCGGAGGAACCTCCGGAATGGGATATGCTGTCACCGAAGCATTACTTGAGCATGGAGCTCAAGTGACCATATCCGGATCAAAACCTGAGAAGCTTGAGAATGCAGTCAGGCGTCTTCATTCATCTTACCCAGACTTGAAAGAGGGTCAAATCAGCACCCGGCTATGTGATCTAGGCTCTTCTGACGGACTAGAAGCGAGAATTCGAGAAGCTCTTCATTATGCCTCGAAGGGCGGAGAACATAAGATTGATCATATTGTCTTCACAGCTGGAGATACAGTGGATGTTGCTGGAGGGATTACAGGCACCGACATCCATGTCATCAACCGTCTGATGGGCGTACGAGTCCTTGCTCCAGTCCTTATAGGCAAGGTCGTTGCCACGAGCGACTACGTGAACAAATCATCGGCGACCTCGTTCACATTTACCTCAGGAACCGCCCATCTACGTCCTCGTCCCACATGGCCCATTATGGCCATGCTTTCCGGCGCATTGCAGGGTCTCTCTAGTGGATTGGCCGTCGAACTTGCCCCTATTCGCGTGAACGTTGTGAACCCCGGCTTTTTTGAGACGGAACTTGTTCGTGGGCGTCCAGCGGAAGTATTGGAAATGGCGAAAGAGTCATCTTTGACGAAAAGATTGGGTAAGCCGGAGGATATCGCGGAGGCTTACCTGTACTTTATGAAGGATGCTTCGGCTGATGGCACTGCTATTATTTCCGATAATGGTAAAATTCTGTCGAGTTAACATTTATAATGTTGAATGATGTTTTCCAACATATCTGTTTACGATACGCTCGCAAGTAATTTTGAGTGAGAAGCTCAAATCTCATATCATGTTGGTAGATGTGACGTTGCCAATCTATTGTATTCGAATCTAGCTACTTCTGCATACAAAGGCTCCTGTCGACTGAGAATATTGAGCATGGGAGGAGAAACGAATAAGCAGTTTTACTCTAGTAACTTCTCTAGCTTTCATGTATGTCCTACGCGAAGCTCTTTACCTTATCCAACTCCAGTTACTATTTCCAGATACGGCACCGCTAGGGTTGTTGCAGAGATCTGTTCCCTCCTTCCCAAGAGGCACGGCCGTCGATAGAGCAAGTTTATAGCCTCTTAGAATAGTAGTTATTAGTAACGCCTAGTGACTACATCTCCTAGATCACTTCATTTCTATATTGTATACATCCATCAAGTTGGCCCGCTGTACAGCTCCGCCCACGTGGGTTCCAAGGTTGTTATCAATACAATCTTACAAGTGACAAGGGGGAAAATATGACAACGATCATAAAATATTTTCCAACATCTTCTAGTGGTATCTTAAAAAGAAAAAAAAAAAAAAAACCATTCAAAACATAGGAGGCAACAATATTGCGTGCTCTCCAGTACCCGTAACCAAAAAGCAAACCATCAAGACGAATCAAGAGATTTGACAAAAACGAAGCTTAATCACAAGCGCTAGACAAAAGAAAACTCTTATCTATCCTTTATGTGCATCTATCCAAACAATCAATCATTTCACATGTATATGTATATACCAGAGAATGATATGACCCAAGGAAATACCCCACGGCACATGCAAGTAGTACTTGTTTTTATACCATTTTTGAAACATGTTCTTCGCCCTGCTTAGGGGTACCAGTAGTTTCGGCAAACTCCTCGCTGTGCGCTGAAGCCTTCTCTCCGGAATCCGAGGGAACTTCAGCAGGACCGAAACCGTATTGGATGGCCATACGCTCCACATCCTCGTCGGAAAGGTATGGAAGTTCGCGGGCAGCACGGACATAGCTGATATTCTCGGTGTAACCTTTGGCGAAAATAATGTCAATCTCTTCGAGGGAACGACGTGCTGTCTCGGGGTACCAGAAATAAATAACCGGCAAAAAGCAGGCGTTGACGATAGCGAAGAAGAGGTAGGTGCCCCATTTAATGTTTGAGATCATAACGGGAGTAACCATGACAATCAAGAAGTTGAACAGCCAGTTGGTGCAAGTAGAAAGAGCATTGGCTTTGGCGCGGGTTTTGATAGGGGAGATCTCAGCTGGGTACAACCAGGGGAGAGGAAGCCATGTGGCACCGAAGCTGGCAATGTACGTGAACAAACCGACGGCAGCACCCTTGGCAGGGCCGGGAGTACCGGGAATCAAGCAAGCAAAAGTGAGGATCATAGAACCACACTGGCCGATAGTACCCCAGAGGAAGAGCTTACGTCGTCCGACACGCTCAATCAGGAACCAGGACATGGTGGCAAAGATAGAGTAGACAATCATGTTGACGCCACCAAGCAGCATAGACATGGTATGTGTTTGCCCAATGGAGTTCTCGAAGAGAATAGGGAAGTAATAGATGACAGCATTGCAACCGCCAATCTGCTGCATGAACTGCGAGGAGGCACCAAGCATCATACGACGGAAATGCTGGGTCTTGCCACCAGTGAAGACAGCTGAGAGAGGAGTCGATTTACCCATTTGACCAGACGCGCGGATTGAATCCAAGACCAAGGTCTTTTGCAACTGGACGTGGTGGGAGTTGGTCTCTTCATTCAACAAAGCTGCAATAACCGCCTCACCCTCTTGGTAACGCTCTCTCATGAAGAGCCAACGAGGGGATTCAGGGAGGAAGAACATTCCAGCAATAATTCCAAGACCAAAGACGATTTGGAAAGCAATGGGGAAGCGCCATGTCAAATCATCCGGCCCGTAAGAGGCGCCGAAATCAATCCAATAAGCGATCAATGTTCCAAATGCGATCACACCGCCCTCGATACAGATCAATAGACCACGGTTAGTGGTACGTGAGCACTCGGCCTGGTAGGTGGGGATAGTGGAGGTGTTGATTCCGTTACCGACACCTGTGACGACACGTCCAACAATGAACTGGGCCAGAGGGACGTGGCCAGTGTATGCGGTGACCTGAATAACGACGCCCAGAATCATGATGGCTGCGCCCAACATGACTGATTTGCGACGGCCCAGCCAATCGCCAAACCAGAGGATGAACATGGCACCGAAGAGACAGCCTGAGAGTCATGTCAGATGTAGTCTATTTTGGGCGAGCAACGTAACATACCGATTTCATAGATGGCAGTCACGGTACCTTGCATGGTAGAGTCGTCCTCTGTTGCTTTGAAGACGGTGTTGAAAGGCTTTGCGCTGATGATACCGCTCATGACACCCTCTGCAAGACGATGTTAGCATGGCATCGATATGCGAGTCATGGATTTTGGGGTGGGAGGGACTTACGATCATAACCGAACAGGAGAAAGCCTAAAGTGGCAATGGTCGAGATGGACCACGACAGCTTCCGGCCGGACATGCCGGCGAACTGAGGGACAGCCATGACGAGAGAAGATGTGCCAGTTTGTCTTATTCTCGAGTATACATACACTGTTGCAGTGTGTATATCTAGAGTACCCCTTTCTTGTTCGATTCCTCCGAGAACCAGCCCTGGGAAGAGGAAGGATGAAAGTATACAAGGAAGAAAACAGAAGGGGGAGAAACAAAATGCGGAGGGAGGAGACGATCTTTTAAATACACCGTGCATTCCCCCATTTCCATCCGCATCCCCACAACCTCCCACAGCTCTTTCCCTGTCCGGAACAAGAATCCACCGCCAAGAAGCACATGGAGGGAGAGGCAGACTGGCTGGGAAAATCGCGCTCTTTTTTTTTAATTTCCTTGCAGTTTGTACGGGGAAGGATGGATGGAGCAATGTAACATGTGCCTGTGCCAGTGGACCCTGACGAATCGAGCGCTCTGACTGGCAGAAACATGACGGAAGAGGCACCCTGGTGGATCCATCCATCCAATCGACGCACACTGATCTCCGCGATGGACACGCCTTAACCTTGGATTGAGTGGAGAGGACTGCCGTTTATGGGCAAGCCGGGTGTCGTGTCTGCTGCCATTGGCGGTAGGAAGAGCGGCACCCGCATATATCCCCACACAACTAAGATTTTTCTCCGGCCTCACTTACCGGATTCATCGCCGAGTCTCTTCAGCATTTCCCTCGACATGGAGAACCACCTCACAACTCACGGACTTGAGGGGGGGGGGGGAAGAATAAGCCAGCGGGGGCGCCACATCACGTGAAAATCGGACATGCGAAATCCCCATGCGGAGAGAGATCCATCGAGATAGACACGCCCCAACAACATCCTTACAATCGGCTTCAACTCGCTCGGCTTGCCGGACTCAGAAAGCTACCAAACAGCAACAAGAAAACTTTTCCGTTCTTCGGCTCGCAATTAGCTTTTCTGCGAGTACGTCATTCTTGATTCACTCACCCGCCAAGCGATTCCGGACGCTGTGATTGGCGGAGAACGTATACAAGGAAATTAAATATGGGGAAGCATCTCTCCACTTTTATCGCTCTTTTCATCTTGTACTATTTTGTACCTGTATGTACGTACCTTACTTGTATCTTCGGAGGTCCTATAGACAACAAGCGAATCTTTGCCGAAAATATCGGTATGACTCGGGCATTGTCGGGTTGGTCCGACTCTGCATAATATGGTTTCTGCAAACAGCGCAAACATCCAACATTTATCCAGTCAGCCCCTCTTCCCCGCTCCCCAGTCTCTGTTCTTCTCTGTCAGCCTTTCTCTGTCTCGTATACAATTGCTGTTGCCGTCGCCATCACAACAGTTCCCCAGCTTCAGACTCGGAGTACGTACCTCCAGATAGATCGGCATCTTTCACTCTCGTCTTACCTGCCTTAAATCTTCCACATTATGCAAGATTGGCCCGTTAGTTTCGTTATCAAGTCTCCACATCTTTCGACTACAGAACCAGTCAGAAACCGTTGACTGCGGAGTCTGTAGGATCATCTCACATGCTTGTCAGCCTGCCGTGAGACTATCGTGCTCAGCTGTATCCGTGCGGTGTCATGGCAAGGTGATGATCACTCCGTCGGAAGCTCGTACCAGCGCATAATATCCATTGTAAGATGTGTTCTGACTCGACAAAGAAAGTCATACGTATAGAGCTTGAGAACTGCGTCATCAGCAGCAGTTCTTTGCCATCTCAATAGACTCTTACTGTTCTCGTAGCTAACCTACTCCCTTGGGGAAGTACATGCTGTAACCAATAAAATCAATACCAACATTAAATCTCGTATCACGTTGGTCAATGCGGGTCTCTACTTAGCAGTAAGTTCAGTAACCCTCGTAAATATGTATACGAGTGGGACACCGGAGAAAAAAAAATCAAAGACTCAATCAAAGACTCAATCAACGACTCAATCAGGATTCACTCGCTTTCTAATAGTAGCACCGCGTTTAGCTGTGACTGGTCAAGTCCAGAATGAGGACCACATCTAATCTCACTTGACTAAGAAAACCGACCATCATGGCAGATTTTCAAAATGTCTCACAACTCAAAATATGTTAGTACGTAATGGATAACGCTTGTCGGGATACTAAAAACATCTCGGCAAAGTTTTGATAATCGGATAGATTCATCACCTATATACAAGGAAAGGTATCAAGACAAAGAAAACAAAGACTTGTTCTCGCCACGAATCTAATCAAGGAAATATCGACACGTATATCATCATGCCTGTATAGTCACATTACGTCGTCCAACGGCCTCTTCCACGTGGAATCCAAATACAAGTCTGTACAAATCTCGTAGCCATGTATATTGCCCGTTCTGCACCATCGATTGCACCGCTCTTGCCACATCCACGGCTCCTGCCATGCCGGGAGCTCCAACTACCCTAAATGCCGGATCGGTGGTGACTAGTTTCTTATACTGTTCAAGCAGCGAGACTTGCCATGGCAATGTTCCAAACGAATCCGACGAGAGGGATTTGCTAAATGAAGACAGTGTCTGATTACCGCCTCGTTGATATCCCGTGTCCATGGCTGCCTTGGTTATTAAAAGCTTCAGCCGGATAATGTTCGGATCTTCGGCCGATGTCACCACAGTGTTGGTTGAAGATGTATGTTCAGATGTACGCGATCGTCCCGACAACGTCGACGACCCGGAAGACCATTTATTTTGACTGGCTTGAGCCGCCTGTGCATGTCCAAGCACAAGGATGTTAGGGATCGGTGCATCGTCCGGTGAAATCGTAGCCGTGTCCTCAAAGATCGTTGTCGGCGTCTCGGGATTCAGCTGTGAAGCCGTATCCTCATCCACGATCATCACGGGTGATTCCTTGGCCTTCTGCAAGGCCTCGGTAAAGCTAATTTGGCTAGGTCTAGGTGTTCCTCGGTCTGGTCGGATTTGCGTCCATCCCTCACGGAAGAGATCGCAGAGCTCCCAGCAAGCTTGAATTGCAGATCCTAATAATTCTTCATCAGGGCTCTTGCCCTGCCGTTTGCTTTGACGGATGCTAAAAAGCATCTCAGCTAGCGACCAACAAGCATGTAGTAACGAATCCGTCTCTTCCTCCAGATGCATCCGCTGTTTCATGAGGCGATGACACAGCGTGATATAAAAGTCAAGCGTGCGCTCTCGAAACATCGGCGGCAAATTATGATCGCTGGCATTATAAAGATGATTGTTGAGCTCGAAGCTGACTCGCAATACAGAGTCAGCGTCTTCGTTCTCTCTGGCGCGGACTTCAAATAAGGCCTGACAGAAATCCCGGCACAAGTCCAGTGTAGGGTCGACTTGAGATGCATAGTCATCTGCTCGACCTTCGTATAATCTTCGACATAGTTTCCAGCATGATTTCCATGCTAGTTCTTGCATGTCCCCTTTGCTGGTTGAATTGAATAGTCGTTCACGATGATTGGAACTCAGGTTTGCAAGTGTGTTGCAAAAAGTCCAGCACTCGTCCAGTGCCGTCCACAGAGCGGCAGTCTCATCTTTCGGGGTGTGAACGGTCGTGTTGGGAAATGAATATCTCTTTCTAGGTGTCGGATCTGCATTAGCCGTGATCATTGCTACTGGCGAGTTGGATGCCCCCGATGCTACTGGTGGATCAGCATCATTGGCCTCGGGGATATCTATCCAAGTCAGTCCAACGTCTTTAGGTTTAGGGTATGATGCATTTTACCCTCAAGACTGCTAGAATGGCGCCGGTCGAAATCTTCAATCTCCTGTCGAGTCTGCGCACGAGGTGTTGCTCTGTCCGACCAGTCTTTCACTGGAGGTATAGCTGTGGTTATTGGAGGTGGGGATGCTGGGCTATTGACGGATTTCTAAGTAGACATAAGTTACAGTTCTATACGATTGGAAAAAATTTACTGACCTTGTCCGTCTCTCGGTCATTGTTCACAATCGTTTCTTTTATATTCGCATCGCCGGTGACAGAAGTTGACTGTCCATCGTTCTGACGATGATTTGAGCCCGTTTTCTGCGCAAACATTAGAAGTTTTCTGAAATTCATGCTGAGTTACTCACCCCTACAAAGTCGCTAAATCCTGGTGGCGCATGAATGACAGATTGCGGCGCATCATCGTCAGACCGGGGCATCGCACCAAAGAATTGTGCATTTGGAGTTTTGATCTGCACCGAGCGCAAGGTTAGTATTTCCTAACGCGCGAAACCACATTATCGCATACCGTAAGTTCAGGTTGCGTAGAAGTCAAGACTCGCTTCCCCGCTGTGGAGCCTGAGGATGTCGACTTCGGCTTTGGTTCTTCCACAGTAGACTCATCAACATCTATAATGTTGGATCCATGATCGTCGTCGGACGCGACTTCATTATCGATAGGGACATCTTTGTCCATGGTCACAACAGAAGACGCTTGGTTACCGGAAGCTATGCTTAACCTGGTTGGAGTGGTCAGTAAAGACTCGTGTAGAGATCTAGATAACGATGTACATTGATCGTTCAGATACCGTGGAGCCTGATTGACTGGAGTTCCGGCGATTCGTCCGTGAGGGTCCCAGCTTACTCAACGACACGGGGATCAATGGGGATTTTAAGGAAATCATTGCACGAGTGATGGCTAGCAGGAGAACCATCAATCTTTGAGGACTTATATGCTTTGGGGAAGAGTGATCACTCACCATAACACCTTCACTTGCGATTAGAATAATAAGAGAAATAACCGAAGTAAGGAAATCGGATTCCGCCCAAACAATTGATCAATGGTTGCACAAAGTCCTTTGGTTGCGCAATGGCCAGACGGAAGGAATCAATAGATAGATATAGATATATATATAATCACCGCGAGCTAGCTCATGACTTTCCTGCTATTAAACTCGCGTGAGGCACATATGACATTGTTCGAATATGCGCATAGTAGAATATCAGATCGAAGAAGTATGGATGGATGAAGGTACGGAATGAGTGGGGAAGAGCTATCTGCCTTTCCTGGTTGGACTCTGGAATACAGGTCACGAGTAGACTCTGGACAGAACAGTCAAACAGACATTCTGGACCAATCCTTCTGGCAGAGCTGAAGCTGACGGCGCAGATGCACGCGTTTTCTTCCGCACTCAGAGTAGACGGAGGTTAGAGAAGAAACAAAACAAAAACATAGAATATGTTTGGTGGTGATACAAGATCAGAGAGGAGGAGGGACGGAAGGCGGCGCAGGAAGGAGCAGTGAGTGGCCTCAGGCGCCTGCTGCGTGACGGCCTCAGCACTATTGCAGCGAGGTCCACGCCTATTGGCTGGGGGTTCCCAGGGCGCTGGGTTAGACTGGCTTAGGGCCAGTTAGCCGTCCCTAGCCTCTGTTAGTGCCACTTAGTGGTGGCTAACCATCCCCCCTGATTGGCGTTTGCTGCAACGCTCATGCACGTTAAGCGCCACTAAAGTCGTGCCATTTCCTTTCCTATTGGATAAGTTAGTTGCATAAGGAGCATAAGGACTCGATAGCTCTTGAGATGATGCTCAGTATCAAGAAGCCATTAGAAAGATCACCATTGTCCCAATAGTACGGAACGATCGAATCCAATAAACTGTAAATGCTTGCCCTAAATTCTGGGCGTGGAACCTTGACATTGCTATATACTCTTGCGTATCTGACAAAGAAAGAATAAGACTAAACGCCCGTGTAAATGCTGGACCAACAAACTTTTCTTCATGACTCGAGAAACTCTTCAGGAACTGGATACAAGAGCATTGATAACGTCCTTGAATAGCGCTGTTGCAGGCGGCAATGCAAAAGGCGGTGCACGGTCAAATATGCCCCCAAGATTCTCTGATTTGAGGGTTGGCGTTATTGGCTGTTGTTGACGTGTCTGCTCTAAAGTTTTCTGACCGGCACGACCAAAGATGCTATCAAGACCAGCGCCCGCAGCTGCATGTTGTACAGATGCCTCTGTGGACACAGTTAGGGCTTGTGTATTTCGGCTGGGATGACTGAATCGCCAGAGATTTGCTGCAGCATCAATAGCGATATAGCCTCCATTATTCGCGTCGGCGAGGAACTTAATTGGGGGTTTCTCCAACTCAGACTCTGATAACAGAGTCATGGTTGATGTCTTGTACACGGCTATGTTGTAAGTTGATTTGCGGCTGGATTGGCCAGGCAGATTTGCTCCCTTGGCCCTTGTCACAACGGCGAATGTGTCTGAAGACGAATCCGCAGCCAGAGCAATGTGCTTGGATGAGCCAGAGCTTGTCAAGGCTGACTTTGCAGGAGTTTGCACAACATCGTCGACTACGTTCCACACGGCAAGAGACTGCTCAGACAAGACCACCAAGAACCGACCCTGGAACTCGACGCTTCGAACGCTATCAATGGGGAAAACCTGACGACTGCAATATACAGTCCATTGTCGAGTATCAATCAAATGAACCGTATTCTTTATTCCCACAGCAAGGATAGATCCATCCTCGGAAAAGACCATGGCTCCTGCGGAGGCATCACAACCAACATATGACAAGTCCATCGAGGTAAGATTCTTCCAAGTATGCTCCATTGAATTTGAACGAGGTTGCGATTTAGTAGAAATGGTGTAACGGGCAGTAGGCTGCCAAACTTTGACGAGTAGGTCGGTGCCAAGTGTGACGAATTCAGGCCGATCTGAGCGAGCTTTGAGCGAAAGAATTTGGAGTGCTTCGCCGGATGGAGCCAAATGAGGAGACTCAACCCGTGTTGCTAGTTCCCAGATACCCTGTGTCTCACTCCAATGCCAGAACTTCAGGAATATCTCAGTACGCCTCTGCAGTTGCGGGTCCTCGGGGAGAAGAGGGCCTACAGATGCCTCAACATCTTGCCGGGGCGGACTCCAAGAATCTACAGTTGCGAGCCACTGGCCGTTCACACTCAGGTCCATGAATTCTACATTGGGTGGTTGGATAGGTGTTCCTTCTGGACCTCTGTTCAAAATCGTCACATTCGTTCGCGCAAGAGCTTGCCGGGAGATATTTAACCCGGTTTGGATATTGAAAGTTTGAAGGAACGTAAGATTCACAGAGTCACCACCGGGGCTCGCTAGAAGTAATCGCTCGGGTTGGAGAGGATGAAGTATAGCAGGCAACCTTTCACTGCGCGCAACGCCCCTGTCCTTGGTATCAACAATTGCATCAAATGTTGATGGTAAATGTAACCCGTCTATAGTAGCCACTGAATTCAGCTCCGTTGCTGAGATTACTGTAATGGACCTGTCCGCCAATTGAACGGCATACAAAGCTCCAACCGAGGAGATTGTGATACTGCGAATCGGAGACGATAAATGGGGCAGGAAATTCCGGCGACCAGAATCAAGTTGCCAAAAGACTATAACCGACTCCTTTCCTCCCGAAATTATGTAGTTGCCTGATTTATGTTAGTCTTTTTTCGCCGCTCTCACACAAAACGAAGAGTGTAACATACCATCTTGTGACCACCGAAGAGAAGCGACAGCTTCACGGTGCCAATGCAATCGTTGAAGCAGAGGTAGACCAGATGCCCCCTCGCGGCTAATAGAGCCCAATACATCATTGTAAACCAGAATGACCCCAGACGCATCTCCAACAGCTATGTCAATCGACGCAGTTGATTTCTCCCCGGAAACACCAGTCTGTGTTTCTCGGACATCCAAGCAGGTAATCTGCTTAACGGGGATTCTGTACTCTCTCCATTCATAGTCGTTATAATGTCCCTTTTCCTTCGACTTCGGGCTCAAGGTTCCAATGATAAGTTGCTGGCGAGCACAGGCAACAATAAATTGGCCGCCTTGAACAACCTTGAAATGATTGATAGTATTGGCAGTATCTAGCACCACATTATCGGCAGAATCTTTTCGTTGCGCCCACTCCGTGTTCACAACAATGTGGTGACGGGATCCTTTCGACTTGACTGCAAAATACGCCAAGCGCTCTTTTTGCTCGTCTTGAACTTTGAGGGGAACGATTCCGAATAGCGATACTTTAGCAAAATTTGCGCGGTTGATGGTTTCTCGACCTGTGTCCCAATCCCATTGTATAAGTCTGCCGGAAAGTGTGGAAATGTATAGATGCTGAGGGTCCGATGGAACGAGGTGCAGTCCTGTGACATGTGAAGAGTCCTTCATTGTAAGAGTCTTGACGGGTCGTTGCGTCGCCATCGAGTATACCTGAACGGCATCACCGCGACTGAAGAAGAGATACCTAGATAGTCATATAATTAGTTATGGAGCGTCTCACGAGACCAAAGACTGAACATACTTCTCGTCTACTGAGAAAACTGGATCAATGTTGAAGATATTTCCCCGAAACATAAGCTCAAGAGACCAATCCGAAGATTTCTTCTTCTTATCCGACGATGCGACAGCAGCATTGCCTTTGTGTAGTACTTCTTCAGAAGTAGTCTTGAGACGTTTGGATCGACTAACTTTTGCATCTTGGCTAGCATCTGTAGGCCGTTGTCGCTTGACTGTTCTTCCTGACGGCAACATCTTTGCTGGAGATTAACTGAGCGCAAGAATTGCGAGTTCAACCCTGTCAGTAAAACCAGCAGACAGTCAGAAGCCGAGTCTGAGCAATCAATCTTTTTTTGATAAAAAATAAGAGTGGAGATATGAAGCATCTGGCCTAGCGTCTTGGCGGAATTATGACCAATGAGCGGCCGCGTGGCTCCCTTAGCGTGGTCGAAATTCTATCGGAGAAAGCAGAAGATAACCGCCTGCTTCATTTTCTTCACCTTTGTACATCAAGAGTCAAGATCAAGTCATACTCTCTCATTTCCTTGACCGCTACCTGTTTCTACCAGACCCCATATACAAAATGATTATTCCCGTCCGTTGTTTTTCTTGCGGCAAGGTACGGTTTCTGTCTCTTCAGATCCAGTGAAAATCGTTTCTGACAAGGTCTAGGTCGTCGGCGATCTATGGGAGCGATACTTGCAACTCCTCGACGACGGTGTTCCTGATGGGTAAGTCTAGTCGCGTATGTTGTCGCGAGATATTCTGACTCGTTCTATAGTGATGCTATGGATCAATTGGGTTGCAAACGTTACTGCTGCCGGAGAATGGTCATGACACACGTCGACTTGATCGAGAAACTTTTGCGGTATGTACACTCTACACGGTAGGTAACAGAGACATTTGCTGAGGCAGATCAACAGGTACAACTCATCGGAGCGAGAGAAAGCGAAGACACAGGCCTAGTCAGACCCGCGCTGTTACGAATTTAACGAAACTCAAAATGTAATATATGGAATGGTTCTTTATTATCTGATCATATGTTCTCATCATACCTTTGGACTCAAACAAATCAAGAAAGATGCCTTTTTGCCGTGCATGTGGCTTAGATATGCATCCAACTCGTCATCCTCTTCGATCAAAAGCAGGGCATCGCCTCCTCTTTCATCCTTCTCGACGCCCTCGACCCTCGTCACAACGGAATCGGGGTACTTTGTTTGGACTAGATTATGAAGCTCCGCTAGGGACGATGAATTCAACTTTCCGATCCACGTTCTAGATGCCGTGTGATTTTGGCTTTGCGGACTGATTCGGAAATAAACTGGTATCGATGGGTTCTGGAGTAGGGTGTCGACATAGTTGAAGGCTGGATCGCTGTCCTGTTGGAGCGCTCGAACAAGTGATGTGTCGTTTGCCGCTTGGAGTAAGGATGGGTCTATTTGCATTTCACCAAGGTCATTTGACGCCATTGATGCACTCGCAAGAGCTTCGGAGGCTAGATTGCTGATTCCATGATTGTATGCATTGGAGGTAGCGTTTTCTATACTGCTCTGGTTTCGCGCTTTCATTTGCTTTGCGCTAGAAGCTCGTTTCTTTAATGGATCTTGTTTGGCCTGGTCATCTCGAAGGCGTTTCATGACATCGCGACACAGCACTTCAATGGCTTTGACCTTGGTGTTGTGATTAGGATCAGACAGACCTGGCGCTAAAATCTGTTGCAGTAGTTCTGACCCTTGAATCCATCGCTGCTTGAGTTCGTTCCAATGTTCGTCTCCTGCTTCTAGCTTGCTTGTAAAATGGTCGGCTTTTAAAGTACTATAAAACGCGTGTCGGATCTGTCGACTCTCTTCCGGATTAATTCCTAGTGCGTTTTTCGCTTCTGCAATTGTCATTCGAGTTTCCAACGTCCTCATGCGTTTGGTAACATCGGTACAAACAACATCTAGTGCGAGATTCTTCGCTTCTAGCTGGGTGTCGTCCGGCATGCTTGGATCTACGTAAAAGACGCTTCTTAAGTGCGGCGATTCGCGGATCAGCCTATTCTTTGCTTCCTGCCATCGCTCAGGACCTGCAATGGTTTTCTTTAGGAAGCCTGCTTCCTGACATATTCTCTGAAACTCATCGCGTATTTGACGATACATCGCAGAATCTAAATTGAGGTACTGTTTGCTCTCGTCGAGGGTGGTCTCCGAAGGAAAACGCGGTGGTCCTGGTGGATCGGCTGGCAATCCTGCCCAGCCCCGAGTTCGACGACGTCGCTTTTTAGTCGCATAGCGCTCAGCGCTCTCTGCTTTCAATCGTTCGAGACGTTCGTTCCTTTTGGCTACCACTTCCGGCGACAAGTTTGGCGAGTATGATGTCAAAACAGGCGTTTGCTCAGTTAACGGTTGGTTGTCACTACCAGGGAAGCCGTTATGACCGTTGTACATTTCATGCTGTAACGAAAGCACGCCTTCTTCCACGGACGTTTCGGTTGGCGATTGGATTATTGTTGTCTGCGATTTCATGCCGTTTGGAACTCGTAGAAGCCATCGGTTTTTTGCGCGAACACGCATGAGCTCTCTTTCTTTGATGTCATAGCCCTCGTCATTCAGTATTTTCAGCATATCCCGCTGGCAGACATTTCGTTCCCATAGTTGTTTGATGCGAGCGACGAGTTGCGTGTTTTTGTGAGCGGGGTTTTGTTTCGAGGGAAAGCCCCAGCGTTTGAACTGTGTTTGGAAGGCACGTTTACTGTATGAACAATTGGTAGCAGATTAGCATTGAACTGAGAGAAGCTAGAATATGATACGCTTGGAGGGTCAGCTCTTACCTAGGAGCGAATTGGTATGTGTTTCTCATGTATTCCATAATCTCGTCCAAGCCCTTCTTATCGACGATATACATTTGATAACATATATCTCGTTTCCCTTCCCATTCGTACACCATCTTGAATAGAATTGGCGGCCAAAGCAGCCGTTATGAGAGAACAAAAACAATACGGCAGCATTCAAGAACACTTTGCATGACATGTCTCATACACTACCCAACAGTTCAAGAGGCATTAAGGGATGTATAATATGATAGCTGTCGTAAAGCTAGACAGGTGAAAACAGCACTCCGTAGAGGATGCGGAGAAGTTCAGGGCAGACCAAAGACGCAGTCTTGGCGCCAGTTGCCAGGGGAGGGCGTCACGTGCCGCTAATCCTGCCTAGATCGGCTTGTTTGTTTCTTTACACGCACTCGCCTCGTCGCATCCCTCATCGCATCTATGTTTCAAGCTCAACAGGGTCAAAGGTCAACAGTATTTTCCTCCTAAGACATATAATTTGTCTCTATAATTAGGGGTAAGCCCCAGCCTGTAAGAACTGACAGCACGCATGTGGAAAACAGCGCGAACTCCTGATTAACCCCTTTCCGACTAGTGGCGTTGGTTGCGCGCTTCGACCGGGTCTATCGATAGGGAGGGACGGAGTTCGACGGCAACCCTTTCCTGTTCCCACCAGTTTCTACCAACATACGATGATTATCTCTACGACTTAGACCAGGCATGCACACTTGGAGACGGTGATGATGCAGCATTCTGGGAAGCCGGCGACCTTAGTATTGACATATTAGAGGGAATAATCTATCAGCTTGTAATGTTCGCAAACACAGCTCACAAGTCATGGCGGGATCACCATTCTGGAAAGTCGTCTCCTGACTCCTACAGGTATTCTTCCAGCCTGAGTTCCCAAGTTGCGCTCGACACGCCAAGCTCAGAGCCCGCGACACCGGTAGAGGTGCCTCTCCTCGTTCTGCCGAAACGACGGGGTCATCAACATTCGGGAAAGTCCAGCGTCAAATCAGCGCATATACGGAAGCCTTCTCGCGATGAACGATCCTCGACGTCCATCGATTTGTCGCGATCGTCAATTGAGCTTGAGGGGCTTGGAATATACACAAATTTGGAAAGAGACACGAGATTTCAACAGAATCGACACAGTGTCTCAAATCTTCACAGATCGATCAGTGAAATCTCACCTTCGCCGAGTATAAGGCTAGGTCAAACTTATGTGCATCCCCGACGCCAGTTACCCACACCAAGCAGTCCGCTTGGTATACCTCAACGTCACTCGGTGGATGGAGGGTACTTCTCGACTATCAACCGGAGTATGACGGGTTTTACCAGCCCGACCCTCTCCATCCCAGACGATGAGCACGAGGACAACGACAGCAATTCTTTCGACGAAGCAGATACACCAAAAACAACATCATTAGAGCTTAGACGTTCTACTCCAATAATACTTCAAAGAGCGCAAACCGACACAGCGCTTAGCAGGGCTTCCTCATGGAAGGAGTCCGAATTCCTATCGTCGACCGAGTTGACATCCCACGCAGCCGCTGTGCGTGCTGCCCGGATCGCCTTTGCGGAGAAAGAAGCTTCGAAAGCCCGAAAACTCGAGGAGCAACAAAAGAAAAAGACGCAACAGCGTGATGAGCGTCGACATCAGCGATCAGTCAGTCATATGGTAAAATACATAGACCTTGAGGAAGACATGGCTCCAGACCAAGTGACTTCTGTTCCCCCACTTCCAGGCAAACCAATTACACCGTCGTCCGCCTTGGGCCCACCAAAGCTTCCAGCAGCAACAAAGCATAACTGGAACAAATTCCTTACATGGGGGAAAACACGCTACTATAAAGCAAAGAGGAAGGTCTCCATGCCTGTACCGACTTTTAGGTAACATTTCAAACGATCTGACCTTGCCTTCGCGCCTCGAGTACCAACTGTACAAGTTGGTTGATACAATTGACACTACACCTGAGAATTGTTTGTATATAAGCGATGATAGCGTTTTAGCATGCATTCCGGGGATTTGATGTACATAGTCCCGTGAGTCGAGCAATTGCATTCTCTTTCAATCTTTCCATGATTAGTGTCTTGCAATTCAATTTTCATTGCTTCTATATGCTTGAGATATGCCAATGGATACAACCAGTCACTGCAGACTGTAAAGATTGAGACCAATGATATGACACAGTCATTTGTATGAATTTTTTCTATTTATGTAAATTTACCAATCCTTAATCTCCCCTGCAGCCGCCGGCTCAACCCTAACAATCTTATCGCAGTTGAGCAGACATAACGGATCAAGAGCAAATTTCAACTGATAGACATGTTAAGTACTCTGGACGAAAGTGGGAAGGGGATGAGACGTTGACTAACCTTGCGCATGGCATCTACCGCAGTCTCGCCAAGCTCATGAGGTAGATAATCTCTCTTGATGAGTCCGACTCCGTGTTCGCCGGTAACGGTGCCTTCCATCTCTACAGCGTTTACGACCATGCGATGCACGACTTCCTCGGCAAGGTCTTTCTGCTTGTCGTTGAATAGAATAATGGCTTTTCGATACCGATATTAGCGACCGTACAAACTATCTTGAGTGACTGAGGGAGGATAAGTGTTTACCATGGAAGTTGCCATCTCCGACATGACCGCAAATACCAGCCAGTAGACCACTCTCCGTCAAATCTTTCTTTGTCTTGTCCATGATATCTGGCAATCTGCTGATTGGTACCGCAACATCTGTGGTCCAGACGTGGTCACCTGGATCGCGTTTCATGGCTACCACACTCCAAAGAGCAGCTTTGCGGGCGCTCCAAAGCTCTTTCATTTCTGTATCGTCGCGAGCAAATTCGAACGTCTTACTTCCAGTGCTCTTAGATAGCTTTTGGACTATATTGATCTGCTCCTTTACTCCCGACGGAGTACCGGTGAACTTGAAGAATAAGGTTGGTGCCTCGGTCCATTCACGTCTGGTAGATTTGCTGGCATTGATGCATTTCATCTGCACATCATCCAAGATCTCGAGACCGGCGACCTGGATACCTTCCTCGACCACTCTTCGGGCGCAATCGGCAGCGTGCTGAACGGATGGGAAACTGGCCACAGCCACACTTTCACTCTTGGGCTTCACGGTCAACTTCAATGTTGCTTCTGTCACGAGACCGAGGGTACCTTCGCTTCCAATAAAGAGTTTGGTCAAGTCATATCCAGCACTGGATTTCTTGGGTCGCTGTCGTGTTTTAATCACCGTTCCGTCCGCGAGGACTACTGTGAGGGATGCAACCCATTCTCTCATGGTTCCGTATCGGTACGCATTCGTGCCGGAACAGCCAGTTCCAACCATACCTCCAATCATAGCTCCTGGACCGGGGTCCGGAGGGAAGAAAAGCCCCTCTTTGGCAATTTCCTCGTTCAAGTCTTCCCAGCCCACGGCAGGCTGCACGACAACATCAAGATCTTCTTTGTGGAAAGCCAGGATTTTATTCATGCGTTCAAAGTCAATGCACACTCCACCTCGAGTTGGGGCGTAATGTCCTTCCAGGCTTGTACCGCCTGAGTATGCTGTCACGGGGATCACTCTTTCATGACATATTTTCATAATCCGCGATACTTCCTCTGTTGTGGACGGATAGACAACAATGAACGGCTTCTCGTTGTCCTTTGGTGAATAAGTAGAGAACTCGGAGCCCGAATGAGACATGCGATCAAATTCTTCGGTGGATACATTCTCTTTGCCGACAATGTTGACAAAGTCGGCCCACGCAGCTTGTAGATTTGCTGTGGTGGTGTTGTGTTTAACGGGTCGCGTTTCGGAGAGCGGGATCGTGGACGATGTTGAGGGGGCAGCAGGTTTGAGGGATCCAAGGTAGTATCCGCCAGTTGTGAAGAATACCAGCACTATTCCTATCAGTATTTTGAATGTTTCAATGAGTAGAAAGCATACACACCAAACATTAACGCCGCATATCTGGAACCGGGAGATTGAGTCTGATACTGCAAGAATCGTTCTTGCTCCGCGCGCTCTCTTTTCAAACGCTGCTGCGTGCTCTCATACAATTGACCCTTGAATGACGGTCTCGGTTCTTCTTGCAATTGTCGTGTAGAAGTCAAATGACGACGATACAAAGGTGATGACAATGCATGCTCAGTCCGAACGGACGGCCGACGGAGGCATTGCGCCGCCGGGTTGGCTCGTAGGACGGATCGCCTCATGTTGATATTGTGCGTATTTGTGATCAATGCCGAATCATTCAGAGTTCAAGAATGATCTCGGTCGGTGCAGAAGGAAAAAAAAAGAGAAGCACAAGAAAAAGAAGAAAAGAGAGCTCTCTCGGTCGAGAGAATCGCGAGGAGAGATCAGGCTTGGCGGCCACATTCGGCTTAGCCGGGTCGTTGCGTCATTGACAGACTGGCAGACTCTCCGATCACTCCGACTCTCATTCATTCTCTAGACATGCGACTGAGCACCTACTTGGTAGCTAACAGCTCATCAATTGACAGTCTTGACAGCGACGATACAGCCACTGGATAAGACGAGGAAGGTCAGCCGACAGACTACCAAAGCTTAGGTACTCCCGGCTAAATCCAAGCTCCGTAATTTCTGCGTAACCCGGCGGATAATACCCCCTCTACGATCAGACGGTTAAATACCCTTCGATCCGGTGAGCCTCTATTGCTCAGAATGTCGTTTAAAATACTCGAGTCCAGGTCTGGATCTATCCACTTAGTCTGTGTCTACTGGTGGTCGAGAGCAAAAGTTGAGCTGTTCACCTTCCCCGCATATGAGCGGATCCAATTATTCTGGCAAGGAACGAGAATCATTGGCGACGAGGAAGAACAACTCAACGATGCGTAACACATGACCTGAAAATTTATTAGACGTTTTTCCCCCATCATCTTTTATATTGCTGTACTCCCCTTCTATTCACATTCTTCTCGTCGACCGGTCACTATGTCTCTCACGGAAACCAAAGTAGGTCTCTTCCTCTCTGCGAGAAGACTAGACTAACACTATTCAGAACCTCTCCTTCGTCCTCGAAGGCATCAAAAAGGTCAAATTCGAGGAACGCCCAATCCCTGAAATCATTGACCCCTACGATGTGCTCATCAACGTCAAATATACCGGAATATGTGGCAGTGACGTAAGCACCACAGCAATCTCTTGTTCGCGACGTCCAAACTAATAATCATCAGGTCCATTACTGGGAGCACGGCTCAATCGGCTCCTTCGTTGTCCGCGAACCCATGGTCCTCGGTCACGAATCATCCGGCGTAGTGAGCAAAGTCGGCTCAAAAGTGACTACCTTAAAAGTCGGCGACCAAGTGGCCATGGAACCCGGTATTCCCTGCCGGCGATGCGAGCCCTGCAAATCCGGTAAATATCATTTGTGTATCAACATGGCCTTTGCCGCTACGCCGCCGTACGACGGGACATTGGCGCGGTATTACAGGTTGCCCGAGGACTTTTGTTACAAACTTCCCGAGAACATCCCCCTCAAGGAAGGAGCGCTGATTGAGCCGTTGGGTGTTGCGGTGCATGTTGTCAAGCAAGGTGGTGTAGTACCGGGAAATTCAGTGGTCGTATTCGGTGCCGGTCCCGTGGGATTGTTATGTGGTGCTGTCGCAAAGGCATTCGGCGCAAGCAAGGTCATTATCAGCGATATCCAACAGAGCAGACTGGATTTCGCAAAGAAGTATATTGCAGACGGCACTTTCCAGCCAGCCCGCGTATCTGCAGAGGAAAACGCAAACCGTCTCAAGGAGGAGCACGACATACTCGCTGGTGCTGATGTTGTTTTGGAAGCATCCGGCGCTGAACCTGCTGTTCACACCGGTATTCACGCCCTTAGGACCGGAGGCACGTTTGTTCAGGCTGGTATGGGTAGATCAGAGATTAATTTCCCCATTATGGCAGTGTGTGGAAAGGAGTTGAACTTCAAAGGCAGTTTCCGATATGGAAGTGGAGATTACAAGCTTGCTGTGGAATTGGTGGCCACAGGCAAGGTCAGCGTCAAGGAGTTGATTACGGGCGAGTTCAAGTTCGAGGATGCCGAACAGGCTTATATCGATGTTAAGGCGGGTAAGGGGATTAAGACTATCATTGTGGGTTTGTAATGATTTTATTGATATATAGATAATCCAAGAGTGTTGGCAATAAAGATTTCAATGAAAAGACAAAGTAAACCAACTGTGAAGGGGTATATGACAAAATAAAATAAACGAATGATAAACGCTGAACAGCATCAAGCAGGAAACCGCTCCAGCCAAAATATATAAACATTCAACAACAGCCCCCTCGAGTCGAACCTGTTATTCGAAAAACATCCCCCCATTCCCCAGCAGATCCCATCCATGAACTATTATTACTTCGTTTGGCATTTCTCTTCCTCCTACCGTGAAGTTGGCTAGCACTATCATCAACAGTCAACCCACTCCTCACACTCGCCGCATCACTCGCCGCCATCCCCCAGGCTCCAGAATCACCATACTGAATCCCACTCTGCGGATCATCCGGATCAATCTCACCCAACTCGATTTTGGTCAGTATAATCCTTGCGAGACGAGTAAACAGCTCTTCGACGTTCTGGCCTGAGAATGCAGATACTTCAACGGCCACGGGGATGTTGCTGCGTGTTGCCCATTCTATAGCTTCGAGGTCACTGACTTGTCGACCGTGCGAGGCTTTTGTTGCTGTTAGACGAGTACCGGCTGTTGAGAAGTTTGTGCTTGTCACGGAACGGAGGGAGCCTGCTCCTGTCTTGCTGCTCGCAGCATCGAACATGTACATGGATGTGTTCCTGCTACTCGACACACTATTCGCAATCGACGTTGACGCTTCGTCTTCTGTTTCTTCCATCTCGGTCTCATCACCATCAACCAATAAATCCGTCTTATTCCCCGCCAATATAGTCGTAAGATTCGGTGATGCTAACGCCCTCGCATCCATTAAAAATGTCGGTAGCGCCGCAAACGAGGCATATGACGAAACATCATAAACTAACACCGCGCCCGCAGCTCCACGATAATATGATCTTGATACGGAACGGAAACGTTCTGTGCCCGCCGTGTCCCAGAGTTGGAGTTTGATGCGTTTGCGCCGGGAGCCCGTACCGATTTTGACGATTTTTGATGAGAATTCGACGCCGATTGTTTGTGAGGACAGGACGCGCCCTTCGATTCCAATTAGTAGTCGTACTATTTTTGGTCTGAGGAAAACGTACATTCATCCTTCACAAAGCGATGGAGTAGACATGACCTTGGTGATATTAGCAAGAAACCAGGTTGCTAGAACGAAGCAACATACTTGCCAGTCCCACTAGGTCCGATCAGAATCACTTTCGCCAGGTAATCGTACATACTCTCAAGCTCCTTAAGAAAATCAGTTTCGTATCGCAAAAGTACAGCAAATAACTGACCTGATTCCGGTCCGGTATGGAGGAAGTCGAGGAAGCGTTGGACTGTTTTCTGTGCCGAGGCATTGCGAGTCATTTCTGTATGATCCAAGAATATTACTTAGGATTGTTCAAATACCCAAAGAACCGACTTATTATGGTATGTTGGGTATTAGAGTGAAAACGAATAAGAGGATAGTCCGAGGTGACTTGTTTAAAGTTGAAGGTGTGGGGGGGGGGAAGACAAACTTCACTTCGACATCATCTCTGAGCAACACACTCACAAACAACTAGTATCTAGCCATCCACTTCGCCGGATCAAACTTGACCTCAACATCTACACCACCAAAGATTCCCACAGCCGCATAAAGATCGAACTTTCCTTCCAGACCATATACACCTTCCGCCTCCGAGTCCAACTCTTCATGCAAATCCCAACTTCCGGCTTCAACACCGTTTCTCGTGAAGAATACCGTCGCATCTAATACCAGTCGTTGTGATGGTGCATTTGTGCTTGTTATGCCAGGTGGATTAAACCTCATCCCCAATCCCACCGTCTCCTCCGTTCGAAACGCACTCGTAAACTCCTTCCCGCCGAGATTATCATTCACAAATCTACATCCGTCATCCGAGAAGACTCCAATACTAGCTCTATCCCATCCCGGCGAGCGCCACGAGGGATACGGCTGCGCTACAAATCCAATCGAAAACCCGCTCGCATCACCTCCAAACGGTCGACGATGATACTTATTAATGGTGACTTCAAAGTAGATCGTCTTTGGCCTCTCCGTGACCATGGGCGAATCACGCATGGCGTAGTATAACGGTAATAAGGAAATAATGCTGCAATCACGACAGTTTTTGTCGCTGCGGATTCTCCAGTGGCCGCGACTCGGGGTGTCGAGAGTACCGCGATATTCGATGGGTTGGCCGGGACGAATGTCGCCGTTTAGAGTGCTTGTGTAGACTGCTTCTGAGGGCTGATTTTGTAAGTTTCGTACACCTATATAGACATGTAGAGACATAAAATATTACCCTGACAGGCCTCCATAATGGCCTCTCGTTGCAAAACTCCTTTGCGCGATCTGTATATCATCATATTAGTAGCCTTTCACACCACTAAAGGGACAAGAAACACACCGGCATCGTCACCAGATGCATTCCCCGTCTCAGAAGCAAACCTCGATATTGCCGGTGGAGGCGGTAATGTCGATGTGTCAGGGACTTGTTCTTGCCAGTTATGATACGGAGGAGGATTGTCATTGATCTCGTCTTGCTGTTGGGCTGTCCAGCCTGGTGGGGGACCTGGAGGTGGTCTGTACATTTTGATATGTTACTTAGTTGGAAGAAAAATGTAAGGAGGTAGTGCGTAGACAATGAATGACCTGTTGAGTAGGCAGACGTCCATTATTGTGCAACAACGAGATACAATGGAGATGATGATGATGCCTTGGGATGAACATTGGAAAAGGTACTCAGATGTGGCTGTGCAAATTGCTGGGCCAAATACGCTCTTACATTTTAAATTTCAAATGTTCTAAGTGACTACGTCTGGTAAACATAATAGCATAGTTTCAGCTCCAATTGAGCGCACTACCGAGATAGCATACTAAACTAATCCATTGAGTCTGAAAACAAATTGTGTCATTCTGATTGCAAACCCCTAAAATCAATTGATAGAATCGATTCATTCAGATAGAATCCAGACCAGTCTCACCATGTCTGAAGTCTCAAATGGAATATGAGATCAACACTGCCCAGTCATTGTCCCACCATTCACAGTACTAGTATTTTCGCATGCAGGGTAGAAATATGCCGATACAGCGATAATGACATACGCTGCTATGAGCAACGCTCCCTCAAGATAGTTACTGCGACCATCCAGCATGAGATAGTTGACAATAAAAGCAGAAGCAAACAGAGAAACCGTCTCAAACAGGCTAAAATAAAGCGACATCTCAGTGTTCAAGATCCAGCCGAGAAGGACAATAACCGGCGTGACAAACAATGCGATTTGAATGCTACTACCTAGAGCAACACCAATAGCGAGATCCATCTTGTTCTTGCTTGCTACTGTAACTGCAGTGACGTGCTCGGCAGCATTACCGACAATCGGAAGAATAATCAACCCAATGAATGCCTCGCTGACCCCAGTAGTGCTGACTAAATAGTCAATAGAATCAACAAGGAATTCAGCGCAGACGGCCACAAGGGCAGTGGTGATAAGCAAGAGAACGATAGCTGTGATCCGGTCCAACTTGGGCTTCTCTGCAGGATCATCCTTGATCTCAACCCTCTTCTTAGACACAAGATGCGGTAGAGGTTGAGCGGACGGAATCGCGGTAGCTACAGCCAATACCGCTGGTCCCGACGCTGGCCTGTTAAGACGATCGGGCAAAGAATTGGTCCGACGAAGACTTTTGTTGCCGCCAGCCCCAGGGGCTGGAGCGCCCAGTTGAGAGTCGGGCTGTGCCTGTGACAAGGTAAACACATTTGGTGTCAAAACACGTGGTAGGGCTGGTTTGTATGAAATGTTGCGTATGTTGAATGGTCGTTTCTGGGACGCACCCTCCCCGCTATCTCCCGGAGCAGGCGTTGACTGCGATATGATGTCCTCTTCGATGATACCCTCCTCTTCAGACGTTCGGCGCATCGGGTCCTTCGACCGGGTATATCGTGGCTTTCGCTTCTTTTCTGCCGTACGATTCTCTGTATCGACAGTAAAGTCACGAGTCATCACCTCACTAGAAGATTCTGTACTCAACGGGGGCCGCTCTGGTGTAACAGACTCCTGACCGTTGCTTTTGGCACTGACTTTGTGTCCGGAAGTATGTGTCGAAGTGTCGTCGATCACCTGAGAGCCAGAAGACGCAGTACGCACGAACGACGGAAGAGACGGGACCGATGTAGTATCCTTAGATGCAGAGCTAGACTTGCGTCTACGCTTCTTGCGAAGAGCTCGTCTAATCCTCTTGACAGTCGTGTGAGAACCCGAGCTGGCATCACTGTCATCGTCGCTGGATGACTCTGAGCTCGAAGACGAATTGAGGATGTCTGCAAGTACGCCAGGATGGGATTCTTCGTCAATGACATGTTGGGGGGTACTTTCGTAAATGTAGGAATGGGATTTCAGCTGAAAGAGGAGGTACAAGATGTAGACCAGAAGGAGGACCTATTCATCCATTAGGAGCTGTAAGATTATTCGATACAAGGATCGAATACTTACCACACTAGTACCTCGGCTAACCTTGAGGACAGCCGCATCTGCGTTCGACAGAGTGCTGAAAGATGCATGAAAAGCGGTCTAATGCGTCAGACGGGGATGGATTCCATCTTGCAACAACGGACGAACTTACAGGTAGAAGCAAACTAATCACACTCAAACTCAAAAGGCACGCGCTCATTTGAGTAATGGCAGAGTTGTACAACTGTTCACGGAAGCGTAGACCACCGAAAAGAAAACACATGCCGAGGATGAGCAGCAAGTTTGCAAGGATTGAGCCGAGCAGAGAAGCCTGCACAATGGCGATTTCATCGGCCACCAGGGCGATGATGAAGATGATGAGTTCCACAGCATTTCCAAAGGTGACGTTCAGTAGAGCACCAATGGTATCGCCCATATCCGTAGCGACACATTCGGTCGCGTATCCGAGCATCCACGCCAAGGGGATAATGGCAACGGCATTGATAGAGAATACAACGGTTGGTGAGATGGGACCATCGTTTCCCATCGAACGTTGCACTCCACCGAGGGCGATACCCACGGGAACGAAGAGGAGCAGCCAGTTGACCCAGCTTGATAGTATAATAAGCTTGACGGAGGTAAAGGCTCTGCTAAAAAAGCCAGGCCTGGGCTCATCAGAATCTAGGGCGGAAGTCTTCTCTCCATCGTGGGTATCCACAGGGATTCCTTTAGTCGCGGAAGGATCGTAGGTGACATGTTGGGGTGGTTGTGCTTTGGTGGGAGCTCCAGGTCCAATTGGACCAGTAGACGAGTGAGGGCCATCTTGATTCTTGGGTTGTTGGTTGGTTATCGGAAGAATGGAAGTATCACGACGCGACGTGCTGCCGTGAGGGAGTAGGTGGTTGGCATAAGAGTGTATTCGATCCCTGATACCGAGACGGTGTATAGGTGGTTCGTCAGGTTCGTTCATCGATGTCGATGCAGTGATAGCACCAGTAGCAGGGGCAGTGTTAGAATCCAGGGTGAATAACGCGATGAAAGAAAGACACAACCAGATGGAACTCAAAAGATAAGGTGATAGAAGTCAAGAAGTGCAATGAAAAAGACAAGCCCGTAGAGGGTTGGTAGAGAGAGAGAGATGGCCTGGTTTGTCGATGAGAGTTGCTTTTTGTAGGCTGTATTTGTTAACCAACTCGTACAGCGTCAGTGGCGATGCGATAAGGAATTGTGTCACGTATTTACCGTATCCATACACGGCTAGTCCGCATTAGGCCATGGACTAATCAATCTGATCTTTCTGAGCATTTCTATTGGCTTGCTACAATCCACTAGTGCTACAAACAGTTTAGGGCCGCCCCGGCGAAGCTGTTAGCGCAATACGTAGTCCATTATGTCCCAGACTCAAGAGCTTGAAGCAGACCAATCAGACATGCGTAATATTGCATAATCAGGCCTGGTTGACAATGATCTTTGTTGGGAATTGCACTGTGTTCGGCATGTTGGGTAGTTATGTACAATTCACGCTTGGGGTTATACTCCTTGAAGCGAGAGGTCATGTGCTGTGTCCAGCATGACTCGCATTCTCCCATCATTATCAAGGCAGAGAGATACAGACTAAGTTACTCCATACTACTCCTACTGTACTACATAGTACGTACTACGTAGGCAAGGACGCGAATCCAATGCGTCATTGGTGTCACGTTTTCCGCTGACTACGCCAAGACACGCCAAGCCGCCAAGATGCAAAATCGCATAACGGAGGATATCTCGTCCAATTAAAAATAAGCACTAGAATGCGGCTGCTGTGATTGGCCAGCCACTTCCGACCTTATCGGGAGCGCTTCCAGGGCCGCCAGGGCTCTTACATAAGCAAGTATTCAGCCAATGGCGTTGCGCCTTTTCTCGATTGGCCAGGTTTCGAGGCTGCAGGGAAGACTGAGACAGCTCATCATCTAGAACGCAAAAGATGGCCTCAGAGGGGCAAAGTATACTCGAAGCAGCATAGTTGATCTATCCATGAGATCGACTGGGCAGCCTAACTGAGACATGCCGAAGAAAAAATAATCGAGGGCTAACTAATTTTGTGATTATGATCTATGAGCTCATAGCAGACTTAAAAGGTGGGATGCCCGATTTCTAGAGGCTATGGGTGGCCTGTTTATTTTTTCACCTTCTTTTTAGGTCTTTCTCTTGTGAGTACAGAGACATACACAACAATGGCTGAAGTCGCCCAACCCAGACGCTCAAGAAGGTTCTCCTTCTCACGACGGCCCCAGAGTATAGCCGTCACAGAGGAACCCAAGTCTCACCCGCCAGTAACCACAATTGGCTTTCCAATAGATGCAATTCCGCTAAATCAGGACAATCAGCAAGAACGTCCGACGTCGTCATGGAGGAATGCCTTTAGACGATCACAGTCAGTTGATCGGACTAATAGTAGAGCGCCTTCTTCAGATCGTCGGGCCTCGCGTCGCTTGGTGAAGAAGCAACAGCCAGGAAGAGATACTAGCGTGTCATCGCAAGCTCCGACGTTGCCGAATGTGCCTTTGCTATCGAATATATCCACGCGCATTCAAAGTCGGCGTGCCAGTGTGTCGAATAGTGACAGACCGGAAGCTGTGGAAGTACCACATACGGACCTGCCCTCCCAATATGGATACGACAGAATTAGCAGCAACACGAGGCACGGACAGAGAGAACAGCAGAAAAATGATCAACCCTCAGAGAAGGATCTCCCTCAGGCACCGGCGACTCCTACCCTGCGAAGAGTCGGTAGTCCATTTTATCTTACTGCATCTGACAAAGCGGCAGCCACATCTTACGATGCCGTGGCGAGTATGGAGCAGAGACCTAGTCTGGACACCACGCAGGATGATTCCATGATCCCTCATTCCCTACGAGTTGGTCGGTCAAAGATGGAGAGTCAAGATAGGGCAACCTCACCAATACAGGGAAACCCGTCTTATCATAGTTTGCCTAGGTACAGTCCGTCGGATGCTCCGGCACAACAGGTCAATTACGACAGCATCTCTTCTCTTGTGAAGGGACTCAATGTGTCAAAAGAGGCCGTTTCGGAACAACGGCTGTCAGTTGACGTTGATAAGCGCAATGAACGAATCAAAAATCTACGACCACTAAAGACAATGTCTCCACGAGCCCATCATGCCAAAACCCCATCATCGTCTTCAGCTTCATCATATGGATCATCCGCGTTCTCAGCAATGGGCGAACCAGCTACCCCCGTCAGCTCAAATGCGTCCACTTCCAATTTCGAAACAATCAGCAGCAACAACAGCAAAAAGGAAATCCCGCGAAACACCATGTCACCCAAACACGACAAATATCTCGCCAAGATCTTCGTCATCTGCTGCCACTGCAACTACTGGCACGACGTGCCGTCCGGCATGTACGCTCAAATGGTGATTCCGGAATGTCTATTATTTTCCGGATTACCAGAACCCTCAAGTTCACGGTCTTCCCGATCATCTAGTCAGGCGCGTTCGTCGTCGAAATCGTCAGCATCAAAACAATCCTTATTCTCAGAACGATCGTCTTCTGCGTCAGGACCGTCGTCTTCACCCAAGGCTACGGTCAAGTGTTCATGGTGCCAGCATGAGATGGCAAAATCATGTTGCACCAGTTGGACTACGATGGTTCATTTGATTGAGAAGCATCATTAATCTCCACCGCAGCCTTCTCTTTTCTATCCTGCTGCCCTTTTTTTTTTTGGAATTGCATCATGCACTTCACTGTAATTTTTGACTTGTTTTACGACTCACTTCATGCCAGCAGCGACGACTAACGAATTCACGATATGGACGATGAATAGATGAATATATTCTCAGGATGTCAAATGGGTTACCTTATCATAATCGATAAATAATATATATACAATGAATCTTCCTTCTCATTACTGAACTACTCAAGTAGTGTCAAGCAACGGAATAACAAGAAATCCTGAAACACTCCTCGACATCCTCTTTGCGATATCCCGCTTTATCAGCGAGGCAGACTCCTCTGGATATAAGTTCTGGATATAGTATTAGTACAGAACTAAGCGACTTCAAATGGTAGAGATCTCACCTTTGAGGAACATATCAACATCGAATATAACCGTCGACTGTCGCTTTTTCTTCGTCTTCGTATCCTTGGAAACATCCTGCGACGACAAAGTCACAGACTTCAAAGACGGATCTATCAAATCTCCCCGCCGCTCATTCTCATTCTCATTGAGATGCTCCAACAGATTCACCGATGATTCCGGTAACGTCACAAAACTAGCATGTGTATTAACATGAATACCCTTTTCGCGAATATAGCCCTCGACATCATTACTATCGAACCATTCCCCGCCCATTCCTCGCGCGGCGACGATTTCTTCGAGGGTAGTGCAATCATGAGATAAAGCCCCTTGATGGAAGGGCCATGGACCGATGAATTTCGAGAATGGGTATAGATTTGTCGTTGCTGTGGGCGGTGTCTGATTCCCAGGTAGAAGGCGGGAGTAATGCATACCTGCATTTCCGAGGGTGTATCGCGGAGTAGTTGAATAACTTGTATTTGCGCTGGAGTTGGAACTGGAACTGGAACTGGAGACGGCGTTCGGTGTGAGTGTGGCACTGGTTATGGCGTTCCAAAACCGCTCTGTAAGAGCCTGTTTACTCCTGAAGGACAACGAAAATCGGTATGTATATAATATATCTTTTGGGTCTGTATTTGGATCTGTGAGTAATCGGTAGCCGTATTCGGCGCACTGTCTGGCTAGACGTCGCGCCAGTGACGATTCGTTGTGGCTATATGTTAATGGTGTAGGCATAATGTTGTGCTGAAGCCATGAGGTCGAATTGGGATATGATTCTGTCGTCGAGTAGGAGGATATCATTTGCATTCCCGGATCATCCGTCTGTGTAGTAGGTGGTTGTTGCTGGTTGACAGTGTCCAGATCATAACCCTGAAAAAGCGACCCGACGTCCATCGACGATGCATTATCGTTGGCTCCATATAATAGGAAATTGAACTCCTCCAGATCCTCGCTGATCTGGGGCGATTGCTTCATAAGCAATGCATCGCCCCCTTCCCCCAAAGATGAATGGTTACTCGCAGATTCGTCTACAGGCGAACCATTGGCAGTCGCATAATCACTGCTTTCCTTCGCAAGCTTCATAAGCGCATCCGACTTCTGCAAAAGTTTCTGGAATCCGTACGTCACGGGTGTTTGTTGCAGCAATAAGCCCGAACCAACGAGAACATTACGAAAGTTCCCTACCGAGACATTCATCTCCCGAATAGCGGCGTCAAGGACTGAAAGGCGTTGGCTGAGGGATGAAATAGTAGCTTCTTTGCGCGAACGGTATGCGCGTTGAGCAAGTCGGATTTGTGTTCTCCGTCTCTACGAAGGTCATCATTGTCAAAACTAGCTCGTAAAGATAGTCAACGATGAACAAACCTCGGCGGCATTTTCATCTTTATCCAAGACTCGAGGCCGACCTCGTTTCCGTTTCGAGACTTTAGTATCGTTGGATTTGCTAGTACCCTGTTTATTCGTATCTCTTTTTGACTTGGCTTTCGGAGTCGACGGTCTTGTTGTATCCTCATTCTGGACCAAAGTAAGACCGCCATACAGAATATTCGAATCGATCCGTCCTCGCTCGAACCGCTCTGGAATTGGGTAGGAGGATGAGGAGATGATGTCGATTGGCGATAGGGACATGATGAATTAGATTAATTGAAGATTACTGTTTGATGAGTAAAGAGGAGAAGTAGATGAATGATTCAGCAAGAGGGTCCCACCGGTGTTCAAATATATCTGGGCTCCTTTCTGTACGTACAACTCTTCACGTAAGAACGGGTTAAAGCAGCGACGAGTCCGTGCGATGATATTGGTGGGGGTGTTTTCACCTGACCTTTTGATACCGGTGAAATACTTAAAGCAGCGGGGAAAGCTTAATGAGATGACAAATTACTGTAGTTAAGTCATCTTGCTTACTAAGAATGTATCGCCAGACACCTTGTGGGGCCCTCTACTTTGCCGAGGTATGGTTGAGAGTTGTATTTCACGTACCTAACAGACAATACATTGAGACCGTTCAAGTACTCTATGGCCATGGAAACATACAATGTGAACATATATGTATATGTATTGTAGATGTATTGTATATGTATAGAAGGTAAGGGTACCGGTATATACCGGTACCTTTACCGGTCGCGCGACCATTCCCAAAATGGAAGTTCCTCGAGGGAATTTTACGTGTTTTAAGCTTCAGGCCAAGGATATCTTATCACGACGTCATTGGCCAATTATCATGATTTCAACAGAGTCAATTGATTGTTTACTTTTTATCTACATTTGATAGACAGACTATCATATATTGCATTGCATTTCAACCTTGGTTCTTATTGCCAAAGTCAGGACACAAGCCTATCTGCTGTCAACATGACCAAGTTCGCAAACCTACCCCGCTCTGCCTCGAAACCGTTAGAATGCGGGCTCGAAGTGAGTATCTCAATTGCCTCATCAAAATAGACGTCTAACCAAAATAACAGGGCCATGCTCTCCTCCACGATTCCTATTTCAACAAAGGATCAGCTTTCCCCTCGCATGAGCGCCGCGACTTTGGTCTCCATGGCCTCTTGCCGCCCAACGTCCAGACACTGGAGGAACAGGTGAAGCGGGCTTATCAGCAGTACTCTACTCGACCCGATGATTTGGCCAAGAACACCTTTATGGCGAGTATGAAGGCGCAGAATCAGGTTTTGTATTATCGAGTATGTATATCCCTTACGAATTGGATGGTCTGGTGTACTAATAGAATCAAGCTTATTCAAGATCATCTCAAAGAAATGTTTAGTGTGATCTATACACCTACTGAAGGCGATGCGATTCAGAATTATTCCCGTATATTCCGTAAACCAGAGGGATGCTTTTTGAATATTCATGACGTCGACAGGATCGAGCATGACTTGAAACAGTTTACGGAGAATGGGACGAATGAAGATGTGGATTATATTGTTGTCACCGATGGAGAGGAGGTTCGACGACGACCCCCCCCCCCCTCCTCCTTTCTGAGAATAAAGTTGAGGTCTACTGACTCCTACATAGATTCTAGGTATTGGCGATCAAGGAGTAGGATCGGTGTTGATATCAGTCGCAAAACTGGTGTTGACGACTCTGTGCGCTGGGATTCACCCTGCGAGACAACTTCCAGTTGTTCTAGATTGCGGAACGGATGTAAGCAATTGTTCCCCCTAATTCAGTTTTACCCAGCTTATCGAGCAGAATGAAACCCTTCTCAAGGATGATCTATATCTCGGCCTTCGGCATAAAAGAGTCCGGGGAGAGAAATATGACCGATTCGTTGACCGATTCGTCAACAGCGCAAAGAAGATTTTTCCGAATGCATATATCCATTTGTAAGTAGACCATTCCAGTATCGTTGCCTCAAACTAAGAGTAGGTAGTGAAGACTTTGGTCTGCATAACGCCCGACGACTCCTAGAAAAGTACCGCCCACAAATTGCCTGCTTCAATGATGATGTCCAGGGAACAGGTTGCGTTACTCTTGCAGCTCTCATGGCTGGCCTGCACGTCAGCAAAGTCAAACTTGCCGATGTTCGAATCGTCATTTTCGGGTCGGGAACTGCAGGTACCGGTATAGCTGATCAGATCAGAGATGCCATTGCCACAGAGAGCGGCAAGTCAAAGGAAGAGGCTGCTAAACAGATATGGTAACTTCAATCGCCCGCTTTTCAAAACTCACTCTGATAATGTATAGGTGCATCGACAAGCCAGGTCTCCTGTTCAAATCGCACGGGGACAAACTAACACCAGCACAAGTCCACTACGCACGAGATGATTCGGAATGGGAGGACCACAACCAGACTGATTTGTATAACGTTGTCAAAAAAGTCAAACCACACGCCTTGATCGGTACATCAACCAAGCCTAATGCCTTTTCCGAAGACATTATTAGAGAAATGGCCAATCATGTTGATCGTCCTATCGTCTTTCCCTTGAGTAATCCGACACGACTACACGAAGCGCATCCCAACGATATCAATGAATGGACGGAGGGGAAGGCTTTGATAGCAACCGGCAGTCCGTTTCCACCTGTTGAATACAACGGAGTAAAAAAGAAATCGGTATGTTCTTTTTCATCTCTGCGATCAATTAATAGACCAAACTAACGGCGGGAACAAAGCGGAATGCAATAATTCCACCTGCTTCCCCGGAATCGGTCTAGGTGCGGTACTGAGTCAATCCCGCCTACTATCAGACAAGATGCTGGTGGCAGCCGTCAAAGCACTAGCAGCTCAATCCCCTGCCCTTCGAGACCCCAACGAGCCTCTTCTACCAGACGTTGAGGACGTGCGCGAAATCAGCGTCCACATCGCCAAAGCAGTGATCCAGACAGCTGTTGAAGAAGGATTGGCCCAAGAAGAGGGTATCCCGGAAGACGACAAGGAATTGGAGGAATGGATTCGCGAGCAAATGTGGGATCCTGTGTATCGGCCGTTGGTGAAGCCTCGGTCAAACTAGTCGGCCGATGTTCCTCGTACGTATGAGTAATTTGTAATCAAATTATGCACCTGAATAAATGTGATGAATGAATGATATGATTATGATTCCAAATACGCTCGCATCTACGTCGTATCGAGGAGATTAAAGTGGCAGTGTTGTTATCTACACCAATCAGCCTGAGGCAGAACTCGCCTCTTGCCTGAAAAAAGTTAACTCAGCCTCAAGGCCTAAACTCCGCTGGCGGCGCTTTCCCCTTTTAGGCACTAGACATATCTTGCTTACATAGTTATTATGATAGAAACTCGGCACATCCCATCACATCCATGACATCTCTTTTCTTGTTTCTCTCTTGTTTTAGTGTATTTTATATATAAAACCCCCTCTTTGTCAATCTTGACTCATCGTCATCACTTCTTTCTACAGATATAGATTGCGGCAATTGCGAGGGTCTTTTCTGTTTTAGTGACATCGCGATTTGTTGACAACACAATATGAGAACATCGTTAGCAACCAGTGCGCTTTTATTACTTTCGCCCATCGTATCATCGCTTGCAGTTCCGCGAACGGATCTGCTCTCTCTTGAGGAGCGAGAGGAACTTGCGGCAGTAGTTATTCCTGATGTCGTGGATTTAGAGAAGCGACGCGGTGGAGGAGGTGGGGGTAAGGGCGGTAGTTCAGGCAGTTCAGGCAGTTCAGGCAGTTCAGGAAGCTCAGGAAGCTCAGGAAGCTCAGGAAGCTCAGGAAGCTCAGGAAGTTCGGGAAGTTCAGGCAGTTCAGGTGGCTCAAAAGGTGGGAGTTCAAGTTCCAGCTCGTCTGGCTCGAGTGGTTCCAAAGGCTCCAGTTCGAGTGGTTCAAAAAGTGGAAAATCAAGTTCTAACGGGAAATCTGGTGCAGGTTCTTCGGGTAGTACGTCGCCGTCGAGGTAAATATCACTCACTCGAGAATACAGATCGTGGATAGAGCTGACTATAACAGTAACACCGGAGGCAAAACAAGTGCTGGATCAGGCACATCCAGATCCTATGGAGGAGGTAGCTACTACCCCGGTGGCGCTACCACTCCCTTCGCTGCCGGTAGTCGATCTTCATCCGGCATCACTCCATACCTCTTCGCTGGAGGCGCTCTTGGTATCGCAGCATTTGCAGCCTTTCACTATCCATTCTACGGTTACCCTTATGGTGCCCCATACTATTATCATCACCCGTGGAACCAGACCCAGCAACAAACCGACAACAACAACAGCACTGGAAATTATACCATGAACGTTGTTTGTTATTGCGAACAATATAGCGAGTGTGGATGCGACGACAACAAGAACGCCACCTTCCTTAACGAACTCATTGGAGACCCTCCTCACAACTCCAGTGTCGTGACGATCACTAAGAACGGAACAAATGAGACGGCATATGTCAATGGTACTCTTGCAAACGGTACCACTGCGGCCGACCCTTCGATTTCCGGCACATCGTCGAACTTGGCCTTTCCATGGACGGGTACATGGCCTGTTGTCGTTCTTGTGTCTGGTATGATGTATGCTTTGTGAGTTGTTGACGTTGGGCGGTTTACTGCAGCGGTTTTTTTGTTTGTTTGCTTTCATGGTCACTCGCTTTTGATCTTGCTGTAACACTAGATATCACTATACCCACTCGCTATAGCTATGATAATGTTGATTGCTTATTGCTACATGCTCGTACTCATCATTTATATCTGCAGTGGGGCCACAATGGATCCAGACACATGGCGTGCTGTACGACACCTACATTACACAGCATGAACTAGCATGAACATCTACTGTACTACAATCTACTCCCCATAATACTCCGCTGAAATACATGTCCAGAGGCAACATTTTAAAACCACTTTCCGACAATCAAAACAATCGGACCTATTGACGAGATCATCTAATCTGAAACTGTTCGGCGAATATATGGCAAGCCACTGCATAACCCAAGTGGGGACTGGCGATCAAATTGATTCACCTTATGCTCATCTCTGCCAGGTACAGTTTCTTTTAAAAGCAAAGACTTCTATTCTTATGTCTCTTTTTCTAATACTTAAGAATGACAAGCAGTTTCCCTCGCAACCAAAGGAATATGGAATATGGAATGTCGAGAATGTAAGTGTAATGTAATTACCACATCCGCGTAATCTATGCACTTTAAGCCTTTTTAGCGCGGTCCTGAGCCGTTTTTCATACGTCAGTAATTAAAAACACAGCCAATCAGGTTAAGTTTATCTGCTCCTTTTGTCTTTGATTCATATTTATATCTACCTCCCCTTCTCTCTTCTCAACGACTTTGATAGTTATTTTCTTCCTTTTCAGCTTCATTTTACTGCGTGATAGTAGAGTCAACGCTCGTTAAGTACTCTGCTGTCGTCCATTCGTTGCAATTGCTAGTCGATCGCTGTTCTGCATTTGATATCATACCAACATCAATAAACAAACCAAATACCGGCTCAATCAAAACAACATGCATTTCTCCAAAGTCCTCGTCCTGCTGACTGCAGCTGCTTCCTCGGCACTCGCTGCTTCAACTACGACCATCACTATCGTCAACGCACATACATCAACAACCCCGACACCAACTCCAACTCCCACGCCAACTCCCTGGTCAACTTCTACTTCGACATCAACGTCGACATCAACTTCTTCCTCTTCATCTGTTGTCCCACATACATTCGTCTTCTCCTCCAGCGCACCAGTCAAGCCCTCCAGTTCCTCAGCCATTGTCAAATTCTCCTCCTCCGCGATCCCGAGCGTGGCTCCTACAACTTCCGTCGTAGTAGCAACCGCCTCTCAACCCGAAGGGACCTCATCGGCTGCAGGAACAGCACCCCCCACGAAACCAACTCCTGGAACCGCAGCATCGAATCAACAGGTCGCAGCTGGCGCTATGATGGCTGGCGTGGTCGCAGTTGCGGGTTTGGTCATGATGTAAACCTCGTTTTCTGACCATCGTGAACGAATGCAAAGAAGAACTACGATCAACACGGCCAATAGACTTTGAATTACCGATTGCGCTTTCATTCAATTCAACCTGCTTTGAGCGTCCTAATTTCGAATACATCAACGGGGATATACATACATTCTGAAAAATGTATATATTCAATTCTGCAAAGCTTGGTTTGCCTGCATAAACAATGTACTGCAAGACCTCTCTCGTTCCTTACTGGACTCCTTTCCTATACCCTTCATTTCTGGATACGTTAGTCGAACTGTTCCTAGTCGACTGTTTTGATTATTGTTTACTCCCAATGTGCTAGACACATGAGTTAGTCGATTGATCAACTGACTATTAATTCATTCTATTGATTACTTTATCCCTTATCCGACCTCAGGAGGCTCCTGTAGAGATGAATCATTGTGAAAAGAATAGTTGATTTATAATACAGATTATCAAGGAAGCAAATCTAAGGTCAACAGAGTTGGGTATGTACTTTTCCTAAACGAACAGATAGCCTCGTATCCAGGACTATGTATGACTTTGTATAGTTACAGATCAAACAGCAATCGTACCGTTCTTATGCGTTGCTTCGTACCTATTTTCTCTCAATTAGCATGCATCCCTCTCACAGTAACAGAACAAATGACATACCTCTTCCCCCTGAAAGCCCAAACGCCCCAATTCCCAGCCGAAACATCACTCGGATCCATATCATTGAGATCCCATCTCAAACTCCTAAAGCGATTCTCGCCCGGTTCGAGTAAGACATCAAACTCGCCCGCACACTTCTCGCGGACCCAATTGATATCTCTTTCCAAATCGCTCTGCGTATATCCAGTGCAGATTATGGGGACTTTTGTCTCGAGGAGTTTTGGCAATGTCTCCGCCCATTCGTGAGAGCTTGCTGGATGTCCCAGTCCCGGGTGGAAAAGCATGAAACAGTCAAAGTAAGGGTCGTACGGATAGAAATATTGCGCGTCATGCATGGTATGGAAATAATCGACGTAAGTTGTGATTTTCATCTGGGGGCCTAATCTGTCTTCAACAATGCCGCCAAAGGGGTTTGATGGCGTACGTTCTGGTAAGGGGAACTCGTCGTCACGGTTGGCCATGCTCTCGGGTCCGATGAAGATGAGATTGATCAGTGCGTTGGGGAACATGTGTGTCAGTTGAAGCCAGACTTCACGGGGTAAGGAGGATTCGGCTCGTGCGCCGAGAATGAAGATGCGGACGGGTGGTGCTTTGAGTCGTAGACCGCGGATGTCTTTGCCTTCTCCTTGTTTGGGTGGGTGAAGAGTATAGCGGAGGGCTTCACTCCCAAATTAGCGGATCTGTATGAAATGAAGAAAAGGATAAGAACTTACCGCTGAAACTCTTCAATCCCTCGGTCGTCAATCTACCCTCCTTATGCACCGTATATGGACTCAATTCATGTATAATACTAGCAATAGTAACCGGATAGGTCAACATCCGTGTTACCTGCCTCATACTCCTCTCATTATCAATCGCCTCGAATTCACGCGTATACAAGAACGTATCCCAATTCGTCATGTTAACCACAAAATTATCATCCTGTGGTCCCGGGTACGAGAATTCCGGGAAGAATCGACCAGATACTAAATCATGATCATCTTCGTTAATTTGTCGGATGGTATCGCAGACTTCTAAATGCGCCTCGTAATCGTCCATCCAGTGCTCCTCCGAACAATATAGCGGGACACCGCAATCGGGACATTCAAAGTGGGAATGAGCTGGGGGCAGAGTTGCGGAAGCAACGACATCATCCTTGGAAGTGCCTAAAGGTGCGCGAGTTTGCTGGTGACTAGGGTGCGGGCAAAAGGCGTTTTGTTTAATGAAGGCAGCTCGTTTTCTGATTATCGACGAAGGTGATGATGAGTAATGATGAAACAGATTGTCCGGTCGTCGTAATGCTGCTGTTTCTCGTGAAGCCGTGGGAGGGGTGACTATCGCAGCTGCAGAGTGTACATTCCGCGCGACTTGCTTCGTTGGTAACAACAATGAACTCCGTGTCGTAGTGGCGGTAGTATTGTCAACTGCAACCGAGAAAGAGTTCTTGATAGTCTTGAACTGACTGCCATTACTCCCGTTGTGAATCCGTACCGGCGAGCTTCGCGGCCCCGTCGTCGTGGAAAAATTACATCTGCGACTTGCCTGCGAAGGGAGGCGTCGGAATGTAGATAGAGTCATTCGGTGATGAATGTGAGGTTTTAGAGCCTGTATACAGCGACTGCATGTATATTCGCTCACCATTTCGAGGTCAATTGCGCTCAATGTTGACGGTATGAACTAGTTAGCTGTTCGATGAGATGTTACGGATGATTATCTGATAATGGGTCACGTGATTTTATAATGCTAAATGTTGGCGCATTAGACGAACATGCTCTTGATAGATTTACTTTCAATCAACTTACAAGGTCAAATTAGTGTAATCATGCGTATGTATACTAATAATATGAAACCGGGTATGAATATGCACAGGCTGGACATGTACAGAAACCACAGAAAGACTCAGAAAATATCCTCCGACTTGGACCAGTCGCTAACCTCTCTGCACCTCCAATACTCACCCGTCGAATGCCAATACTCCTCTCCAGTAATCGGACACTTGGCTCTTTGGAACCACTGAGGAACAAACTCCTCGCCATTTTTTTCTCGTTCCCTTCGCTTCGCTCGCTGTTTCTCTTCGACACGATGTTTCTCCGCTGCCGCAAAGTCGTATTCGCCATCTTCCATAGCCCTCTGGTCAGGACGGAGTCGGGTATCAGTTGGTGGTAAGAATGGTCGGAGACGATCGGGAATCGCGTTGAGGGTTATAACGAATGGTGTCAGGTTAAAGGGGATACCGCTGGGTCGAGGATTGGCTTGCCAAAGCAAGATGGCTTTGGAAGATTCGTCGTGTTCTGAAATAGTGCCTTCATGGCCCGATAGCGGGCGAGCAAAGATTTTATCATTCCATCGTCCGCCGATGCTCCATCTCGGAACCCCGGCAGCATCAACAACCTTCCCCGTGACTTGGTATGCAGAAGATGCTTTCCAACCGCGGGCTTTGAAATCAAGATAGCATACTTCTCCAGTCTTCCAATTCCTGACCTCCATAGGGCCGTAGTTATCAACGGTTGGGTTACCGGTGATAATACCAATGACTGAAGAAGTCACTTTCTTCCATGTGTATAGTTCCTCTTCGCCTGTAATAGGACGCAGCTTGCAGAACCACGTTCCCAACAAGTTGATATCGAACGATTTTCCATAGAATTTAGACTTCAAAGCCGACTCGCCCTGTGATAAATTGTCAGTACAGTTCACAGCTCAATATGTGACTGAAGGGGACATACAAAATAGTCCCATCGAGGTGATTCAGCCCAAGCAGCACCAATCGGCGGGTGATGGCTGACTTGCTCGACATAGAAGCGATATTGTTTATCTGGTCGAGTATATTCAAAAGTTTCTCCCAATAGAGGGTTGAACGGTTTGGCAACACGCCCAATCGTAGAAGCATACTCGCTAATAGCATAGGCAGCGACGTAGAGGAGACGCTCCAAGGATTCAGTACGATCAGCAGCCATATCCAGCAAATCCGCATATTCCATATCTTCAGCTACACGCTGAAGGAGCGAGGTAGGCTCATTGAAAGACACCGGAAGGGTCATCTTTGTCATGTCTTTACCGATCATTGATTTAAGAATACCCTGTGGAAAGACATCAGTATGCCAGTTTGCATCTCCTGCTGATCATTGAGATTTGAACTCACCCAAAGAGACAGTTTAGGCCGGTCGTCTTTGTCCATGTTCAATCTCGTCCGTACTGGGTCTTCGTATCCCTTGTAAGCAGACTCTATAGCAGCGAGCTTCGCCGCCCGCAAATCAGCAGCTTCATTTTGCACCGTTTCCGACTCGACTAGCCTCTCACTAGAAAGGACTGCGCCAACTTCAACTTCTTCCTTGTCAATAGCATCGAAGAATTCATCTTCGTCTTCGGAATCTGACTCGGCAAGGTCTATGTACTCTGAGATAGTCTGTCGCCTTGAGACACCATCACTAATCTTGACCTGCTTGACGTTGTTGACAGTAGCTTCTTGTGTGCTGTAATCAGCAGTTTCCGGTCCAGTCTCCGCTTCTTCGAATATGTCCTTTTCCTTGGCGTTGCCACGAAAGGGCACACGCTCAACATCAGCTCCATTAGTATTCTTCTCAAGGACCTCCTTAAGAGCCTTTTTCGTCCGTTTGCGTTTTTCCTCTGATTCGCCAACTTTCAGCTGAAGCTCTTCGTGTTCCCGTACAATCTGAGCCATGCTTTCCTCCCACATTTTACGTGTATCCGACTCTTTATCAAGACGATATTGCCAGTAAGCGTCTCTGTCGCGCGAAATCTTCATCAAATTTGCGAGAAGATCGTGGAGACTGCACACGGCCGACTCGTAAGTCGACAAGGCTTGATCGATCGCTGGATCGGACACTGTGAGCTCGGGGTTTTTGTGTTTCTCGGCTAATAGAGAAGCGGACACGTTAGAGAGAAGGTCTAGTTGTAATTTCGCTGATTGGGCTGTGATATAAAAGGCATCTTTGTTGGATGGTTGAGCATCATGGCTCGAGGCATAATCGTTATAGTCCTCATAGTCCGCCTCTCCGTCAAGCCCACCAGAAGGTGCGGCAGCACGGTTCATATCAGTGTGAGCAACACTTTGGGCGTATGAGCCGTAAGCTGAAGCTTCATCGTCACCAGGCGGCTCTACAGTGTTGCGTGATGTATGAGTATTGACGCGTGTGAAGCTAGACCTAGGATCAGTGACCGCGGGACCGCCTCTGACGTTGAGTTTGGAGCTGACCGATGTCAGCTCAGAGACAGGTCCTTCAGGCGTGCGGTTTTCCACATTATGTATCTTTGCCTGCAAGAACTCTGCATCCCTTGTTCGTCTTTTCTCCTCTTCCTTGGCTTCATCTTTGGCCCATTGAATGGCATTGTTTAATGCCCAGAACCATCTCTTGGCTTCCACTACATGGTTCGCTTTTAAGTGATATTTCACGGACGACTTCCCGTGAATCTCAAAACGAGTCTTATCCTGCGCATCCATGTGTAGCTTAGCAATGCGCATGCTGATAGCACCTCGACAAGCGGAGCCGGCGTCATCTAGACATGTTGATATTAGCCCGAAATAACCCTACTGATTTATAAATTATAATCGCTTAACTAACCTTGATGTTTATAGTAACTCAAGACTCCATCTTCAAGCACAAACCAACGCAGCTTGAAACCAGACGTATAGTTGGTCCACTTCTTCAAATAGCCCTTCATTTCTCTGGCGTCCTTTCCAGCAAGAGTAACTTCTGCGCTCACAGCTCGGCTGGAGCTAGCCGCTTGAGAGGGAGCATTCCCTAAGATGGCTCTTTCTTGAATACCGCGCTGGGCGATAATCGCAGCTGGTGATTTCTTGACAATTGCTCGAGTCTTGTCGTCCTTTGTCACGTCTTGAGGTAGTTTTCCCTTCTTGTCACGTCTGAACGGATCAGCGCCGTGCAGGAGCAGTATTTGCAACAACTTTGTGTCCTTCTTCCTAGCACCTTCATGAAGCAGAGTCCCTCCTGACTGAGCCGTAACAGTATCTGTTACCAATTCCAGTGCGTTCACATCAAGGTTCCCTTGTACACGAGGTTCTTCAAGTAGTTTCTCCAAGCCTTCGTAGTCTGCTCGAACAACCATATCCTGAATTTGTTTCGTCTTCGTATCGATGAAGAGCGAGCGAGCAAGTTGTAACTTTTCGAAGAGTTCAGGGGTACGCGCGACGTCGAGGGCAGTTTGGCCGCGATAGTTCGCAATAGAATCGTCAATTTGAGGTAGATCTAGAAGCGACTGAACAACCGTGTCCCGGCCAAGCTGTGCTGCAAGATGTAGTGGCGTATTTCCTTCGCGATCTCGAGCATTGACGTCGATATCTGCTCCGCTGGCCATCACATATTCCACGACTTGTAAGTCCGCACATTGTATGGCCAAATGAAGTATCGTGGTTCCCCCCGGGCCACCGGAGGCACTTTGGTCTTTGGCCTCTCTCAGCGCCTTGGAGATGGCAGTAGTATCGCCGCTGCGCAGAATCTCGAATAAACGGAATGTCTTCACAGATTGTTCAATAGATGTAGTATGCGTTTCCGAGTTGTTTTTGATGGACCCTGGTTTCTCGGGGCTGTCGATACCCCCCGCATGAGAGGAGATGTCACCCCCGGACACGGACGGTGACTCCATTGTGATTTCGGGACCGACTCTTCTGTTACTTTGAGTTTTGGTTAGGGATAGCGATGACTGACGATTATGTTGCGAATCGGCGAAGGATCCAACGGTAGACGTCGGTGAGGTGCTGCCGTTACTCTCGTCGCGGCTTTCGCTCTTTGACTTGTCACGATGAAGAAGAGAGCGCGCCAAGCCGCTCTTGGATCGCTTATGACTATAAATCAGAAGAAGAAATCAGCAAGTGGTTCTGGATATCGGTTAATTGTTTGACGATCGAATTGGCAGTCGTAACCAAAAAGGGGGTAAATCCAATGACGAAATGAACCGAGTTTCGGCCAAACTGATGGTTGAGGTATAGAGAAAGACGAGATTCCATGAAACCACCAAAGACATATTCCCCGGTGCAGTTTTGGGCAGTTCTATGTAATTTACGAGGGTGAATGTGTATGATGTGGCTTGAGCGCAATACTCACCCAACTCCTGGTTCGGTCATGATCCCAGTAGCTGCATAACACTTATTCGGCAGTCGGAGACGAGAGAAAGGATAGGTAAGGGAACTAGACCAAGAATGAAGGTAGTGTGTATGTTCAAGTAATGATAAAACGAGGTATTGAGGAATAATAGAAGACCAAGAAGCGAAAGTGGCGGGGGAGAGTTAAGTTGTACGTATCTTAGCTTGTTTATTGCGGCGGTGTCCTTCCTTCCCTGCGGAGAGCTTAGTCACCCGTCGTGACATTACTCACATCTCGTCCATTCTCAAGTTTGATTGATAACCCAGACACATTGACTAAGAACTGAACAAGCGAGAGATTGATCCTCCTTTACATGTGGTCTCACCACTCTAGAAAGAACCCGGGAGCTTTTGTCTAGTGCTTAGTACTGGACCCTTTCATGTGACGCGCAGTGGGACTCGATCGTTAGGAGGATGGCTACCGTCTGTCAATTGGATTAGACATTCTGAAATACTGACCCTCCGTTCTGCTAAAGAAAGTCTCTGTGTCAAGATGACTGACCCGGCTCATATTCCACGTCCCGATATCATGAGCATATTAAGCATATACCATGTTTGACCCTACCCGGCCACGACTCCTGCGTTCCTGGATGTCTGTCAACTTACGAACCGGTTAAAAGCTGCTCCTCATGCTCTTTACTGAGCAAATACTTAATGTTTGGTGCAGAAACGCGTCCACCAATGGATGGATATACAGTTGGTCCTTTACAGAATACCTGTCATACGCTGAGCAGTCGGGATTGTACCACGATCATCAGCATACTCTTGCATACATCTCTCAGACCCAAGGAGGTCATATCTCGACATATATGTACTCGAATCGTTCGATTAGGCGCGGATGATGAATGACCCGGGAAATTCTTCGGTTGGCTTTTGCTCCGCTTATAGGATGATAGATGGACCCCATCTAAGTCATAGCCACCTTTGGAGGTCATATCTGTTTACTTTTAGGAGCACATGATTTCTCCTTGAATGCTTGGTGACGGGAGAACGTTACAGTAGGCAGATATCCAGCATCCAGTTACGAGTTTGCACGAATATAGACTATCTTTCATACCAGCCCGACTTCACAATCAACCGGCTCATATCGATTTACTTCATACACAAACCACATCAGAATGAGGAGAGATGGAAAAGCCCGAGATTATTATTATGATTATCAATAGCACAACCAATCTGTACACAGCCATGGTCCCCTGCAAGAACAGTTTGCCAATGACCCTAACAAATTTCATTCATTCGCAGAAGAAGTGACCAAGACGGACTCAAAGGCAGAACGAAGAGAGCGGACTTTGCAATGTTGAGACAAGTTGAATTGGCAATAAATCAAAGACGGGAAGAGAAAGTATATATCGAAGTATACAAAACACCTGCTTTACCAGTAAGGGAAAACCAGAAAGCAACGGACATCAAAGTCGAAATAAAAAAATGCAAGCTGAAAATTCGACAAGAACAACGAAATAACAGAGATCCTCCCAGCAGTCAACTTCTTGTCTAGCAAAGCAATTAAAAGAAGAAAGAAGTGTCACACAGTGTTTCATGACGGGGAAGAAAAGGAGATTCCAGAAGAAAAAGATACTTTTTTTGCGTTGATACTATTACATGCCAGTACGAAATTTCTTCTTTTTGTCCCTCCTTCTGCCTTTCTTCGAATAGAAAGATAAGAGCAGAGGAAGGAGCCAGAGAGGTATGTATAAGCTGTCCTGTTTGCTTCCAGCTGAGACCGACGAAACATATATATGTAGGTCAATGTTAAAAAATGAAGTGCCTGTCGTTATTAGGGCTGAGCAACCCATTTCGAGTAGTGTTATAGTCACAAAGAGGATCTCTCAAGAGTAGATGAGAGAGCCATCGATCGCATCGCTTCAGTTCGTGAGAAGGAGTACAAATGATATGTAAAAAAGGTTTTGGGGCTGATCGTAGCATCGTTAATGGGAAGATATATATCGGACGAGACCATCGAGGTCGCAATTGACTCATGTACGTAGCAGAGGTGGTTGTTGTACACCATCCATCCATTTCATTTCATATAAGGTGGGAAATGGCATAGTCGGGAATGAGTCCCCTAAGCAATAGGAGCGTACCCTGAAGAGGGCCAGGTCACCTTGTTGAGAGGATACATCGAAGCCATTCTTCGGGCTTGTTTCTCCCGTTCAATATCGGAACGTTTCCTCATACGTTCGGCGTCGTTAGCATCGGCTCCCTCTCGGCTTCCCCATGCGGTCTATTTTGAAGTATATGTCAGCTTTTTTCTTGTATTTTCTCTCTTGGTAAATAAAATGATGCTTGGGATCGATTGTTCGCAGACTCAATGAAACGAGGTCCACCATCATAGCTGATGATACACAAGATGATTGAAACAAAGTGTGAGCGCACGACAGCACAGGCTTGGGGCAATCAATATGGAACATGGCAGGTTACAATGACGGTGTTTTATGTTCAGAGTTAGTAGGATTGAACAGGAAGAGTCTCGCCCGGTATGCTCGTCCTCGGCCCAAGACAGTATAATAAAGCCCTAATTCCACCCGTGCAACTTGCAATTGTACTTCACTCTCTCATTGACTTTGAAAACCAGCAACAGCAACAACATAGAATAAAAGGAATAAAAAATTACTTGTACTCACCACATTCAATGTGACTGCCGCATAGATCTTGATGGCGCCGTGGAAATAACCGAACAGAATCGAGACAGGCAGCAAGAGAAAATCGGCGGGATATCGCCTATAATGGCCCATCAATTTGATGAATTTGCTGATGAACATCCAAATTCCCAATGCGCGCATTGCGAACCAGTGTGCATCGCCATCTAGGCTCTCCGTTGCTTTGTGACACAGGTAGATGAGAAGACAGTCGCCGAGAAGGGCCGGAGGTGAAAGGGTGGTCAGATGTACAGCGTATGTACTCCATGGCTGACGACTGAGACAAGTTAGCTCAACTGTTGGTGTTGCTATTACTCACTATGAAGGAAGCAGAAATGGAAATAATGAGAAACTTGATTGTCTTCCCTGAGACAATATACATATGTATCTGTCCGAAACGGGATAGACAAAAAACAGAATCGGACTGGTCTCATCTTTTCTTTTTCCTCCCCACACCCTCAGCTTGATATTACACGCATCTAGACCCCTGCTCGTTTCAATTCCATGCTAGAGCCCTGCCGAGACATGCAAGCAAGTTCGTGCGTTGCATCAGAGCTAGGGCTAGGCGCATGCAAGAAGCAGTGCTAATGCAAAACATGACGGCTTTGGCACAGACATGTGATTATGAAGCAAGAGGGGTGGAGAAAAAAAAAAGAAAAATTTCGGAAAAATGAAAAGGGTGGAAATAAGGGTCGTACTTACTACCAGATATGACGCTCGGCGAACATGCTGGTCAAGTTGCTTCTCCAATTGCTTCGTGACCATCGAGCGCACTGCTTCAGAAACTTAGGGTTGTTCTCCAGAGTCGTCTTGACTTCAACTTCTGGATGATACTGGATATAAGTCTCCCAACCGTGCGAGACCATCCAGCGCGTGATAAAGTTATCGTCGTCCGCATTGAGTTGGTATTTGCCAAACCACCACTCCTCGTTAGTGAAATCGTTGGTGAAGACTTCATCCTGTAGAATCTTGGTTCGGTAAGCTACTGTTCGCCCAGACAGACATGGTACGCCACCATCAATGTGTGTGGTGGCAGCGCAGTCGAAATTCCGACGTTCCAAGTATAGAGCACCCAGGAAATTCCAGATCTTCTCAGAAAATGTCGGATTAGCCGCCCTACGCAGCCTTTGACACGTAACAACTCCGCCGTAGCGTTCGTCGGTGTCGAATGGAGCCAGAATCCATGGCAATGCAGTAGATGGCCAGCTCACATCATCGTCAGCGAATATGGTGATTGCTGTACGTACCTCTGGAATAGCCCGAGTCATTTGGCGTCTTTTATTGGGATGGGTGACCGTGAAGAGACGAATGCGGTCGTTGAGGTACGCTGGCATCGCCTTCAACATCTTCTCGGCATCCTTTCGATTGGCTTCGATGGTGACAAGTAGCAACTCATGAGGCCTGTTGTCCAGAATCGTTCGGATTGTCTCGACCAGTTCATCGCCGCATCCTTCCAGAGAGGGTACAATAACCGTCACGTCTTCTGCGGTCAATTTGGGACTCTCTGGAATGGGAATTGGTTTGAAGGTGTAAAACGACCATAAATTGACTACCAAGCGAACATAACGGTATAAACTAGAGAATTGAAAGTAGAGTGTTAGTTATGCTGCCATTATTCTTCCTTTTGGTCTGGACTGAAATATGCTACTGACAAGAGCAGAATGAAGCTCCTCATGAATGGGAAAGCCATGATGACTGCAGATAGTTCCTTTTTTCCGGATAGCTGGAAAACAGCCACTCGAATATGAATTATATAGTGCAGCTGGTTTTCCTGCGTTTCACGGCCAAAGGAATTAGTGTGGAGAAGACAAGTGAATGATGCAGAATCAATGATATGGTCATTCCCACACACTGCTGCATAAACAAACTTCGGAATAATAGAGTAATCTGTTTGGTCCAATGTTCTTGTTTCTCTTACACCAATTCAGCCATTCAGATCTGTATTGGTGAAATCAGCTTGTGTAGTTTTTGCGGAGAGCGTACGATTCGTACCGGTTCAATCAATTGCAACTCAAACGATTGTAAATCGATCAATATCGATGTGCCAAGCTGTAGCGAGAGACAGAACAGAGTATTAATAAGACTTTTCAACAAGAACAATGCTCATAATTTTTGAATTCCCCAAATCAAGTGAATTCAGTGAACATCAGAAACCTCAAACTTTTCCGGCCAGTTCCAATTCGACCAATTCCTTCCCAATTGAGGTGATTATGGAAACGAGATGGAGGGCAGAGGAATGCGAAAGGGAAGAAGAAAGAAGAAAGACAAGAACAGATATGCTCTATTTTAATAAAAAACAGAAGGCCGAGCGAGCATAGAAATAAAATAAAAAAAGCATTCGACCCTCTTGTTCAATGCTGCGTCAGGCTTGCCGGGATCAGTTTACAAAAAGAGTGTCGTGCAGATTTGCGCGTCATGGGTCCTGGATCTAGATGGATAAATAGACAGAGTGGGCTTAAGATAAATCCATACTAAGATACTAAAATCCATAGTTAACTTAGCCACTGCTATAAGAGTAAAAATATTATGTATGGATCACGGAGCATGTAAAAGACTGGGGGTCTTCCCTTGCTGCCACTGATGGGGAACGGAGGACCAGGCTGAAAGGCGACATGCGACCAGGGTCTTAGCTTTCGAAACTCTTTACTTAGTGTAGGTTCACTAATCAGATGCTCGAGTGGATTTCTGACGGGCTGGAGAGAGCAGTGTTTCATTACATTACGGAGAGCTCCATCTTTTTATGTATGCGATACTACTGTATTTGGTTACGACAAAAGTACGCGAGCTCCTCTAGAGCATTGCGTCCACAATTTTTATGAGCCAAACTGTTGATTAACTCTATATCGAGTTAGACTCAGTTGTTAATTAGCTGAATTGAGAGAGAATGTACAGACAGAAAGAGTCTGGGCGAATTCAGGTTTAGGGCGGCACAGTCAATGCGCAAGCTGATACTTAGTTAGGTTGTCACTTGCCTTCAAGCACCTAGACAGATACTTCTTTCGGCAGGGTAATCAATTATCTGAAGATGTTCGGATAATCATTCGGGCGTGTAGGCAGGCCAGAAGAAGGCCGTCCTGGGCATAATTATCCTCGGAATTCTGCCAGTAGCAAATCAAAACAGAAGACACAAGACTCAGCAGATCGTGACAGCATCAATCTGATTCGGTGATGGACTAGGATAGAACATTAGAGCCCGGAGACGAACTGGGGCAACTGGTTGAAAGGTTGAATTTTTTTCCCGTAGCCATACTGTGCGGGATCCATCTTTGCTCCATTCTGTCAAATGACAGTGGACAGTGGCACGCCATCTCCATTCTGCTCTTCCGTATGTAGTTAACTATAGGTGCCATTAGGCGGTCCGTACGGCGCTTCACTTTAGCCCTTAAGTAACTAATGCTGGTGATTAGCCCTTATTAGCCCACTGTGGGGGGGCCACTCTCGTCAAGTTACCCAGTCAAGCTCCGTACAGTACGTACTCGCTTGCGGCTTGCTAGTCGTTTGGAGTGCAGTGCGTATTGACTCCGAGATTCCGAGTTCGATTATCGAGGGTACTCCGCAGTAAATTTGACTCTATCTGTAGCATTATGTCGCATTTGCGAGCACCACATGAGAACAAATCAGAATGGAAAACAATGTAAGGATACAGTCCCAGTTAAGTTTCTCAAAGTATCTTCCTTGGACTTGCTAAGCAGTGACTGGCTTAAAAGAAGCGCTCCGGCTCGTGCGTCTTTCCCCACCCCTCTCAACAACATCCAACAAATGTCTTTCGCTCGCTCTGATTGCTTCCAAGCTTCTACCTATGATTTGCACCATTTACCCATACAGTGAAGCGATAAGCGATCTTCTAAGAAACTGTAACTACGCGCAAGTTATGTAACGCAGTTGCAATAGCACAGAAGGAACTTGGCATGGAACACTCGGCCAATTTCATAGCTGAGTCGATCCAAATCTCATTTCTGATTAGCGATCTTGTCGACCAATGAGTATTAAGAAATAACAAAAGAGTAAAGGCAACGTTTCGTGTGATTGCTGTAAGACTGAAACTTGACGAACACAGATCTGCCTTTGGCGTCTTTTTTGCCCCTCTCTTCTCCATCCCCACCAAAGCAAAGAAGATAACGTGATGCCGATGTCAGATGTCCTGATGTCTGACCCTTTTGTCTTTTATATTTCCGTATCCTTCATCATCTAAGTTTGAGACGATCCTTGTGGCGATCCGAGTCTATCCTATACAGCGGAATCCCTGCCAAAGCACGCAAAGACAAGGGACAGACAAGATAGATACACGCGTGGAGAAAGTAAAAAGCACTGAATTGCACAGTGACTAAGAAAGAACTTTAGCCTAGTCTGATGGGAGATAAAGCAGTGCAGGGGCCATTGTCGCAAATGCGGAGCTGGTCTGAGCCTAGTCAAGCCATCCTGCGCACTAAACAGGCATTACTCCTCCGTACGTAGTCCGAAGTGAGCAAAGTCTGTAAAGTGTACGGTATGGTAAGTTAAATGGAAGTCATAGGCCCATCAAATCCGAGAAATTCATACAAATTGGAGTGTGAATGGTGACTTAAATTATTCATAATCAGCAAAGTAGCTGTGGCGGACTTTACGAAGTTAGGGCTAAGTCACTATACCCTAATACGTTTACTCTGTACAACGATGGAGGAACCACCACAAAAAGGTCCCTTTAATGTAAATTAAATGATATTAGCATACTACTACAGGTAATACATACCACGTCGTCTTGTGCAAAGAATCATAGTGATTTCTCACCTTTCTCTTCGGTGATTCCGGAACTTGATACCGGTCTCTTCGTTCAATTCTATCCTTTATATAATACATTGCTCGTCCGAATCAGGATATCACGATGAGCACGTCCATTGTACAGCCATGAATTGAAACTAATTTAGATGATCCATAATACCATAAACCCTAAACAAGCTAACTTACGAAGGATACGAAACTAATCCTGCTAGGTAGCAACTACATGGACTAATCAAGTTAGTATTGTCCAACTTCGTAAAAAGTAAATAATTAAGTTTGCTTTGATTATTACGTGCATGTGAACTTGAGTTTGCTGACAGGCCGGATCGTTAGGGTTAACTATAGAGTGACTCAGTAGTCTCTCGACTACGCGGAGGTATTATTAATAACGAGTCGCTTTCATGGCAACAATCAGCTCGTGCAGGTACACGACTAGCTATGTAAGCGGAAAAGTATCACATACCCATGGCAGAAGAAACGAAGATTATCCGACGACGAGCTGGGATTACTATGCTCAATTGCTATTTCTAGGCTCAAAAGTCTCGCCACGACCTTCTCTCGAACTTCACCCAGCCAGTCTCCTGGATTGCTATCACGACTCTTATTGGAGTACCAAACTTTGTCCTGGTTATGATATTGATTAAAAAGAAGACTGAAGAGGTGTAGTGTGAGACCTGATAAAAGGCCAGAAGATGAAGATCATGCCCTGACCAAGATACATCTTAGATGACGAAAGCACGAGAAGGTCCATGCGTTCGTTCTTCGGGAAGGTTTATTGTCGAGCGGACCCTGATCGCCTGGACAAGTCCAGTCTATTTTTTCTCACGCCTTGCTAGGTAGGTAGGCATACGCTTGACGCGAACGAAGGGGAAAGGTCCTGCTTCAGCAACCCATCGTATGTCTCTTTAGTACATGCAATAAGTATATTTCTCCATTTCTTTCCGAGGGAAAAATTGAGGATAATAACAAGAGATCTCGGACGATGGCCACTAGTCACAAACTATTTTAAAGATGACTATTTAGTCTTAGGTCATGGCTTACAGGCCTCCGCGCCGTTCGTCTGTGTGTAATGTGTCAACGTGCAGAAGCGTCTTGGTTAGTGTAAAGTCTATCAAAGTAATGAGCATGCACGCAATTGTACGTACCGTCCACACAGATCTTCGGAGTCAACGCCGAAAGATTGAGCCTAGAATTACTGAGAATTCTGGGCAGCTGTCGGTTGACGCTTTCTTTCGCTTCCTTTTTCCTTGCATTATATCGAATAGAGCATAGCATTGCCCTACGGACCTCCGCGATACAGTTATACTACGGACGTATTCGGAAGACGGCGGAGTAACTATCTTATGCTACATCGTCGTAAAATACAATATCTCCAGTGATGAACCGAGCTCGGAGTAAGCCTCTATCAGCACAACACAAATAGACCTGGTCGAGATCTGGGACTAGGATTTATCTCTTCGGTAAAGCTACAGAACCTAACGAGAAGTACATCGGCAAAATATACTGCGATTGTATACTCGAGTTACACTGTTGGTTTCGGTCATAAGTTACAATATAGAGTTAGCCTTACGGTGCGCTCAATAGAGTTAATACAGTATATACGATACACTAACATTGAAAACGGAGTCAGCCACCTTGAATAGTCTCAATGCCAATCTATCAATGAGTCCGTGCGAAAGAGAACGAGGGGAAATAAACAGCCAGGGCCTCGGCGGCGAAATAAAGTCACGGAGCACGAGGTGACAGTTTCTTTATTATCGGTTTGTGTTGCTGTACTTCCCTTTTTTTCATGTGCGAGTTGCGTATGTAACTGACGCATATTACGCTGTAAATGTACATATGTCTACGATGTTGTACATTGTTGGTGAGCTTTTGACATTGCCGAATTCGATGTCTTATAACCCTAACCCGTGTCTGACAAACCCTAGATGATAGGGTAATCATAGTTTACCCTAGCTAGACTTATGTACCCTAAAGCTCAGCTACCGTAGTACCTCCTCATCAGTAGATTGCAATCCTCTATGGGAATTTCACCGTATTCTCCCGGAAATGTGGCAGATGGACATATCAACACGGTCAAATTGAATCATGAAAGAGAATCTAGAACTGTTGCAAAGAGATAGGACTCCATACAAGGTATTCTTCCGACCTTATGCCGAGTCGTTACATTTGACTTTGGACTCATTGAAAGGAATAGTATTGGCGAGCTACTGACCTGCCTGGCCAATAATGAGTACGTAGGCAGTGAACGCCTTTACGTATGGGGTAGGTAATGTAGCCCTTGTAATGCTTGTTTTCTTTTCTGATTACCATCCCCGTTCCCTGCATGTAACTAAGGAAAAGAAAAGAGAACAGCAATCCTTCCAAGACCCATCAACACTAAGACCCTACGGAGGACTCTTCTAGAAGCATTCAGCCAATTGTAAAGCTTTAGGAGAATATCGGCGGGGCTTGAACGACAACGTATGACGGCTAGACGGGAGATGATCATGGATCAGCGAGCCAGCAGTAACATCTCCAGATTTGGATGTCTTCGACTCACCGATGAATAAACACTTGCCTTCTTTTCGAAAGCTAAGGTAGAAACTTAAGGGCTGTGTCACGGTGGATAGTGTTAATTGTGGAGGAGAGAGAAAGAGAAAAAAAGAAGCGGAATGTTACAGTGCTAATTGCTTAGCGAAAACTAACGTTTGACTAACTGATCCTACAGTCAGAATTAAGTATCTTGATTGATTTGGGAGCTCCGTTAGTCACTCTTTCCGGTCGTTCTAAGTAACATTTGTTGCGGAGCCTTTAAGGCCATGGAATTCTCATGAGATGGCTCGCTCGAATCCGGCAGTAGGTCATGTATGCTTCGGATTGAACTACAGTCAGATCTGAGTATGTCCAGGGTCACTCTGTGCTGGCCGAATCAAGAAATGGATCTGTCGTGACAGCTTCCAGCATATCGTGTCAGTCGGAATGTGAGGCTATCTACTAATGATACAAATGCATTCTTCCAAGCCCTCCTCGGACTTCTCTATACTCTGACTCATGTCAAGAGTGCTAGCCATAAAGGCACAAAGCCAAGAGCAGTTGACGTAGAATTTCCGCATACGCAGATAACCTTGAATATGCTAGGCAAAACTTGGAACGAGGCTTCACAGAAGTGTATCCGCTAGATAGATAGTATCACATGTAGACTACGGTTGATCAGGGGTAGGATACAGGAATGGTGCATTATCGGAGCGATTTGACCCTCCGTTATAATTAGATACGTTAAGAGAATATAGTGGTATCCACCTATGTAGGGATCCTGGAGTCTCAGCCACGTTCCTTTTCTTTGTTAGGACTATGAACCCACCTAAGCAGGGCGTTTAGCACATCGGTACTTTGAAGCTGTGTGGCTATTTCTGATTCCTTGAATCTGAATCCAGGTGCATGAGCCGACATTCTGTCGATAGCGCGGACCCCATAACCAATGATTCTGGGTAAGCTTCACGAATCTAGGTGCTGGCTGGATCAGAGATACAGTGGCCCATGTATGACTATTCCTCCAAGATTGTCATTCGGTATACTGACGCCGTTATAGCAGAAGTACCTTAATGAATGTCATCAACCTCCAATGACCAACCACCTTCGACGGATGTCCATATCTGCAGCGCCGCAATTAATGACTCAAAATACATTGTCTACGTTAAGCTAAGTATTATAAGCCGATCGTTCATGTAGGATGTACAGTACGAATTTACTCTGTAAACAATAAATTAACTTGCGTATGGAATACTGCGAATTACGAAATTATAGTTTCCCCATTATATTAGTAGCATTTTTTCCTGCCTGTCACTTTCCTTTTCTTTCTTTTCTTTTTCATGCATGCAAGCCATATATGCATGTCGGGTTGTCAGCGTCCTCTCATAGTCCATCCGGGAATGCAAGTCGACTTCCCCCCGAGAGACTAATGCTTGACCAGCAGCAGAGTCTAGCCCCAGTTTCATGCAGTGAAAATATCAATGATGTATGTACTACCTATCAAGAACGCTTCTGTACCTAGTAGTAGTAGTACTACATATGTACGTACATCTACTCCGGTGTGGAGTAAAGGGAATACTGACCGAAACGCTATTGATAATCCTGTTTAGGAACATCGTGCATTTAACAAGACTGTTATTCTAGGAATTAATAATTATTTGATTTGTTTAAGTTAAACTTGACTCAGGAATCATCGCCGATTTCTTGGCGATGAGTAAAAAAAACCGTTTCTTTCACTTACTGTTGATGGCTTGGCTATATATGGAACTATTATTATGTGTACGTGCTGGCAATGCCAATTCAATTGTACCCCGCTGTATATGTACATTGTACAAAGAAAATATTGCGTCTCAAAATTACCAGTGAATGCGTTGTGATGCACGTTTTATTCAGATCGAATCCGAACGTTGCTTGGATTAGGGCTAAGATAGCCATCAACATATTTCCGAATCAGGTAATCTTTCTCTTGATCAGTGTGTTCCATGCTATCCAATACTACAATGGCCTAAACCCAGTGTTATAATCTCCTCTAATTTTTACATACCTATTCAGTAACTGCGCATTGAGATTATAGAGATTGCATAGACCCCTATCCACGAACTGGCGTCTTGTCGTGGAACGTCGCGATTCGAACTTGATCTACCGACGTTAACGCCCCCCCACAATTTTCAGATGTCAAAGTGGATGTTACCTATCTGGGGAAAGTACATATTTCGATGAATCTGCTCATGCATTTGTACATCTACTTAGATCTAAGTGCATGATGGGGATACATCTATGTACATATCCCGATGTACATACATCTAGTAAGTTAGTAACTACGTACGGTGGTAGTTGCATTCCTCAATAGGAAATATCTCAAATGACTTGATACAGTACCTTGGGTGTCCGCGTCTATCCCTGCTGCATCTGCTATCGTATCGGTGCCCTTGCATACCTAGGTCAAAAGTAAGCGTCATTCTAGATTCGTGTCAAGCCATTGCCTGCTTTTCTCAGTTTCAATTTACGTACTTCGGCCAAGCATAGATCTCAATTAGCCCGCTAGCTCAATGACTTCATACTCATGTTCTTCGCCTCAACTTCTAGGGAGGTCTGACCAGATGCCTATGATCAGCTGTATGTGTAGAAGCCAAGTTTGGTATTCTCAAGGAGATTACTTGTCACATTGGAGAACACAATGTCATTATTAAAAGAATAATTAGAACTGCATGCACGCTCGAGGTCTCGTAAATCTACTCTATATCAGATTTTGTCAGTATTGGCTCGATTGGAAAGTAGGATCGCAAAGTATGTGGACTACTCGAGAAAGGAAAGCTGTGTGTAATCTATATATTCTCCATCTCCAGCTAATCTCGAATGAAAATTTGTTGACATCCTTCATTCTCTGCAGGTAGCAGAGGATTTCCAACCTTCCCTAGGTAGTAGGTCATTCTAAGCTTCCGTGGTTATTCGTGCCGTGGGTATATATATTCTGAGGGAAGATATATCTATTGACATCTGGAGCCTGGCACTATCAAAAGCCGATATCCTTTGAACACTTGGCAATCACGGCACCATCTCATTTTACCTATTTAATATGTAAAACAGTAGGGTCCTTTGGCCACAAATTCAATTGTTCAACGAATATGTTGATATAGGAGACTATCAAAATAGGGTTAGGGTTACTACAAAGGCGGCTATGAGTGGCAATACTTTTCCATATCGTCACCAGCAAAAAAGCTTCAAGTAACTAATTAGGTCGAACACTTTACCATCGGTCACCATAAAACCCACATTATTCATCAGGGACTTTGGAAGGCTGCACAATGAGAACTCAGCTCCGTCGAACGGCGACAATCTTGTTGTCTCACCGACTGCCATTATCAATATCCTCACCAACGTCGTCATCGGGCGTCCGATGTTTCCATTGTGCCATAAGAACATGGGCAATTGCTCATCCCATTACCGCTCATGGACCACCTCCGAAAGCTCCCACGCCTTCTGCAGAATTCAGAAACGATCCGCGACGAGCGGGTCTAGAGCGACAGAAACCCTCACAACAGCAAGAAAGCCAGACGAGTCCAAGTACCTCCTCACCCGAATCCACTACTACACGTGTATCGCAAGCGAAAACTTCTCCTCTGAAGAGCCGATTTTGGAAGGATGTTAATGTTAAAGAGTCATCAGGTATGATTGAGAATACTTCTTGCCTTGAGAATACCCGAATCGATTACTAACTGGATGGCCCCAGATGGATATCAGATACTGCTTGACACTCGACCCGTCCGTAGTCCCACAAAGGCTATCCTTACAGTTCCCAATACAAAAAGACATCTCGCCGAAGCCATTGCCCTAGAGTGGGATTTCCTCACATCCGCGCAACAAGCGCTCAAACAACATCTTATACCGCTTACCTCCCTCACCACCCGTGCCACCGATATTGTACAAGAAGATGAACTAGGACAACAAAGAATCCGGCAAGAAATTGCGCGAACAGCCATGCGATATCTCGAGACCGATACTCTATTATGTTGGGTTCCAGAAAGGGGGATTCACAACCCCTTATCGAGCGCAGCAGTAGCACCGGGGGAGGAGACACTACGTGATAAACAAGTTAGGGTTGCTAAAGAAATTATCAACTTCCTCACCAGAACGATCTGGCCCGGTGTTGAGATCAAACCGGTCTTGGACGAGAACAGTATTTTACCAACCCCTCAGGATGAGACTACCTTGGAGACAATCCGAAACTGGGTTTCGGGTCTCCCAGCTTATGAATTGGCGGGTCTTGAGAGGGCAATTCTTGCTAGTAAGAGTCTCCTAGTTGCGGTCAGACTGGTGGTTGAATGGGGCGAGCATTTCTCGAGTTTGCAGGAGACTCTTCATCAGCAATATGAAGAGGGGAAGCAAGTGTCGAGATTCGGTGTTGAAGAAGCTGCCCGAGCGTCAAGTTTGGAGGTGACACATCAAACTGAAATGTGGGGTGAGGTTGAGGATACGCATGATGTTGATCGTGAAGATTTAAGGAGGCAGCTTGGTAGTGTTATCCTCTTGGTTAGTGGAGATCGGAAATGAAAGTCCCTATCCTCTAGCCTGATGGGATGGATCCTGTATATTTAGTTTGCATATAGAAATGTAATAACACTTATTGTACCTACAAATGTATTCAACTTGTTGGCTTGATGACGATCGTCAGCAAGCATGAAGCATATACACGTCATGTCTCGTGAAAACAATGCAATCGTGCTACTATCTGGTTATGCGCCATTCTTGGGCAGTTTACAGACAGCAGCTATTCATTACTTGAGAATGCAATGTTTTCGTGAATGACTCAGTGAAATTAGAAAATGAGAGGTGTGGAAATCATGAAATCAGCGTATATTGTGCTTGTTGACATCTGCTATGGGAATGGGTATAAGGCCAGTAACGTGCTTGCTTGCTTCAACATCATAAATGAAGTAATTCAACGAGAAAAAAAGGTAAGGTAAAGGGAGAAAAGATCAAAACAAAAGACAGTGAAATATTACCACCGACCACCCAAGGTGCCCGCCATTCGTCCTCCGCTACTAGCCACCAGACTCTGTTTAACAATTGCATCAGCAGCTGCAGCCGCCGCTAATCTCTCCTTTTGTCGACTGCGATCACGCAAATACCCAGCTGCTTCGGGTCTCATACGCAATATCCTCAAAATCATATCGTCGTTGGGGTCAGCTTGCGCTTCTCGCCACTTCTCGGCCTTGGCTTTTCGCATCGTACCCATGTTCCGGACAAACATTACACTCTTTGCGCGGCGGACGGGGACGCCGAGCATACCGCCTGGTCCACCGATGCTGCCAGGCCCAGATGGTGTCAGCATTTTGTTTTTGTTCATTTGCTGTCGTGCAGCGTTTGCTGAGGCCATTCTTTCCGATGTTCGGATGAGCGTATCGGTGGATTCAAAGTAGAAGAAGATGAGTGACTGGATATCGTGGTATTTGGGTGATTTTAGAATATCCAACGAAACACCATGCGCTTCGCCAGTTTCTTCATCAGGGACTTGGAAGAAGGTTAAAAGTAAACCTAGCCACTTGGAGACGATATCGACCTCTTGCTGTGTAAGAGGTCTTTGGTGAGAAGGCTTGTCCGACAGAGGAGGGACGAGTAAGCCCTCAATGGTTACTAGCACTTCCTTCCATAATCGAGCCATGACCATTTTCATTGCTTCGGAAGTCAGTGTCTTGTTCATGATCTCGAAGTTGTCATTGAAATACGTAAAGAGGGGATCTAGCGCTGTTTCAATCTCCTCTTGCGTCGGCATTGTTGAAGTATGTCCCGTACGATTGCGGCTTAGGAAGCTGGAAATAGTAAGTCCACGGTTGAGCATCGCTTTAAGTGCCCTGCGTGAAAGACTGTGGCTGATGTAGGCAGAGAGCTGTTTCTACACGTCAGTATATAGTTCAACGAATTCGCATACTTGGGAGAAGAACATACCTTTTCTGTAATCTTCCGAGTCATTTCTTTTTCAGTCCGCTTCAATGTCCGGAAACATTTGCCAAAATAGAACTGGATATCATCCCGTTCACCTTCCATGCTTACTCGTATCAAGATACGCCCTTGAGTATCCAGATCAAGCCAGAATTCTCTAGGAAGAAAATCACTGAAATGGGCGGGATCTAACTTGAGTGATGTTCGTCCCACATAGTCATGATCTCCCACTGCATCCCAGTCCCAGACAGTGGCAATAATGTTTAGCGCACCCTTGGTGGTGATATCAACAGAATCATCCCATCGAGGATTCAAATTGCGGTAGACAATGTGAGTCTTGGCTATGCGTTTCTGATATTCGTCCGTCAAAACCACATATGGGTCGCTCCAGCCGTTAATATCACAGGCCTTCAAGTCCTCTCCTTCGACGATCTTCACAGTAAAAACATAGGTGGTCGCTTTACGAATCTTTTGTTGTGTGATAGGGGGCGTATTCTTCGCAATAACATCTGCACAGCCATCCACATTAATCTCCTTTTCCAACTTATCAAGCTGCCCAATGGCGTATTCAATGTTATTTAACTTGACGAGTGACTAAAATCGAAATTAGCTTCGAGTTCAAGAATATCTTGTGCGGTTGGATATTATACCTCCGGAAGAAACTGGAACGGCTCAATCTTCTCCCTATTGGCCCAAGCTTCCTTTGCCATCTGCATAAATTTCTCCTGTCTTGATTGAGCCAAAGAAGCTTCCTGATCCGGAGACAAGCGATCCATCTCTTTAGTAAAATTCTGTTCAAGTATCTCGCAGTATCTGGCGATGGCTCTTCCGATGGATTTGGATAAAGCTGTCATGAATTTAGCGTATTGAAGAATATCCTCCCACTGTAGATTCTTCATGTCGTCGACAACCTGGTTGAATGAACGGAAAATATCAATTGCAGAAACACTGTGCCGCTTGTCATCAGGAGGAAGTTCATTTGAATCATCGCTTCGAACACTGAAATTATCCTGTCTGGCAGCCTGTTCAACCCACTCCATGAATTTGCCGTCTGTATCTTGGATCCAGCGCCACACGAAGTTGGAGAGTAATTTTTCCACGGGAATTGAAAATGGAACACTATTAAAAAGTCAGTTATAAATGATCGACATTTTCATCTCGAGAGGGAAAATCCGAATTAGCATACTCTGGAAGTGCATTCATATGAAGGCGCCTGACTTCAGACAGTCCTTTGTAAAGGTCAAAGCCATCCTGAACAGGGATCTCTATGCCTTGTTCCTTTTCCCGCTCTAGCAGCCGAAGAACAATCTCATGAGCATCGTTTGCGTACATTGGAAGTATACAGGTGAGAAGTATGTTCAGTGGATTCACCCTGTAAAACGAGTTAGCGATGCATGCATGATTGTATAGCCCAAGAAAGCTCTGTTGAATCTTACCCCATGATAACAGGATTATTCTTGTAGCGCTTTGTGATTTTTTGCGCTAGCTTTTTGATAGAGTCCCCCAATTGTGCAACATTATAAGCCTCCCATTGCATATGATCGGCTGGAATAGCTTCATCAAGGAGTCTCTGATAGGTCTCTTTAGCCTTTTCGGTGAGCCCTTCCTCGACATACTTGGAAAACGCTCCTAACTTATCAGGAGTGTCCTCAAATTGCGGGTCAAGTCGAACGTGGTTGTCCAGAATATACATAACTGGACCGATAGGATGAGGCTTTGGATCGTAGCAATGCATCATCACATCATACAGTTCCCGCAAAAGAGCCTCCTGTAGCGCAGATAAGAGGTCACGCATCAACGAAATATCAGGCAGAATCCAACGATTCCTCTCAAAGATAACAGACGCCAGTACGCTGCTTCTTTTTTTCCCTTCCTGAGTTGGCACCTGCTTTACGAAAGTGAAAGCAGCATCAACTGTGTTAATATCGATCTGTTGATCCACGAACTTCTCCCGAATCACGTCCAAAAACAGAACGACGCGAGAGGAAGCTGGAATGCGCCAGCGCAAGCAAATCTCGTTGAGCAATTCCGTCGATTGTTTCGACAATAGTTTTAGAGATGGGACATCAGAAGTTGCTTCGGTAGCTTCTAGTTTCTGATCTTGAAGATCATACATCAGAGCGCGTGATAAGATTGCGCGATATAGAGATCTTGGATCAGAGGGGATGAAAGTGTAGACATGATCAGGATCTGCCTCGTCGACTAGAGACAGAGAGCTCAGGTCTATAGGCTGCTCAATGATATACGAAATGCGATTCGACCTATTAGAAGTTGTAGGTGACAGGTCAGAGAAGGTAGAGTTAACTGAGTCCTGCGATATGAATTGTGGCAGTGTAGCACCTGGCGTACTCTTTGCAAGTTCAGGATTCGACTGTACAATTGCTAGCATCATCTGCGACAGGTCTGGACCTTCACCACGTTTCCAGATCTCGTAAGACTCATCATCTGGAAAGTCATCTCTAGACAATGTCTTCCCCGTCTTAAGGGTCAAATGGGCTTGATAATTCTTCAAATCTTGAAGAGCAGCTTTTGGGGTCCACTCATTTTTGTTGCGGTCAATATCATCCTGAGCTTGAAAGGCACTAATTCCGAATATCCTCGCAACCAATTGCACTAACGGCATATCTTTAACATCGTAGCTGACAGGTGCAAGTGTTTCGACTGTTTTGGTTGATCCGTTCGTCTCGGCAAGATCTTGGTCGTGAGCTAGGAGTTTTGACTCTAGAACTGCCAGCCTGCTGGTAAGCTCTGGTCTCTCCTTGGCCCAATCGTGTTCCTTGAGAATGAGTGAGATCAGACGGACGAAAAGCGCAACATGTCTGTCAACCATCAGGCTCCAGCTATCATCCTGGTGATCTTTTCCTTTCCCTAGTTCCTTTGTGGCGTTTGAGAAGAAAATAAGGACAAGATCTTCGACGCGACGATCTTGCTCCATTCGCCGCTTGAAAGAGGGATCCTTCAATGCATTGAGGAAGACTGCGAACGATCGGATAACGACGGGATCCTGATATTCCTTCCTTCTTTCCTTGCCCATCAGTATGCCCGTAAGCCTCTTCTCCAGCTCTGCAATGAAGCCATGTGGGAACCTCGTGCTCTTTGAATCTCTGAGACGAACAAAGTCCCCTAGTAGGTCTTGAAAGGAAGATGATGAACGGCGAGTATGGGTCGGGGTTTGCGTGACTGTTTGAGTGCGTCGTGCTCGTGGTTGGAGTAAGTGGGAGAGGAAGGCGACTCGAAGCGCATACGAGTATGCATCTGCCGAGCTCAAGAGTCTTCTGCGAGTGCTCGACAGACTCCGAGAATGCGAGTGTTTTGCCTCATTCTGGAGGTCGGTCAATTTGCGGTTGATACCGCTGGAACGATTAGAAGCCGTCGACATATGCTCCAATGGTGGTTTGATGCAGTTTGTCTTGAAGTTAGAGGTAAGTATTGTAGTATAAGGATCGGGAGACCATCAGGTACCGACACAACTGTCTGTAGCAATTCGGCGCGGCGGTAGTATTTATAGTTTTGGACGGATATTTAGTGAATTAAAAATTAGTTTCTGCAAGAATATCAGCGCAGAAGGCGTTGCTTTCTTCAGTTCTTTGAGTCGAACCGACTATTTGATGTTTTGAGTGAGGGGTGAATCTGAAACAACAGACTGACGTAGGCGGATGGACCTCCTTGGCGGCTATAATTTATTTAGAGCCTGAGGTTGCTCAGTTAGCGGCGTGCCAAGAGGGCCACCATCGTTGCTTGTATCTCAGTAGCTGATACAACCCTGGCATGAACACTAGAAATCTGTGCCTAAATCAGACAGCTTGTAGGTTTCATGGGCGTCTTGCGGCTCGAGTCATGGACATCAATTCCAATTTCAAAAGCAACCAGCCGACAATGAGGATCGACTTTATGTATGCACAAAGTTGCCAGGAATAGATACGATAATTTACCCTCTATAAATACAGGTCTATAGTGGCCGATAGTCGAGAATGGATATGACTAAAAGGATCCGTTTCCAGCCGTATCGATTTGTCAAAGCTTGTACTGCCATTGGAAATGTGTAATTGACAGAATATCCAGTCGTTCAAGCGAGTACACATATCCCAGGAAACAGAGATTCCCGGAGTATCCAAGTGCTTGCTATCGTAGGTAAATAGAAGCAAGCAGCTTGGTGGCGGTATGTTGTGCATTTTCGAAAAATCGTCTCATACTATACCAATGATGGAAAGAACGAAGCAGGAACTCAATTGCATGATCTAGGACCCATTTTATGTACATTCAATCAACACTGAAAAATCACCACGTATCCTCTCCGGTTTTATGAGCCTATATCGTCGAAAGTTAGCGCCATACCACAAGAAGTATAAGCAGAGATTGGACTTACGCGAACAGCTCCTGAACCACCGAGCTCTTTCTCGAGTCCACCATTGGGGAACGTCCGTGGGACCGATGGCTTGTCAGGATAGTACAGACTGACCAACCCGCAAAGTCCGAGGAAGCCAACAACGAAGGTACCAATTGACAGGAAAGCCTTGTTGGATGTGACATGAGTATACTGCTCAGGACTGAAAACACCCAAGACATCGTTGTCCTCGTGTACCGGTTCGCCAAAGTTACGTCGTTCCTGCTTATCCCACCAGTCGACATTCGGGTCGCGGAATTGGCGTTTCACGGCTGGAGGGTTAGGATAGTTTCCGTTCTGCGACGACAACAATCAGCACAAGTGGCACGCCAGAAAACGAGCGCGAGGGGGTATACAAGATGAGGGTCATCGTCTTCAGTTTGGGCTCGAAGAGCGCGGAATTGAGAAAAGGAAGCGCGGGGATGGGCATGGCGCGAGGCGATTTGGGCCATCCGCCCAGTCACAAGTCGTCGAGAAAGCATCTAAATGGGATATATTATTATTCAGGACATTGAGAAACAGCAACAAAACAATACTTACCGTTCCGCCAAGGCCAATTGGTAGAACGAGCGGACAGGTTGGGGGAACAAGAGAGAAGGTGTACTGGGAGAGAGATTGGATTGAGGTCGGAAGTTCATCCAGAGTTGGCTTAGGCTGAGCTACAGCAGCCTCAGGCATCCACAGATTGCCGCCCTGCCAACTTTTGCCGTGTAGGACTCGGCGCCGCTTTAAGGGCCCTCTCTTTGAGTCTCTCTAGGCTCTGTCACGGGAGAAATTGCGTCGACAAAAAGCGAAAATCAAACTTGTCCTCCAAACACACTCTCCACCCCTTCTTTTCATCGTCACCAACGCACCAGCATTGATAGTTATGCCAAACTCGCACGGGAAATACTACACGTAATTATCTACATTTTGATGCTCGATTCACGAATTTTGCCCTCGTCAGTGCTGGGAAAGTTGGGGTCTGTTGCGGAAAAGGCCCCCTTCGCGCTCGGTGACAAGATATGCAAAACGGTACACCAAATGGGACCTCACAACATGACGAACACGTGACACCAGTTCCCAGCGAGAATCTTCGCGTTTCTCCCAAACCAGACGCAGTGGAGACAGTTGTCGCGTTTATGCAAACGCCAGGTGAGCAAAAAGTTGATGGGATTGTCGATACACACACCGAGGAACCTCCGTCAAAGAAACGGAAGCTTGCTGAGGGCAAACGCTCAACACCACGACCCATATCGCCACCATGGAAGAAAGCTGGTGTCGATGGGCCTACATCGTTTTTTGAAGGCGGTAGGAGAAAATCCTCGAGAACAAATGCCATTCCTTTGGATCTCCAGCCAGCGTCCGCAAAGAGACAGACTCGAGGCACCCAAAAGGATTATACAACAAAGCCGACAACACCCGCCGTATCGTCACCGTTATCCTTAACTCCAGTGCGCACCACGGGAAGCGGTAGGAGATCGCTTGGGACAAAGACAGGGTCAAATGGCATGGTGAGCAATGCGGAAAAGAAAGAGACAAGAAGGAAATCTAGCTCGAGGCTTTCTCTCAGCGGTGCCACCAATGTTGAGTCATCACTACCTGCTACTAACTCTGCCAAGTCACGAGCACGAACCCAGATCAGCACGAAGGCAGTTGTGAACGGTGGTGGCTCGAGACATACCCGTCGCAATGCATCCATATCGACCGCCGAATCGCCGTCCATTTCTCGAGGCCTCGATACCCCTGTCGAAGGAGATGCGCATAAAATTGGTGGAGATCTCAAGGTTCCTCGACTGCGGCTGAAGTTGAAGAAGGGATCCGTCAGTGTTCAGCATCCGGGTCATGTCGTTCCTCCAAAGCATTACCCCTCGTTTCGAGACTGGGTCCAGGCCGCCGATGTTCTTGCTGGGGAGAATGTGATCTCAACAAGTGAAGATGCCCGACAAGAGGCCGTCAAACGACTACGAGTTCTTGAGGCTGGAGAGCCTGGCGGCATCCTCAGCCCGCAAGTTTGCTCTGCTTGTCTGCCCGAGCCTCAAGAGGAACCTCCGATACAATATTCTCATCATGACCACCTCGTCGCGCATGCTTTATATTTCCGCAAACTCCTTGATCAAGAGCATAAACGGCATCGCCACACAGCTCGCCAACTTGCGCATTGGTGTGCCGAAGTTTGGAGAAAGAGAAACAAACGACCAGAGGATATACTTCGCGAACAAGTCGAAGAAACGAAAGCGAAACGCCGACAAGTCGTCAGAGACCTTCAGAAACAATTCGATCTTGTTCGCGCTGAAGTCGATAGGGTTCGTTTAGCACGGTGGGAAGAGGAAAGAAAGGCGGAGAATCAACAGGCATTGAACCAGGCGATCAAGCAGTCCACCATGCTTTTTGAGAAACGAAGACAAGAAATCCTTGGTGTTGGAAGCGATATGGACACTTTCAGTGAGGATGTTGATGAGGAGTCAGAAGATGATGACGAAGATGAAGAGTCTATTACCTCGGACGCAGACGAAGGCAACATGTCTTCGAGCGAAAGCGATGACGAAAGCGAAAATGTCGTTGACGATGATGAAGGGTTAACTGCAGAGGAGTTACGATTGAAATATGCAAACATTCCCGATACTATATTTACAAACCACGACTCAGAATCAGAGTCTTCCATGCGCGGCACTTCGGATGATGGGCGTACAGAAGGCGATTTCGCTTCACAGAATGCGTCTGGCGCCCCGTCGGTGATGCCACCCGACCTTGACGATGTTGACCCTCTTCTACTTGACGATAGTGATGAGTCTACGGATATGGAGGACGATATGGGAGACTCTGATGATATGAGCGACGAGGATAGTGATGAAGATGAAGATAGCGATGCTAGTGATGACGGGCCAGGGCTCCTAGGCTTCCTCTCTTCAAGAGACCGATTGGTTGCTGCTAGTGCAAATATTCCACAACCAGAAGATCTTGACGAACAGGATGCAGAGGAGGGAGAAGCTCAAGTTGATGAAAATATTGAGATGGAAGATGCAGATGAAGTCTCTCTTATACCTACAGCTCCGGTCGAACAGGCGGAAAAGGCCGATAATGCAGAAAATGAAGGGCAACAGGCTCAAGAGCACCTTAACCTTGAAGCGCACACTACCGAAGACAATGATGTCAGCAAAATTGAGGCGCCAAAAGAAGAGGAGGATAGAAAGGCTGTGGCAGAGCGGATGGATACCGAACCTGGATTCACAGCACGAGCTGAGGATGGTACTCATGAAATACATCACAGCGGTGATGCTTCCAGTCAAGCTTCCCCTGGAACCGTTGCGACGAAGCCGTCAGAACCTGAGTCCATGTCATCTTATGAACCCCAAGGTGACAAACAGTCTGTGACAGAATCGCCTGTTCCTGCTGGATTAAAGACACCCATTCCGCATCTACTTCGGGGGACGCTACGTGAATATCAACACTATGGGCTAGATTGGCTAGCCGGGCTATATACAAACCACATTAATGGTATATTGGCAGATGAGATGGGTCTCGGCAAAACCATTCAGACTATCGCCTTGCTCGCGCATTTAGCGGTTGAACATGAGGTCTGGGGCCCGCATTTAGTCGTTGTTCCTACCAGTGTCATTCTTAACTGGGAGATGGAGTTCAAGAAGTGGTGTCCCGGATTCAAGATCATGACATACTATGGCAATCAGGAGGAACGAAAAGCAAAGCGACGCGGTTGGACGGACGATAGCAGCTGGGATGTTCTTATCACATCTTACCAGTTGGTGTTACAGGATCAACAGGTTTTGAAGAGAAGAAGCTGGCATTATATGATTCTCGACGAGGCCCATAATATCAAGAATTTCCGATCCCAAAGGTGGCAGGCGTTACTCACTTTCAGGACACGTGCTCGTCTCCTTCTAACCGGTACACCGCTTCAAAACAACTTGACTGAATTGTGGTCACTTCTTTTCTTCTTGATGCCTTCAGACGAAGACGGAGCTGGTGTGGAAGGATTCGCAGACCTGCGAAATTTCTCGGAATGGTTTCGACGACCTGTCGAACAGATTCTGGAACACGGCAGGGAAACAATGGACGATGAGGCGAAGCAGATCGTTCACAAATTGCATACTATTCTTCGACCGTATCTTCTCCGACGATTGAAAGCGGATGTCGAGAAGCAAATGCCAGCCAAATACGAGCATGTCGTCACCTGTCGGTTGTCCAAGCGGCAACGATATCTATATGATGGGTTCATGTCCAGAGCTCAAACCAAAGAGACGCTAGCTTCTGGAAATTACCTTTCTATCATTAACTGTCTTATGCAACTTCGGAAAGTCTGCAATCACCCTGATCTTTTTGAAACACGCCAGATATCTACATCGTTTGCGATGCCTACATCTGTGTCGCACGATTATGAGGCCAAGGACAAGCTTATCCGACGACGTCTTTTGTACCAGCATCCCTTTGACAAACTCGATCTAGACTTTTTAAATCTAGCACCTATATCGCGGGAAGACCTCTCTACGAGGTTGGTTCAGGACAGTAGTCGTATAATGGCTTTTGGGCCCTTGAAGACACTGCGCGAGCGTCAATATAAACGAACAAACTGGCAGATGGGTTTTGACGGGTCATCAGTGCGGTCTATACTAGAGTCGATGGATAATGCCGCAAGGAAGAAGCGAATGAACGAGCTTGAGAGTGCGCTTTATTTTGAAAGTAACCGGCATGGCCGACGTCCAGTTTGGGGGAAGAGCTTAATCAAATTCCTGACCATCGAAAGTCCCTATAATGGGGTTGCAACTCGGGATTCTCGCCGAATATCGAAGCTCGAGCAGCTAGCAAATCAGTCGTCGGTTCTAGCTTCTATGATTAATTCGATTCAAGATAGGTCTCAGTCTATGGAAGGCTACATTCAACGGTTTGGATGCGTAACCCCTGCTGCTGTGGCAGCGGGGACCACAGAAGCAGCTATTACTCCTGTTGAGTCCCGCTATTTTGATCCAAAGATGCGGTATGAGAATTACGATCCTTTCCACGAAGCGCAGATGCGTCTGTCGATTGCATTCCCGGACAAACGATTGTTGCAATATGACTGTGGAAAGCTGCAGCAATTGGATAAACTACTTCGTGAACTTCAAGCAGGTGGCCATCGAGCCCTTATCTTCACGCAGATGACAAAGATGTTAGATATCCTAGAACAATTCCTGAATATCCACGGACACCGCTATCTTCGCCTCGACGGAACGACAAAGGTTGAGCAACGACAGATGCTTACAGATCGGTTCAACAACGACAACCGTATTCTTGCGTTTATCCTGTCCACTCGTTCAGGAGGTCTAGGTATCAATCTTACTGGCGCAGACAGCGTTATCTTCTACGACCTTGACTGGAACCCTGCAATGGACAAACAATGCCAAGATCGTTGCCATCGGATCGGACAAACCCGCGATGTCCACATCTACCGGTTCGTGTCTGAGTTCACGATTGAATCGAATATCCTACGGAAGGCGAATCAGAAACGTATGTTGGACGACGTGGTGATTCAAGAAGGTGGATTTACAACCGATTACTTCACCCGAGTCAACGATGTGCGCAAAGCAATCGATGAATCTGCACCTGACGACCAACAAGACGAAGCCAGTAAAGCAATGGACCGTGTCCTCGATAATCGCGGCGGAGGCGGTCTAGCCGTCACTAGTACACGAGTCTTTGAACAGGCCGAAGACAAAGAAGATATCGACGCCGCCAAAAACGCACAAAAGGAGATGGAACATGCCGACGATGGAGATTTTGAGGAAACCGGTACAACAACCGCGCAGATCCTTTCGGGCGCAGGAACACCGAGTGTCGTTGACGGCGGCGAGAAAGCTGAAGACACTGAAGGGAAAGAAGCAGAAACTGAACCGAATCACATTGATGATTATCTTGTACGATTTATGGAGTGGAATCTCCGCGATGAACCACTTGTTCTTCCGCCTGACAAGGCCAAAAAGAAATCCAAACGGGGGAAGGAGCACCGAATTAGACGTCGGTAGACTTCTTGGTCTGATATTGGTTTTGGATTTTGTTGTTTGTGTGAGTTAAACGTTGCATGGATGGTGTACTTTTGTCTTTTATTCTTATAGTGGTGGTGCCTTTACTACCTTTTTATTACGATGTCTTAATCTATATATGATCCTCTTCTCTACTGTGTTAGAATATATTATCGTTTATCAAAATACCACGAAGCTTTCTCAATCCTTATGCCATATACAAACCGATTAATCCGTCAATTGAATCGAGTACCATCAACCTGGCTGAATCACCTCAGCTTGTACGCTATTGGACCATACAATACAAACCGCGGCTCCGTACACACCTTTCCAAACTATAATCTAAGCTTATTTGAACTCTACCTCGCTTGAACGAACGCAATTCGGCATTGGTTCTGCGTATACTCGGTGTCCCAGTGCTCCGGATGATCGATTGGTGAAGATCTTCATGTGCTGCCTAACAGGGTAATCTCCGCCATTTCGATGAGTGAGTGAGGGGTAGAAATGTCCTGATTTGATAGGAATATCTTTCTCATTAGTTGCGTATATGCACGTGAAGGTTCTCTATGACCTAAACGCTGTGCTTCCGAAGTGTGGATGCAAACTGTGGTATGGAATATGAGTTTTGATTGCTGGATATATGCTCTTATGAGGGGGTTAACTTACCCGTTGTTGGAGACATGGAAATGTCTTCCGGGGAAGAGGATGTAGATCAACCGCCGATAACCCTACCTACAAGCTATCGGATATATCTTCACACATCTTCAGCGACCACAACAGCTATTTGGTTGATTCGGCATGCGGAGTCGACGGCAGATTTACCTCAAGCAACGAACAATCCCATGGAACATTTATGAATACACCCAGTCATTTTTGCCTGCAACGGATGCGGTATATCCGGTAAGTAAATGAAGGGAGGCATGTTAGATATAGCCCTCATCCCTTGCATCTTTTCTATTATTCGCGATGAGCAAATAAGTAGAAAGGGAGTGGGAAGACATTATGAACTATCGAACTTGGCAATTTGGTCACTGCCGTATCCCCGGAGATTTCCGTGTCATACGATGCTATCGTCTGGTAATCATATATGGAGATATTTGTAAGAGATATCAGCTTCAGATGTGTTGGTCTGGGATGATCAACGCAACTATTGACTTGGTGATTGCCAGGGATCCACTATACCCATGCTCATACCAGTGATCTATGTACGTATTGCTTAGATTACTGCATGGCCTCGTATTAACCACGAGGTTGAAACGGTTCTTTTGCATCGTTTGCTGCGCGCCTCATCTTTGATACAAAAATCCAACTGAAGATAGCCTCGGCTGGTTGGACTCAGGAATGGGTCTACGGCATGAAACGGTGGAATGATAGGGTTCTTTGTCGGATCTAGATATCGATAGTTTGAAGATCAGCCAACCTGGGTACGATCAGAGAAACTATTGCATAAATCTTCAGATATGAAACCCTCAGGGTACAGGAATGACTGAATCAGCGGGTTGCTGTATAACGACTTGGTACTCATTTAGGCATACATTTTCAGTTTGCTGACAGAATGATAATCGAAGATCGACCAATGTAGTCAAAGAATAGTTGCGCGCTTGATATAACTTTCCTCAAGTCGAATTAAGCTTTGATTCTCCTAGATTTATCCTAAGTATGAAAATCATCAATACGAACTTCCTATGTTAATTTTTGAATGTTAGATAGATGAATATGACAAGTCATACCCGAGAATATCCCGAGATATAATAGAAGTGCTAAATTGTTTTAGGGCTTCATGACTCAGGAGTCAGGACTAGGCGAAGTGCTTAGTTTCTTATCAGTGTCTACTAAGGTCCCTGACTTTAAAACCCTCACTGAAGTAAAGTCCAGATCCTACCCTACGTCAGAGGCTTCTTTCTGCATGAACTTGCTGTCAGTGCTATTGAATTAATTTAGTTGGCAGATTTGATCAGATCTAGAGTTGTTGTGAGTTCCCGAATCTGTCATTACTCTTTAGTTTCTCGATAGTCCATCTGGCATTCCACCCCAATAGATGAGGCTTTGTCGTGAGTGCATCTGTCGCTACGTTTGTAGGCAGACTCGCTCAAGCTTGTGATCCTACTAGATAGAGCTGTCTATGTATGTAAAGTCGTTCTGTGTACGTAAATCTTGACACGGAAGAGTGGAACACTCAACTCCGCGACGGCATTAACTGATACATACTCCGTACGCGCAAACACAAGTCTAGACACTGAGCATACAACGTATATACATAGTCACACAATCCGAGCACGTTTATTTCCAGTCTCGCCATGCAATGATTTGCCCTGATCCAACTCGATATGCGCGTTTAGACCATCTGCCAACTGTACAAAGACAAAAAAGTACGTTTGTAGTGTTGCACCACCATCGAACCATCCTTAATTCGTCAATCGATGCATTTTTTACATAAGCAAAGAAAAAAGCAAAGACGGATTTCCTCCGATTCGTTACAAGGCTACAAACAAATACGTCAGATAATACGAGTCATCATGTCAGTTTGCCTGTAAGAACAGTCTTGCTTATTCTAGAGGTGGAGTAAGTAAGCAAAGGGAGGCTGATATCAAACTATCGAATAAATATATTAATATCATCTTCAATTAATCCCAACATTAATTAAAATCATGGTATCTGTCAACTTCATCCAATCTGTCGGTATGCGTATCGCAGAGACCAACTTCCACAACTAATTGCCACGCAAGTTATGAGATTGGCTTGACAAAACATAAGATTACTCGACTAGCACGGAAGTAGTTAGCATCGTCAGGCATGCAAAGACTGGCTCGATAAGCCGATAAACTTTGCCATGCGTCTCACATGACTCGGATTTATCGTCGTACCATACGAAATCAACACTCGTTACGGAAAAGAGTCCCATGTTTTCCGCCATGATCTTCACAAGCAGATATCTTGAACATTCAATTGACTTACTCTGACTAAGCTATGAATCGATTCGTATAACTTAAATGCTTAAATGCTAGCAACTGGTATGGATTGATCATTACTAAGTCTTAATAAGATAAATATACCTGCAACTACGTATTAACTTATAGGTAACTAGTAGTGGACTACTAAGTTATTGTCATTGTCATGAGTTGATGTCTGTGTGTATGTACTGATCTTGGAAACCACGTTGGTGACTAGTAAACTGCAAACCTAAAGTAGTGTGGTACTAGCCTCGATGTGGTGAATCTCGGTGACAGTGAATGCGATAATCTCCATGCTTTGAAGTGACTACTGGCCCGAATTGACTTCCCGAGGAGTGAACCTCTGTTGTGATATTGTAGTGATTATTTCTCCTGACTATCCAAAAATTACAGACCCATGGATAATTGATTATAAACCAGTAAATATGAGGTTGCTGTGCTCCAAAAGTCGTAAGTGATGGCTAACGGGCTAGAAGAGCCCGACAATATGGTTAACCTCATGGAGTCTGTCCGTAGTCCGGTACAATTGACTCGGTAGAGTCGGCACGCTACATACGGAGGTCTTACGTGACGGCTTGGCCTGAAGACTTGACATGGTGTGATAATATCGTTACGACAAGCGTGCATGATGGAATGCGTTCGAGGGACTTTTTGACATCGAGAGAAGTTGATCAGATGATACCGAGGTCCGCCGTTATGTTACTAACTGGTAATAGCAACTATGGGCGGTGCGTACTTTTTACTTACAGTCTTACAGTTACAGATCCCGCTGAGGTCAGCGCAAAACCGTAAATCGCCAGTAGAAAGAGCTGTGGAATCTGGACTCAGATCATACAAAGCCACGAGAACTCGAACAGAGCATAGCGCCGATTCGAGTACGGTCCTTTTCGGGTAAGGTTGAAGAAAAGAGGGTTTACATGCCGAAGGTTAATTATTCATTACGTGCGATATAATACTTGATCTGCCGGATCTGAGCCAGTCTGACGGGTCTGTCCAAAATCTCCCTCATACGTACTCAAATGTACTCTCAAAATGTAAACTCGCAAAGCGACAGCATCAGTTTGGCCCCATATCACGGTTATGCTCAAAATACGTTGACTGTCAGCGATTTATGCACGCAAAAGTACTTCCTCCCACAACTTTACTCCATCAGGGAAGTGCAGACTAAAAGCGACTAGAGCCTTCTAGAGTAGGCGATTCTATCTTAGTCCTAGCTGATCAGACAAACGACACTAAACCCTGAAGAAACATAGTACCTTCCAATCAGGAGACGTCCTGTACGTGTAGTTGCCGTTTGGGCTTAGTGCGTCATTGATTCAGTCCTCTTTAGGGACTAGCGCTGTCTATCTCCCCGTCGGAATCGGAAGCAGAGAACCCGGCAGTGTGAGCACTCAGCCAATATGGAACGGAGCGTGGCGATAACTTAGACTAACTCAGCATGCTGCATATGAAGCGGGCGGCAGGAGTGGGGCCACACGAACCAGACGAACTCTTGACCACCAATGAAAGGTACACGGCCAAAGATACTTACCAATAAGCACAGACAAAAGCAGTAGAAGTGGGCCTAGACCGAGGCTCAAAGCGGCATAGTCGCTCAGCAGACCCTCTCGCAGTGACACTAACGGACGGCACCAAAAAGGTTTCAAGATTGTCCGCCCGGTTCAGAATGTGTTATTACGTTACCGTACAGCCATGATTGACTGCATTCACGCGAGATATGACGGTAACAAGTCGTCATTGTAATACAGATACCCCATACCACAATACGCGAAACGGGCCTAGTTAGGGCTCCGGCTGGCTCATCCTTCGTTGTTTTCTGGGTGATCCGCAAGCTTCCTCTCGATACGTAGTTTCCAGTAGTAATACACACACCATACCATCACGAGGCTGAAGGTTTCTCTTTACCTCAAGGTGCAAATCGTAAATCGAGTACAAATAATACGAGTTCCGTATTTGATAGATACGTACATTATCTGACCAGTTTCCCCCATATATACACTACCCACCTACCGACAGGTCGATCTTACCCAGAAATCCTTTCCCTCTCGTCACTTTCCCACCACCTACACTTACGCCTCTCACTCGACTTCAGGACTCGACTCAACTCGACTCGACGTCTGGCGGCCGACTGTTGAGCTGTGAATTTATCCATATCGCCCAAATTACAGCAGATCAGATACAATGAAAACATCGATACCGTCGGACGTGTGGGAGAAGAAGAAGGCGCTGATCGCTCGTTTGTATAAAGATGAGGAATGGCCGCTGAAGCAGGTGATTAAGCAAATACGCACTGAAGATTTCAATCCTAGGTATGTGCTCTTCTTCTACGTTCGATTCGGTTCATTGTACTAACCGACTGACTAGCGAGACACAACTACGGAGTCGTCTGAAGAAATGGCGAGTTACCAAACCGTCCCGTCAGATCCGGAAGAAACCCGCCGGCGAGCAGGGAAATAACAATGATGAAGAGGACGAAGAGGATCCGTCGGAAGAAATGTCGCCGATGGAGAGGAGGAATAATAAGAGTGACATGAAGAAGAATACCCCAACCACGTCCGCAGCTATGGCAATCCCTACTCCACCACAATCGCAACATTCTCAAAGTGACAACCTCGCAATCACCCGCGAATGGTATCCTACGGATGTCTGGGTTCAGTCGCAACAGGAACAACAACATATTCCCCCGCAACAGACCGTGGTGGTCACACAACCAGAGGCTGTCGCTACACAGGCTTGGACAGCATCGATTCCGTCACCTAGCCCAATCACCGCTACTACACCAGAACGACATCCGTCTCATGGCGCGGTCAGTACTCCTGCAGTCACGCAGTATGCTACCCATGGTCTTTCTGCCTACGATCTCCCTCATCCACAGCCACAGCAGCCGTCACCAACAAATAGCATTCCTCCTCCGCAAACGACCCATGTCTTGTCACCAGCCTACGTTTCTCCGATTTCTCCGACTTATGCCATGGCCCCTATCTCATACCCACAACCCGCACCGCCGACAGCAACGCACTGGCCTACAGGCAACGATTATATCGAACCAGATTCCAATCCGGCCGCAGCAATGACCATGCAGCCATCCAGCTGGTACACAGCTATGTACGATGCAGCGAATACTACCGCCGTTACTGCAAATGCAGCCTACTACCAGCGTGCCGTGAATCCCGCTGCTCCCGTTGCCGGATACAATCCCGTTATGCAACATATGCCTTCTCCGCAGGAAATGGCTACGTCGTACCAAGTTCAAGCACATGCACACGCACAGGCGCAAGCACGACCCATGACAGCACCCGGTTACCATGGCTATGACGAGGGTGTATCTGTACGACCTTGGCGACGGGCAACGGCATCGCACTACACACCCGAGTATGTTCCGGGTGTTGTGCGAGTTGATCGACAGGGTCGACAACGCAAGCCTTTACCGGATCGAAAAAAGGAATCTGTGACGGAACAAATGGATATCATGGCCGCTCAACAGCAGCAGCAACAAAAACAACAACACCAACAGCGCGAACTAGAACATTTGCAATCAATGCAGCAGTCAATGCACACTGCAATTCAACCTGTGTATCAGCATCCACATCACCCACAACAACACCCGCACTACATCGCTGCAGGCCACTCAATGATTCCTCAGGATATGTACGCTTATGCCGGTCATGAGCACATATTACAGCGGCCTATGGGTCATTGAGGCAATTGCCTCGATCCTTGTGTAGCATATAATTATCTGGAGTCCGTCATTTGGCATGCATTGTTGGCGTTGGTGGTCGTGATGTCGTTTGATTATGGTATACCGGTCAAGCTTGGCTCTTATCATTATCAATTCACATATTGTGTTATATCGAATATATATGTATATACCCTTGCGACTCTGTTTTCAGCTGAGCGATCACCAGGAGTTCCTATCTGTTTCTCTACTTCTGGGTGTATGTTTCCGGTGGCACGTGTTTTTCATCTGTCTCATATGTTTGTTTTTCTATCTCCTATCATACTTCAAAAATTGGGAGGTCTCATGAAAATGGAAAGGAACAACGGCGTTCGTTAATGGATGAAAACTTGTATTTATCCTGTGATATGAATGATATGGAACACGCAAGATTCAGACGGGCCTCATATCGAGTCTGATCTAAATTTACACCACTTAAATTGCCATATTATGTCGTGATACCTATATTCAGTGTGTTATAGCTGCTTGTACGTAGTTGTTTCAGCTGGAGTAACCGAACAGGCCGAGGCATCTTATCCTGAATCATGCTTCCCCACAACCCCAACTTCTATCTAGATACCATTTCTCCGCTTCTTGTTATTTGACAATCGACAACTCCCATCAAGTCGGGTAGACCATTTGCTATCGCTGAACAAATAAATAATATTATCACTGGTACAAAAGACTGAACAATGCGCGCCATTCAAGTCAGCAGTTATGTCAAGGTATACCTCTCTTCATCCTCATCCATACCTGAACCCTCACTAATTCGATAGGGTCCCCTCGACCTCAAAATAACCGACCTCCCAACTCCTAACCCTACATCAGACAAATACCTCATCGAAATCCATTCCGCAGGCACAAACTTCTTCGACATCCTCCAAATCCAAGGCAAATACCAACACCAACCACCATTCCCATGGATATCCGGCTCAGAGTTCGCCGGCACCATCCTCGCGACACCCACTGACCCAAAAGGAATCTACAAATTTAAAAAGGGAGATAGAGTCTTTGGCGCTGCCCAGGGCGCTTATGCGACTCATATCCTTGCTCCAGAGACGTCCTTATTCCCTGTCCCGCGAGGATGGAGTTTTGCCGATGCAGCGGGTCTATTCGTCACTGCACCTACATCCTACGGTGGCCTTGTGACGCGCGCAAATCTGCAGGCTGGTGAATGGGTTCTTGTTCATGCTGCAGCGGGCGGAGTCGGATTAGCAGCCGTTCAAATCGCGAAAGCCTTGGGGGCAACTGTAATCGCGGCCGTTGGGTCAGAGGCGAAAGGTCAAGTCGCAAAGAGGTTTGGGGCAGATTATGTGGTTGATTATCGTGCTGATAAGAATTGGCCGGAACAAGTTAAGAAGTTGTGTAAGCAGAATCGAACGGGAAATGGGAAAGCGGGTGTCGATGTTGTCTATGATCCCGTGGGTATGATTGAGCAGAGTTTGAAGTGCGTGGCGTGGAATGCTAGGTTATTAGTGATTGGGTTTGCGGCAGGCACAATTGAGAAAGTTGCGCTGAATCGTGTCTTGCTCAAAAACGTGAGCATTGTCGGGATACATTGGGGTCAATACGCGAATTTTGAGCGTGAGACGGTGCCCGTGGTTTGGAAAGGGATCTTTGATTTGATTGATCAGGGGAAATTTCAGAGTACCGCGTTTACGGACGAGAGTTTCATCGGGTTGGAGAGTGTGCCGAGGGCACTCAAGGCGTTGGGCAGTAGGGGTACCTGGGGTAAGGTTGTGGTAAAGATTGTGGATGATAAAGGTAAATTATAACTCTGTATCGGTACATATAGTTAAACTATCATAAATCTATGTCTGAATGTAGTGCGCAAGGAGTCATGCTCTCGTAGTATTATCCTCACTCCACGAATGTAAAATCCGAGCAAGTGAGGAATAAGCGAGACATAAACATGAACTATGAAGGCTCTAATAATCATTCTCGCAAATCCTTTTGGTACAAAAAGAAGAAACCTCCTATAGAGAAGGCGGCTTCTTCCCCCCCAATCCCAGCTCCAGTACTATACATGCACAAAACGCGCGAGGTGTATTGACTGTTCTCGAAAGAGTTCCATGGTGCATAAAGTTGCTTGACCTGTATCCAGAACCGAAGTATTGCTCAGTCAGATCGGATCGGCGTCAAGGGGAACAGCTGGATGGGGAGGATTGCGTCGTTCGTTCATCTTTGTATATATTTGGACAAGTGATTTGTCCTGACTGGATAGAACCGAAATGAATTGGGAATAGGTTGATAACCACAACTTCTCTTATGCTGATGAATTTCAATGCGACGATTGAAACACCGACTATTCTGATTTACCACTCAGAAGCTACTCTCGACATCATGAAGTAGCTGCACAAATAGTAATAGGACGAATAATTCTTACTGAAAAAAAAGAGTAGAGATATATGGTGACCGTCGTAAACACTGATGAAAGTTCAGATAACCATCGGAGAAAAACTTTTGGATGAGAACAAGGAACGGGTGGAGACACCACGTGACTATCACGTGGTGTCACTGGACTCCAAAGCCCTAATTCAACATGTAGCTCTTGCAATTTCAGGAAGAAGAATGAGTAATATGAAAGAGATAGAGAGAGCTTACTTAATTGAAGAAATCAACCAAAATTACAGTGAAAACTTCAGTGAAAACTTCAGTGAACGAATAGATTTCTCAGTGACCCAGCTGCTTTGCTTGCCTGCCGACAACAAACCCTATACATAGCATCCCGAGATTTGGATGAGACGACAAATGGATACGTCTTGGGAACATAATTAATCTTATAAGTATTATCACCGGGCATTTGATATTTGACTGTGCCTTGAATGCGTTTTTGGACCAGAGCGGAAGCCCCGGGAGAAATTGCCCATGGGGAAATTTTAGCTTGTGGAGGGCGTCAGAGAGCATCTTCCTTAGACTCGCAATATTTGAATAACAATTTTCATAAAAATACGTGCATTACGATGACATCTGGACTGAAAAATTCAAAGACTACGCATAACCGTGGCATGAGCTTGAAGCTGTCCAGGTGACTCCAGCGAAGACTCGGGTGGTCAACCTCCACGGCGAGCTTCCGGGGAAGTCACCTGCAGCATAACGATGACAATAAACAGATATTTATATTCCACATCCAGCACTGATTATCAACAAGCAGCTACACAATGACAAAGCCGGTAGTCTACGTTCTTGACCCTTACCACGAGCATGCAGTAGTGCTTCTGCAGTTGACTAAATCGGTCGACGTCGTCCTCTGGAATGACGACCATAAGGCAGACTGGCGTCAGCATGCACAGGAAGTGCTCGTGCGATCAGAAACGCAACTACGAGTCTCCGACTTTGCCCAAGCAAAGCAACTACGTATTGTAGTGAAACAAGGTGTCGGATGCGACAACATCGATTTAAATGCCGCCAAAGCTGGCCGGGGTCGCGGTACACAATATTCCCGGCTTAAACAGCGAATCTGTGGCCGGGTTCACTCTCGCTCTAGCCCCCTCCCTGAGCGAAAAGATTCTGTAAGTAGACCGGCTACAGCGTAACGGCAACAGAGTCGTACGCAGCCAAACATTGGGGATGAATTTGTTTCGCAAAACTGTGGGTGTGGTTGGGATGGGCAATATTGGCCAAGTAAGCGCGAAGAAATGGATTGGTGCCTGTGGAGCAAATATCATAGGATACAACCCTGATGCCCTGATGCACCATTGGAAGTGTGGGAGCCGGACAAGATTCCACATACCAGGGCCCAGACGTTGGATAAGCTACTCAGAAGCTCGGACGTTGTTCTGCTGCACTTCCCTCTACTCAAGAACATTAGAGGATTGATAAAGGAACGCGAATTAAATATGATGAAGCAAACAGCAATCTTGATCAACGCAGCCAGAGGCGGGATTGTGGTCGAGAATGCTTTACTCCAAGCATTGAAAGAGAAGAAGATATGGGGTGCGGCCTTGGATGCAATGGAGGTTAAATCACCCACACTGGACGCATACAGGAATTTCTATGGACTTAACAATGTTATTATTACGCCGCACATCGGCGCATCAACGGTCGAGAACCAGATTAACAGTGGGATTGCTGCGGCGAGGGCAGTTGGCTGCTTTAGAAGGGAAGAGCAATGTTCCTGGGAAGTTGGTATGAATATAATCTACTGTGAACAAGTGAATACCCTAGAAACATTCTGTATGAAGTAGTTCAAACTGACTAGTTACTGAGAGTTCGCAAATTCCGAGCATCGCTGCGTTATGAGAACTGCGAGCTGAAGCCACTCGGGTATTTTTAGGTAAGAAGTCAAATTTTCAAGACGTTGTGGATTCAATAAAATAATTAAGCAATTCTTTGATTTGACAAGGCGATGAAGGTGTATTACCTTTTTTGTGAATAGCTACAATTCGATACATCGTTCTTCCTCTTATTCCCCTCACAATCATAACACAGATGTTTCACAGCCAATTCGACCATCTTAAGTGATAAACCGAAACATCGGTGCGCTGTCCGCAAACTCGGATACATCTAACGACTGCCCCGGAACTGGCCTGCGATACTTCTTATCACGCCGTTTGTCAATAGCCTCCAAGAGCATGTGGCTCGCCAGCGCAAGAACAGCCGTAGCAATCGACAAGCCCCATGTAAATGAAATTCCCCTTCTTAAGCTGCGGCCTGTCAGTAGTCGGGTAGAAAAAGGTTCCAGCAATAGACCCCAGGTTGCCGAGTGCAGTATACAGACCCATACTGATTGGCCGTTTTGTCTCGTTTCCGAAATTGTTCGCGACCCAGGCCTGTGTTGGTGGATAGGTGGCGTAGACGCACGCGACTGCAATACACACACAGGCATACTTGCCATGGAGATTGGCCTCAGGAAGTGTGGCGAAGAGAGCGTATGCGATAGTGGAAATGATAGTGGAAATGGACATGAGTATCGTGACATGTCTGCCTCGGTTGCAGAAGTGGTCAGAGGAGTAAGATGCGAGAAACATGAGGATGAAAGCGCTTGCATAGGGGGGCGCCGTCATGGGATTTGCCTTGGTCGCTTCTGTGTATCCAAGATCTGTTCACGATCAATCAGTCTACCTTTAACCGTATAGGGTTTAAGGCAAACATGTAGGAATACATACTACGAATAATTGTTTGGAGAAATCCCGAGATTGAAGAAATCATTGCGCCGTCGGGAGATAATCGCAGCTTGCGCATCCAGCCGCCAGTCGGTAACTGTCTAGATGATATGCTTTCTCTGAATGGGACCAGTCTTGTCAAATGACTCCTTGCGATATCTCGCTTCTGCTATCTCTTGATCAACGCTGGAGAAGCGTGAGTTCTTATTTGGGCGGTCTGGCATCCAGTACCGACAGAATAATCCCAACCAAAAAACAGGCAGGGCTTCAATGAGAAAAGCCACTTCCAGGCTGGTGTATCGCTCCTGATCCGACCGATGCCATAGGCAATTAGTCCTCCAATGGCACCTGCGATGGAGGTTGGTCCTAGAAACCAAGACACGCGCATGCCCAGTTCGGTTCGATGATACCATAGCGAAAGATAGTAGACAATTCTCATACCGAATAGGTCTTCTAATGCACCTAGGGAGATTCTGCAGATGAGTTTCCCCGGCTAAATTGTAAGCGACGCACCGGAGGAGACTGGCAGTGGCTCATCCGCATACACCAAAGGCAATCCACTGTTTCGTATTAATATCAATTCACTGATTACAATGTGCAGAACTCTTTATATGTTACCTTAGACGCGAGAAGATACGATAACCAATGCAACTCGATACCTGGAAGAGGAGCAACCCGACATAGAAAATCATCCAACCAGCTGCCACTACGAGGAAGAAAGGCTCTTGGCCCCTAGACCAACCGCTTCTTTCTCAGAATTATGTCCAGCATCCCAGCCATAGAGCTTAGCATTTCCAACGTTGCCACGATTGAGATATTCAAAGAAATACAAAATCGTTACGGCTGGTAAAAGGATATAGTCAAGCTTCCAGAGATACTTTTTCTGTGCCTTGATCCATTCCTCCTCATCCTGACGGACACGGGACACCTTTTCAATCTCCTCTGCGACGTTATCTATTTCGGTTCTCTCAATATCTTGCATGACCTCTGAATAGGCCTTTATGATATGCTGAGGGTCCTCAGATGCTCCCATGTTCAAATGAGTCTGGACAGGATAAAAGGGAAAGAGAGATGTAGTGTTCACCTCTGGTGCGAGACAAGGACATCAATCCAAGTGTATGGTGCATAGATAGTCGAGACGCGCATCTGAGGTGGCCCGAGTAGATACATATTATACTTGCTTCTCCCAGACCATTGATACCAAGACCTGGGGATCCCCAGTACCGAACGTTTCCCCGGAGAGTCCTCGTAGACATGAAGGGAGAACAGTCTTCAACTACAAAGTTTCTCCAACTATTACTCTGAAGTCATGAATTTGCCAGGAGCCCAAATTGGAAATCGGCCCGGCGAGTTTCCGGGGAGAGACTCCGTTCAGCTGCCCCATATTGGGTATGTCAGCTAATTATTCAAACGGGTTAGTACTGCTGACACTACAATTGCTATGCACTTTTTAAATTTGCTATGTATTCCCAATTTTGTCCTCTGTCCTGCATGCCATAGCATTAGAACAAGCAAGATGGGATCGTTGCCAGAGCTCGACATCTCTTTTCCTCCAGGAGCCTGGGACAGCCATGTCCATGTTGCTGATGAAGTAGGCAGATCTTAACTTACATGAAGTTTTCTTTTAGCCACTTAAAATTGACCGTTGTTGATTTACAGGAAAATTTCCATACCATCCAACACACCCCTACCAGCCAAAGAAAGCCGACCTCGACGATCTTCTCGCATTCCAGCAAAGCCAAGGCATTGCTCATAGCTACCTCGTAGCATTCTCAGTATACCAGACGGACAATCTAGCCTTCTGGATGCTCTGCGCCGAGTAAATGGCAAAGGTCGTGCAGTAGCCTGCATTGACTCCCAGACAGTGACAGATACTGAACTTCAAGACCTACACGATACCGGAACGAGAGGAATCCGACTGAGTTTCCGGACCTCGAGTAAACGGGTTGATAAAGCTACCTTTGAAACAATGCTCGTACAAGCTACGGAAAGAATCCGACCCTGATCACGTCGCGCAGTTTGCATCCGTTGTGCTGCGATTAGGTGTCCCAGTTGCGATTGACCATATTGGGCATCCAGAACCGTCCAAAAAACCTCCGCGGTTACAAGAAGGGTATCCAGAGTTCATGGAGCTTCTAAGGTCTGGTCTGGCGTATGCGAAACTTAGTGGAACGTACAGGTCTGACGGTTTGCCCGAGCTGGATGCATACGCCCAGGAGATCCTATCTATTGCTCCGGATTGAGTCGTCTGGGCGAGTGATTGGCTGCATAGTGGTGGTGTTTCGAGGAACCCAGGGGAGGGGGGGCTAGCAGTCATTACGAAAGCTAGTTTCGAACAAATTTGCATACTTGGAACTGGTTGGCAATTTGAGGAAACCAACATCCGGAAACAAGAGCTCCGAAAATGTACGTACTGGCTACTGTATTGATAACATATGCGCATCCCAGAGGTAAAGAAGGCGCATAACTCTTCCAAAATTGGGTTGCTTGATACGCTTTTGAACATTGAGTTCTTATTGATACATCAAAAGTCTTAAGCCATACCAAGTCTCACTTGTAGCGGTACCTGTGGTATAAATCGATGAGTGCCTAGAAAGGTCATAGATACTTGATTGTGTGTACTAGCTAGGTGGTGAGGTCGAGGGTTGATATCAATACCCCGCCTAAAATGGGCTAGTTCCAATATGGCACCGAGCAGGCGTCTAAGTGAGTAAGGTGATATCCTGTCATAAATCAACTTCACACAGCGCTTCTCGTCTTATACTTGCTTCTAGACCGATGACAAAGCACGTCATGATAGAGCCATCATCAGCGCCGTCCCAGTGCGCCGTCCCCGCAGGAGCCCAGATCATATCACCAGCTTTGATCGGACGCGCGTATCTTGGCATTTATCGCCTGAACCAGATAGTACCCGTATCATCTGTCCGCCTTCATGAGTGTGCCAATGTGTTCGAGCACAAGGGGTGGAAGTAATGGTTCGCTAGTACGAGAATTGTGTCCTAATGGGGTACCTCCATATAAACCTCACCGGAGAAGATGCCCGTGTGTTTTGCAACATTTTGATTGGTATTAGCAGAACCGGGAATAATGACTTTCCCGGCATTGTTGGTCTTGCTATACAATTAACAGCTTCTTTGCGAAGTTGAGTAATCGATATCTTACTCTGGGAAGATTCTAATTCGTCTTCTTTATCTTGCAAGTAGCGTGAGAAAGAAAAGTCAGAAATACAGGTAGACCAAAAGGGCATATGGTCCTTACCCATGGAAGTTGCACGAATAGATTAGTAATCAAGGTACCATCGAATTTTGCACGTATATGAGATTATATCCAGTATCAAGAAATACGTACATTAGTGATCAATTAGTAATGGCGATCATCCTGTGTTGTTAGAGTAATCAACAAAGTGAACTGCATATCCCGAGTCAGTCTGACTCGATCAGAGTCAAAGTCGATCTCAACGGTCACACTGGTGGGGCTGATGTCAGACGCCTAACCAGATACGGACTGGCCATTTAGGGTAAGTTTGCCGGGAGAGTGGAGAAATTGGAGTCTATCGTGCATTATTAGTGCGTTTCTTATTATAAAGTTTGAACTAGCCGCAACCTAAAGGCTGACACTTGCATCAATAGAGACCTCAAGGTACGTAATCGACGGACTCTGTCGGCATCTACGTACTCTGTAATTGTCAGTTTATAGTGCCAGACACCAAATTGCCGATTAGACGCCGAAACAAGATGCTATCTCCGTTGCAAATTTCTCGTGAAGTTCATGAAATTCTTGTTTCGTACCGGAAATAGGTGGAAGTGGAGAGGTGAAAAACCTTTGCGATGTCAGCGGCGGTCAAGCATGGCTGCGTGTAGACTATCGGCAGTTAGTATAAATAGCATCAAAATCCCACTGCTGTCACAGAGGATTCTTTCAAATCTTAAAGTTGCTTCAGCACCCAAGGCATCTTTTCAGTATACGTATACACCTTTTATTCCGGTCACCATGAGTTCTCAAGATTATAAGTTCGAGGGTTGGATGGGAGATAGCCCCGCGTCTGTAAATGGCGCTATGGAATGGAGAGAATTCAAGCCCAAGGAGTGGGAAGAGACCGATGTCGATATCAAAATCACCCATTGCGGTGTCTGTGGTTCCGACTTACACGCCTTGCGTAGTGGATGGGTATGTGAGAATATGGTCGTTGCCAATATCAAAGACATTCCTTGCTTACCGATTGACTGATAGGGCCCTACAAATTATCCCTGCTGCGTCGGACATGAGATCGTTGGCATAGTCGTCCGAGTTGGCTCCAAGGCGGAAGGCGGCATCAAAATCGGCGATCGAGTCGGCGTTGGTGCCCAAGGAGAATCTTGTTTAGGTCGCAAGGGGCCCTGTGAGGACTGCGCATCAGGAAATGAGAGATACTGCGGCCGTCACTGGGCAGGAACTTATGACGGGGTTTTCATGAATGGAGATAAATCGTATGGAGGTTATGCGCTCTACAACCGCACCCCTTCCCATTTCGTTGTGAAAATCCCCGATTCTATCCCGTCTGCGGAAGCGGCTCCTATGCTCTGTGGTGGAGCTACAACCTACACACCTTTAAAGCGCGACGGATGTGGCCCAGGTAAATCTGTTGGTATTATCGGAGTTGGCGGACTGGGCCACTTTGGTATCCTCTTTGCAAAGGCCCTCGGAGCCGATAAAGTAGTTGCTATTTCCCGCAAGGGAAATAAGAGGGAAGACGCCCTTAAGCTCGGTGCTGACGAGTATATTGCAACAGATGAGGATGAGGGCTGGGCTGAGAAATATAACCGCTCTCTAGACATCATCTTATCCACCGTCTCATCGGCAAAGGTTCGTGTTCAATGATTCCATGTAACCATTTTCCCTAGCCAATGACTAATTATCGCTGTTTAGATGCCTCTGACCCAATATGTTGGCCTTCTAAAGGTTGGTGGCACGTTGACTCAACTAGGAAATCCCGATGATGGCAAATTGGCTATCCCTGCCGGTGCATTGATCTTGAGAGGTGCAAAATTGGGTGGCTCTGTTATAGGTTCCCCAGGTGACATTCGAGAATTGTTGGCATTGGCTGCCGAAAAGAAGATAAAGCCCTGGATTGAGGAACGGCCCATGAAGGACGCAAATCAAACCATTCTAGACTTAAACGACGGCAAAGCACGCTACCGTTACGTGCTGGTCAATGAGTGGTAGAGAAGGATTATGTACAGATTCTGTCATCTTCAATCTGTTTACCACGCTAACAGCTGCCTGTGCACGGGACACTTATGCGTCCTTCCGTAAATGTGTGTTTGGTCTATATAGTAGCTCTATGCATAATGAGAAAGCTTCATCGTTCTGTCGTTTAGCATGGTACAATGTCACTTGGCCAGCTAAATTGTTCGAAATATCTGCCATATAATCGGAAGGCGCACGTATGGGATGCAGTTGTATCTTCAGGCATTCCGAATGATCACACCTAGATCCTGCATATCATCGTTCCAACAAATGGTTCTGTGGATGAAGTGCCATACTCGGATATATGGTCTTCAAGGTTCCCAAGACGAAACTTAGTTAGGCAAAGTGCTGGAGCGTTTAAAAGATTAAGTATATAGTTAATATTTATTGCATGTTAAACTACAAGTGAACAAAGGAATCTTGAATGGTTATTGGTACTATCATTTCGTAATAATTCTGACAGGATTGAGACAGGATAAAAGTTTTTTTGGGGAGATGGTAGGTCATATGAATAATGCAAGAACCTTGAATGGGATAGTGTGGGAGAGCGTAGTAATACTAGTCACTCATCCGATAACTCCATATACCTCCCCTGTTCATAATCATATTGGTTAAGGCACATATTGATCCATCATTTACAACGGCTTCCTTGAAAATAACCTCTTGGAAACGTCTTAATATACCAGTTGTAGTCGAATCGCCTGATGCTATCGCCGAAGGTATGGTCTGTGTATACTATACCACTTTCTTGTTCTGTTCTCATATCCAGTTACTCCTTTTGGAGCCTTGAAATACAGCTATCAAGCATGGTGAGATTCCCCTATCGTTCGAGAAGCTTGCAAAACTTCCACGGGTGGCCAGATGCACTTCTGGCATTATCTCAAAGTACCGCAATGATGAAGTCATCAAATGGCCTTACGGTGGCCCCAACGAGGATCGGAATCACGAAATCGAATGTCGGATATACAAACACCTCGGCCAGCATCCTCAAATTGTGAAAGTTATTTCTCTACTGCCACCGAGAGGTATCGTGAGGGAGCAAGTGAAGGAACCGCTTTTCTTATGCCTACAATGCCTTCGACAGAACAACAAAGTCACGTCAGCTGAGTAGATGTAAAAATGGTCCATTCAGATGGCAGAAGGTCTACAATATATTCATAGTCAGAACGTTCTTCAAGCAGACATTAGGTCTCAAAATCTATTAGACATGAATGATGACCTGAAATTCACCGATTTTGCGGGATCGTCAATTGATGGCGAGGATGCATATGTCAGTGCAAGTGCTCGTGCTCAGTATCCCTAGCTATGGCAGCGCTATCCGTCGGTAAAAGACGAGATTTTTGCAATGGGATCTGGCATCTACGAAACTTGTGACTTCGCAAAGATCCGACGACGATAAACAGGATCATGCAGTGGAAGATCTTTATGCAGCTGGCAATTCCCTGATACTCGACATTTGATACTCGGACCAGTGATTAAGAAATGCTGGAAAATGCAGTATGAAGATGTGGCGGAGGTTTTGGATGATCTTCGATATCTAAAGGAGCGTCCCTCATAACTGTCAGTATTTTTGCGATATCTCTCCTTGGGGCTACATGATTCTATAAACTTCAGATCTGTTTACTTAGTAACGACATTGATGTGTTCAAAATGTGAGTACATCAGTGTGCTCATCATATACAGTGGTTGCACGTCCAGCCCAGGTGCGTTGTACGCTACTTCTTGTCCTTTCCCAGACGAGAATTTGCATAGCCGGGTATCTTTTGATACATGATCTTAGTCATAGTCCATGAATACCACCATCAACTAGTGTACTTAACATTCTTTTCTGGAGTTGGGACGGGCAATGTACCTCCTCAAATCACAAAACGCATGACTCATGTTGTATACTAAAGTCCCTATATTGATTTTGTACAATATATCAGGAAAGCTGAAAGGAACCAACAGTGTTCATTCCATTGATGTCATCTGCAAAGATTCTGAATTGAGCATGTCCATGCCTCTAAAGTTTTCGCCAGCCCATCCTAGCTTATATGAACCAGATCTCCACCCTTCTGCTAATGAATTGAATTGTGTATATTCAATGAATTCATTTATTGCAAAGCAACAACCTCAACTTCAACCGGCACCCCCTTAGGCAACTGCTTAACAGCCACACAACTCCTAGCGGGCTTATGCGCAAAATGCTTGGAATACTCCTCATTCATATCCGCGAAATCAGCCATATCCGTCAAAAACACAGTCACTTTCACGACTTTTGTAATATCGGATCCGGCAGCAGCGAGGACCGCGCGCACGTTTTGAATGCATAGAGCGGTCTTTTCTTGGAGGGTGCCTGTTTCGAGGATTTTGCCGGCGGAGTCGCAGGGGATACAGCCGGAAGCGAAGATTAGGCCTTGGGCTTTGATTGCGTGGGACTTTTGTCATGCGTTTAGGGTTAGTACGGAGATGAGGGGATGGACGTGAAAGTGAAAACGTACGTAAGGGCCGGCAGCTATACATAACATAGTCAACATCATATTACCGGTATTTGTTCGTTTGGAATGGATTGAGACATACGAGGAGCAGCATCCTGGGCAAAAACAGGAGTCATTTCAGTAGCCATTGCGGAACTCTGCGTATAATTGCGATTGCTTGACGACAAAAGATGCGAACTGTGTAGAGCTAACCGTGAAGTTGCGATTGGTCGAAGACTAGACGACATCAATTGAGAAAGAGTTCGCCGAGAGATGGAGGATATGGGTTGCATTAAGTAGATACGTACAAAGTGCGATTGGTTACTAGAAGAAAAAAAGAGATGAAGGTGACCGAGAGTTGAAGTTTCCCGTGGGGAATAAATTACTCCTCTTCCGTATGGATTGCCCCTCACCAGCGTCAGTGGTACGGCTACAATAATTGAGTTGCATTAATAATCTACTTATTTTTGTCGAAGGGGCCACCTCTCGTTCAACATCTACATCCTTGGGATGATCTAAGAGATATATATCAGCATGCAGTCGGTCTGAGAAAATATTTGTTGACTTGATCAACCTTGAAGCTGAATATCGTCTCTTCCGGTATCGGCTACTACTACGAGTCATGGTTTGTGAAGAAATAACTCTGATAGAGAACAATATTAGGAGTATTCATAGTATGTAAAGAAACCAACGCTCGCTCGAAAACAATAATTGCTCAAGTCATGTCTCGTAAAGGTATATACAAAATAAATATGTAGGTATATAGATAAGAAGAATCACTTCCCGGAACTCAGCTGTTGCATCAACACCGCTGTTTCTTCGGCTGAATATCCGAAAAATACAGGACCGTTGAAGACCATCTGTGATGGGTTGTTTGAGGCTGGTGCAGATGGAGGCGGAGGCGCTGATGTTTGTACCTTTGGCTCTGTATAGGCGTTATCGACCTTGTCCTCCTGGGCTCTCGCATTGCTGTTCATATGCTGCTGATACATAGGAGAGCCCGCCTCCTTCAAAGTAGCATCAGCTGTAGGTTCGGGCTTCTTCATGAATGCTGTATGATCAAATGGGCATTTACCCTTTGGTCGGACCGGTGTAGGTGAAGTAGTATCATGGAGCTGCACTACAGCAGAAGGTATGTCCGAGTTAGTCAGCTTTGGCGTCTTCAATTCCGGAACATGAATAGGTGCAGCAGGACTGTTGATAGCACTGCCCAAAGCAGGCTGATTATGATTCAAGATCGGAACAGGAATACCCCAGGGACGACTAGGCGACTCGCCAACCCGGATTTCTCGTAAAGGACGCTCAAAGTGGCCCACTCTATCCTCCTCATCACCTGCCACTCTGTCTCCAAGCACCTCGTCCTCTTCCACTGTGCTCAATGTTGCTGGATGTGGTGACTTGGAGCTGACGTCTTCCGCCCATTTCTCAACACGTTCCACTGAACTACCGTTCTGTCCTGACTCGGGGAGAAGTGGTTTATGTCTCTCACCAAGGCCTTGAATCATATTTACCAGACTGCCGTACTTGGCGTCAATCTGACGCATGGTAGATTGATTCCTCTGGAACCGAGAAACACAGATTGCATGACTTCTAGGAATTTCATGTTTGTGCATCTCGAAATATTTGGCTAGTTCTTCCGGTGAATGGTCATCCATGTATCGGATTGGACAACGAGCCGCAGAGGATCTAGCAGAGGCGCCTGTGTTGGAGGCGCGGTCTTGCGCAGTAGTGCTTTGATCAGCTTTGATAGGATCAAAAGCGCATTTAGTATTACTGCTCTGCCCATCTATATTGTTGACCGTTGTCAAAGCCGTGCCATTCACATGTCCATTCGTAGTTGCCTGAGAGGGCTTTGCATAAGGACAGCGAAGACTCCCCTTTACACCATTAGAAGTTGTAAAATCGCGTTCAAACAGAGACGAACGTCGAGCCTTGGCGGCCACTACGCAGGGATTATTCGACGTGACCTCAAGACTCGCATTGTCATCTGTACGAACATCTCCGTCAAATGATCGCGAGGATATGATACCCGCTACTACGACATCAAGTAATTGACGCTGGATATGTCCGTGTTCTTGGAGGTTATCAACGACGTCTAAAGGTTTTAGCGATGGGTCTAGTTTCGGGAGAGGTTGAGAGTCGGTTGGACGAATTTGTTCCAATACACTTTGTTCTACATTGGTGAGGCCTCCTTCCACTCGATCGGCTAGTTTCCTATACTTTGACAAGTTAGCGAAAGATTCACTTGGGTAAAAAACAAAAGTAATAAGACAAAATGAAATCTTGTCAGGTAATACATGCAAAATGTCACGGCCGACGCGCGGCTCACGATCTAGAGCTAATTCGAAAAATTTCTCATCACACAAGAAATTGGGCATATAAAAGGGAGGCAGAAAAAAAAAAGAAGACACCAAACTAACCTCGTCATGAGCAAGTCTGACTCTTCGTTGAAGCTCTTGCTCCCTCAAGCTTAACTGGTGGACAGTCACCAACAACGCATCCAGTGCGGAAGTCAGTGTCTGAAGGTCATTATCTTTGTGGGTAGGTTCGAAAACTCGAGCAGGAGACATTATGTGAAGTAATATAGATATTAGAATGTAATTTTAGAAGACATTTCAACGCGAGGACATTTATCTCGTGTTGTGTGTTGACAAAAGAAGAGAAAAGAGAGTCGGTTGGAAAGTCCGAAGAAATACTCGAGGTGGGGCGATCACGTGGATCTGATATCTGGCTGACTAATCGGCCTACTGAGTTGCCTGTTCTCTCTGAGTCTGACAGCTTGACAGCTCGGATTTTCGAATCTCCAATGTTCAGCAATCTATGTACAAAAATAATAAAGTATCCCAACGGTAAAACGTACGACAACTATCTAGTTTGCATAGACAAGACGCACGACATCATTAAGTAAGCAATTGTTGACGAAGTCCACCAAATGGAGGAATCTAAAATGTTCAGACGAAATAAAAGCAAGTGGTGCGATAGTGGTATTATTAAGAGGTGATTAAGCCCTCGCTCATAATGTTTCAAGGAACTGCAGACTTCCGTTTTTCTCTTGTTCGCGGTGGGATCTGTCTTTTTTTTTCGACTGAAAGATCTTCTGGAGTAGATAGATCACGCCGAATAATGGGATTGTCTGGCGGTGGGAATAGTCTGAGCGGTATTGCATGTTTGTCGAAATCATAGTCTGCTAACAAAGACCGCGAAATATACCCACCGGTCGACATTATGATTGTTGAATTTTTGTTGCCTGTAACTCGGAATCCGCCGGTGTTCATCTGAATCTCTCTCCATGATATGCATGCACCAAGAAAGCGAGGTGAAAAGTAAAACAAATTTTATGCCGAAATCAGCTTGCGGAAAGAATCATAATGTCTTCCACGTGTGTGGAGAGATTATAAAAATCCAAAGAGGAAAGGTTTATACCTTTCCTTCTTGTCCATGAAGAAGAGTGAACACAGGAGCAGGTAGTTTGTCTCTTCCCTTGAGGAAGTCGAGTTCCAGAATGAAGACAAATCCAATCAAGGTTCCTCCGAGTTTCGTGACGAGATTGCCGGCAGCAGCAGCAGAGCCTCCTATTGAGTAGAAAAAACTCCGTTAGCAATTGGGCTAGACATGAATGAAATTCTCCGATGAGGGTGCATATTAGACCAACCCCATCAGAAGGAAAACACATACCCGTTGCAATAATATCATCGACAACCAGCACTTTTTGCCCCTTCTTCACCGCATCTGCCTGCATCTGGAAAAAGTCCTCGCCGTACTCCTTCTTGAACGACTCGGTTTCACAAGGACCAGGCAATTTACCCCGCTTGCGCACCGGAGCGAAGCCAGCGCCCAATCTCAACGCAAGACTAGGTCCAAACAAGAAGCCGCGGGCATCCAAGCCGACAATGACATCGGGCTTCTCATGGTATGTCTCGAGGATATGCAACTCGAGAGATCGGATGAGGGCTTCGTGAAGAGTCGGATCGGCGAAGAGGGGTAGGATATCCTCGAAGAGAATGCCGGGTTCGGGGAAGTCGGGAAACTGGCGTAAAGCAGATCGAAGTCTTATCTTAAGACTGGCGAGTTCGGTGGTGCGGGGGGGATGGGAGGTGGCGTGTCCGGACTCTTGGGCGGTGTTGGAGGCATCCTGTGCAGTGATCTGCTGGGACATGCTGAGAGGAAGACGACGGACGGAAGAGGGGGAGAGAAGAGTATATAAATGGGGGGAGGGGGAAGAAGAAAGAAGAAAATATAGGAGGCGGGACTAACTAAGGCGGGAGAGATAGGCAGAGAGGCGATAGAGAGGAGGGGAAGTTTTGCTACAGAAAAAAAATAGAAAGGTGTTCTAAATTTTTTTCCGCGTCTCAGTCGGTGATCTGATCCGATGTATGTAATTTTAGTACCAGTACTTGATACATGTATACGACATTACAGTACCATTCCTGCCACTTTATTAATCTGTGATGCTTCAGATTTGTTTCTTAATTCACAATTATATTGTTTACATCTGTCTATTCGATATGAGCCAGGTGGCTGTATTATGGCCGCTTTTGATGAGAGCGAACGCAAGTTTCCGTAGAACCACATGTACCTGTACATCCAGACATACAGAAATGGATCATACACACCGCATCTACATGAAGCACGCCATCTGGTCGGAGCAGGCTGGCTGTTACAATAAATACAGACAAATGCTACATAGTAACATACGCATCCACCGACAGATCCAGGCCAGTTCATCAAACAGCCTCGACTTTTCTTCTTACACGTTTCATTACGCGTCTGTTTCTGACTCGACAGCATATACGAACAACAACCCACTGGGAACATCAAGGTCAAACAGTCGTATCGCTGTCGAGACCTAGACCAGCCTTTAGTCAAAATCGATCAGTCCATCAGCCCGTCGGCCACCAGTGGCCCTATCCAGAGAGCCCCGCCCTAAAATCAGCCACAAGATGTAGATTGCCCCTCTACGATAGCTGATAATAACAAAGCTGGATTTGAGCGCTCAAATCAGGTAGCGAAGATGCATCCAATATCTTTCACACAGGCCATGATATTGCTGTTTATTGGACAATAGAGTATATTCTTTCTTATACTGTTTCCACATCGAATCGTTGGCCGTTCGGCATGTGAAGGCCAGCGCAAAGGAGGGACGAATGGAGACACTCGACCCTATCATTTGTCGATGCTTTTTAATTGACGCAAATACTACTACGGTTGGGGCCGGTAATTTTGTTAGTACGATTTTTAGGCGGTCAGGCTCCGGGGCTCACCGCCTTTTAAATAGAATATTGACCATCCGTCTGCTTTCAGCCTTTCAAGCCTAGATATATGACATTTGACGATCAATATGGCCACCCCCGAGCCTACCAGCCCCCCTAGGGCAACAAGCGCAGCAGCTCTCGAGCCATCTGATTCCAGGCAGAATTCAGCACGGCTGAATAGGGATGAACGGATCCGAGTATTAACCCTTCGAGATGCTGGATTTACATATCTTCAAATCTCTCAGCAACTTCAAATTAGCTATCGCCAAGTCCAATATACGTGCCAAAGCCAGCAAGCAACCCCTAAAAAGGCCCGTGGCAACCCTCCGAAGCTCTCCGAGGCTGAAGTTGATCATATTATCGAATGGATTACTTCTTCGAAGCGTACGCGACGTATGCCTTATTATAAGGTTATACAAGAGCTTAACCTATCTATTGGAAAGCACGCCCTGGCTCGAGCTCTTAAAAAACGAGGTTACACAATGCAAGGCTCTTAATAAACCTCCTCTATCAGATAAACATAAACAAGTACGTCTTGCCTGGGCCCTAGAGCATTTGAATTGGACGACTGAACAATGGAATCGTATCCTTTGGTCTGATGAAACATGGGTTACTTCAGGATTTCATACGAGAATCTGGGTAACTAGAAAGGCTGGTGAAGAGTTAGAAGAGACTTGCATACGATCCTCTCCTGCACGGAAACGTGGATGGATGTTCTGGGCTACTTTTCATGGGAATAACAAGGGTCCGTGTTTATTCTGGGAGAGGGAATGGGGAACTATTAACTCGGAGAGATATTGTCAACGGGTTATACCAATTATTGATGGCTATATTCGCTTATTACGAGACGATATCTGGCTTCAATTTATGCAGGATGGGGCACCTGGCCATGCGAGTAAGGAGACTCTCGAAGAGCTTCATTCTCGTGGGATATATCCAATTTATTGGCCAGCATTCTCACCTGATCTCAATCCAATTGAAGCAGTATGGAATTGGATGAAGGATTGGATTCAAGAACAATATCCAGATGATGAGCAACTTTCTTATGATCGACTCCGTGAGGTTGTACGAGCTGCTTGGGATGCACTGCCTGAGCAGTTTTTGAAGGAGCTCATTGACTCTATGCACGCTAGATGCCAAGCTGTAATAGATGCTCGAGGTGGTCATACAAAATATTAGATTAGTAATCAGATATGACTGGCAGAATTCATTGGATTTCAACCCCTGTAAAAAAATCGTGCTAACAAAATTACCGGCCCCAACCATAGTACAGTCTGAGTCTGTGAGTCACAGTCTAAAAACGGAAATTCTAGAATTTAAAACATTGTCGCGCTTGACGCTGCTCTTATACATACCCGTGGATTAATTGCTCAAGGAGGGAGAGGGAGGGGGGATCTGTGAGACATATCGGACAGGGATTATTTGTGTGATAGATTTAGCCTGAGACTAATCGTACGGTCCGTGAGTACCCGGGGACTTTTATTAGAAACAATAGTATTCGCTAATATATGAGCGAGTTTCTGTCTATCTTCACCGATCCCTAAGGCAGGCAGATCCGAACGCCTTCTGTATCTTGGTATCTTGTTTTACTACATAAAGCAGCAGGTATATCAAGGTACTTGATTCAAACTGCACATACTATGAGTCTAACCACAACATACATGATAGCCTAACCGTCTGGAAGACCTGCATCATTTGCGACCCTAAAACTTAACATAGCCCTTGCCCTTGATGAACGTGGCGTGCCATGGAACACCACCGTCGTTGCTTGCCAGCTGTGGATAAAACTCACCATGCGCAGGGCCATCGACTGCCATGCCCTTAAACTTGCCGTCTTCGTGACGTTCGTCAGCATAGAAGAATCTATCGAGTTGGTACAGATTAGCGACAGTGTATAAAACAACATGTGTAACGAGGGCATACCGAATTCCCTTAGCAGAGTACAATGCATCAGCAACACCAACCCAAAAGGATGAAGCGGACTTTCCAACACCCAAATTCAACATCATCGGGATGGGGATAATGTTGCTACTCAAGGCGTTTCCAGTATATATGAAGGTCTTCTTAGCCTCCTTGGGTAAACTCTCCCAAGCAGCGAGAGCCTGCTGTGCCGCAACGTACGGGCTAACGGTATTGACGATTAGATCGCCAGTTACCCGCTCAGACGGAATCGACAGCACAGAGTCCTGAACCGGGGGAGGAGTGAGAGTCGCTGCATTGTACACAACAACGCTAGGCGCGGTTTGAAACTCAGCCTTGACAGCTTCAAAGACGGCTGGGATTGACTCGGGATTGGTAAAGTCTGCTTTGATGGAAAGGTAGCCCTTCTCGTTGATCTTGTTCTCTCCCTTGCGAGATGCGACAGCCACTTTGTAGCCTTTACTGGCGAAGTTTTCTGCGACGGAGGCACCAATTCTGGGACCGGCGCCGAGAATGAGAACAACGGGAGCTGCCATTGTAACTTTTGAAGAGAGGAATCGACTTGTGAACGATTTGACTTTGCTCTTGGATCTGGATAACAATGAAGGAGCCATATTGGAGTCGCTTTGGGGGGATATGCCGTCTTATTTATGCCTATGAGTCCAGATATTATTAAAAGCATCTCGGTATAATTCATTGATGAGTCCGAGGATTGATAATCAGGAGCCTGTTCTTTTATTCGAGGTGAGTGAGCATCCAACATGACTCTTTTAGGGCTTTTGTTCCAAGACGGACCCACAAGCCGCGCGGGTGGATCCTTTCCGAGAGTGAATTAAGAACTATCATTGGCCAAATAGACCTCACCACTAAAACCTTGTTCATCCCGCGCGGTCGTAATCTGAATGAAGTTCAATGAATGAGGAGAAGGTTACAGATTAGCTATAATATGCTAAACAGACTTCAAAGCACAATCGGTGCATCGGCACCGGATTTGTCAGCTCAATGTGGAAGATTGCAGCTAATCATCTCGGCGTTGATTTAATGCAGACTTCCCCTCTTCCCCAAACATGTCAAGAAAGGTCAGAAATATGGCGCAATGCCCTCGATTCTCTCACTAATCCGCACAAATTATTTCTGTCCTACTTGTGAGTTTGTGTATTCCAATCATCTACCACGCTATTCCGCAATACACAAACATCTGTCCCGCAAAGATAATAAGTGAGACACTCAATAATTCACAACTCGAACCCCTTACGCAGACCATGACCTCCTCCAAACGCACGCCGGTCTACTTCCTCGGCATCGGCGGGCCAAACTTCATAGGAGACACAAAACACCCAGCCTACTTCAAACTAGCCGAAGTCGGTCAAGAAATCACGCAAAAAGTCCAACCAAAAGCCGTGGTCGTATTCTCAGCTCACTGGCAAGGTGGTCCCAATACAATTCAGATCAACACTGCAGAAAAGACGGATCTGATCTATGACTTTTATGGGTTTCCACCGCATTATTATGAAGTTGAGTATCCGAATAGGGGCAGTAGGGAAGTTGCGGAGAAAGTTATGGAGAGGCTAAGCGCTAAGGGTATTGATGTTGAGCCTGTGAAAAGGGGTCTTGATCACGGAGTTTGGGCTGGGTTTATAGCTGGTATTTCTGATCCCTCCAGACATAATTCCTGCGCATGCTAACTCTGCCAAAAGCATTTGATCCGAAGAAGAACCCATTAGATGTACCGATTGTAGAAGTCTCGATATTCGGTAGTGAGGATTCAGATCAACATTACCGCGTGGGTGAGGCACTACAGAGTTTACGAGATGAAGGTATTTTGATTATGGGCGCAGGCATGGTCGTCCACAATCTTCGCGATTACCGGTCTATCATGAATACGAACAAAGTTATGCCGTAAGCTAGTCCTTGCCTACCTCAAGATTTACCTAGAACTTACATGGTTCTTCTTTTTTTTCTAGATATGTTTACACTTTCGATGAAGTTCTCAAAGAAGCTGTGACCGTTGCTGCAAAGGACCGTCGATCTGCATTGTCTACACTGATGAAGCAGCCTCTTGCTCGACAGGCTAATCCCACTTTTGAGCATATCTTGCCGCTGCATGTTGCCGCTGGTGCTGCTGGGGAGGACGTGGGCGAACGATTGTGGACTTTACCAGAGAAGAGTTTGAGTTGGGCTCAGTATCGATTTGGCAGCGTATGTTGATAATATACCGTGCACTCGTGTAATCATGCTATCAGCTAGATACCAACACAGGATCTTCGCCTTTTTAAATAAGTAGAATTTGTTACATTTAGGATTCAGGAATAGCCTTCCTCATAACACTCTCCACCCAGCTCCTCGGCATGCCTAATTCCAGGGACTCCTTGATCGCTCTATTCATCCTACCCACATACTCAAACTTTGGCGGTCCAACAGTAACTCTTTTTTCATCGACATAAACCAACACCGTAACATCCTCTTCTTGGCCTTCTTCCGTAACAAGCCACTTTGTAACTTTCGCGGGCACGTACCACTTATTGTAAGCACCATTGTCTTGCTCTCTCGGTCTGATAGCGGTGGGAATCTTATTGCCGTACTGTGATGCAGGCGCTGAATGGTCAACACCTTCGTACCCGTCGAGAAGATACTCGTCTTCAGGTGTCATTTCATACAACACCCCAAAAACAACATCGCTCTCTTCTGCCGCCGTAGACAGAGAGGAAGAAGAAACAGAAACCATCTCTCCATGACTTACCTGTCTACCTATCCTCCATTCCTTTGGAGGAATAATATTAGCATATCCCCTCTCACAAATCAGCCATCGCCAACGATCTATTCGCGCAATGGCTAATGGTCGACCAGACGTTGAAGGGTCATGTTCACATCGAAGATGCATTTGTGTTGGAGAGAGGTTTGAGCCGTAGGCAAAATAGTACACTTTCCTTTTTGATTCCGAGGAAGTTGAAGATGTAGGTTGGAAGTTTGCGATGTTGGCCTTGTCGGTGAATTGTTGCTGGAGGATGGTTTGGTTGTGATCTAATAAACGGTTTGTGGATGAGTCTTCGGCTATGGCGTCTTGGGCGACGATGGGTTTGTGGCCTGGTATTTCGGTGGTGGATGACATTGTTTTTTGTCTGTTCACTTCGTTCTGTGTAGTGGTTTGATGTTCCTGGACACTACACTGGGACGATATGGTGATATCCCACCATGCAACAATTGCGTGCTAGAAGAACACATTAGGCCAAGAAAGGAACAATACACATTTAATGTAAGTGGTAATGAATTTTTTTTTATTCCTTACTCTGATTTGTCTCGTTTATTGGGAGATTCGATATTGAAATCTCCCGATGAAATTCGAAGACCCGGTAATACTTAGGTATGAGGGCGATGCCGATGTCGATGTAAATCTTTACCCAAGTCCTCCATGGATTGATGATTTATAACACTTCAAGTTAGCTAGGCGGTAAGACAAGCTGACAAAAAGATTGTTTTACAGTTTCTTGTTCAGATGGGTCCAGAGAAGCTTATCCCAGTACAAGCTTTTGGATTACTCCACATATCAGGTACAACATGCCACAATCATGATGCTCAGTGTCGACCTAGACTCAGTCTAGCTATTCTCTTCTTTCTCCTGTCAAATGCGAATACTCTCAGTGTTGACTAGAATGGTGGTGACAAGTTTGAGCTCAATCTCCGCACTACAGCGAACCCTATTCACCGACATTCGGATGGTGAAAACTATCTAGCATAAAACAGTCTCTCAATATTCAATCGCTAACTCACTGGAGATTCGAAGATGAAGGAAGTGTGAGTCACGTAGCAGTTTACACAAAAGAGGCCAAGCTGTCACGTGGTGCCCCGAGCCCTATCTACAATTCGAGTGACGAATTTACAAGACACAAGACATGCTTTTCATCTTGATACAGCTTTGAAGAAACTCTCATCATAGAAATAGGTCCCTTATTTTTCGCAGGAAGTATTGTTGATGATCCAGTGGAGATGGGAAACTAAGTCGAGTAATTGCCTCAACAACTTGCGTCAAATCGGTAGTTAGTCGTGCTGAGACTACGTAGTACGTGAATTATCCAGTCGAGACTAAAAGCTTGTAAACAGCAGAGTCGTCTAGTAAACAGACAATTAGTCCATATCAATTTAATTAAATCTCCCACATGGATCACGGTTATACGCGGTCTGAGTGGTTGATAAGCCTCAAGGCGGGGTCAAGATTGCTAATAAATTAAGCATACGTAAAAATCCATGATTTGTACGTATATATGCAACCATCTCTTCAAATCTCTTACTGATTCTGCTCCTGTAAAGTTTTTTAGCATTCTCTGATAGATTTGAGATTCATCCATCATGCCACAGCAATTCCAGCAGTTTCAGCTCCCAGATGGACGCAATCTGGATTATTGTGTGAATGGTCCCGAGGACGGAATTCCGCTTGTCTGGCTCCACGGTACACCTAGCGCAGGTATACCGGCTCCAAATCTTGTTACTGCCTGCGCAAAGAAAGGCATAAAGGTTATTGCGCTGTCAAGACCTGGTTATGGAGGTTCATCAAGAAACAAAGGTAGACAGGTTGTTGATACCGTGGCTGATATCAAGTCCCTCCTTAATCATCTTGGTGTGAAGAAGTGTCTTGTCGGTGGATGGAGTGGTGGTGGTATGTGTTCATACCCGTGATTGAGGTAAAAGGAAAAAAAGATGCTGATTGTAGAAGGTCCCCTTACCCTTGCTTGTGCAGCTCGATTACCCACTTGTCTCGCTGCTGTATCCTTTGCCGGTGTAGGCCCTTATGGCGTGGAAGGATTAGACTGGTGGGTTGGACAAGGCGAAGACAGTAAGTATTCTTCTTCCGGATCCTCAGAAGATGGTACCCACTAACATACGCAATCACAGATGTCGAGGAATTCTCCCAAGCACTCAAAGGAGAACCTCAACTCCGCCAATTCTGCGAATCCCATCGCAAGGAATTCCTACAATCTGATCTTGACGGCGTCATGGAAGCAATGTCCACCCTTCTTCCGCCATGCGACAATGCCACTTTGATCCAGAACAGAGATACAATTGGTCAAAACATGATTGATATGTTGCAAGAAGGCCTTAAACACAATGCCGACGGCTGGGTTGATGATGACTTGGAATTGCTTAAACCTTGGGGTTTTGAGTTGAGTGAAATTCGTGTGCCCGTTGTGCTTCTCCAGGGGACCGAGGATAAAATGGTGCCTTTTGGACATGGGAAGTGGTTGGCGGAGCATTTGCCGCAGGATAAAGTCAAGGCTCATCTTCTTGAAGGTCATGGGCATATCTCGATCTTTGAAGGGATTGATAGGATTATAGATGAGCTTATTGCTGTAGCGAATCTATGAGGATCCCGGGACATAAGGTAGCCTCGGAAACCGTTGTTGTCTTGGAAAAAAAGAGGTGCCTAGGAAAATCAATATGTACATTGAAACTCGAAACTCTTATATTATATACAAATTCCCAATCGGAACGTTCTGGCTTTTCACAATCCATCTCCTCCTAACCCCCAGGCCGGTAGAACTTCTCAACAATTCATACGTCTCCTCCCCACCACCAACCATAATCATGCTGATGGGCTCTCGCCGCGGCAATCCACTCGAAGTCATTTGTATTTCTTCCAAGTGCGGCCTGACAAGTCGGCTCTCAGAGGATAGCGCTGCCCTAGCCTGCATCAGGTTCGGGTTCGTTGATGTGAATGGTCGTTGATAATATTGTTCATCGTAAAAGTGCTGTTCGTCGCTGGCGTGAAAGGCTTCCTTGCCTTCATGATAGAAGGAAAACATCGAACCTGCGTCATGTTCTGGGTACGATACGACAATGACAAGCTGGAGACGATTGCTGTCGTTGCTGCTTCCAGAGTTTGGGTAGCCGGGAATATTTTTCAGCTTCTCAGAAAATGAACACCCTCCACGTTTGATGACAAGTACTTGATATTCGCGGGGTACGTCGGCAGGTAAACGATGGTCGCAGAGCTCATCCGCAAGATATATCTTTGACCATGTTAGTCGGGTCGTCGCTGGTTTACCATTGTGTGAAAAAATAGCAGCATCTACAATATCAGGTATTGGAGCTGATCCTGCTCCAATTGAGTTAATGGCGGGGAGTATGAGTCGAGTAGATGTACCGCTAGAGGTTTTTCTCTTGAATAAAGAGCTTTGTACGTTCCCAGAGTAGTGGCTTTCGTTGTCGCCGTCCAAGTTGTTTCCGCGTTCATCACCTAGAATAGTAGAAATATGACCCATCAATGCAGCAAGCGCTGTTCTTACACTTGATGCCGTTGAAATCTGTCCGTTCAAAAAAGTGCCATCATCCGAAAGCGTAGGGGATTCTTGCCGGATAATAGTTTGCTCTTGTTTGGACTTTTGATGGCGAGATGATTTCGTATCATTCTTGTTCTTCGACTGGGTTGATTCCGACTCAACGTCAATGACAACGTCCAGCATGACCGGATCGCGCACACGGGAAAAATGCGGATCGTTCGGACTTAATACATCAAATACGATCTCGCGCGACAAGTACACCTTCTCATCCCTGCCAAGTGGTAGGTTGTTGATCACCTGGATCCGAAACAAATCCGTGTAAATTCCCGTAGAGCCATCCTCGATACCCAAAGGTATATCCTGGACCATTCCAAGTCGCAAACCCCCAATTGACTTGAGCAGAACACCATCCTGTACTCTTTCCATTGACCCCGACCCAATAATCATGCCCGGCAATTTTGGGAAAGAAATGTCCAGTGTGGGCCGTATTGACATCGGAGAGCTCATTGCATTATACGGCACCAGTTCGGGAGGTAGTGTCCAGGGGTAGAAAGTATAGTTGGACGGTGAGAACAGATCAGAGGCAGTCACGCTTGGGTGATCCTGTGCAAAGTCAAATAGGGCACCACCAGCTTCGTTTCGAGTGGGCATGAGATGCAAGCGCGCTAAACTTGCTGCATGGAAGATGTCTGGCCGCGCTGCAGTGGAAGAGAAGCTGAATGGAGGAGGTACAGGGGCGAGCTCGCAAGTGTCGGTCACATTCTCAATCTCAGATTTTGCTGGCGACGATGCAGTTGATCCACTTTTCGGGAATATCAACGGATGGCCCTCGGTTGTAAACACAAAGGGTGCATCCAGCTTGTTCAATAGGTGATCTGGGTCGAAAAGCAGGAACATATATTTCGCTGTTTCTCCAAGAAAGAAGCTTTCCATGCGATCTTGCAACTCGCCTGTACGCACATCTTGAAGTCCGGCCCAGCCACATCGCGTCCAACAGCGGCGTTTAATATCTCGCAAGACCATTTCGCCTACATGGAGATACCATGGATCCTTGGTTGCTCGGTACAGATAGTAAGTTGACTCGATGAATTCGGGACGGCCTCCCCACCATCCGAGGCCGTTATCTATCTCTCCAGTAGCAACATTCCATCGTTCCGGTAAGGCAGAGAACCGTGTCCATAACGCGGTAGCCAGTAGATGTATCTCAGTTGCTTCCTCTATTTTCCCCGCCAAAGTAAGAACGCCCGGATAAAACGCACTCAAGCTGTCTATCCAAAAGGCTCGAGTCGCACCTGTTTGTAGATCTGCTTGCACGTAATGTGGATGTTGATAGCCATGTCCGCGATACAGATGATGCTTGATGGCGTCTTGTGCATCCTGCCAGACTTGAAAATAGAAGCCAGGAGAGTGATGCTCTTCTTCTAGTGATATGAAATAGTTGTCCATGAGGCTCCAGGGACTGCTGGTGTCGAACTCGGGAGGTTCACCAGACGATAAAAGAATGTATGATTTGTAGGCATATTCGAAAAAACTATCAATCCCAGCTCCGACCTATAATGTGTCAGTCTCGAGATAGTCTTCATCAGGGAAGAGCAACGTACGCCTGTAAAAGGTGCCACCCAATTGCCAGTTTCTGCGTCAATTCCAGCACCAATCAAGTCAATCTCACTTCGTCTCAACCAGACAGCCCAGAATGCCCGTTTTGCCAGATCTTCATAACGACCATCACCGGTCAGACGACTCAGAGTCGCGAATTCCAAGATGAGACTTCCTGCGCCTGCGCTGCACGTTTCAGTGACTTCTGGTCTTGATTGGAATCTCGTCGTATATTTCTTTCGATTATCAGACCTTTGACCAGGATATATCTTGCTCAAGGGAGAGTTTTCATAAAAAGGAACACCATGACGAAGGTTCACTCGAGGATATGGAAGTCCTGTCGGGGTATAAAAAGCTGGAAGCAGACGATCCGCCAGGTCACGAGCAAGTCGGAGCAGTTGCCCATCATATAGAAAGCCATTGGACCAAGCGATTCCTTTTGGCTGTTTTGATGACGAGAAAGCGCTCTTATCCCAGGCCTTGGCGTAATCAGCGGCTTCGGGAGACGGGTTGTAACCTCGAACCGGTAAATCGCCGACTGCGAAGAGATGCGCACTGAGCAGGCCACCTAATACACATTCAAATTAGCACCCGCAGAGAAATGAAATATCAATGGTCGCTAGAACCCACCCAACCCTCGTATCACGGTTTCGAAAACTTGAACTTTACTATCCAGGTCAAACCCTCGCGCTCTTTCACCCTGACCCTTGGGACCCTGACTACCATCACCGTACAATCGAACAATCTCCTGTACGCCATTTTGAAAATGTGTCCATGCGCGAGACCCCGTGTCGTTGCTTGATGCCAATATACCAAGAGTCGACAGGCTATCAATCAGGGTCAGCGAGTAATTGCCGAGGACGTCATTGAGTTCGACCCTCTCTGGATGATCGCGATCGCGGGTTAGCGGACCACACGTAAGAGGGCGCAATTCATCTTCCGGAAATGCGTATTTGATATAGTTGTCGTAGCCATGATAGAACATTTGTTCGGCTTGTAATCTGCACCAGTGAAACGAAGGCGCTCAGCAGGTGTCTAATGTAAGCCGTAAAGGAAATAACTTACCTTAAGTCGCGTATCTCATGATCTTTCAATGCCTGCACTCGGACCAGCCAGAGTGCTAGCGCCAACAGAACCCATCTCAGGCACGTTGGAGAAGACAGACCCGGTATATTCGGGCACTGGCATCGCGTGCGCATCGCCAGCGACAAGATATGTGAATCATTGGCTGAACTCTAGAATATCTGATACCTTATAAGCAATCAGATTTTCAAAACCATTTACTAACCTGATTGGAAGCCACTCAAACTGTATACACAGCTTTGAAAGTTCGACGTTGACTGTAATCTATGTAGTTGCTTTCGTGGTCTCTTACTTAAGAGCGGCCAAATTAGATGCGTCTTGGCGGGCTGATAAGATAAGCTTTTAAAGGGCATCACGTGCAGCACAACCCTAAAAACAATAGAGACCACACTTAACTTGTGAATCGGTCAAGCCATGAAAGGTCTCTGTCAATCCTTTTCTCGTCAAAATATAAGTATAGCTACTGCGGAGATTTTAGAAGATCATCATGCTTAAACTTGGTTGAGTGCTGCTGCGTCAAAATATTACACATTCGTCCTAAGCTTACATTCCTGTTGTATTCCCTGATTTCCCTTCCCTGGTTGGATAAGCGATGGAGCGTGTCTAATCTAAGAGAGGAGTATGTACGGTATTTTTTTACAGATTTGTATAGCAATTATGGCCTATTCATCATGATACATGATAATGGGGCCAGCAGAACGATATGTAAATGTGCAGAATGAAACATCGAACGTAACAAAACCGATTATAAAATTCTAGAATAACTTCAGAGTAGATGAACTAACCGCGATTCAAGTGAAACAAAGAAAGTATGAAGGAAAAGAGAAAATAAGACAGTAAAATCGAGCTATCCACGTATGAGCACATGGTAGATAAACTACCGCCCAAACAAAGATATACACATGAGAGTCAGCGTCAAAACACTTGAATTAATAACCCTGATGACTCAAGGACAAACCACGGACATTGGATAAAGAGTGAAGAAAGGTCCTAGTATGACTATATGACCCCGAATCTGACCGCGTCACATATTCATCATGGCGGTCTCGCAGCCTGTATCCATAAACCGGCGACTTGCTGGTTTTGTTATAACCATCATCCTGGGAACCTTTGATTCCGTTCATAGACATAATCAGGGGATCTTCTAAGTCACTCGAGTCTGCAGTACCGGATCGCGGGAAGGACGTTGCTGGGGCCATCGTTAAAGCACTATCGGTGATTCCTGAGTATCTCATCAAGTTCTGGCTGGGACTATGAACTTCGGGTTTCTCTTCGCGAGATAACATGCCACTGGTGTCATACATACTTGAAAATGGAATGGATGTAGAAATGGACTTGGCTCTGGAGGAGCTTAAACTTTTTAGTCCAGAGAAATACACATTTCCAGTGTCTACTCCTGTCATAAAAGCCTGTCCAGAAGTTGTCCCTTCAGCGTCTCTGAAATTTGACGTTGTGCTACTACCATGACCGGATGGCGGGCCACTACTTGTTGGCACTGGTAGGAGGCGATTTCCGGTAAGATCTTCAGAAGAGAGCGTATTGGCGGTTGAATAGAAAGATGGGACGTCAGTAGCTTCCACAAGGTCAGTTGTGTCCATTACATAAGAAAACGATTATGGTCATACTGTAGAAGATTGCATTCTGTGACTGTTCCAACTCAGCCGTCATTGCTGGTGCTGGTACAGAATTCCATGTCCTGCCGCCTCCCAAAGGGCTGTAATACTCAGCCATGGTACCAGAAGCGCTTGAATGTAGGTTATAGGGCGTGCTGTAAATCTCATCGATGAATCCATTGCCGTACACCGAGTCTCTCTGTATTGGCTCGACTCGACTGTGATTCCCCAATTCCGACAAAGAATGTGACTTAGGATACGATACATCGTACGCGGATGGTGGCATAGTTGGAGAGACAATATGCTGGTGAATTCTACCACCAACCGAGTCTGAGCTAGCTGAAGCCGCCAATGATGAGCCCATTGCTTGATATTGAATTGCTAGAGCGCTGCCTGGTGTGGGTAGCAGCTGAGTTGTATCCGGCTAAAACAGTACATAAGTAAGGTTGCTAGAGAGTAGGGAGGAAAAGAAGGGGGAATCTTGGGGAGAATGCTCATACCCTTAGGAACTGGCAATCGTGAGCGTTGGCAGCGTTCTGGCAGTTGATGCATGCCGCACCATCAGGAGTTTCCCCACTGCATCTGATTTTTCTCCTTCGACACCGTACACACTGCTTTGATCAAAATGCTATCATGAATAAGGATGTTGATATTGAGGGTGAGTACATACCGCTAATTGTATTCGACGACGGGCCTGAGTTCGATTTCTACTATCCGGATCGGGCGGACATGTGGAATGCCTGCCAGGACTTGCCCGCATGGTGTCTCGCTTCATACCGCGGTGCTTTCCCGTAGATGATGAGCTAGGCATCTGCGGCATAACACTCCGGTCCTCCGTTTTCATGAAGTGAGAGCTGTGATACATGTTAAAGAGTCTCCACCTGTGCAAGTCGGAGTTGTCCTTGAGGGTGGTCGATGAGCGCATATATCAGTATACCATGGAAGAAGTAAGACAGTCTCATCCAGGAAATACAACATTGTACGAATATTTATATTTGAAGGTAGTAGATGATTAAATAGCAGAAACGCCCTCGTGATCTGCAATAATCCCGGTAACCAGGTGCCTAGAAAGGTCGTTGATATGTCCCAAGAGTTTGCTCTCTCGATTATACGTGATTAGAAAAGGACCCCCTTCAACACCAGTGCACAACAATAGTGCCCCTTCATTTGGTATGAGCATGTTCCTTTCTTTTCCCTTTTCTTTATTTGAGTTGAAGAAGGTGTGGCTTAGTCGCACCAAAGTGGAACTGACATACATCCGTTTGAGCGTGGCCATCTATGGAGAAAAAGTGCTGTGTAAGATTTGTCGATTACCTGGGACACAAACCATTTGGCTCAAGCTCATAAAATCCAGACTAGGAACACAAAATAGCGCCTGTGGTACAGGCTAATGTCGCACTACTCTGAAGGCTAAGTTGGCTTTGAAATGTTTCTTGTTCTCAGAAAGAAAGCTTCATGAGACCAGGCTCGCGCGCAGAAGCAAATATGTAAGATAAGGCATGAAGGAGGATGATCAATGAGGGAAAGCTTCCAGAATGGCTTACCATGCCATGTCAGACGGTCACTTGACCCTTAGACAGGCAAATCTCGCCGTAAAATACAAAAATTGATTGTTCAAGTGGGTCAGCTTGAGCGTTGAGACATCGACGCAAGAGCAACGGATATCTGAAGAGAGACGAATCATTGATATGACCTGCATTGATCGACCTCCCGAGGTATACAATATGTACGAGGTTGCAAGTCGATCAAACAAAGTCGGAAGCCGGGAAGAAAGATGATTGGAGGTCAAGGAGGTAGTATAAGCTGTATGTTTTGGATACCCTCCCACAAGGCTTAGTAGTCCAATTGTAGACGCTACCACCTGGAAGTCACCTATACTTGGCCTCATTTCTCATATTCGCGGGATATCAGGATCGATCTAATTGACCTTGCACGATAGCAAGGGCACGAACAAGTCAGCTGCAGACGGAACTGTCTTCTTTCCGGACCAACGGATATTTTCTCGCAATTCATATGTTCCCGATCAGGTATCGTGAAATGGTCTGGAGGTATAATATGCTGTAGGGTATTGGGTGTGGGGATAATGCAAGGAACCATCGTCTGGAATACTCAAATTCCAAATCTAAAGTCGTCGGTTCTGTGACTATTGGGCATCCTCCACACAATCACACGCAGGAACTAGTCTTGAAAAGGAGATATAGACTCCATCGGAGTCCATGTTGCGTGGGCCGATGTATTGGAGCCATACATACCCACTCGTTCGATGACAGATAAGATAATTCCCGACCAATCAAGAAAGGATCTTCTCATATGAACCGGAATCCGGGTTACATAGATCTAACGGTCAACATCTGAACGGGAACTGATCATTGTGTCCTGATTTCTGGAACTTTCTACATTCACGGCGCGTTACTTGCAATTCCGATTGCTGGTTTCGTATCTGACGATAGACTCACCTGTAAGAGGTGAGATAGAGTGTATGTCCGACGGCGCTACTATAAGAAGCTGCCGGTGATGAGTCCCCCAAGCCTTATTGAAAATGTGACTGGAGCATATCCCCTGGAAACCACGCTATGCCGAGTACGGGTCCTGCAATCATTTTGATGATATGTGTGAGAAACCGTATCAAGTAACGCTCAGCGAGCATTGAGTCAGTACTGAATATTTCAATTCATTAAGGAGCATGCTTCATGATCGAGCTATATTCGCAGGTTTGTGATATCAAACACATCATAGTTGTGTGACGCTGTTTGCCCTCTCTTTGGTTGTGTTCCTAGCCCGAGTCCACTGGTGTGCAACACAAAAGTCTGCGACGGCTCAAAGTACAAAACAAGAAATGTTTTTCTGGGTCGTCTGAGCTGTTCGTACTGACCATCTATGGCAAACACTCTCTTCTCAAAAGGAACACTCGGCCGAAATCATCGACATCGTGCTCAACATCAATCTATGACTGATGAAACGTTGGGTAGCCTCAGAATGACAAATTCTCAGCTTTCATCCAAACCCAGCTCCAATCAGAACCGAGTGCTTCGGGATAATTCTGACAGAACATGACAAGCATCATCAGCCAGAGTTCTCCCATCCGCGACTGAGTTGTTCACTTGGTTGGAAGGAAAAGCCGCGGCACTGGCGGCGGCAGTCACCAACAGCACACACCGCAGAGGGCAGTGCTGTGGTTGCTGGACTGTGTAACATAGAGATGCTAAGGCATTGAGAGTATTTCAACCAGCCAAGAGAAAGCAGCCTTATCCCAGTTTTCGGTGAGACGTTGGGCGACGCGTCAAATATTGAATAAGCCGGTGGTTTACTTTGTGTTGACAAGCAATGATGTTGCTCCTTCCTGGTGGTTGTTCCGCCGTTGGCGCCTATTAAATCAGGCTGCCAAGGCTCGGAAGCCACCCGCGCGACTCAAATGATCGACCTCAGCAGTAATCTTTTCTGTGCTCCCAACGACACCTCAGACCTAAAAATATCTGTTTCAAACTGCGCGACGGAGCAATTACCCCCCCCAAAAAAAAGCAAAAGAAAAGAAATCAAGGACTAAAGATAAAGAGCAAGCCGGATTTCTGTTCACCCGTTGACCGCCTCGTCCATCTTTACGCATATCCGCTACTGCTCGTTCTCCAACGTTGCGCGACAGAGCCAGTAGCGCTCTGGAGTATACCACATTATGAGTGTGTTACTCGAGACATCCCTTGGCGACTTGGTCATCGACCTGCTTGTTGATGTCGCCCCCAAAGCTTGCGAGAAGTGAGTCGTTAACCCCAAACAGCTTTGTGTTTCATGGAGTTTGTCAATTCTTTTGTCGCTGTTCTCCCTTGTCGTCACTGGCGTTTGTTCTTCTTGTCCGACACACCAAAATAGTCGAGTGGCTGAACATCAACTAAGATTTTCCCTCTACCTGTTAGCTTCCTAAAGCTATGCAAAGTCAAGTACTACAATTTTTCCCCGGTGCACAGCGTGCAGAAGAATTTCACTTTCCAAACCGGTGACCCAATCGGCCCCGGCTCGCCCGATAGCGATGGAGGATCTTCAATATGGGGGTTACTAAAGGGCCGTACGCATAAGACCTTCGCCGTTGATATGCCCCCCAAATTGAAACATACGGAACGAGGCACAGTGAGCATGGCAACTGTGCCGTCACCAAAAGATCCCGACGAGCGCCTGGCCGGAAGTCAATTCATCGTGACGTTAGGCGACAACCTCGATTATCTAGATGGCAAAGCAGCAATATTTGGCAAGGTAGTGGAAGGGTTTGATGTCTTGGAAAAGATCAATGAAGTTTTCATCGACGACAATGGGCGACCTTTGAAGGATATTCGTATCCGACATACGGTCGTTTTGGATGACCCTTACGATGATCCACCTGGCTTAGAAGTCCCTCCCGAAAGCCCTCTTCCTTCAAAGGCTCAATTGGCTACAGTGAGAATCGCTGATGATGAAGAACTGGACGAGAATATAGATGAAGAAGCTATGGAAAAGCTTCGGCGCGAGCGTGAAGCTCGGGCGCAAGCTCTTACCCTCGAGATGGTAGGCGATCTTCCGTTTGCTGAGGTCAAACCGCCGGAAAATGTGCTCTTCGTCTGCAAGCTCAATCCCGTTACACAAGGTAAATATCTCTTATGGGGTAAAACCACGTTGTTACTGCAGCTAACTATTACGGAAAGATGAGGATCTCCACCTTATATTTAGCCGATTCGGACCCATACTTTCGTGTGAGGTCATTCGTGACAAAAGGACGGGAGACAGCTTGCAGTATGCCTTTATTGAGTTTGAAAATCAAAAAGACTGCGAACAAGCCTACTTCAAGATGGAAGGCGTCCTTATTGATGATCACCGTATACATGTGGATTTCTCTCAAAGTGTATGTCATGTCTTTTGATATTTGAGTAGCATTGTTACTAATCATCATGGCGGATATAGGTCTCCAAGCTCTCAGATACATGGCGGCAAGCTACCGTTCAAAAACGGCAAGGAGGAGGGTTTGGTGGCATATCGAGTCTGGAGCGGAAACGCCAGTACCGCACAGCTGAGGACCGTGGGCGTCCTGACCGGTACGGCATGGTTTTCGATAAAGACGAGATGCGCCGTCCGCCTCCAAGTCGCGACGAGAAGCCCCTGCGGCGGTCACACAGCCGCAGTCGCAGCCCTAAGATAAGAGGCCCTGCTCCAAGACGTTTCGATGACCAGCATCGAGATGATCGCTACAGAGACGGCCGGAACCGGGATCGAGACCGAGACCGAGATCGGGATAGGAATCGCAACCGGGACAGATATACTCCAGATAGAAGAGATTACGACAGACGACGATAATGTGTAGGATAATAGTTGAATGATCTCGAAATGTGAAATATGTATATAATACAATAATGCATGTATGACCAGTCTCAAAGTCAGTCTCAAAGTCACTTCTTAGAATAGCTACAGAGTCAAGGCTGCTTCGCTTCAGATACCTGAATCGAGACATCACGGAAGACCTCAAGCTTCCATACTCTCATCATCCAGCATTTGAGTTCAGGAACCCGAGATGGGTATCAACGGTATCTACGGTATCTACGGTATCTGTATCTTCAAGCCTTCAGTGTAGATATCAACATACTTAGGGGTTCTGCCGGGCTCCTTTTCTTGTAACAAACTTAGTATGCTCTGCGCTGAAATCTCCTCAACCATCAACACCACCAATATTCGGACCCCATTCCTCCACGAGGGAAGGAGGAAAGAATTTCCAGCCGTAATGGCTGTGCAGGGTCTTGTCATCAAGTTTCTTTCTTCAACTAGCAATCAGGCTAGATCACTTGTAGTCTAGCGCATACTAATTATAGGCACTAGCGACCGACCAGATGGCGTTAGCCTTGTCTTGGTGTTTTTTGCAAGGGGAATTTGAGTCTAGCAGGGGATAGCTTGGAATGAGAAAAATTCAAGCTGACTCAATGGCACGTATGATGCGATTAATGGTGTAGTTTGTTGTTTATTTTCTCGTCTATAGTATATATTGGCACGTCAGCAATCCCTCGGCTGAAGAGTGGATAATTTGACGATAAATACGCGCAACAGAGGACAGAGGGGGGCATCATACGTAATAAATGCTGTAATGCCACTGTAACAAGTTCAATTCAGAGCTGGCCAAGCTTCCAGGCGGTGTGTGCCAGAGTGCGGGCTGTGTAGATCTGAAACATTTGTTACCATAGATTACCCGTTACGTATTTACGTAGCTGCTTTCCTTCTTAAGCATTTCAGAAGTCCTCCTTTTTCTATTCTTCTCCTGCTTTCATACTATACATTATTGAACAAATTGCATTGCGTTTCGTCTCTTTCTTTGAACTCCACTCGAGATTTTTACAACTGAACAAACACACAATGACTTCCGTCGTGCAAAATATCATTGACAAGATCCAGGGCAACAAGGGCGAGGAAGGCCCCCGCGAACCCTCCGCCGAAGAGCTCCAACAACTCCGACAAAAGTACGAAGCTGCCAACCAAGGACATGTTTTCAAATTCTACGACCACCTCAAATCTGCAGAGAAGGGTCAACTCTTCCAGCAACTCTTAACATTCAATCCAAACCGCATCAATGAGCTCGCCGAAATCGCACTTCACCCTCCCCAAACCTCCTCGGATGGACCCGTGAAACTCGAACCCTTGCCCACATCCGCCACAGCTTCGATGTTGGATTCAGCTCAAGAGGATCTCGAGAGATATTACAATGAGGGCTTGAGATTGGTTTCGGAGAACAAGGTCGCTGTGGTGCTCATGGCTGGTGGACAGGGTACTCGTCTCGGTAGCTCTGCTCCCAAGGGATGTTTCGATATTGGTCTTCCGAGCCACAAATCCTTGTTCCAGCTCCAGGCTGAGCGTATTTCAAAGATTCAGAGTTTGGCAGAGAAGAAGCATAACAAAAAGGCCGTTGTGCCTTGGTATATTATGACCAGTGGTCCCACAAACCAGCCTACTGAGGAATTTTTCCAACAACATAACTACTTTGGTCTGGACAAGGCCAATGTTAAATTCTTCCAGCAGGGTGTCTTGCCCTGTATCTCAAATGAGGGTAAGATCTTGTTAGAGAGCAAATCCAAGGTATGTTGTGGAGTCCTCTGGTTTGATTCTCTACAGTTTACTGACTAGGTACATAGGTCGCCGTTGCACCAGACGGCAACGGTGGTATTTACCAAGCACTCATCACATCCGGTGTGCGAGAAGACATGCGCAAGAGGGGCGTTGAGCACGTTCACACCTACTGTGTCGATAACTGCCTTGCCAAGGTTGCCGATCCCGTCTTCATTGGCTTTGCCGCTACGAAGGACGTTGATATTGCCACCAAGGTTGTCCGGAAACGCAATGCTACAGAATCAGTAGGACTTATCCTGCAGAAGAACGGCAAGCCTGACGTGGTGGAATACTCGGAGATCGACAAGGAAACCGCCGAAGCTAAGGACCCTGAACACCCTGAGATGCTCAAGTTCCGTGCTGCAAATATTGTCAATCACTACTACTCCTTCCGGTTCTTGGAAGGAATTGAGTCATGGGCTCACAAGCTCCCTCACCACGTTGCACGCAAGAAGATTCCTTGTGTCAACCTAGAGAATGGAGAGACAGTGAAGCCTGAGAAGCCCAATGGTATCAAATTGGAACAATTCGTGTTTGATGTGTTTCCCTTGACACCGCTAGACAAGTTCGCGTGCATTGAGGTTCGTCGCGAGGACGAATTCTCTCCGCTCAAGAATGCGCGAGGCACCGGCCAAGACGACCCGGATACTAGCAAGCAGGATATCATGCTTCAGGGAAAGCGATGGCTCGAGCAGGCGGGAGCAGTTGTTGTCACTGAGGGTGATAATGCTGGCGTTGAAGTGTCGCCTCTTATCAGCTACGTAAGTTTATGTCCACTTATCTGCTTTGACTCAGGCTAACATCCTTTTTTATCCAGAGCGGCGAAGGGTTAGGGTTCGTTAAAGGAAAAGAAATCAAGGCCCCAGCCGTGATTGAAAAGGAGAGCGATGCATAAATGCATAAGGCTGTAAACTTCAAAAGTGACTTCTGGGAGGATGCACTTTCTTGACGGGGAACGGTGTTTATTGTTGATGTATCGTTAATCTTGTCTAATTCTCGAGGAATAGAGAACGTAATAGTGAAGCCATGGGGCTATGCACATACACAAAGTCCCTAAACTGGGAGCCTTCAAATGAAGTTATTCGTAGCTAGCTCAGGGTTGAGCCCCATATTAATTAGTCCAAGCGTCATGCCACATCTAATTCCGGGGATTTCTTCGCACTTTACGCAATACGGAAAGGCGCGGAAAACTAATTTTTTTTTATTTTCCTGCTCTTTTCTTCACAAGCTTGTGATTGCTCTATTAAATCTATTGAAATATTTGTTTGAGTATTTGGTCTGAATATTCACCATCTTACTTGGAGATATTCGCCGAAACTATCTTATCATCCTTGGGTGGGCCTCGAAATTCTTTGGACTTGAGGTTGTTGTGAGTTGCTTGTGTGGTTTGGGGTATTATTTTCTTATTGTGTGAGTTCTTCTTGGCTTTGTGATCTGTTAGATCGTCACTTAATTATTATCCCTACATATATCTGTCTATATCACATATGTATTTCTCTATTGGTTGTGGCTTGAAGATATTATTATGTTTTTTTTATTGGTTGCATATTCTAAACTGACTCTGTGCATTGAATAGATTTGTTGGATTCACGATAGTGTGAGTGGGATTTTAATACTGTTTGTCTATCACCGCACAACATTCACTCCATGCCAAGCTATGATCTATCTTTAAAAAGGAAATGGAATGAGGAGGTATAGGACAGGTACATGAAGAGAGATACAAGATCAATCCTTCGACCGCGCCATATACTATCCTAGCTCTGCAATTCGTCAATTCGACCTCGATCAACGACAACATGGTCGAACTCCTTGAGAAGAAATCACGTGGCAGCCCTGGATTGCAACTTCCTTCAACGTAAACTGCCTCAGATTACGCTTAGGGTAGAGCAACTATGTCAGCAAATGGCCAGAGAACATTTTTGAATTGGATTCTCTCACCTTTCGCGATCTCATCTTGCTTCTTGCGCCAAATGGAGTGGCACCCGTCTCGCCAATTGTTGTATTGATATCTCTCTTTCCCCGGAATCGCCTCATTCCTGCCATTTTCCTCCTCTTCTTTCATATCCTATACATAGCATCCCGCGGAAAGCAGAGCTGATTAATCCCGGATAGGAGTCTCGTCACAAGTCAAGATGTTGTTGTCTCGTCGTGCCTGTTACAAGTGTGGCAACATCGGCCATTACGCTGGTTTGTAGGACTGCTCATCGTCTTCGGTGCATAACTGACTGGAGCAGAGGTGTGCTCGTCTGCTGAGCGACTTTGCTATAACTGTACGTATCGTTGTCCGGATTTTTTGTTCTACTTCGGGGCTCTAGCTGACGTTATTGACTTGTTAGGCAAACAACCTGGTATGCGCACGTCCATCGGCTATATCATGATTCCAGACTGACGCTATGCCTTCCTAGGCCACGAGTCCAATGCCTGCCCCCGACCTCGTACTACTGAGAGTGAGTAAATCGTTTTCTCTCTTATTCAAACGAACTCCTAACAATTCCTAGCCAAGCAGTGCTACCACTGTCAAGGATTAGGCCATGTCCAGGCTGACTGCCCTACTCTTCGCTTGAATGGCGGCGCTAATGGCGGCCGCTGCTATGGCTGCGGTCAACCCGGTCACTTGGCTGTAAGCATTTTTCTCTCCGAATTTGACGGGGGTCAATCACTGACGTGGTTTGGTATAGCGAAACTGCCCCACTCCCAACATCCAGACTGGTGCTGGTCGCGGCAGCGGTGCTCCCCGCGGAAACTTTGGTGGATCACTCCGCGGCGGTTTTGGAGGATATCCCAGAGCTGCTACTTGCTACAAGTGCGGAGGCCCTAACCACTTCGCCCGGGATTGCCAGGCTCAGGCCATGAAGTGCTACGCATGCGGCAAACTGGTAAGTTTCAGTAACGATTATGAGACAAAGCCGAATTTTGACTCTTGTAGGGCCACATTTCTCGCGACTGCACTGCACCAAACGGGGGTCCCTTGAGCTCTGCTGGAAAGGTGTGCTACAAGTGCTCTCAAGCCGGCCATATCTCTCGCGATTGCCCAACCAACGAAAACAAGCCTCAACCCTCTGCTGATAAGGCCACACCCGTCGCTGCCGCTGCTACCACCACAACCCCCGCCGCCCCAGGTGCAACATCTACTGCCGTCGCTACTTCTCCGGTTGCTGCTCCTGCTGCTCCTGCTGCTCCCGCCGCGGCTATCGACGGCTCTGCGGATGTCGTTGCTGCTGCTCCTTCGGCTGCCGCTACCACTACCGCTGCAGCTTAAAACCGCACATTCAGCTTCCCATTCGAAATCCAACCTCTCTCCATTCTTCCCTTTGTATTAGGTTTACCGGCTCGGTCTTTCTATTTTCTTTCCCATATCTAATACCTTTTCAACCCTCTACCGTTATTTTCATTTTCTCTTATGAGCCTTTACGATCCTTTTCCTTTTTTCTCAACACCTACTACCACTGATCTCTGACCGGAACATCACTCGGAGATTTGATATCCCCTTTGTTACGTGTACGGCCTTTGACGAGATTCTGCATGAACTAGGATCTTAATGCATTTGGGTTCGGACCGGATCGGAGCATTTCCTCTGGTGATTTGGCGTCTATTGGATAATCAACGGTGTTTTCCTCTTTTATTTTCTTACGACAAAAAAACAAGCAAAGCCAGGGTTGGGAGACACGAAAAATGATGGGAGGAGAAACAGGGCTGAGAGAAAGTGGAGGAACATTTGATTACTTGCCATCTGTTGGAATGTGGTGACTTGTCAAAATTTCAAGTTTGAGTGATTGGGTTGTCTGTGTACGTGTGAACTGATCGACCAGGGGGTTGGAGTATGTTGGATGGATGGAGGGGATGATGCGATTTGATGTTGGTTGCAAAGTTGGAAACTATCTATTGAAGTATCTTTTATCGAGTCTCCCAATAATATGAAATGACTGGAATATTTTTACGGCTGCGTTCTCTCATTCTCTTCTTTAGGCAAGTTTGGTGTGTGCTTAAATAGGAAATTCATGTGACTGCACACATCGGGCAAAGACAACAGAGGAAGGAGCATCCTGGACCTCAGTGCCTTCCACCAGGACTTCTATCCTTCCACTTTCTGTCTTCCTTCTCTCTTCCTCTATTCTCAAATCATCAAAGCACACCATCTTTTCATCTTATCCCAATACCAAGCAGAGACATCATCATCATGCCTGCCTCTGAACCCAGCGACGACTCCGATCTCGATGTATGAATTGATAATCTCCCTTTCCAATCGATACATAGCTAACCATTTTGCAGGACTTCATCATTGACATTGACAACCTCGAAGCTCATGGTACACCATCGACACGATCCTTACCTTGGCTAATACTAACTGACTCTAGGCATCGGAGTGGCTGATATCACAAAATTGAAAGCCAATGGCTATTTCACTATTGCTGTACTTCCTTCTTACATTTCCCTTACTCGCTGTAGCCGGCGCATGCTAATTTTGTGTTCTTCTTGCAGGCTGTTCATGGTGCGACTCGTAGGACTCTGCTCAAGATCAAAGGATTCAGCGAAATCAAGGTTGAGAAGATCAAGGAGGCTATTCAGAAATGTTTGGTATGTTCTCTTTTCTATGATGTTGAGAGAGATTATTGACAACTTTTGGCGGTTGGTCTAGCCAACTGCAAATGGATTCATCACTGCCATGGAGCTCTGCCATCAGCGAAAGAAAGTATTCAAGATCTCAACTGGTAGTAAGCAATTTGATGCTATCCTGGGAGGGTAAGTCAGACTACAACAGGACCTAAATGAGGCAATGCCTAATCAGTGGTTGTAGTGGCTTCTCAAGCATGAGCATCAGCGAAGTATACGGTGAATTCCGTTGCGGCAAAACCCAACTCTCTCATACCATGTCCGTTATCGCACAGTTACCCAAAGAAATGGGCGGCGGAGAAGGGAAAGTCGCGTACATGGACACCGAAGGAACATTTCGACCCGAACGTATTGCGCAGATTGCTGAACGTTATGGTCTCGATGCTGAGTCTACACAGGAGAATATTTCTTACGCTCGTGCATTGAACAGTGAGCATCAGCTTGAGTTGTTGAATACGCTTTCGAAGGAGTTTGCTGGGGGTCAATATAGACTTCTTGTCATTGACAGTATCATGAACTGCTTCCGTGTTGACTTTTCAGGTCGTGGAGAGCTTGCTGAACGGCAGCAGAAGCTCAATCAGTTTCTTATCAGATTATCTCATTTGGCTGAAGGTATGCTGCTTAAATCCAACGAAACATTCGGTACTGACTGGTTCATTTTAGAGTTCAATGTCTGCGTCTTGATGGTAGGTCATACGTTTTAACTCCGTTTCGAATAATGATACTTATGCATCCAGACAAACCAAGTACAAAGCGATCCCGGAGCCAGTGCCCTCTTTGCAGGAGCTGATGGTCGCAAGCCTGTGGGTGGACATGTTCTTGCTCATGCCTCAACCACACGAGTCCTTCTTCGCAAAGGTCGCGGTGATGAGCGAGTTGCCAAGATTCAGGATTCACCAGGTAAATTATCTTCTCTGAAGCCGTCGCTGTACACATACTGATGGGATTACAGATTGCCCCGAACGTGAGGCGACATATGTCATCACTAACGGCGGTATCAATGATCCTGATAAGGTGTGATGATTGATTTGAGGTCCTTGCGGCTTGCCTATCTATGATGATGTGATAGAAACGAATTAGTTATTCTCGATTAATCTTTGATAGTAATTTCTGATGATGGTTTGTGTAACTCTTGCAATCGTCAGTCATTTACAACGGGGCCAATATGTGTTAGCCTGCTATAATAAGCAATTGAATGATAATGAGTGGTTCTATACTCCATCGGACAGCCCTGCTATATGAACCCAGAGCATGAGTAGCGCATAGAGATTGGAAGGGATGCTTGTGATGAATTAGGGCTTTTATCAATATAGGGTTAGGGCTGATAAGGATACATACTCTTCTCGGGTATAGTTGCCGTCTAAAGGCGGTACGACGGCAGAATTTCGGTTTCTAAATAAATTTATTTTCGAAGCTTCTTTTTACTGCATCAAATTCCCAGAAAAACGACAACCACCGGCATAATATCGCCAACATGCCGAAGAAATCCTCAACAGCGATTACAGAAGTACCGGGATACGCAGTGCTTCCCGTGAAACTACCCCCAGCGTCATCTTCATTCCCGAAACCAGTCACGCATTATGTATATCTGCGACCACATGAACCCCGTATACCAGACGCGGACACTGCACGGTCATTATTTCTCGTGAATGTGCCCGTTGATACAACAGAATTGCACCTGCGACATTTATTCTCGAGTCAATTGTCGGCCGGGCGGGTTGAGAGGGTCCATTTTGAGGGGGTATTCTCCCGATCAAATGCTGTTACTACACATGCACCTACGACAAATACCGCAGAGACATTATCTTCACAGCAAGGCAAAAAACGTAAACGACAAGACGTGGTGACTTCTCAAGAATTGGAAACGCAATTACGTTCTGCCGGATTACCGTCAACATGGGATAGGGAATTACATACTAGCGGAACACATGCAATAGTCACTTTTGTCGACCGACCGGCCATGGAGGCAAGTCTCAAAGCCGTACGGAAATTTGCCTCTAAAGAGAGAAAGAGTCCTATCATCTGGGGCGAAGGTATTGAAGATAGACTTCCCGCGCTCGGGATAACACGATACAGGAAACATGCCTCAAAAATCCGTTATCCGTCGGCGGACGAATTATTGAGTATTGTGAATAATTACATGGCCCTATATACACAATGGGAAGAAACGCGTGCCCTTGAAGTGTCCCGTCGCGCCGCAGAGCCGGATGAAGATGGTTTCATCACGGTTACTCGTGGTCCACGATTCACGGATGTTGCGCGCGAAGATGAGGTTAAAGAACTCGTTGAGAAGCAGCGGAAGAGAGAGGAAGGTCTGGGAGACTTTTATAGGTTCCAGACTAGAGAGAAGAGGAAGGAGAGACAGAATGAGTTGTTGAGGAGGTTTGATGAGGATAAAAGAAAGATTGAGAAGTTGAAGAAGAGTCGGGGGAGGATTATGGTATGTTTTTCTCTTATCTTTCTCTAGCTGAGAGGTATACTGACGAATATGTTTAGCCTGAGGGAATGTGATAGTGACGGAGATAATCTTCATGTTTAGAAAATTTCATGCATTGATACCGGCGTTAGTCTATTTTCTCTCATATGTACATATTCTACTACAAAAAGGGTAAGTGTATTGAAGCCCATATTTCTTTCCCATTTCACTATCATGATGAGTCCGCTGGGGCCAGAGTAGCGTAACCTTGATTCTTATATCTCCTGAAAAGTGGATAATAGAATAAGTGTGTTTGCGCCGTGTCTGCAAAAACCAGCTTACAAATAATCTTCTCACATTTTCTGATATTGAGTTGAGTTAGACGCAATCGTGTTACATGAAGATTTTTGTATGAATCATGCTGACGAGGTTCTGGAGTGTATAGGGTGTTTAGCGATCGCCTAATTTTATGTATCCGGTGGATTTAGAATATATAAACGACTATACGAGAGGTTTCAAGTCTCGGATCAGGGTAAATAGCCATGAAATGACATATCTGCCATGACAAAGAGCCGCGCCGTGTGAATAATAGATACTGGCAAATCCTTGTAGCTATCAGCACTTGGGTAGGGTGGCAAGCCACTCTAGGTCAGCAAACGGCCAGTTCTCTGGCAACGTAGTTCCAATACCAGGAATGAGAACGATGCTAGATTTGAGAGTAAGTGTAAAGAAATGGCGCGAGTCTGACTGTGGGTTACTCTTACTCGGTGTCATCCACTGAGGCAAAAAGAGGATCCCGCAATACCTGAAGGTGGTTAGTAGGCGACATGCTCGTCGTTGAGGCTATGACTGTAGCCGGTCAAATTGCGAGACTGTTCAGGACGAGAGGATAATGAAGCTGGACCTAGATAAACCGCTAACAAGTCTTGGGTTGTACCTAGGTGGAAGGATGCCAGAGCTGGAATGGGTTGCAAGCGGTGCAACTGTGTCTGGTGTATAAATCGGGTTGCGGGGGTTGTCTGCAGTATGTCAGAGGTTCGGTAACCTCTCGATAAATGGATCAGACCATGTTTGCGCTGATTCCTGCAGCTTAAAAACCGATGAGAGGAAATGCTGGTTGCATGTTCATCGTTGTCGCCGTAGACGTTACACTGCTAACCTGGCTGATAAACGACGGGCTAATCGGAGGGATTCCGTCGAAGCTACGTAAGCTGCATTTGCTCAGCAAATCCGACACTTAGGGGACCTCAGAGATGAGTGCCGAGTGTTGATCCTGCATTTCCTCCCTGAATCCACTGAAAGACCCCGTTTTCTCCGACATGAAGTTATTCAAGGAAAGCAAATATGAAATTAGTTCTTAAGATACGGAGACTTATTCTTAGATTCTAATTAGTCCCGATTAGCTTTAGACTTCCCGATATGCCACCGCCTTTACCATTTGCCTTCCAAGGTATTTTTTGCCTCGGCATTCTTCTGAAGCGAGACTTATTAGACATTCACTTTCACTAGATCAATAATGTAACTTAATAAGTAAATTTCTATTTTGCAGTTTAGTTATAATCTGCATAAAACACTTTTACCATTCTCAGTAGTCTAGCGCATAGAAAGGTGAGTCTAGCTTTCAACCAAGTAGAGGAGTCGATCACTAACACTTCTCATAGCTGCCATATTCCCTTCTCACAGCTGAACACCATCCAACTGGTCAACAAAGCTTGGGCCTGGATTTTCTTCGACTCTTATAAGATCAATAATCATGGGCAGCTCTCTCCAACCAGGAGAAGGAGGAGGCTTTCTCAATCCTACCCTCCCATCTCCAGCCCCCTCCACAGCCACCGCCAGTACTACGACACCATCTCATCTTCCGCGTCAACGGATGCATCCACTCAAACCCGGTGGTGCAAAAGAATCATCCTTAATTAATTATGTGGATGGCAAGATATTACGGATAAACCGCCGACATGCGAAAAAGTTTAGTAGTGTGATTGATGATCAAGGAGAAGACGGTGATAAGGAGAAGGATAATGATGAAGAGCAGTCCAAAGGATATGAGAGTTTTAAAGAGGTTGTCGAGGATGTCGAGGATGTTATTGACGTTGTTTGGGTTAGTGGGACACGTGAGTCTCCTGCCTCCTCCGTTTCTAGGAGTCAAAGAGCTAATACGGTGATATAGCGTCCATACAAATACCCTACCTCATCTCCTTAGCAGGGTTGGTAAATACCTATTTCCCAGACTATCCTTTCCAGCCAAAGCCTACCTTCCGGATTCTCAGAAAACTGGATATCATATTCGCCAGTCTCCTGGTCGGAGAAGACGTCGAGTCTGGTATACCTCTAAGCGGGTTCGAGTATACAAAAAGCATTGTTAGTGTGACTGAAAAGGTGAGAATCAAGAGTATCGCGGAAGCGAGTCGGATTGCAGTCGTGGAGAAGAGGGTAAAGGATGACGAGTCCCATGGGGGTGAGGACGAGAGTGAGAACGAAGATGACTGGGAAGATGGGATGGATATAGATGGAAACGGAGATGAGAGTGGTCGTACAGGGCTATGGGAAATGGAGGCTGCGAGAGTCTATGAGAGAACGATTCAATACCTGGGAGACGAGCTGGGGAAAGGAGGTGAACTTGTAGTTTGATATTGGCTGTCTACTGGTGATATTTTCAAATACAAGCATGGTATTTCTCATACCGTATCATACGACATTTTGTTGGGCGGGGGTCACTTCTGTATCCTGCCAAAGCTTCCATGGATAACGTCTGCCTAGCGTCTCCTCGTACGTAACGTATTTGAGCAGAATCAACAAGAGAATTTTTGGCTCTTTTTTTCGTTTAGCCGCATGATTCATCACAATTTCATAAATGTGATGTTGTCCGCTTCAGCTATCTGTAGTCCTGTCAAGTACTCTGTACAATACTACATATACCCTACCTTGAATATGTTCCTTACAATGCATGTTCCTTGCATTGTATGTGGCATATGGAGTGACACGATTCAGAGAGGTACAGGGAAGTCGGTTAATCCTTGCAGATTCTTACATCATAGTTTACTTACAGGTACGTATTCGAATTACCCTTGTCGTACCGTATTACCAGGCAGCAAGGCAGCCACATTTAAACATCTGTAAGAGAGAGCTCGGAAACATCGTAATCTGTATGGGAGGCTATTAATGGATCACGGAAAGTAGTTGTGGACCTATTCTGTGTTCTTTTCTTTTTTGGGCCATTGTCTGTATTTGCAATCAGATCGGATCCAGTCTGTCGGATCGCAATTACCCCGTATGTATTTACTATAGTATATTACACGCTACATACCATGTACGTCACTGAGAGCAGCAAGGTGCTCCGTAAGTAGCATGATAAATTAATGGATAAGAGAGTTAAGTAGTTCATTATCAGTACTAGAGCATTGATATTTGCTAGACTCGGTCTGATTTGACAGATGGAGTGGCCATTGAACATAAAGTTAATTGATCCATTCTATTGTCCAGGATTTCCGTCTTATATGATTAATAGTGGCTAATATTATTACCGAAGTAGTCAAACCTGGTCTTGGATGGCTATGTCGCTTATCTGTTGTTCGATACAAGACTCGGGTAGCTAGTACTTCAATGCCATATGTAGTCCTTGATACACTGACTGTATATAAATAGCCGTTCCTAATATTACTCCACATTCAGCTCACCTTCACTTTTAAGATCAATACAAAGATACAGTGCAAATACAAAAGGCTAACTAACTAGTTTAAGTTATCTAACCCAGTTAGGTAAGGTTAGTTAACTAGTTAATGCATCCAAGATTATATAAGAAACCCCACACTCTGACCTAGTCTCAAATCTGTCTAGTGTCCCAGCATCGACCAGCCAATCAGCAAGGCAAACCACACGATGCAGCCCAAAGTCTCCATTCCCGCCAGCCGGTTGTTCCTTCCCTACGCTCTACCTTCCTGGTCGCTCTTTGCTACTCTGTGAGTCGCTGCGCTCTCCGTGCCTTCCTTCCTTCCCAGTTCCCGTCCAGAGTTCCCTCCTTCCCTTTCCCCTCCATCCATCCACCCAATTCGACTCCCCAAGGTAAAAAAAAAATCTTTCCTTGTTGGCTGCTTTGTCTTCTCTCTCTCTCTTTCTACTCACACTCACTCTCTTCTTCCTCTCTCCCCTTAGTTGTCCTTTCGCGGAATACGGACGGAGTTTTTCATTCTCATTCTTCTTCTTTGATTTCTTCAATTTACCCTGCAGAAATTTTTGATCTTGTTGTTATCCCTTCCCCCCATTTTCGTGTTCCTTCGTGTCGCGGGATTTCCATATCATCATCATCATCATCAACATCAACATCATCATTTCTGCTATCCTTACGTGTTTCTACGTATTAGCTCCTTCGTCTTCTTATCGACTTGCGGTCGCTCCCCTCATCTCGCCCCTCTCGGTCATTTTTTGGTATCGATAAAGATCGTATAATCTTCATCCCTGACCATCCACCTCAATCTCATTCTGGTAAGTCTATCTAATTCTCATATTGTGTATCATCTGTCATCTTTTATTATTTCTTGCTTTTGTGTTCCTTACACGTGTTTGTCCATTTCTTGCTGCAAATTTGCCATCTCTTGCATCGTGTTGGTTTTGCGACTTGTGCGACTCAACGTCAAAACACACTTGACTGGGCGCATCGCAAAAATGACTCAATACCGGACCGTCCCATCGACAATGACGAGATCGCACACTTTTATCGGCGTCTGTCAACAGGCCAACAACATTTGTGAAGAAGCCGCGCATATTGCGACAATTCACCTGGTCAATGTCGATGGTGTCGGCTACTGGGCGATTGATAATATATCCAGCTGTCGAAACTTGCACCAAAAAATCTGTATCGATATGACTACAAAATATGGACAACATTTGGGTCATGACGACCTACGGAGCTGACCGGGTAGCCATACCCGATACTTGGCCTCTTTCTGCTCCGTGCCGATTTGACTGTTCGAGTGTTTCGCCGAAAACGGAAGCGAGAGTGACCACGCAGCATCAAACTGCTTCCAACCCTCAGTTTTGCTCGTGTTTACTGGACACTCGTACCTGATCGCGCGAGACACCTCAAATCTATGCGACTGCGTCGGTTGAGGACTGCGCAGATTTTGTCGCAAGGCCGTTCACAATTTCTTTTTTTTTTTTTTTTTTTTTTTTTTTTGAGATTAGTGCTGCTTCGCGCTCTTCATCGAGTTTCACAGCTCTTTCTAGAAGTCTTTCGCTTCATTGTCTTCTTTCTTTTCTTGGCTGTCATATCGAATATCTGACTAATTAAATTTTCATACACACAGGAATAAGATACCTTCTTGCGCCTCGCAAAGCTTTTACGACTCAATCCTTGTCTTCGATTTTCGTGCCAGTTTTCGAAAGTCGCGGCATTCATCAACGAATCTTAAAAGCAACTGTTAATCACTAGTTCTCTTGCTGTGCGCTCTCGTTCAACTGTTATCAACATGTCTTTCCAGAACTACGAATATCAAAACCAGCAGGACGGCGCTGCATCTGCCGGTGCTCCCGCCCCTGCCGACACCACCATGACCGGTCAAGCTGATCCTTCCCCCGCTCCTTTCGCTGGTACCCCTGGTGAACCCTCTGCTGCTGCTACCCAGCAGGGAGGCGACGGCAAGACCACTCTTTGGTATGTTACGACACCTTTAGCAAACACGCCCTGCGTACATATGCCGAAACCTGATTTGTTAACACGACGCGGCTGATTATAGGATGGGCGAGCTCGAGCCATGGATCGACGAAAATTTCATTCGCAACCTTTGGTTCCAGATGGGCGAACAGGTTAATGTCAAGATGATTCGCGACAAGTTTTCTGGGTAAGCAAAGCATTCTGAGCCGTTATCCCGACTTGTGATTAATGTTGACAGTAGAAGCAATGCTGGTTACTGCTTTGTCGATTTCGCTTCCCCCGCAGCCGCTGCCAAAGCTCTCAGCCTAAACGGTACTCCCATGCCCAATACGACCCGCGCTTTCAAGCTTAACTGGGCTACTGGTGGTGGACTCGCTGACCGAGGCCGTGACGAGCGCGGACCGGAATACTCGATCTTCGTCGGTGATCTCGGCCCTGAAGTCAACGAATACGTCCTGGTGTCTCTTTTCCAGAGCCGTTTCCCATCTTGCAAGTCCGCTAAGATCATGACTGACCCCATCAGCGGCATGTCTCGTGGTTACGGTTTTGTTCGCTTCTCTGATGAGAACGATCAGCAGCGCGCTTTGAGTGAGATGCAGGGTGTCTACTGCGGTAACCGTCCCATGCGCATCTCGACTGCCACTCCCAAGAACAAGGGTCCTGGCGTTGGTCCTGGTGGCATGGGCATGCCTGGCCCCGCTGGTATCTACCCTCCTGCCGCTATGGGTGGTCCTCCTATGGGTTTCTACGGTGCTCCTCAGCCAATGAACCAGTTCACCGATCCCAACAACACAACCGTCTTTGTTGGAGGTCTTTCCGGCTACGTTACCGAGGATGAGCTTCGTTCTTTCTTCCAAGGATTTGGCGAAATCACCTACGTCAAGATTCCCCCTGGCAAGGGTTGTGGCTTCGTTCAGTTCGTCCAGCGCCATGCTGCCGAGATGGCTATCAACCAGATGCAGGGCTACCCTATCGGCAACTCTCGTGTCCGTCTTAGCTGGGGCCGCTCTCAGAACAACTCCGGACCTGCTGGAACCCCCTACCGCCCTGCGCCTCCCCCACCCATCTACCCTAACATGGGAATGCCCCCTGCTCACCAGTACGGCGGTGGCTTCGCTCCCATGAAGGTTGGTTCTCCAACTTCTCAAGACCAGATTGGACCCGATTTCAACTAACTTGAATTCGCTAGTAAGGAATGAACAAAATATTCCATGACTTCAGGAGAGTTTCTTAGCATCATCTTCCGGCAACGTGACTGGTATGACTATCAGCTTGCTCTTCCCTTACGGTTAAGTCTTCTCTATTGCTCTTGATGGGCATACTGTTTTAGGCACTTGTTTTCATCTGAGCGGGTTCTTTTACTTCAATTTATGGAACGATTCCGCGTTCACGTGAGCGATTTTCATCCCCAGCTATGTTGTTTCGGGTGGCTTGCGTATTGAATTGTTTTTCTCCTTTCCTGCGTCTAATGATGCACGAACTCTCATGCCCTCCAACTTCAAGATTGTTCTTTTACCTTTTTTTCTTTCTTTTTCCTCTTTTTCCTCCTTAAATCTCCATTTGTGTGCTCCTTGCCTCGTTGGGTCGGCGTGCTGCAAAAAGTTTTTTTATGAAGCCTCTGTTCTTACGAACCGGTCTTGTCGAACGCGCTTTTGAGGTTTGTTTCATTATATGCTTTTTGTAGACTGACGACTGTACAACATGCTAAGCTGCTTGTGATCGTTTTCTTTCCTTTACCGTCCTTCGAGCTCCCTTTCCTTTACTTTGTACCCATTTTCAATGCGAGGTTTCCTCCAACTGTACCCCGACTACGTTCTCTAGGTTTTAGGACCACTTCTCTTATGTCTCAATCTTCTACCAGTCTTATTCTCTATTTTCTTTTTCTTGACTTTCTCTTCTCTTACGTGTAGCGCGTTGTCTCTAGACCGTTGACATGGCTTCAAGTATTACGACACTTGTTTGAAATCTTACTGTCGTCATTTTACCCCTGAAATGATGAATTATCAGGAGGTTTGCCTCCAGGATCTCAGTTGCTTCACGCCTTTATTCTTGTAAGTATTAGGGATGATTAGAATGGAGTTACGGATCATGGCCAATCTACGATTATGTTCGGTTTGTCTATTCTTTCTACCAGTCTTGATGTTTTACGACACAAGCAGACGTTTCTCCCTTCGTGGACGGCTCCATAGTTGAAAGGACCTCCGCTATCTCATTCCTATAATTCATTCCCTTCATGTCCGTTTCTGTTCATGCGTAGAGAGAGCCCTTGGATCTACCTCCGCCGCTCCTTCCCTTTTGGCAACAACATGAGAGGCAAGCGCCTTCCGTGCAGGTCTCGTGTCTAACAGGGGCATATATCTCCCACCTTCTGCTCACTCACTCATGCTTTGGCTTCATTGTCGTTCTTCCTCTTCTGCCCTCTACCACGGTCTCTTCTTGACCTTGACTGATTACTTTCTCCCTAACCTTGTACTTATCTCTTACCTCATTCAGCTTCACAGCGTCTACTACTCGCAACATGAGATATACCAACTGGGATGTGCTCCTTTTCCCGGAGCGGTCCAAGATACCTATACAGGAATTCCGGACACAGTGCTGCGTCGTCAGTGACAAAGGTATGGCATTCGACTCCTATACACTTTCATGAACGAGACGCTGAAACGCCGACGATATCAGACTCTCCTTACCTCAGTGCTCCCTATTTCAACTCCCAACTCTTCTACAGCCAGCGGTCTCTGGGTCAATTGCCAGTTCTCACTTGTTTCGTACCGAGTTTGCCTACTCAAAGCCCATTTCGGATTTCGATTCATAGCTGGGAAAAGCCACATCCGTCACGTATCTTGGAGAGTTTGATGCACCCGGATGATTGTATTTTGTATGAGGTTCGGGTTTATACGGATAATGTTTGCGTGGCGTACGTCTCTCCGCCTCTATTCTTGATATTCGAATGTTCTGTTCTGATTGGAGTGATAGGGGTACGCTGTTTGGTCCTCGAACTTCATGGCCACATATATTAGGTATGCTATCCATTCACCATTCCAAGTTTTGATAGTCGACTAACAATATTCTTCTATCTAGACTATGGTTCTCGTGAGTGATATCAACTCTTCTCGCAATTTTCCATCCAGTTTCTCATTGTGCAACAGAGGTCGACAAGAATGGGAATCATGAACTTCTCCGCTTCCCTCAGTTTCATCCCGAGGTTATTGATGCCTATGTCTGGGATGCTTCCGAAACCCACGGCCGCATACGGATTGTTGTATCAGAAGGATTCTCACGTCCTAATCGTTCACCACCTTTTGAACGGGTCAAAGACGTTGTTGTCTTCTCGTTTCAACATGCTCCCCTCAGTCTGTGTTCCACCCTTAACCTTTTTGATGGTCATGAGCTAATTGATATCAGATGTTTTGGAGAACTGCGGTATAGCATGGCCCAATCCCTATATGTGGAACCAGCTTCCTGCCAATGTGTTCAGACTCCAAATGAACTATGGTGGAGGATACGGAGGTCTTGGTGGATACATTGATTACGATGGTCCGAAGGACAACGAGGACCTGCATGGACATTCACCGACTCGACATGATACAGCACGATATGAACCTAATCGGGTGGCTGGAATGACTGGCATGACTGGGTTTGAAGGGAACTATCAGAATACCTTTTCAAACGTGCCTCAATGGGGACACAAATCGATCAATCCAACTACTGCACAGGCGCCTCCCCCAATGATGAATTGGCCAAATTTCACCGCCGATCCCAGGTTCAATCTGAATCCTACGAACTTTGGAGGACTGCAGAATAATCCTGGATTTATGGGGTCCGACCCTTTCATTGAACCAGGCCTCGCTCATCGTCTACGACAGACTCAGCGCAGTATAGACGACATTTCCATGCCTGATGCAGGACCCATATCTGTGAGCAGTCGAGCCATGTCTAGTATTGCTGGCATGAGCTTCGAGCACAGCCATCAGGCCAGTCTTGCTGCGTCTCGGGATGATGACTCGTATTCTCTCAGCTATTGTGATTCGATGAATCCTGCAAAGATACACACTACCGCATCATCGACTCAACAGACTGCCGTTCCGTCGATGCCACCCGTCTCCCGTCCATCAGCGGCCCGTCAAGCTCGATCTGAATCGTATTCGAAGAATGCATCCAGAGCTGTTTCCCAAGTGGATCCAAAGGACGTCCGTCAGATTTCAGGTTCCAGCGTGAGATCTGGTCAGACAGATAACGTGATCGAGACCGTCACCACGCGAAAGGTTATTGTCAGCCCTAAATCCCATGTCAAAGGCAAGAAAGAGAGCAAAGGACCATCCAGAAAAAGTGCCCACGCTGAATCTGAGCCTGCTAGCGAGCAATCTAGCAGGGAGGTGTCCAAGTCAGGCGCATCCCATCCCCACGTTACAGTACGAACTACTGAGAGTGTTGTGCAAGTGTCTAGCGAGACAAAAAGAAAGCGACAGTCTAGACTGCCCGATGAGGTCTCTCAAACCAGCGAGTCCCCAACCAAAAAAATGTCTCGGTTTGAGAAGGAACGTCAAGTTGAAAGAGATCCACGCATCGAGAAAGATCTTCATCTTGAGAATGAAAAAGAAAGCTCTACTGCTGAAGACGATGATCTCTGAATGGCGGAATGATTGAAGTGTGAACAACAATTCAAGCATACAGAAGTGTTATTTTTCCATACGAGTATAGATAGATTATGCCTCTTGAAGAGTACATTCCTTTCTGTATATTAGTTGTGAGGAGAGACAAACACAACCCTTATGTATGCCTTTTACTCCAGGCACCATGCTCTTGCCTTCCTTCCTAATATGGCACACTCACTGGGCGTAAATGCAACTGCCCCTTTTGGCACTTTGTTTTCTCTCACTCTTCTAGTGTCTCTTCTTTTCCCTCTTTTCACCCTCATCCTTTCTTCTCCTATTTTATCCTCACACTCTTCTTTCTCATCTTCACTCTCACTCTCACTCTTGTCCTCTTTTCCTCTCATCCTTTTCTTTATCACATCCCTTTTACTTGTCATCCCTGGCCCATTCCTGTCATCTTAAACCCTTATTCCCATTGTTCCTACTCCTTGTTTACCCTCCAGTATGAATCTTCAAACTGGAAAAGAGACAAACGAAGGGAATATGTTACAACCAAACAGCAACCCTGGCTTCATACCAGTGTGTGAGCCTGCAACCGAGTTTCTACCTGCTTCTGCTCAGATTACTCAGGTAGAACCCAAGTTTGCTGCTTCACTATTTTCAGGGTTCGCTGGTCCTTTTACTCCTGTCTCATTTTCAAACATGACGCTGCCTCCTGGGACAGGTTTTAGCAGCTACTCCAGTGACCTATGTCCGTGGGCTCCGAGGATCAGTGTGTGGAATACAACTAGTCAGAATACATCTACTAGCCATGTTGACCAAAGAGCATCATCGAAGGCAGTGGAGCTTCAAGGACAGTGTGCTCGTTTAACAGCAGCGATTTCAGTTGAGCAAAAGGTTGTTCCTAAAGCTCCTAAGTTCCTTGGATACGACGATGCCGATTATGGTCACGGTGCAGGGGCTCTTGAAGAGGGTGAGGTGAGATCTGAGTGCGATTCATCTGCGGATCATCGCAATGAGCGCGATGGTAGACTCACTCCTGTGGATGTCACTGAGTTCGCTATCAAGAGTGGCCCACAGTTGAGTGAGATCGATACTCGCAGTCTGACCCCTGAGCAAGTGCTGTTCTATTTTGGCGTGCTGAGTCTACAACAGACGCAGCTTGAGCCAGTTTTTGAGTATACTCAGGAGGCAAATGGTGGGCATTGGTCAGCGAAACTCACAATGTACCGAGACTCGCTCAAGATTCCAGCACTGAAGTCGTTGGCGGCTGCCAAGGTGGAGATCTGTCGAGTAGCTTTGTCGATTTTGAAAGCTCGCTATGCAAACTGGAATGTCCCCGATGAGCCCAGTGGAAATCTGACGGCGTTCAGCTGGCGCTGGGGTGGTTTGCTCAACGGTGAGTTTCTTCATTCTTGCCGATTATATTGGATAACGTCTCACACCGTATGCTATGACTAGCATATGCAAAAGAGATGAAGCTGCCTTGCCCCGAGCATACGAAATATATTCACCAGAAGGGGTACCGTTATCAGGTCGATGTAGGGACTGTGACAAGTTTTGGAAATCGCAAGTTCTATGGAACTGAGGATCAAGCTATCGAAGCAGCGTCTCATGAGGTTCTGTATCTGCTCCTTATTCGAGAGCTCAAGGAACTTCATGAGGCGACGATTGCGGCATTGAAACCTGAAGACAAACGCGTGTCGGCATTGCCTCCTCAACCAGACATGCCAATTACAGCCAGCAACAAGGTTCTTAAGCCGGTGCACACAGCGACCCAAACTAACAGAATCCCCAAACCTGCTCGTCTAGTCCGGAAGCGCATCAACGGAAATGTCCTTGCTGACACCGCGTCTAATCTGCTTCCAGTCGTGAATCCACGCATTAACACTGATAGAGCACATGATGAGCCTAAGCGGACCATGAAGTGGAAAACAACTCCGGACCGACTGACGAAAGCAATCGCACATTTGAAGACGGAGCGTGAGAAATACGAGAGTGAGTGACTCTATTTTGATTAGGAGTCGAGGCAGATCACAATTAATGTACGCGATGCACGGTTTAGGAGTATGCAACATGCTCGGATTGAGTTCCAGACTCGAGATCAAGGAAAACTTCAAGAGAGAATCTGTGCCTCCCAGCTACACAGTTTGGGCAACTTTCCGGAGTGACCCTTTTCTCACTCGGGCCGGCCAGGTTGGCATTGTCAATGGACACCGTGGCACTGAGAGAGAGGCAGTTGAAATGTGCTGCAGGAATGTTGTGGACTACTTGATAGATTTGGTCCAGGACGATTTCGATCTCGAAAGAGAGGAGCAGGAGCAGCGGTGGAAGCTCGAAAATTTTGGGGAGATCAGGAAAAAGGAACTAGGTCTCGTGGGTGTTGACTTAACCAGATGAAGTGAAGTTGAGTGTTTTCAGACGGTTGTATCGACGAAGTGGGCCTAAGCATGTTTGTAATAAGTATGAAGTATACGATAGTTATCGAATGAACGATGATTTGCTTTGTTTTGAGGAATCCATATCCTTCTGATGACTTAGACAATATATTCTCAAGTTGGACCATGGGATCAATCAGGTACAGACCTAATAGCTCAAATCTTCAAACTACCAAAGATACTTTCACCTAAACATCCGAGTCCAAGTAGCCCAATTCTAACTGAGTCCAGTAAGTTTGTATCGATCCATGAATCTGACAGTAACCCTATATACTCAACCACATGACTACGTCCGTATATCAGCCTCAAATCGAAAATGAATAAGGATGTAATGAACTCGCAACTTCCCCTTGGAAGATATTTACTGAATTGATTGAGTGATTGATTGATTGAGCCCAACAAGAAATGAAAGAGAAAAAAAAATCGAGAGAAGAGAGGATGTACATAATCAATCCGATCCGATCGAGATGATAATGAGAATCAAACAGAAAGCAAAAACATAATGGAAAGAAGAAGAAAAGTGTGGGTATAAGTTGAAAGCCCGTGAATAAAATGAAAAATCGAGGTATGATATGATGATGATGGTGGGAGTTTTTCGTCCGATATAGAACAAGGAAGATCGATGGGAAAGTTATAATCAAACATTCATAACAGTAACGCGCATAAAAGACAAGGGGTAAAAAAAAGGTGTAAAACAAACCGGAAAAGGGTAATAAACAACCCCCCGGATATCCCCTGATATCATCAGAGAATCAGATTCTTCTTTTCCAAAAGACAAGACAAAATAGAGACATTTGTATCATTTCCTTCCTTATTAACTTCTCGCCATGGACTCCGTCGAAAATAACAGATCATGATGATGCGAGTGGAACACAGGCAGATAAAAAGACATGTTTTTTTTTTTTTGTTTGTGCAAAAAAAAAAAAAGATTTACAAGCCATCCGTGCCTGTCTCGACTCCATCTGTGGGATATGTAATACTACTTGGATCAAATCCAAAACCCGTTGCATCAGCATCGGTGTTGAGGAAAGAATCAAAGTCAAAGTGCTCCAAAACCTCGGGGTTTTCAAGCGTGCTGAAGTCAAGGTTGAAGTTCGATGCCTAAAAGTCATAGAAGTTAGTGTTTGATCGCATGAACAACCCGAAAAACAAAAACATACGTCTGGCATGCCGAGATCACTAAAGGCTCCGACATTAGGATCGGGCTGTTGCTGTACAATTTGTGGCGCAGGAGCCGATGTAGGCTGCTGCTGTGTAGCCGTCGTTGCATTGACTCCATTTTTGGTAAAAGAGTTCGGATGCTGAGGCGTGATGGGAGTAGATGGGGTTGGTGTTGGGGGAGGTTCGGCCTCAGACGACGGGGTTGCTGCAGTGTTGGCATTGGCTGCTGCCGCTCCCTTCTTTGTGATGCGCTACAAAAGTTAACTGACATGTCAAAAGTGAATAAATCGGGGTAACATACCTTCCGGTTGTTCTTCTCGGTATCCTTTTTACCCTTGGGTGCCGGCTTGTTCGCTTGCTGTGGCGTCGGCGGTGCTACTCCTTGCTGGGGAGAAGGTGGTTTGGTACCTTGAGGCAGCGCAGATGGTGGTGGCATGGAGTTTTGCGCCTGTGGAGTTGGTGCCGCTTGCGTGGCTGGTGACTGTTGCGCCACCATAGGCTGCTGACCTTGAGGCCCTCCTGGATTCTGCCAGTTGGCGGTCGGCATCCGTCCATTAGGTCCTTGCTGCATGGCCTGGTTCATCTGTGGGTTGAATCCTCCTTGGTTCGATGTCGGAGGTCGCATATTGTTGTAGAAATTGCCGCTCATGTCGCCCATCTGACCAGGATTAAAGTTCATCGAGGCAGGGGATCCACGGCCTTGTAAATCAGCGGTACTTGGCGAAGCAGGCAATCCAGTCTGCGAGATCTTGGGAGTTCCTCGTTTCATCTGCTCGCTGGGGTTCGGTGACGCTCCTGTCCTGCTGCCCTGTGGAGAGGTTCCTGGAGGTAGGCCGGGTTGGCCAGGAGGCATGGGTTGACCGTCGGGGCGGGTGGTAATGCTATCTTGCTCTTGACGAGCCATCATCAGACGACGCTTGTTCTGCTGTTCTAGCAGCATCAATTGCATCTGATAATCCTGGAGTGCGTGGTTCCCGTTCCCGTTCGGTGGTATTGTCCCGCCTCGGCCCATCCCGGCCATTTCGCCGTTGTAAAATTGACCGTTCATCATCTGCATACCGCCTTGTCCGTCCGGCATTTGCGACATCAGGTCCGTTTGATTTTGCATAAGTCCGTTGTTCATTAATCCGTTTTGCATGCCCTGGTTATTCATTGCTGAGCGCGAGTGATGAAGGAGCAAGTTCTGAGAATATACCTGCACGGATTTTTGCTGCGCTGCAGCCTGGCCAGCCTGCTGCTGCTGGAACGCCTGAAATTGCGCTGCATTCATCCTACTAGCATTCATTCCATTCTGTATTAACATCTGTGTATTCAGCTGAGGAGGGATTTGACCCTGTACGCGACCGTTGGGAGGCATTGGTTGCCCCTGTTGGATATCTAAGCGGGGTCGTTTCGACGGAGAGGGGGCATTATCGGCCGACGACGGTGACTGCGGACGGTGACCATTCATATCCATATCTGAGTGTTCACGCTGCATCTGTATCTGTTGTTTATTCTGTTGCAACTGGGCAATTTGCTGAGGGTTCCTGTAAAATACAATTAATGGATCCTGCTCATCAGCCTATCAAGCCACATGGTAGCAAAGACGTACATTCCAGAAGCATTGTTTTGCAAGGCCGTCTTTAACGGATGGTTCATATTCTGCATCGGGTTGCGACGCATATTAACCATGTGATTCTGCATCATCATCTGAGCCTGAGCCTGAGCCTGAGCTTGGGCAGGTTGACGCAAAAGGTTTTGGTTCTGATGTTCTCGCGGGCGCATTAAGCCCTACAGAGCGCAAAGAATGTTAGTATATTAAAACCGACTGAACATAGCAGGAGCGAACGAACTTGTGAGCTATTGACAAAATGCTGGGCCATCGGATTGATGGGAGGTCTCTTGCGCTGCGCAGCAAAAATGTCCCAAAATAGACTGAACCATTCGAACAGAAAAGAGTTCCCAGAGTCCATTGGAACTCGAGGGCGCGGGAAATCGTCAGGTATTTTGATCTTTTCATCTTTGCTGTCGCCCATAGAAGTATCGCCATCCACACCGTTCATATGATTCGGGCTGGTCTTGAGATCGTCTGTGTCCAGCTTGATGTTGTCGTCGTTTAGCAGCATTCGTGCCGCATCGAACTGGCCGCGCTTGAGGAAATAGTCGTAGATACAAGTGTTGAGCTGTACATAAACACTCTCCTGGGTCATAGGCGGTTCACTGCGCGGAGCAGCGGATTGGGTGTTCATCATAGGTACACCACCTACAGGCCCACCTGGCATCGCATTCATGCCCGCCATCCCAGCTATATTGATTTGATTCATGGCTGAGAGAGCCCTCGGGGCTACTTCCACCGCCCAAGCTTAAGGTATGAAATCCAGTCTGGTCAATGATGAGATTGACGCACAAGATGTGAGAGCGCCAGGGTGTGTAAGCGTGGGATGTACTGTGTGAGAAGAAAGGAAGGCGCGACAAAAGGTGGTGACAACCACACCCCCCAAACGGTCGCGTTTGACTCGTCAATTAGGAAAGCGAGACCACCTTATGTAGAAATTCCAACAACAGGGCACAAATATGCCAATTGTTGAAAATTAATTATGGACAATAGCAAACAGGCGTTCTAAAGCATGAATTGTGGTCGGTAGGATCGCGACCGGAAGCAGGACTAGTCGGGGCGGGAAAAAAGAGTGTCCGGGTGCTCGATGTGGCAAAGGGTGAACTGAAGATGTCGACAACCACAATATCACCAGACGATCGGCTCGGTATGAAAGAAATTAAGAGTATCGATGGAGAGGTATCAGCTTGCGATAATCGGTATGAGAGTAGAGGCGTGCGATGGATCAAAAGCTGGGACCGAATACGGGAAACTGAGAGTAGTCCAGAGACGAAAGATAAGGACTTAATGCCTGATGATGTCGCACAAGAAAAGACTCTCCAACTGCAGTACCCCCCAGCAATGCTCTTTTGGTCGAGATATGGGATATCAGAGAGAATTGCGACCAAGAAAAGACGGGTATCGAAAAAATGCCGCAACGACGACTCGCGAAGGTTAGGATTTGAGCCAAGCCAGAACGGCGAAAAAACCCATGCAAAAGGGGTGGGTAAGTGGAAAAGAGTAAGATAGCACAAGGTAATGCAAGAAAGAAGGAAGCAGTAAAAGAAAGAAAATAGGATGATGGTCAATAGTAGGTATGTAGTAACCAAGCTTTCCTGAGAAGGTAAAAAGGATAGATGATGTGCAGGATGGATGCAAAGGGGAAAGGGTGTGGTGTGTGATAAGGGCCCGGGATGGGTTTTGGGCGCAAGAATTAAAGGAAGGCGGTTTCTTCTTGGTGGATCAGCCGCGCAAAAGGCAATCAATCACTGCGTTTTTACACGAACCTGACGTGACGAGAGGAGTCTATTAGCTACTGGAGGGGAGAGAGAAGAAGAATGGGGGGGAGAGGGAAGAAGGGAAAAGGAAGGGAAGGATAAAAGGCCTATATTTTGCAGCTGGCGGCGAAGATGAGAAGCAGAAAGAGAGGGAAGAGGGAGATGCTGGCGCGAGGGCAAGAGCGAGAGAGGGCCTGCCGCAGCCTGTGATTGGCCCAGCAGCCGTCATGGCCGGAACGGATAAACATGGCCGGAGTCCACTCATGGAGGCTGGGAGGCTGAAACTGCGCGTAGCCCTGAGCACGACGTCTCCCCGGTGCCGCGGTACGCCTATTGCCGCCAATATTGATCTATATCTGCTGACTCGATATCTTCCGACTGTCTCTATTGTACTGTTGTCGCAATGTAACAAGTCTGCGACAACAGCAATTGAGTTGTTATCTATCTGCACTTGACTAAATCCTATCTATGCATTGATACTGTGATTATCAATACTCTCTATGTACCTTCGCGATAGATATATACGTATGTCCTGCTCCGTACGCCGATAGAGATCGATCGCCTGCGCATTTCTCAGCACAAAACGGGCTCGGCGGTGGGGGCAAACTTACCTGATTCGGGCCTAGTGCGTCACGTGGAGCCCCTCGTGTGGACGGGCAGCGCATGTTGTTTGTACAACTTTTGCTACAACGAAGCAATAAGAGACTCTCTCTGGTCTATTGTGTGAGTGACTCAAACTTGGTATTGTGCTTGGAGAGTAAATAGACTCCCGGGCCGTTCACACAATCAGAGCTACCAATGCAACGGAGCATTATCTGCGAGGTACAGATTAGACTATAGACTTTAGCTCCCGCCCAGAGTTCCCCGGAAGGAAGATCATCACTATGCCCTAAGCGGCAGGCGGTACTAATTAATCTAGATCGATACATATATATATATATATATATATATCATCACCGATTAATCATTGATTGGTGTGCGACAAGACCACATTACTTCCTAAACGCCGTTCTCCATATTGTCTTTCCCATGACTGCGCTTGCAATGTTTTCATCCAGCCTGGTATCTGCTTATTCATCGTCTGGCGGCATCTCATCCTCGATATATCGAATCAACGTCACTCGGATCTCTGTCGTATCGCTGCCTCGGAGGACGTCGCTGACGAAATGAGCTTCTACTTGCATTTGGACCTGCAATACGTTAGTATCTAAGCGCTGCTCCATTGCAAACGTAGGTATCTGACCATTTCCAATGCCCCCCTCAGCACACCACAGAGAATATTCGAAAACCACAATTGATCTTGTGCTCGGTCGTCATCTGGTAACTCCACAAAGTCTGCCAGCGGATTCTCATCCAGAACCAAGGAAAACTGCTTATTGTCGCTGGTCCAATTGGTGACGGTCGGCGTTATATTAAGAAAGATCTTGAATCCCACCTAACAAACCAGTCAGCTCTGTTATTGCCCATGCACTTATAATCGAGCAAAACAAAACATTGTGGACTGCCAATGGAATACCCACTTTTGAGATTATATCGGCCGTCTCTTTGAAATTCGCGCATCTCCCAGTATTCGATTTGGCAAGAAAATCCTCAATCAATCGCATGCCGATGTTATAGCCCATCTTATCGAGTTGTTTATTAACCTCCAGGTAGTCCCCATCGTAATCCTGACAGAGTTGTGCGACTATCGTTCCGTACGTGAGCGTGACTAACTCGGCATTGACTTTATCGATCTTTGTTCTGTAAACTGCTTAGTATGGCTTTCTGATACTGTCGGTCATAGATCGGGCCACTGACTTCCAAATTCTGTAGACAATAGAAAACAAATCAGTTAGAAATGATTCCTCTCCGATGTTGTTTCCATTGCTAGTCGTCGCACTTACTCTTCCCCTATTCTGGCAGCTTTGGTGGTCGAGGACATTGTGTTCTCTCTTTCGTTAATTCCGGAACAGTCGCAGGCTGATTAGTAACAGAATAGGGACTTATGTTAATATTCAGATTGCGAATCGGTGGCAGTGTAGCTCGGGTCGTTGCGTTGTGCTGTGTGTGTGTCCAAAGTCGTCAGCTCGAGGCTCGAGATATGGATGACCCGCCGCCAGAAAGCGTTTAGCGCGGCTATGCATTGAATTTCTGGACCTTCCGCGCTTAAGCAAATCACCTCTCGCCGCAGCTAGAAATATTTCTTTTCAAGAGCCTATACAAGGACTAGCATACCTGGATATATCAAATTCTACGACTCGACATAGACATCCCCACCATGTCAGGCGAAAAGCGGCCAGCTTCAGAATCTTTCAACCCTACATCCCAGCTTGTCGTGAAAAGACAAAAATCCAATAGCGACCTCAAATCCAATGCTGTTACGCTGCGATCTGGTCAAAATGGCACAGTTGTACAAGCTGTATGTGCAAGTAGCTATTGCCTCTCGGACGCTTGCTAACATTTGAGCGCAGATTCCTAGAACAAGCGGGCTGGCAGCCCCAATTATGGAATTGACAGGTTAGTCTCTGCACTCTTTCCAAGCCTTCTACTACACAGCCATTGATTACGATATATATAGGTCACTCTGGAGAGATATTTGCAACTCGCTTTGATCCCACAGCGCAGAGTATCGCTTCCGGCTCCATGGATCGTACCATTAGTGAGTTCCACTGCGATCATCATTTTCCTCTAGCATGTGCTGATCCAATCGTCTTTAGTGCTATGGCGTACCTACGAACAATGCGAAAACTACGGCGTTCTCACAGGACACAAAGGAGCGGTCCTGGATTTACAATGGTCCCGCGACTCTCGATTCATCTTTTCAGCTTCCGCAGATATGACCATAGCCAGCTGGGATATAGAGACCGGGCAACGGATCAGAAGACACATGGGGCATGAGGAGGCCATCAATTGCGTGGACATCAGTAAGCGAGGCCAGGAAGTGCTTGTTAGCGGTAGTGATGATGGCTATATCGGGATATGGGACCCACGACAAAAAGCGGCCCTTGATTTCATCGAGACTGATTTCCCGATTACGGCTGTCGCGCTATCGGAGGCTGGGAACGAGATTTTCACTGGGGGCATTGACAACGACATCAAAGTCTGGGATGTTCGGAAAAAGGCGGTCGTATACTCATTGATCGGTCATAACGATACTATAACATCTCTCCAGATATCGCCGGACTCTCAGACCTTACTATCAAACTCCCATGACTCCACTGTACGCACATGGGATATTCGGCCGTTTGCTCCTGCCGATCGCTCGGTACGGACTTTTGACGGTGCACCAGTTGGGTTAGAGAAGAACCTCATCCGTGCCAGCTGGGATCCCAAGGGACAAAAAATTGCTGCCGGCAGCGGGGATCGCACTGTAGTAGTCTGGGACGCGAAGTCGGGTAAGCTTTTGTACAAGCTACCCGGTCACAAGGGAACAGTGAACGACGTGCGGTTTTCCCCGAACGATGAACCTATCAGTAAGTTTCCATTGCTCTGTTGAGTTTAGTTCAAGGCTTAGGTGCTAATGGTTCTCTAGTTGTGTCTGGGTCGTCTGATCGGAATATCATGCTTGGAGAACTGGGTAAATAGTTTGATTCCGAATATTAACTAATAATTTGATTCATACTGGGGACTAGCGTGCATTTGTCTCGAACATCAATTGGTATCTAGCCTACAAATCGTGCCGTTTGTCGCGGTCAGATCAGTCGTCCTGATACTTTGGTTCCTGACTAGAGAATGAGATCGTCACGAGGTGGAACGAGCTGCTTCAAGTTATTGATGAACTTCTCCCAGAGAAGCTGCTACACCGGTTTTTAGGTCAAAATTGTTGCAGATTCAACCTGGAGATAACCGGACGGAATGAGGCGCACGATCCGTTTGCTGCTTCATAGTCCAATATTTATCTCGACGATTCCCAAGTCGATGGTATCTACTCCGTACACATAGCGTCGAATGTATCTTAATTGAGTCAACCGGTAAAACTTACCAAGTGTCTGGCACCCACGTAGCAAAAGTATGAACATGAGACACTCGTGCCACGTCTTTCTAACTTGGATTTCGCATGACTTACACGGACTGCGTATCAGGCACCAGGCGCAGGTCAAATCTGAAACGCGCTGATACACGTTGACAAGCTCCGTTGTGCTCTTAGTACGTACATACTCCATTACGCATGTGAATATATTATTGATACGCAGTGACTCGATACTATTTTTATTTATTACCATATTATTCCTACTGAATTAATCCCTATCAATCCACAGGGTATATACACTACGACAAGACTCAAACCAAGCAAGTCCTCAGTTCATGTGAGGCTTATCCCCTTAGTCCAAGCCCTAATTCCCGCCCTAGCCTAGTGTGAGCTTTATCTCTACCACTAACAGAGCTAAGCTCCTCCCATCGGCAACAATCCCGGAGCAAACAGCAACCCCCCCTGATCTTAATTCTCAAACCTGCTGATCCCTTCAATACGTACTTTTTTCTGCTTGATTTTATGCCTAGATGTATACCCTGGCCCTGGGGAGGGGTCACTAGGGATTCGAATATTAATTACCAGTCGTTTGGCTCTCAATTGTTCTTTTTTTTCTCTCTTTTTTTTCGGGTTTGGAGGCTTTCGCTCTAATACTAATTCTACGCTCCTCCGCGGCGTAATGGGATTGCACTAATTCCTCCTATCATATAGATATATGATATTATCCACTCGTTCATATTGATTCTTTCTTTTCTGCGGGAGAACTGCTGGACAGTTTCTGGGTCTTTGTGTGTTGATTTATTGCGTCACTAATATTGTTCGTTTTTTTCTATCGGCTTTTCTCTCATATACGTTACTTGATACCACTCGTTCCGGCTTGTACTCGAATCTTTTCGATTTTGACATCGTCAACCAAAATCTCTCTCATACCAATCATTGCGTCGAACACTATCCCATAACTACCAGCACATTTACCGGTCTCTATTGATGGCGACCCCTCAGTCACAAATAGCGGCACAACCCCGTTCCGCCAACGACGACGCTGATACATCATCATTTTTTGAGGATGACGAGAGGCCAACATGGAGGAAGAAGGCGGGTCGATTTGTGAAGGTTTTGAAAAGGACGAAGAATCAGGCTAGACGTACAGATGCTACGGATATGACTATGAGCGTGGGTGGTAGCCCCCCTTCAGGAGTACCCTCAGCACCAGATGTTGGAGATAACAACAACGATGGTGCTCCATCTGCATCGTCAAGTTCACCACCCACACAGCGACGGAGGAGGTATATAAATGGCTGGGTTCGATATCCGGGGAAGAATTCATCGAATCCGTCATCCATAACAGCACCCCCCAGCAAAATCAAGGATGCTTACCGAATAGCCATAAAGGACAAATTTGTCCGCAAACACCTCGTCGTCTGCGCCGTATCCGGATTGCTGCTTCTCATGATGATCTCTCTCTGTACGTCTCTTTGCCCTTTTCCTATCGTGTTTGAGATCACTAACAGACTATGGTAGACCTCGTCTACGCCATAAACTTCACCACCATCGACGGACAAACATATCACATATTCTTCATACTACTCATCATGATCTTGGCCATGGTATTCTGTCACTCATTTGCTCGGACGTGTCTACTCGCTACCAAGATTGCGAGGTACGGCTCTACTGGTCTCCATCGTATACCTAGCGTCGTAGGTCCGTTGGGGTACGCACAGCCAGCGCAACCAATTCACGTCGTTCTTGCGCGGGATGAGGAGATTGTCATCGAAGGTGCAGCAGCGGATGCAAATAATAATAATCCTTCTGCTGTGACGGGGACAAAACTCACTCCGCCGCCGCCAGCGTATGGTCTCTGGCGTAGTAGTGTGGTATGTCAGATCTTTCGTTGTGGTTGAGCTATACTAATCTGTCTGTAGCGCATAAACCCAAATCTCCTTTACTGGCAACGAGTCGAATCAGCGCCAAAACCAGAAACCTCTCCTCAAGCAAATAATAGCCAAACATCGACATCGAATAGTGAATCATCATCGTCGTCGTCGTCATCAACATCTACAGCAGCGACGACAACGGCAACGACATCTACTACAACAGAATCAAATCAACCTCGTCCACCAAGTTATGCCTCTGACGATGGAGTCGGGTATGTTGTCCATGCACAGCCGAGAATTACCATATCTCATTATTCGCCTCCACCGGCGAAACATGGATAGTTCTATATAGCCAGTAAGGGTAGATCCCTGAAGAATTGAAGTGTTTATGAGAGTGATCAAGTATCGCTGATTTTATATCGACTGGGGCATTTCTGCATTGTGAAGAATATGGGCTTGCATACTCTGTCAGAGGGAATTGTAATGGAGGCTGTCTAGGTGGGTATTTTCAGGGCGTCAAAGATAATAAATTGAAATAAGTGCACATGTCACTCTCTTCAAATACTCGTGTTAGGGCTAAATATTTTTCAATCACGCCTACGAAAACCCGTGAACGAGTTAGCGATTCAGTTTCCATGTTCGGTAAAAATGTTTAGAGTCAGGACGTAAATACATCTAAACCTAGAAGAGCTCAGGAGATGTCAACATTTATGATTTCTGATGATCTGTTAGACAGCATATTTGGTTTGAATCGTGGTCTCGATATGGCTGAGGGTTGCAGGCATCGGTATGGATTTGATTGGATTGGAAAGGTACATGTGTTGGAAATAATATGAGCCATAACATGAGCCTTTGAACACTCAAAAACCACTTACCATATAGCCCCATTGAGGGGATCTCCTTTTTGGTGGAATGGTATAAAATTTGTTCCAATAGCATGGACTGTTTGGGCCTCGCCATGGAGACATAGATTTCATCAAGAACACATCAGGTACAATTCAATCACACTTTAACCTTCAACAACTCCTGCGCGTTCTTATACAAAAATCTCTCCCACTCCTCCCCTTCCTTAATCAATCCGCTCTTCCCAATCTCTTCCAAAAACTCATACCCTTTCTCATTTGCCGAGAACGGATAATCAACACTATACAACACACGCTCAATCGGCATCGTCTGCAAAAGACACGCCAACGGCGGCAAAGCAAACATTCCACTGGTAGTCACCCAGATATTTGATGTCCATACTTCTTTGAAGGGACGGTTTTTTCCGAAACAGGATGAAACTGCGGCCACGCGGTCGAGTTGGAAGGGGAGCATTTCACCCATGTGTCCTAGAATGAGTTTGATTTTGGGGTAGATATCGAAGAAGCCTGAGGCGTATAATCTTAGTATTGAAAGGGCAGTATCTGCATGCCATGCCCAACCATACGCGCCTAGAGCAATGGCGATATTGTCGTCGTAATTACCCTTATACTGAGTTGCCGCAAGTCCCTCCTCGGGATACGAAGGGTGGATGTAGATGGGTACATCCAATTCCTGCGCTTTCTCAAAGACAGGCCAGAATTTCTGATCGTCATAGAACCATCCCTTGGTGTGATTATCGATCAGAGCACCTACAAACTTGTGCTGCGTTACACATCTCTCCAACTCCTCAGCGGCGATTGTTGGTTCAGCCATAGGCAGAAGCGCAAATCCAGCGAAACGAGTTGGATTTCTAAAAATGGCTGACGCGAGTTCGTCGTTTGATGCTTTGCAGATCTCGGGAGGTTGGTCGCCCGGTCCATGGGAGATTACTTGTAAGGAGACATGGCCCTTGTCGAGGTCTTGGATGCGCTCGGTGCTGAGGGAGTTTAGTTTTGAGACTATGTGAGGTGGGAAGATTGCGTAGTGGTCTGTTTTAGATGCGTTGCGAACGGCAGAGGAGAGGTAGTGCTCTTCCAGGGTGATGATGGGAGTCATTTTGTTGTTTTGTTGAATGAGTGGAATTTGAGGCGGTCTTCTTGACCTAAAAAGATTTCTCGAACTTGGCTTGAAAATAAATCTAGAGTACAGGGAATACTAGACGTCTATTTATACCTGTTCAAGTATCTATGTAGCATCGAGGTACTAGAAAACGGCTGGACTTATCACTTAACTCCAGAATCCGAGAAGTGGGTGATGAATTCAGATATGATTGTAGATGACCCTCAAACCAACGTCCGAGTATGTATCGACATCCAATAAAGTCAATTCATGATAGATTTGACTTTGGTATACGAATTTTCGGACATGAATTTTTAGGGTTGTTGAGGCTCGGAGATGTTGAGGCTCGGATATCGCCCTGAACATCATAGCTCGGAGATGCTTCATGCATGCTCAATATCCACCGGCCGCATTACAACTGGTTCGTAGATCAAGCAAAACTATTAAATTGATGATATACTATTAGGTAATTCAAAATCAAATCTGATGCAACAACTCTCTAGACACAACATGCGCCTCTCCCAAAGTCTCCTTCATAACCAAAACAAGATCATCCACGGCCGCTAAAAACCTCAAATACGAGCTCAACGCCGTGCAAAACTTGCGATACTCTTCATCCCTAGCCTTGGTCACACTCATTATCAGACCCATATCTGCTTTGACCCAATGATCAAAACATCTCTTCACCAGCGGTGTGGGTAGGACTTCTGGAAGCGCATCGCCTGTTTTGAGGGATTGCTCGATGACGCCTAGTACTGCCATGACATCGCCGATGGCATGGTGACTGCGAAGACCGACTTCGCGGGATAGTAGTTCTTGGTACTCGATGGATAGTGAGGAAGTGATGTAGAGTAATCTGCCGAGGGAGTAGTTCAGTTCTACACAAAGATCCTTGATTTTGCGCAAGGCTGCGCTGTCAAAGTTTGTCGTTGAGATTTCGATTTTGATGAGTGTAATCAGCACGTCTAGTTCACTGAGAGATCCGGATAATTGGATGGAGAGTTGTCCAGTCACGGCTTGAAGGCCCGGGTTGTGGGATTCGCCTAATGACGAGAGAAGGAGAGCGTAATGGTCACATAGTGTGCTAATTGAGTTTGAAAGTGCCCGGCTGACATGTCGAGTAGCTGAAACTGGACGCGGGAGGACTTGAACGATTATTGAAGCTCCAAGACCGATGAGAGCAAGAAGTAACCGCCGCCAGAAGATTGTGTACCCGTAGCCTGGTAAACCGTATGCTGCGATGTGCCTATACGAGATTAGCAACTCCTTCACAAGAATGAGCCGTAACTTACCCATAATCATAGCCGTATCCTACAACCAAGAAAAATGTTGCAGCGCCCATTACCACTGGCATCAAGAACTGAGGCGGCAAAATCACACGTGCATATATCATCGGAAAGAGCAGGACTCCAATTATAGCAGCCAAACCAAACGCATTCCCATCACCGTTTCCAGAGCCAATATACCAAGCCACAAGACCCAACACGGCGCCAACCACTGATCCAATAGCCCTGGCGACCACTGAGTATGTGAAATCAGCCATATAAGCAAGTAATGTCGTCTGAGCCATGATTAGTGCCCAAAGACCTCTCTGTTTATAATAGAATCCGGCTGTATGAGGGATCACCGCTGGGATAGCCACGGCGATAGATACCACCACCATACGAATTCCGTAAAGCGAATCTGGCGAAACAAGAAATCGATAGAAACCACTAATACCTCTCCCCAATTTCGAACCTGGTCTCTTTCCGATACCCTTGGCTATTCCCAGCTTCTCCTGGAGCACTTCGGACTGATCGACAATCTCATCCGGATCAGCGTATTGAGTGTCAGCGCGAACGGGCGCCTTTTCAGCTCGTCCGAATATCCATTTAGTGACCTTTCTGATTCTAGCTGGAAACCAGATTCGAGCGCGAGTTTTGTCCCTGTAGCGCGAAGCAGTGGTTTCAAGTAAAGGGATAATCCCATCCACGACCCCGAGGATATGTTCTTCAAAAATCATGCCGAAAACCACGACGCGGAACCGGTGACGAAGGTGCATCTTCAATTCCTTGACCTTGCCTTCTGCATCGAATAATTCGGCGTTAGTCTCTAGTAATTGTTCGGTGGTCTTTTGGACAAAGGTAGCTCGCGCAGCGCGTAGGTTCTCCAAAGAAGACTCGCTTCGTTTGACATGTTGTTCTTGGGTTTCCTGAGACAGACGACTGAATATTCTAGCAGTATTAACAGTGTTGAAAAGCTCCTTCACTGAGTCCAAGGCCTCAAGAGAAGCTTGGATGACTTCTGCGCTATTCTCATGAAGCATTGCCACAGTTTCGTTTTGGATTTCAGCACTATGAGAATCATCGATGGCTTTTAGAAACACTGAAAATTCGGTTAATTGATGAAAACCAACATCTGTCGGCCTTTTGATCTTTTCCTTTAGTGATGTCTCTGTTGATTCGGCATCCTCACCGTTATCCTCTGACGAAGCAGTACCAGGTAGAGGTAGCGCCAGAGTCTTTTGGGATTGAAGTGTATGGCTCAGTCGAGCTATCTTGAAGTTCAAAAGATTCTTAGTACCGATGAAAGCCTTTCGCAAATCTTCTGCAACGTTGGTGATATCTTTATCACTCCACCGGCCAATACTAAGATCAAGTTTCAGAAACCCAAGCATCGGTTGCAGTTCATTCCATTGGCCGAGCAAGCCCTGTTCAGTAGCTTTTAGACCCGCGAGTTCCTCCGATTCTTTTGCCTTCTCCACTGGCCCGTCTAGAGTGGCCGTTAGGGGAATCTTGAGCATATCCACTATTTTCTCCATCGTGTCCAGTGTAATATGGGACGTCGACTGCGGAAAGAGAAGAAGGGAGGCGACAAAAGCAAGGCCTAATCCTATCGAGCTAGGCACGACGATCAGATTTGACAAAGTGCCATTGAAGCTCGGTAACAATGGACCGATTGTTATAAAGATATCAATGACGATAATTCCGAAGAGGTGAAAAAAGACGAACTTGGGATTTTTTATGCGTATAAGAGAAATAACGTAGACGAAAAGGATCCCCAGAACCAGGAAAACTGCAGAGACACGAGCATCCAGCATATATCCTTCATACACGAGGGCGCGTGCTTCGGTAGCGACAGGTAGACCTGATTGATTGGCGCGTTGCGTCGCGACTTGTTGCATGTGCTGTAGTTGAGCCTGGTAGACTGAAGCTGGTCGCGCTGCGTAGGCCGCTTTCATCACGATGACGCCCCAGCCCCAGGCCAGCAACATACCTAGCCAGATAGAGATTGCCATGAAAATAAAGATTGTTTCGATACCGGCTGGAGGGCACATCGCCTGAACCATTCTATAGTAATCGGTCAGTAGCCCGGTCAATATAGCAGTTGGATGATGATCTAGTCTCACATCATGAAAAATGATGCCTGACCAATGTTTCGCAATGAAGGATGAATCACCATCAACACTGTACTTATAAATGCAGGAACCCAACACCGAATAAGGGTTTTTACAACCCTCGGGTTGATTTTTGGCCATGATGGCATTGTTCTTATTCAGCCGGGCAGCCCACAAATTGTGTGTTAGTGCAGTGTAGTAGCAGTGTTCAACAGTGTTGTCAACCATTGACACTTGGGTTCCAGCGGTGCTTGAAGCTATAGTATACCGAATGTTTCTAGGTTGACATACTTTGGAATTCGCCGCAAGCCAATATATTCAGCCCAATGTCACGAGTTCCTGCACATACATTCTCATGAAAGTAAAGAATCGAAATGAGCAACTAAGAACCGATTCACAAACAAAAGAAAAAACACCATGATCCCTGATAACCGGCGCTCTGGGCTCAAACCGTAATCCCGATTAGGTCTGAGCAGTGCCTTAGTTAGGGTTAAGGAATATTGAATCCGGCCAATCATGTTGTTCAGTGCCTAACGACTACCACGAGACATGAGTAATCAGCTATTCTCTGCTAGATCAGGTGAAAAGTGCAGTGAGTTTGGAGAGTACCTTTCTGCTTTTGGCCTAGGTCTCAACATGTTGTACGTAAATTCGGGGCTGAAAGTAGCCGACTGCCCGAGGAGGTGGCAGTAATATCAGGTCACATGACAGCAGTTATCTAATGATCTAGAATCTCAATTTGGATTTGAATAGATAGTCGATGATGTTCATGTTCTTCACTGCTTTCAGGGAAAGTAGCTGTATCTCGAATAGCATACAACAAACCAATATTCGGTAGACCTCGAGGTAGATGGAAGGGTATTCTGGTTTTGTATTCTTTTTGCTCTTTTCTTTTTCTCGTCTCAGACTGCAGACAACAGACTTTACAGAAAAAGGGAACAATTGATTGTTTGCTTTGAACTTGCCCCAAAATATAACAAGAACAGAACAGATATGAAAATCGGATGAAAAAGTAATGTTTGTTGTTGGAGTCAATAAAAAGAATAGTAATTTATTCCCAGATTTCGTAAATTCAATGCAATTATCAACGCCCTTTTTTGTATCACCATCACCCCAGAGAAGACATTGGACGTTAGGTGATTTAGTCCTTGCTCTTCTTGGGACCCTTTGTCTTGGCGGTACCCCGGAACTTCTTGGAACGGTTCTTGCGTTGTTTGCCTGGATGATGTTAGTTCTTGCTTTTGCAACATAAAGAAAAAAAGAAAAGAAAAAACATACGTTGCTGTCGGCTGGCCTTCTCGATCTTAGCAGCAGCACCGATACGGACGAGACGGTAGTGAGGCTCGAATTTCTTCAAAGCCTCGTGTGAGTCGTAGACAAGGGCGAAGCCAGTGCTCTTGCCACCACCGAACTGAGTGCGGAAACCAAAGACGGAAACCTGGTCCTTGTTGGCCTTGTAGAGGTCGGCCAATTTCTCACGGAGTTCATCCTTGGACACGTTGGCGCGGTTGGGGTGGAGGACGTCCCTAGAGATACGTTAGAATTGCATTTCCCAAGTCGATGCAGCGACAATTTCTGTTATCCCTTGATCCTTGATATGTTAACGATGATTGCGATAGCTTTTAGACCGGTAGTACGATGCGGCAGACGTAGACAGAGACCACTGCCAGTTTTTCAAATCCACTATACCGTCCAGCAAAAATACCAATCTGCCATTCCAACGATGCAAGCCTTCAATCTTCTTCTTTTCCCGTATGCGAGTATCTGTTCCACTAGTCGACCAGCCCTATCTCGAAATCGCTATCGCTCTCTGTCGCCTGTCGCCTACCGCTCTGTCGAGTCTGCTGTATCGATCATCGAATTATAGCCGCAAGACCATCGCAAAAAATCGCCCAAGCATATCAAGGAATCCGAGAAAGGACACAGAAGACTGTTTCAGCAACACAAGGACACAAGGTAAAAGCTTACACGACCATCTGCTTGCGGGCCAAAAGAGGGTTGCGGATGAACTTGCGCGTCCGCAAGGTAATAGGAGCGTCGGCCATGATAACGGTGATTTTTTTCTGATTGTCGAAAAGTTCTTGTCGAAAAAGAACAGTCTCAGTGGCTTTCGACGACAACACAGAAAAAAGTTGGCGGGATGAGTGGATGTTGTCGGAGTTGCCCTCTAATCGCTTCAACGCACACAAATTCAATTTTCGTGCGGTCGTCGAAAAAGTCATGTGGGCTGGAGTGCTCGGCTAGCCGCGCTAGCGCTAATAAAGGTATAGCGTCATGGTTACGGTCAGTTGACCAATCAGGGAGTTGGTATCATTACATAATCACTTCCTGTCTTTTGAAACATCTCAACCTCAACTCAATCTCGACTTCTTCTTTCTTGCACTTCATGACTATATTCGTCTCAATGGAGTCAATTACAGAGACCAAAGATGTTTTGCGTCTGATCGCACAGTATTTCGAGTTGGTGGAGCTTAGAAGCTTGTCTATACCGTCATCAAGCGTGCTCAAGAACTCTATCACGCAGAATCGCATATACAATGAGATGTTCAATGAAGAGCTTCTTTCTCCGGTCATTCCGCCAGCTACGTATCGACTAAGGCTGTTGAAAAGACTGATTTTCGTTATCGAGAGTGATCCTCGGTGGGATCCTGAGGAGGATGTATGTAATCCTTTTGTAGATTTGCGTATTTCTTAGCCGTATGATAGACAGGGCTGATGTGATTTTTTGTAGGAAATAATTGAGCCTTTGATTGCGGCCATGATAGATTTGATGTCCCAACCGGCAGAGGAATCCTCGTCCATGTCACTAGATACAGAAGAGCCACAACTTTCATTTGTTTCATATACAGTTCCTCAAGCGGAACTGCAAGAAAGGAAACAAGTAGTAACCTTTGAATCTAGAGGCTTGATTTATGGCTCTGGCTCAACGGGCTTTCGTACTTGGGAAGCTGCCTTACATCTCGGCACGTATCTCTCGTCGACTTCTTGTGGAGGATCGTCACCAGTGTCAGTACAGGGCAAGAGGGTTGTAGAACTCGGCGCCGGTACTGGTTTCATTTCGCTATTGTGCCAGAAATTCCTGGGTGCGGCAAAAGTCCTTATGACGGATGGAAATTCTAAGTTGGTTGATGTCTTTAATAGGCCATGTCTGGAACAAAATGGTTTCGGTAGAAGCAATGGAAGTATCGAGGGGAGGCAGTGGGTATGGGGCGATCCACTGTCCACTAACGGGACAGAACAGCAATTCGATATTGCTTTGGGTGCTGATTTGGTAAGTCCATTGTTAATAAAACTGTAAGGCGGATGGGGGAACTTGTACTAATGTCGGTTAATAGATATACGATAAAGCCATAATACCGCTCCTTATCGATGCAATATCTCTTCTATTCTCATCACACGGCGTGAGACAATTCGTGATATCAGCTACCATCCGGAATCAAGATACTTTTAGCGCTTTTCTTAACGCATGCCGTATGTTCGTCCTCTTCCTTGACACAGTTCCGTGCTGATGACGCCTGCTAGGAGGTTGTCACTTTATCATGGAAAAATCTGGCTTCGAGTCTCCAACTTTTGAAGAGCAGACAGGATTTTTCCATTCTACACAGGTCCCGATTTTGATATATATCATATCACCTTTGTCTTGATTCTAGGGTCAACGATACTTGTCACAATTGAGTCAAATATTCCTTCTGCCGACTCGAGTCTTGAAGAACTGAAGTCTACACCAAGTATGCAAATGGAGAAGTGTCTACCAATCTCGGCATGACGCTACTCTCGGCTTGATGAAGTTCACGCAGGCTACGATTCAACTAAGTCCCATGTGGTATATCACTGGAAACGCAGCATGGTTAGTCCACGGCTTTTACACCACGACTACCTCAGATCAAGCTGGCAAGTTCCATTGGCGGTTTCCGCTGTGACATGCTCTACGCGTATCAAGCATCTGATGTGCAATTATGTTGGGTCCCGAAATATTCAGCGATTAGGTTGCCAGGCTCAATGAAGTCAATCGGCACATTCATAGGCCGAAGTCATACATCACTCTGTGACGAAGAGGCGAATAAGCGGTTCAAATCGCAACATCGCTCGATAAACGTCTTTCTGGGGGCGCAAACAACCCTACGGCACAAACGGTTTAGTCCCCAGATAGCGCCGAATGACCTTCCAGGGTTCTCAAATAAGAATAATTTGGACCCTTTCAGCTCCGAACTAATCCTCTTCCCTCTTAGTGCAGGGACAGTACATCGTTCATCAGGGTCCTCGGCTATTATTCAGGGGCTTCCTCTAATGCATCAATCGGAGTATATTCATCCTTCCTACAGCTCAGGAATTAAAAGCAAGACCAGAAAAGTATTCTTTGCAAACCATCCGCCACACTACAACTCTACCTCGAACTAGCCCAACAACGCGATGTCGCCATGCAGCCCAAAGCAATTGAGTCGTTAACGGATACGCTCAGCCATGAAGACATGACTAATGTGTTCTGTGTACTGAATCTGTTGATGGCGATTGGCAGGAAAGAGAATTATCTATTTTATGATTCCTATGCTCCTGCTGAGGATTTGCTAAGTGGACAGAGAGAGTTGGGAGAGATTTGTCCAGGTTTTGAAGGAGCGGAGATGGTGAATAGGTCCTTTCAGTTGAACAGTACTTGCGACTCTAATGCCTTAATCAATGCAGAATAGCTACTGCTTCATCTTTTAGACGACATCGTCGATCAACGTCCACGCTATTCAAGCAGCAACACAATTGACTTCAGGACGGAAGCCCGACCTGCACATAGAAGTATGGAGATTGTCCCCAATTTTGGCCACGTAAACACTACCCTTTCGGATATGCGCTTCTTTCATGAGCTTTGTAAAGGAATATATACAATATTCAGACCATGAAACAAAAGCAAAGTACGACAAGAGACCCCTAACACCGTCTTCCAACATTCATAAACAAAATACACATCAAAACTACTCCTTCCTCTTCGATTTTGACTTGTCCTTACTCTTCTTTTCCTTTTTCTTGTCCTCCGTAGATCCCGACTTTGCCGTCGTCGTCGTCGTATCCAATCGAATCTCAGTAACATCATTCTGCGGCGTTCGAGTCTGCGAAGTGACCACTACAGACGAAACTCCGCCAGTAACAGCATAAGGATCCCGCTGTCTATGAGCCGGCAAAGGCCCATTGCGCTCTTCTTCTTCCAACCTTGCCTCCTCCTCTGGAGAAAGCATGGTCCCTTCTATACTCAAAAACCCACGATCCGGATCCGCGCCAGGAATAACATCCACATCCCTTACACGGAACCGTACGGTCCCACGAACACGATGCCCCGAAACGCTCTGGAAATAACCCGTCGTATTCGAATCTTCGTCCTCATCGTCATCGTCATCATATTCACCAAACTCTTCTCCAAGCATATTCGTATCCCCATCTGGGAGAGTGATGGGTTTCCTACTAACCCTTTTAGGCAGAGGAGTAAAATGTTCCTTTTCAGCATCAAAGGTTACTTTATTATTGTTATTGGCTCTTGATCCATCCTCGTCTCCGGATGTAGCAGAGACGTATCCTCCCTTTTTATCACTGACCGCCGGATCCTCCTCCTCATCATCTGCACCGGGTGGAATCCATTTCCAGGTTTTGGGGACTCGTTTCCGCTCAATACCCACGGAAAAGAGGTTATAAGCAATTGCGCCTACGAAACCTTCGGATTGAACATTTACCCATCCCTCAAGTATCTGTCCCTTCTGTGGGCTGAAAACCAGAAATGTCGCGGTAAGATATAAGTATAACACTCCATACTCATTAGCGGTCAGGGCAAGAGTCAATGGTTTCGGGTTATCGAGATTTAAGTGTGACGAGTTGCTATTATGGCTGCTGTTGACTTGACTCGGCGCAGGCGGACTCTCTGAAATCGAACCATTAGAATAAGCCAATACAATCCCCTTGAAAGGAGGGTAATAAGTCAATAATAACGGTGCCAAATGCTCCGCAATAAGTGAAGCCGCAGCATGCGTTGAAGAAATCGAAATCGGCGAAAGTGGTAAATACATAGTCGCATTGATTAGACGGAATGGTGAACCTGCATCTGGTGTTGCTGCATCGGTAATTGACACGACATGACTTTTGTCTATTCTATTGTTGCTCTGCTGCTTTGGTGAAGAGTGTATGTCCATTTGGAGTAGTACATCGTCTGAGGCTGTTGTGGCGGCATGTTTGCGCTTTTTGGAGGGTGAGTGCTCCTTATTCTTGTGCTTTCGTTTCTTCTCGGGAGGTACCGTGTTGGTGGACATGTTTGAATTGACTTAACGAGTTGTTGAGCTCGGAGATATTGTATGAGAATTCAATAATTATTCGCGGAGAAAGGAAAAAAAATTCGGCAGAAAAAGAGAACGAAGCTGGGTACAGGGCGGTGAGCTGCGGCGGCATATGACTGGTCGGAATAAACAATCACAGTAAACATGGACGATGACACTTTAGCTATCGCAACAGTCTTTGGGATAGTTGTTTGTTCTTATCTATACACAAATGTGGATATGAGCAGCGGCTATACTCGCATTTTAATATTGTTTGATTGCTCAACATGTCAAGCGTGTTATCATTCATCGGCTGGGCCGTTCTACCAAACGTATGTACTCAACTATCTCAAACTCCTCGATACTGCTAGACCACGACTGACAACTCAGTATGTAACCTCCCTGCTCCAAAACCTCTACTACGGGCTCACCATCCGCGCCGGTGATCCACGACCTCAACCCGGCACACCGCGCTTCGACAAACACCGCCGCCGTATCTTCATCTTCGTCGTCACCCTCTACCTCTTCTACACAATATACGAAAGTTTCTACGAAGTACGCGCTGCGGGGGACTTTTACAGCGTATTGGGTGTTTCACCCTCGGCCGATGAGCGTACCATCAAATCTCGATTTCGGCGGCTGGCCGCTCAACATCATCCCGATAAGCTGAATCATCAGCAGCAGACTCTGTCTGATAGTTCCTTTGTATATTTGAAACTAGCTCAGGATACGCTTTTGGATCCGGCGGTTCGGTTTGGTTACGACAGATTCGGACCGCAGGTGAACGAATGGAGGAATAGTAGTACAGTGCGTGATTTCCTGTACGCGGGTTTGAAACAATCCTTGACTCAGTATATTGGGGGTTTGGGAACGATATTAGTGCTGAATTGGGTTTATTGGTCGGCATGGGGTCGATACGTGAGTATTCTCTAAGCATTCGCTACCTCTGCTAATTTGGTGTTTTGCATGTTTTGCAGTGGCGATTCTATACCTTTGCTGCTTTGGTTGTTCTTGAGCTTGTCCTAGTCACGCAGCCGTTCTCTCTCGTTATATCATCAACCTACATCCCTACATTTCTCCGATCATACATCGGTCTCAGCAAAAACCAAACTGCACAAGTTTTATACCTCCTACCGTTTCAAATGATTTCCCTCGCGCGCCGAGTATCGATTACAGTGCACATCTTCATTTCGCAAATCGCACCTCTCTACGTGTCCCGACAAACTTCATCTGCGAGCGGAGGAGGATTGAAGCCCGAGACCCTCCAGCGACTAGGCCACGTAGCGCAATTGTCGCGGATGACTGATACGGAAGCTTCGAGATTGTTGGAGTTGTCCCTTAGTCCGTTCCGAGGGGATCGGGAAAGTGTGTCGGTACTCCGGCGTGGAATGAAGGAGGGCTTGGTTTTGGGGAGTGTGCGAAGTGCGTCTGAGGTTCAGGAGGCGGTTGCTCAGGTGCAGAGGCGGAGGGGCGGCTCGGTAGTATAGATTATTGATTTTATTATACCAAGTACTATACGAAGTATTTCTTATACACGAGTCACGGACACCGACAGATACTGTGTAATCAGACTCCCGAAGAGGCAATATTAGCTCGCGTGTGACTTGGTAAGTAAGTACGTGATATGTAAATTACTCTACATATTGACGATGATGACACCGAGACATCCGAGGATGACCGGGTATAGACATTCTTAGGAGCGATTTTCTTGGTTCGCACCGATACGTAGCAGCGCCGCTGGTCGCTTTGGGATTTCTGATTCTTCCTTGTTCGGCGAGAATCATTCGCAAGGGTCGATGTAGATCGGCCAATCGATCAAATCGAACCATCACCATTGCCTATGTATGACTCGTCACTTTCATTGCAATAGATGGTATTGTTCTTTTGAAAATGGTTGGTATAGACAAGTAAGTCGAGTCTAGTATTTCGGACAAAGCATTGTGAGAGGGAGAAAAGTCCGGCAAGAAAGGAGAGCAGTGGCTGGGCGGTGGTAATATTACCGTACGGCATGCTTACCGTACGGCACCGCCAAACAGGCAACCAACAGGTGGGCAATACACTCCCGTGACCAAACCGCGTCTCCTGATTACAGGCAAACTGCGCAACTCTCTGCCTTCGTTGCCAATCTAACGATCCATACAAGAACGAGAAAAAATAAAATAAAAATTAAACCAAACCACAATGAAACTCTCAACACGCCGCCATCCTTCCTTGTCCTTCCGTCCCTCTCCATCCTCGTCCTTCTCTCCCCCGTCCTCACTTTCATCACTTTCTTCATCGCTATCATCATCACCACCATCACCACCACCACCAAATTTCTATCTTCGGACTATGCCACATTCTCTCCACCGCCGCGCCTTTGCCTCCTCGCCTGCCGACCACTTTGCCTCGTCGTGACCGGTCAGCCCCCCCTTGAACTTTGCATTGTCGCTGTCTCACCGCCGCCGACAATCCTTTATCTGGTTGGAATTCCAACGCTAATTAATTGCAGCACACTGCCAAATATCCATAAGGCAGGCAAAATTACGAAGCGAGCGATAGAGTACTCGACTACTTTTCTCGAATAATATCAACAGATATAATCTACACCACCACACCGACCGATTGAATAGACAGACTAGGAGTCAAAATCACCATGCCTTCACCACCCAGTCGGACAATCGTCCTCAAGCTCTCGTCCTCCTTACTCAGCCGCTTCCCTCACAAAAGTCCATCTATTGACGAGAAAGACGTCAAAATCAAAGACGCCTCTTCACCACCGTCGTCTGCCAGTGGAGAAGCCGGTCTTCAAGCTTCATCTTTCGATGCAGCTTCCGACGCAGCCTCGACACCTGCGCCTGCAGCTGCGGATGGAGGTAAAGCGAAGAAGAACGGCGCTGCGAGCTCGAGGGGTACCAAGCGAACTCTCGATAAGACCGGTGATCCGACTAGTGCTAGCAAACCACGCAGCAGGCCTAGTGCTGCTAAGAAGCGATTGAAATTGTAGGCTTACCCTTATTTTTTTTTTTAGTTCTTTTGTTTTGTTTTTGGGCATAGACATACGAACTAACATTATTCTAGGGATGATAAACCCCTCGACAGCACCAAACTCGCTCCCTCAGGCCACAAACTAGGCCCCAAAGCCAACCAAGGCGCCATCAACGCTGGTCTTCGCGCCCTCGATCGCAGCGGAGCACCCTGTCGCAAATGGGAACGCAAACCATTCCAACTCAAGAGTTTCACCGGCGTCGTCTGGGGATTGTCCAGTTGGCATACACCCAAACCCGCCACCCAGCAACAAACGACGGGCGAGTCGAGCGGCGCCGAAGAAGTCAATGGCGTTACCCCCGCTGCTGTCAACGGGGACACTGACAGTGTCGGCAAGGCGAATCCGCTGAGTAGTGCTGTGCCGAGCGAGAAGAGTAATGTCGGTGAGGGAGATGTCTCGTCTCTGCCTCCTAGTACGGCACAATCTCCGGCGCCAGCTATTGCCATGACTGCATAACTGATGTTGTCAGACATTTCATCTGGCGCTGGGTTCCGCTGGATGATTCTTTCTTTCTTTTTTTTTAATATTTGTTCTTGTACATTATTTACTCTGCTTGTTATGCCCTATTTCTTACCGGGTTATCTTATATGGGGCGGGGAGTATAGGATATGGTGGTTATGTTGCATTTGCTCTGATTGTTAAGTGTTTATGGCGCGGATTCTTTTGGTTGGAATTGTATAATATAGTAATACGAGAAAAGCATTCTCATCCACCTAGCCGTGTTTGTTGTATAACCCCAAGTCGCACCACATTAAACAATGGTACCGTACACGTGATCCGCCAAAGTATCGTCCATACAATCCATATTATCCCCTCAATCTGACAATCTGACAATCTGACAGTCAAGAAATTCACCCGGACGTGCCTCAACACAGTAACAAATCCGTCGGCCGTATGGACGGATCGGGAAAGCAAATGCGTTCACTTTTTCCAATCATTTTGTCAATTTCGCAGAAATGATGTTGATTAGTAACTCGCTACGGAGTTCCTCGAATTCTATTTCGTGGGTATATATATGAGTTCCTCTCTATCTCTGTATACATATGTTTTGTCGAACATATACATACATATACGCACACATACACACACATATATATATATACTGAGGAAAAAACAAAATGGTCTCCAACAAAGCCCTCATCTACAAAAAAATTCCAACCCACTCCCCCATCGTCGGCGAACATCTCCAAGTCGAATCTCTCCCGGACTTTGACAGCCAAAATGTTCCCGCAGGCGGCGCAGCCGTCAAGGGTCTCTATTTCAGCTGTGACCCTTATATGAGAGGACGAATGCGGGTACCGGAAAGAACTAGTTATGCCGCTGCGTACGAGGTTGGGAAGCCCATAACTGCTTATGCGCTGGTGCAGGTATTGCGTCTTGCCGGAGACAACGAGGAGAGTCTTACGACCGGTAAAGGCGTGACGATCAAGAAGGGGGATATACTCTACGGTCTCTTTGAGATTGCAGAGTATAGCGTTCTTTCGAAAGAATGGCTTGAACATCCGTTCGTCCACAAGATTGACAACCCGCATAATCTGCCGTTATCAAACTTCCTGAGTATTTTGGGCATGACCGGTTTAACGGCGTACTCGAGTCTGTACGAGATCGGAAACCCGAAAAAGGGGGAAACCATCTTTATATCCTCTGCTGCAGGCGCCGTGGGTCAGATAGTCGGTCAAATCGCCAAGAGGGAAGGGTTGAGAGTCATTGGCAGTGTGGGTGATGATGCTAAGTTGGATTTCATCGTGAAGGATTTGGGGTTTGATGGTGGGTTTAATTATAAAAAGGAGGCTTCGGTGTTGGAGGCGCTTAAGAGATTGGCTCCGAATGGCGTCGATATATATTACGAGAATGTTGGGGGGGAGCAATTGGCTGCTGCGATTGAGTGTATGAATGTTCATGGACGGATTGGTATGGCCTTTTTTTTTTCCTTTCTTTTTTGTTTTGCTGCTGGTTGAGGAACGTGCTGATTGTGTAGTTGCGTGTGGAATGGTATCGCAATATAGTGTACCTCCTGGTGAGTCTCTCTTCGTTTATCCAGGGGATAGTGCTGACAAGCTAATAGAGGACCGATACGGCGTCAAAAATCTCACGTACATTGTCCCCAAACGAATCCGATTCCAGGGATTCTTGGTTAGTGACCCCGATTTCGGTCCTAAATATGTAAAGGAGCGAAACGAGCGTGTCTCAAAGGTTAGTTTATCTCATCAATTTTACACGAGCCATCTGACTAGGTGACGGGGGTAGTGGCTCGTCGAAGGCAGCATCAAGTCCAAGGAACACATCGACACCGGAATCGACAAGGCTGGAACAGCCTTTGTAAACATGTTGGAAGGCAAAAACTTCGGCAAGGCTATTGTGCACGTTGCTGATCCAGAGTAGAGTCAAAATGTCGCACTGAGAACCTCCCAGATTTCCCCGCATCACCATATGCACTGATACCTACTTCCAGGCTCTCGGACGGCGGTCCATAGTTGGTTAGATATTCATGTATGCTTAGCACTTAGCATGTGTGTGTGTGTGTGTGTGTGATTGATGAATCTATTCTGTCAACTTGTCAAGTATTATTCGTATTCTTCGTTTTCTTCCTTTTAATCAAGGCAATCATTGCCGGATCACGCGAGTCACTCGGCTGTAACAACGCGGGATTTCCTGTTTATCCGGACAAGTGATTAGTGCAGTACTATGTGAGTATATATATTATCACATACTTGACTGCATCCTTGTCAGTACCGGTGGGCATAATTCATACAAGCGAAGAGCGAGGTCAAGTACGTAGTCTAGTCCAGTGATCGATCCGCAGTGGAGCTCTACAATGCCAACCGCTCCTCGTCGCTATGCTTCAGTCACTGCCAACGACTACAACACTTCACCAACTTTCGTCCATCGTCTGATTCCTTATCTACCTGACTACCCGGAATATTCCACCGCGGACACTACCAGTTCTACTACCGCCGCCGCCGCCACTACTTCATCTACAACCACCTCTCATCATCATCATCCCCCGCAGCTACAGACAACGACATCCATCCGCCGCGATTCCACCTCTGTCCCTGCCACGGATGCAGACATGCAGATGAACTTCGGCGCTCCGAGCGCCAGCTGGAGGAGGTCCAGTGGCCTTCCTTCTTACTCTCGGCAGTTCGCCAATATCCCAGAATACGCCGGGGCTGCAACGACAACTCCTACAAATGCTGTAGGCGCCGGTTCAGGTCTACCAGCAGTATTATTGTCATCTGCTTCTTCCCCATCACAATCATCATCTCCCTTTCGGGATCCTTCCTTCTTTGTCCCGTCCTACCTCCGAAACTCGCGATATGTGGCTCGACTAGAAGCCGCCCGACGCTCAAAGCTAGCTGCTGCTCAACGCGAACAGTCATCTACACATCTGCAACAACAGCAACAGCCATCCCTCTCCGCATCGTCGAGTCATGTCAACCTTTACCGTATGGCACCTTCGCATCGTGGGATGACGTACGATATAGTCGAGAAGGAGCCTGCCGTCACTACTACTACTCCTGCTGCTGCTGCTGCTCCTTCTACTGCGGCGGCATCAGAAGATAAACCGAGTCCTCTACCATCTCGCTGGAACGAGAATGATAGACATGAAGGACTGGATTTGACCAACGATGGAATGGAGGTACGCTATATGGGCCATGTGCACAAACCAGACCATGAGGCGGCTTCTGTACGGGCGGATTATCCGATGCCTCGTGAGGGTGGGATATACTACTACGAAGCCACCATACTAGTCAAACCTAAGGATGCGTACGTTTATTTTCTGCTGATTATCAGGGTCGAACTAACTCAAGTCTAGGGTGATTGCCGTCGGTTTCTCATCAAAGAATGCCTCGCTAGAACGATTACCTGGCTGGGATAACGATTCATGGGCGTACCACGGAGACGACGGAAAAGCCTTTATCGGCGAGGGTCAGGGTCAGGGTCGTCCGTTTGGTCCTACCTTTGGTGTTAATGATACTATTGGCTGTGGAGTCAACTTCACAACGGGCAGTGCCTTTTTTACCAAGAATGGAATATTAGTCGGTGCGTTCTTCTATCTATAACACTTAAGAAGTGGATAGCTGACAGTCACAGGCATCGCATTCAAGGACCTGCAGAACTCCAAGAATATAGCTTTTTACCCTTCTATTGGTATGAAGAGACACAATGGCATGCATGTGAGGGTCAATTTCGGTCAACAGCCGTTCATGTACGATATCGACGGGATGGTCAAGGTGCGTTCTCCTCATATTTGAGCCATGAATAGAAAGACTTAAACAATTTGTAGAAAGAGAAACTTGCCGTCGTTTCTGAAATCAAACAAACAAGTACTGCCAATCTTCAGCCTCCATTGGACGAAGACAGGCTTTTACAGGAACTGGTGGCTCAGTTTCTCACTCAAGAAGGCTATTACGAGACTGCTCGCGCGTTTGCGGAAGAAGTGCGTCAAGAGTCTGTTGCTCTGGATAATGGACAGCCGCGGTCATTGTATGAGCATGAACCGGGAGAAGATATTGACACAGCAAATCGGCAGAGTAAGTACTATGCCTTCAAAGTACATTAACTGTTTCTAACGAAAATTAGAAATCCGCGCCGCCATTCTCGAAGGAGATATTGATAGGGCATTAAAGTATACAAATGCGTACTTTCCCAAGATCTTGCAAGACAACCCTCATATTCTCTTCAAACTACGATGCCGAAAGTTTCTGGAGATGATGTGCAAATGCAGCGACTCCTCGAATGCCGCGGCAGCTGAGCGAGAAAGGGATGGAGCGGAAGAAGCGATGGACGTTGATGACCGTTACTCTGACGGTGAAGGAATGGATACTGAAGTGCCCACGTCCACTGCCAAGGTACATGATACCACCAAGTTCCATGAACTATTAACAGAGGCCGTGCAATATGGACAACAACTACGCATGGATTACCCATCGGATGAATACGGAGGCGACAAGAAATATCTCGACGATATATTCTCGTTGGTCGCTTACCCGGATCCTCGATCTTCAGTCCACGGGCATTATCTGGATGCATCGGGACGTATTGCGGTGGCCGATGATCTGAATGCCGCCATATTAAGTACGTCTCTTCGCCGCCAATTTGATCTACAAAATACTAACGAGAATAGTCTCCCTCGGAAAATCATCAACTGCAGCCCTGGAAACCCTTTACTCGCAGACTGAAGTCCTATTAAATGAACTGAGTGAAGAGGGCGGTACGGGAGCATTCATTAATCTCCGAACCGACCTTCTAATGAATCCGTAGCTTGTGAGCACTGGGCTGGAACGCAAGAAGGTGTTTGGGAAGTCGCATTCGAATCTGACGCTGATCGATTAGGTTGTTTTAATATTTATTATTATTTATTTCTTCATCGTCGTTGACTTTTCTTTCTCAAACTACGTTTAACTAAATCTGTAAAGATACATTATGTAAGCAAGCAGTTCACAAGACAGCTGTATATACGCTAGTCCTTAACAGGCTAGCTTCATGCCAGCTGGCGGGTGCCTGAATCTTATGGCGTCATAGGTATCAATACGGTAACGGTACAGGCCCAGCCCCGTGAATTTGGTCTGATTTCTGGTATCAGATGGTATTTTTACTAAAATTTCACTAAAAAAGGTGTTACATTCCACATTCTTGACTGTGCTAACTCGTTCTTGGAGTTTAATTTCCGCTGTTCGCCAGATCAACTGTGTTATACGGATGAAGTGACCTGAAGGAAAGAAAGAAGAGGAACAATCTAAGTCCCCTCGTAGTTCAATCTCGAGGGGATACAGAAGAGGGGAAGGTCAAGAAAAGGAGACACGACATACAGGGTCTCCATGATGGACCTGCAGAACCACGACAACAAGAATGCCAACAACAGTGACCAAGCAGATGAGGGGATGCAGCATGGCCGAACTAGTGCTACTCGCACTAATCATCTGACCGCAAATCTTACTACTATTACCTCCACGCACATTCCACCTACACCCAACAGACTTGCGGGTGGGAATGTGATTATTCCTTATTCTACCAGGAATACTGGTAGTCCTATCTCTGATACACTGCAGTGCTGCTGTGGTAGACGGGATTGTGCATACCTCAAGCATAACAATGTGGCTTTGGGCGATTTGGAGAAGGATTTAGAGACCGCGGCGAGATTGGGGCAGGTATGCCGACTTTTTCTGCTTTTGCTTCAAACAATATTACACCGTTGTCGATTTCCAGCTCGATCGCATCTATGGTTGAGAAATAAAAGATGTCGCTAACCTTCTCCCTCCAGGCCCTCCTCCAACGGCACGAGACGTACGTCTCCGACGCCGAAGCAGACCGAAACCGCATGCTCCTCGAAATGGAGCGACTAGAACGCGACAAGCGAGAAATCCAATCTGCGAATGCGCGCATAGTCGAGGAGAATCGTCACTTACTTGAACAGCTGGAAACACTCAACAATGCCGTTGCTACCTCGGACAACGAGATTAGATCTCTGGCTGATCGGTTGCAGCAAGCTCAACTCGAAATGAGAGCGTTGGCGGCTTCGGCGGCGCGGGCGGCAGATTTGGAGATTCAGTTGAATGCCATGGAGGCGGAGCAGATGGAATTACAGCAACAGCTCATCCTGACGCAAGAAGACGAAAAATCGGCGGTGCAGAGGTGGAAGAAGGCCGAGACGACGTTGAGAGATCTACAGGATCAGTTAGATCGGCTTGAGTATGAGGCGAGGATGGAGAGGGAGGAACATGCGCAGATCATTGAGCGTATGGAACGGAGACGCGCTGTTGAGAGGGAGTTGGATAGTGCTGCTGGTCGACTCAAGGGTGCTGCTGCTGCGTCGGCGGTTATGGATCGTAATAGTAATCGCAATGCGACGACGCCGGTTGTATCCAAGTTTGTGCGTGATATACTTCAGGATAACGCGAATTTGCAGATGGGTATTGTCGAGTTGCGGGAGTTATTGGAGAGTTCGAATCAGGAAGTTGAGAACCTGCGGGAGCAGATTCTGCATCATCATCATCATCAACCTGTTGAAAACGATTCGGAGCAACCGCAACAGAACGCGTCGCGGCTGGATCAAGAACTCAATGCAAAGGAGTCTCGTCCGATTTCTCAGGAGTTTCATGTCCATCATCATTATCATTCGCCTTCGTCGTCGGTCAGTTCCAAGAAAGAGAAACAACCTATACGGCGTGCGAAGAAGAGACGACCTCCTTTAATGGCGTCGGGAATGCATAGTCCTAGATCGCCTTCATCATATCACCATGCACATCCCTCATCATCTTCTGTATCGACAATCATGTCCCAGACGTCCGTCTCAATTCCTCCGTCGTCATCACAGCGGTATTCTGTTCATCCATCTGGAGTATCGTCACTGGCCAGTTCTCCAATTTCGGCGTATCAGCCGTCTTCAATTTTTGATGTTGTCGATCAAAGCGAATTGTCAAGACCATCCAGTCCGGAAAGTCCTGCTATGTTAATGTCACCGAAACGACCAATGTGGAGGGGTAAGCGCATGTCAGATGCTTCTTCGCGGTCGTTTTCCATGCCTAGTGGGATGTCTCTCGCAGGTGACTCTGATTTCGGTGAGAACGACAAGTTTGATATGCTTGATGGTGATGAGGATATTTTTGAGCAACCTACAAAGACTAGTGATGAGATGTGGCTTCCTCCTGCCATACCTGAAGAACAGGAGGATGTCACCGATAAATCTGATAACCAGCCCGCGAAAGAGGAACAAACAGGAGACGCACCAGGTCCGTCCATTATTAATAACGTATTCGATGAGACCACCTTCGATCCAATGCAACAGCATCATACATTACGCAAATCGGCATCTTACGAGAGTCTTCTCTCTGTCTCTGGCATGGATATCCATACCCTCCGTGATCGACCTTCCCAGTTACTTGCCGGTTTTGAATCGAGATACTTCCTCCCTCGTCGCCCGCCGCAGCGCGTCGTCACAGTCGCAACTGAGATTTCATCTCCTGTCATATCGACTACAAATATCACAGCCGATAAAACAACTATTCTCTCGACAAGCAGTCAACAGAAATCATCGCATTCCTTACTTGCTCGCGTAGCAGCAAAGAGTAGTATTTCTGCTATCAATCCAGAGACTACAAACACTCCACCATCGAACACTGCATCCACCCCAATCCCGACCAACACAAAACCAACAACAATAACCCGCAAAGTCGGAGGATGGGTTATGGGTAAATGGGGCATTGCGCCTACCCCAGCTACATCATCATCATCATCATCATCATCATTTTCAAGCTGGACGAATAGTCACCATCTCATCCACCAAGCTCAGCAATCAGATGCAGCGAGTATATCATCATCCGATACTGCCACTACTTCCACCACAACAACGCAAACCAAAACACGTCCACACTCAAAACCGGTAATGCGAGGCTTTGGAATTAATCAGAAAGGGCCTATACCTGGTTTCGTATCTTCGACTGCTCTTCCGGCGAAGAATGTGGTTATTCATGCTGATGTTTTGGATAGGGAGTTGTTGGATGAGAGTTTGAAAGAGTGATTTCTCTCTCTAGGTCGTGTTTATACAGTCGTTATTATTTCCTTGTTTATATTGTGGTTTTCAGTTGGTGATACCCCTTATCGTTCTTTACTTTATGTTTATATCTATATGTCTGTATGGTGGGAGGAAATATATATATATGACCAATTACCAATTTAAGCATCCTTATCATAGACTAATCAATTTAAATAACCACCCTCCCCGGCACATCAACCTTCAATAAATCGACACCACGCTCAATCTCCGCCTTTTTCGGCATATTCCCCCTCCTCATCAACTCCGCCGCTTTCACCATAATCGGATCCATCCCCATCGTCGCAACAGCTACAATCGTATCCCCCTTTGCATAATACGCCGCAAACTTGGCGTTCTCAGGCTCCCCCTTAAGTACCAACGAGTCGAATCCATTTGAGGCCATGGTGTTGCCGCAGTAGCGTAATTGTTGGCCTAGGGCGGACCAGAAGACCGGAATGAAGGCTTTGTGTTGTTTGCGTGGGCTAGAGGGTTTATTGACGATTGAGCGTGCTACGGCTCGACCGGCGTTTTGAGCTACATTCCAATGCTCAATGCGTACCGGAGAGCCTGTTTCGGGCTCGGAACCGGGGCCGTGGTAGGTATATGTTGCTATGTCGCCGATTGCATAGACGTCTCCGTTTAACGAGGGGACGGAGAAGGTTTCGTCGGTCCGGATTGAGCCGTCCTTTTCCAGGGGGAGGGATGGGTTGTTGGCTAGAAAGTCTGTGGCGGGTTTCACACCGATGCCGAGTATGACTACATCCGCGTGTAGGACGGTGCCGTCCTTGAGATGGACGGCGCCGACTTTATCGGGACTGGCAGGGGAAGGGGTAGCCTTGTCGACGCTTGCATTCATGTAGAATTTCACGCCAGATTTTTCGAGGAGACCCTGGAAGATTTTGCCGACTTGTTCGCCCATCACTCTTTCAAGGGGTGCCTTTTCCATGCCCACGATGCTGACTTCGTGGTTTTTGGAGAGTGCATTACCGATTTCCATGCCGATGAATGAACTGCCGATAATCACTACTTTCTTCTTTTCTTCGCCCAATGCGCCGAGAATGTTTTGTACGTCTGTAACAAAACGGAGTCGGAAGATATTCCCTAGATCTTTGAATCCTTCTAATGGTAGCGAGCGAGGAACACCGCCTGTGGCCAAAACGAGTTTGGTGTATGGGTATGTCTTTCCGGAGTGGGTGGTCACGGACTTTGCATTGAAATCAACGCCGGTGACTTCGTCGTGGACAATGTCAATACCGGCGTTGGAGTACCATTCTGCAGGACGAATCTCAATCTTGGATGCATCTGCGATCAATGCTTTGGATAGCTTGGTGCGGTCCAAGGGGAGGTTGGGTTCTTTGGTGATTAGGGTTACGCTGCCTTTGAAGTTGAGTTCACGAAGTGTCTGGACTGTGCCAAAGGAACCGCTTCCACTGTTTGTTTTTTAGTATTTGGTGCAGATCTTCAGGGGGAATGACTTACCCTCCGACAACGACGACTTTCTCATCGGTAGAAGCTGAGCATTTGAGGTTGGGGTCTCGTTGTCCTGTTTTAATAGCACCTTCTTCACCCTTTATGTATACTGCGCCCTCCTTTTCGTAGACTTCGAATGTGTTTAGACGGTTTGGTGCAGGTGCATCTTCGATTTCACCAGTCGCGACGGTGAAGCAGGCTATATCCATCAGTACTTCCTATCATCTAATACTGATAGTAAGGATGAACGCACCTCCATGCCAGGGACATGTAATTCGACCATCTGGTGCAACAACACCCAACTTTAATGGTGCACCGTAATGAGTGCACCGTGGACTGATAGCATGAAACTTATCGTCTAGCCTGACAACAAGCACCTTTCCATCCTGCACACCTTCCACCTCGGATTCGACTTTTTCCAGGTTTGGGATGTCCCGAAGGGACTTGATGTCTTTGAGTTTGTATTCTGTAGCCATTGTGATTGACGTTGAGAATTGCCGGGTTGAGTTGTTATTGAACAGTTGTGTAGATGTATTGTAGCGGGATATCCACGATGATGTTGATAATGACGATGACGAACGACAACAACGGCAAGTCCCTTTTCCTGATAGACAGCAGCGTGGCCTACACTTACAGCAGGACGAAGAACGTGTTGAATAGGATGCCGTTGAGGACAAGAAGAGAGGGGCCGCGTAGACAGCGGGATGATGACGACTTCCTAAACGGCGATTGGGTAACGGGGGACTAGTTCGAGTATAGACGTTAAAAGAGTGCAAGCGGGGTACTCGAATCATGACCAGTCTATGTCAGCCTGGTCCAATGGCACTGTCTATTTGACAACAGTAGAGGAATTGCTGATGAATGATTGATCTATGAACTGACGATGTAAACGTCTTTTAACAAGTAATGCTTAGGGTTATCGATGCCTTGTTTGTATGGTTACTTGTTAAGGCATGCAATGACGTCGTAATGAGAGAGCTCTCCATTCAGCCAATCGGAGACCGTCGTTTATTAATCCGACAAGTGGATTGACACCTTATGGATCAGGCACCAGGGCAACATTGACCAGTTCCTTCCAAAAGACTGGAACTACAAAAGTATCAGCCAACACTGAGACCACCGTGGTTGCTATGAGGGCAGCCTATAACCCAGCCAGATTGAGTACTGCACTGAGACTCTCTGTCCGCACCTTTTCTACATCGTATCCCAAACATGTCCGCGGCGATAAGACTGACCCGCGCTTCTCCAGCTTGGGTCAATTAATTGAGGACAAATTCGCCCATATACAAGAAGACTACGGTATTCCCCTTAACCTTTCTCTACCTAAATAATACTAACAAAGGTAGAACGTCCCAAAAATGCAATTGTCCTTGCCCATGGTTTGTTAGGGTTCGCCGAACTCAAACTCGCGGGAGACCTTCTCCCGCCGATTGAGTATTGGCATGGTATCAAGAATGCCTTGAATATGAAAGGGATCAAGGTGATTACGACGACTGTGCCGCCTTATGGCTCAATTGAGAAGCGAGCCGAGGCTTTGGTTGAGGATATTGCTGCGGAGGCCAACGGGCAGGATGTGAATATCATTGCGTAAGTTTGATCTCTATGGATGGTGAACTTGGCTAAACTTGAATGTCATACAGACATAGTATGGTGAGTATGGATATTTTTCACTTCATGGATTTTGCTGACTTGTGTACAGGGGTGAGTCAACCTCCTTCCGAGACATAGTGAAATACTGATCAACCAGAGGGCTCGACTCCCGGTATATGGTGAGCAGACTGAGGCCGACAGAATTCAAAGTCCGGTCTTTGACAACCATTGCTACCCCGCATCGAGGTGAGATACTTGTCTTGTTGTATCTGCTAAATACTCATGTTCTGAAGGATCCGTGATTGCCGACCACTTCATGGAGCGAGTTGACGCCCATGGTACGTATTATTTGTTCGTTACCTAACGAACTGCAATATCTGGCTAACCACTAACGAGTCAAGTAACTCGACTGCGCAAGCTCTCAAAATCTGTCGACCGGATAACTTCCGAAGCACAGGCATTCAACCAATTAACACGGAAATATCTCGCGGACGAGTTCAACCCTAATGTGCCAGATGTCGAGGATGTCCGGTATGTTCGTCTATGTTGGCAAACATGGAAGTGACTAATTTATCAGGTACTTCTCCTACGGCGCAATGTTCCAACCAGGCCTGTTCAACATCTTCCGACCGTTTCATCGCATACTGGAAGAGGTCGAAGGTCCTAATGACGGCCTCGTCAGTGTTGCTAGCAGTAAATGGGGCGGTGACTCGGGCTATAAAGGTACGCTTGTGGGTGTGAGTCATCTGGACTTGATAAACTGGTCCAATCGCATCCAGTGGATGCTGGGTGAGTTGACAGGGAATAAGAGGAAGTGAGTATCATCTCCCGAGTGATGTAACTGGGCTGACATTTTATCAGATTCAATGCCATTGCTTTCTATCTAGATATTGCAGGTTTGTGGAGATCTGTTTCTTCACAGTGGATTGACTGCTAACTCGTTATAGATATGTTGGCAAAGGAGGGTCTATAACGCATCTGTACAACACATGTATATTATTCATCACATATCAGAATCTTGTATATATTGCATGCAGGTCAATTGAGCTCAAAACAAGAATTGAGACCGTATAGCAAGTCGTCAGCCTCATCCAGGTCAAACTCAGTTACTCAGGGGTATCTTATAGAGTGGCTTAGATTGCAGGCATCAAGGCAACAACATAACCATCATCCAATACGTTAGTCGAACCTACCGCTGCTGCTCCCAAACCTGCATGATCCAGGAGCGAAGCCACATACCAATCACAACTAGACAATATATAGAAAGCAGCTACGAAATGCATGTATATTATGGTAGTAGTGTTGCGGACATCAGCGAGACGTCCAAATCGGCATGACTCCGGCCCCGCGGAGCATCCACCCAGCCAAAAAACAACAAAACGTCATTCATCCAAACTTACCCTTGTCAATAAGTGTCAATTCACCATCAGCTAGACACTACTACTAGAGCTAATTCGACTGGAAACTAGGCTACAACGACTTTTCTTGTATATATTTGCTTGTCTTTTCTGAACTATCAGATGTGATGCCCAGACGCTGTTTTATTCCTTCATTCCTCACCCCTCCGCCGCTTGCCGTTCGCCATACCGTACGTTTGAACAATGGCAGCAACCATCAAACTGGACAAACCGCATAGTCATTTCACGAACCTAGATCATATCACTGGACGAGTGATATTGCAGCTACATACCGATACCGCTATTAGCGCGATACATGTCAAGCTTGAAGGAGAAAGTCGGACGCGATTGTCGGCTCCGCGCAATGACCAGAACAAGAAGAAAACTGAGATAGAAGTCCATAAGGTTGGTTATTCTTATTAGTTTAGAGGTCTAGTTACTAATATTCAAATATGTGTAGATATTATACAAAGTCAAAGCAGTCTTTCCAAGCCCGGATATCGCTCAACATAGCTCTCCCAATGCTGCTTTTACGTTGGCACCCGGTGTTTATGAATATCCGTTTGAATTCAAGGTATATTCGACAAAACATTTCTGATGGAGGACGCCGCTGATGACAAGCTTTGCAGTTCCCGTTCAACAATGCCTGCAGCAATCAGAATTCGATGATGACAAATCTCAGTATGGTCGGTTTGCGAGTCGAAGTGGCACGAGATACCTATGCACATGTCAAAAAGACCTTACCTCCTTCATTGAGTACTTTTCCGGGCGAAGCAGAGATCAAATATTATGTGAAAACAACTGTTGTTCGGCCTCAGTTCTTCAAGGAGAACATTCGATCGGTGGGTAAAACAAGTGGCTTCCATATGTTTAACTACTAAAGGTTGCACAGATTGCAGGATTCAATTTCCTCCCCATTGAGCCTCCAAGGAACGGTAACCCAAATGAAGAGACCTACGCCAGACGCCAGCACGAATTCATGCGAACAGGATTCCCACCAGCTGTGAAAAAGGGTGGACTCTTTCGCAAACAATCATCTACGCCTCTTGTTCCCCTGTCGACCGCGGATCCCGTACGAGTGTCCGTCGACGCAAGATTACCCAATCCACCAATTCTGACCTGCAATCAACCTATACCGTTACGGATCATCGTCACTAAGAAATCTCCTACCACGGAACCGATGTTTCTTCAACTACTTCAGATTGAACTGATTAGTTATACTAATATCAGAGCCCATGAGCTCGTGCGTACAGAGCCGCTTAGCACTCTGATAATAAGTCGCAGCAATATGAATGTACTCATTGGCCCAGCATCGGATCCAATGGGAAAAGAGTGGGCGGTTGACGCAAGCCTATGGAATCAACTCCCATTGCCGCCGAACGTTGCGCCCACATTTGAGACGTGCAATATTTCTCGGCATTATGAGCTTGAAGTACGGGTGGGCTTATCACATGGACCTGCAGGAAGAACGATGGTAAGGATCTCGTCCAACTACGGGATAACTGTCAACTAACCGGAGAAAACAGCCTCAAATCATCGTTGTACCTCTACGACTGGCCGTAAAAGTATACTCTGGTATTCGTCCACCACCAGAACTCCTAGAAGCCATGACCGCCAACATGAAATTGAGAGAGACTCAATTGGAGCAAAAATCGAAATACGATGATGATAACCCTCCACCACAACCGCCCCGACCATCTACCAATCAACCAGCCGAACTAGACTCTCACGTCAACAATGTCGGAGACGACGATGCGCCACCAAGTTACGAGGACGCAATGGCCGAACTGATCAGTCCCATTGATGGCCCACGCGGAGAATATCATCACACCCCTGCACCGGCTTTCCAAGGAAACCGTAATATTTCAGGTGACACCAAAATGCCATTCCCTGATTCCCATAACGGTCATAATGAGGATGATCACCACTTCAATCACGAAGGGGACGAAGATGGAGGAGAAATTACGCGCTCGTTTTCCCGTGACTCCTCCGAATCCATCGATATGCTACCCCAATCACCCCGATTACGACCTATATCATATGCAGATAGCGTTTTTGAAGGTAAAACGTCTGATCAGACACAGACTAATCCGAACAACAACAGCACATATAATGATAACCCAGCAAGTGGAACACAGCAGCACTCTCAACAACCACCGCAAACATTCCCAACATTCCCAACCTCACAAACACCTCAACCTCGTCGAGTAATAAGTACGGGCATACCTAATCGACGACCAGTGCCGAATTCGAGTCAGACACAGGGTAATAATCCTTCATAGCCTTGAATCATACCCAAAAAAGTCTCCACTTCTCATAACTTTGGAGTTTATACTCTTCTCATACTTCTTCCTTGTTGGGTGTTTTGGGACTATATTGATACGCATTGCATATTTATGGAGTTTGTCATGACAATAGCATATATCAATCCAATATTCTTCTAGAAATTATCCAAAAGCTTGAAACCATAAATCTCTACGTTATCATCTATGATTTCCTAATCGAGCAAGCCTCGAGTCTACCATCGACCGAACTCCAAACTGGCATATCCCAGCCAATCACCAAGCTTCGACTTTGGCGCCTAAACCCGCAACTCCGCAGAAAAAACCCACTTCCGCGAGACGCTCATGGCGAGACACGAAACGAACACTCGTAGTATTACCATATTCTTGACATTGAGAATATGCCGTAATACGAATCAAAATTCAATTTACATTTGCTTGTTTTGCGGTGTTTGACTTCTGGTGTTGTCAGCGTTTGCGCATGTATAAGGCAGCAAAGCGACAAGGCTGACGGACTACGAACCTTCTGCTCGCGCTTTCTGTCTAGTCGATCTGAGGAGCTGGAGTCAAATGACTAAGTGAGTCGTTGCCAGAGACTATTTCGACGCAGACAAGCGATCGAACGAATCAACCATGCGTCTACAACTCAATATTCTCCGACACGGCCTCCCCGCGACGCGCATACTATGGACCGTCCGCTCTCAAAGCAGTTCGCATCTGATTGATACCACATCTTCCGCCGTTACTTCAACACGACAACCAAACACGGCATATGGTAATGGAGGATGCACCGTCGCCCAGTTACTAGAGGATGTCAATGAAGTCGTACCTCTCGAAACTTCCGTGGGCTCAGTAGGGGAGAACGAAGACCTTGGCGGTCAGTGGGGTTTGGAAGATTATGTTGTTGAAGTTAATGGGTTTGAGTGTTTACATTTCATGAATGTAAATGGTTTATTGAGGGATGGTGATGAGGTTGTGTAAGTTACACACCAGTCCGGTCATGAGACGTGATGGTTCTATTTCCTGACTTGTTTATTCTAGGATTCGCTCCCTAAGCGTGGATGATATTCGCGCACGAAGACTTTCAGGCCGTCTTCAAGTCTCAACAGATGGTAGACGGTTGATTGACGGGGTACCGTTTGGGAGGCCTTACCTTCAGAGGTCTTACTCTTCCAGACCTCCAATTAGAATCCCGCCACGGAAAAGACGGAGGACAACACTGTCAAGCTGGACTGGTAATCTTCAGGATGAAGATGGTAATGATGAACTTCAAACATTCACAGCGGGGCCATATGAGAATCGCTTGACGCCGTATGATGCTGCCTCCGATCAGGGAACGGTTATCAGACATCGTACAAATCTTTTTGACGATGGCGATGGCGACGACGACGACGATGATGATATGGATTATGAGGAGGCCGATGAGCTAGACGCGGAAATAAAGTCGTTATGGGCCGAAGCAAATGCCGAAGCCGAAGCGCTCCTTGAGAGCCCCGATTTCCAACGATTTCGTGCAACCCGTGCAGGTCGTATGTCGCGGATGGCGCATCGAGATTTACTACCTACCAGCAGCCCGGCACGTCTGTCGGTTGTATCTACACCACGTACAAATCTCGCTCGAGGACAGGATGGCGAAGCTTCTGCAAAGTCGACCAAGAGTGTCCATTTCGAGGCCGATATATCGAATCTCACAAGCCGGTTGTCGGAGGGAAATGACTCAGGATCAGACAAGCTGTCTCATGCAAGCTCTGCAGTCTCCAGTAATACCCCTGACAGTAGTATAGAGTCAGGTGATGAGTCAAGCGACGAAGACTTTTCTGCCGAAGATTCTGGCGCCGACATGAGCGATGAGTCATCCATTTCCGAAGAGTCTGAGTTTGAGTCAGAAGACGAAGAAGCTCCGGAACAGCAAAAGTCAAAAGCAATCGTATTTACTCCACCCGGCGAAGGTTCCAGGAAAACTAGGAATAGCAACCGTCGCAAGAAACTTCGGTCCCGGCTGCAGAAGCTGAAAAGCCTTGGAGAGTTACCACCAGAAGCCAATTTCAACGACCTGAGAAACTGGGAGGCGACACATGGCAAGAGACCGCTCACGGAAGTGACAGATCTTGGGGTGGATAAGCGTGAAACGAGGCCAAAAGAGCAATCGGAAATCGAAATTAAGAGACAGCAGTTGCTTCGGTACTTGGCGTCGGGTGGAGTTGACGTTGATGGTCATTCTGAGAAGGAGAACATCCCACCACGGTACAGGAATGGAAAAGAGAAAGTCGATAACCAAGAGTCAGTGGAAAAAGTCAAAGAGGGCCCGGCGGCTGCGAAAGCTTTACCAGTAGCATCTCCTGAAAAGAATGGGGTCGATGAGGAAACCAAGACAAGTCCAAATGAAGCCAAAAGAAGGAAGCTTGATCTCTCGAGCACCAAACGTCTCCTCTTTGGGTCATTGGGTGTTCGGACGCCCAAGAATAAAGAAGATGAAGATACTCTACGTACTAAGCTGGATGAATCGCGCATAGAGCACACTGCACCTGAGAAACCCGCGGAAGCACCTGTTGAGAATGGAGTTGAGAAGGATAATATTGATGAGAGCTGGCAACAGAAGATTGTCCTCAGCGCAACGGAATGTGTCTATGATGACATTGAACTCACGGCTCCTCCATTCCCTTTTAAACAACGATGGGATCATGATGCATGTTACCATATTCGGCAACGCAAGAACGGCGGTAAAAAGAACAAGAAACGCAAACAACGTGACTGGCAGGAAGAGGACGCTTACGATAGCTATCAGGATGCAGACGGGGGTGTCACGTTGAACTACGATGATCAACCTACAATAACAGAAAAGAAGGATCAGGCGAACACTTCAAAAGAGGATGCAGCAGACGACCTACCCGAACTACCAAGCGATCCTGACGCCTTGCCTATCCAGACTGAAGATAAAGTAACAGTCGGCTCCATCATTGCTTTCAAGCATCTAGATATGTCAAAGGCGACTAACTGGCAACCAAAAATATCTGACTACAAAGTTGCGAAGGTGCACAAAATCCATGATAACGGTACTCTAGACCTTCTACTCGCGAAGCGCTATCGAGAAGTTCGTAACCAGGTCGTGGTGGACGGAGACGGCGTACGTACATACTCCGGATTCGAGATGCCCAACGATGACAACGACGAAGTCGAGGATGACGGGATTCGAAGCGTGTCGTTTACGGATCTAATAGAACCGAAGATGATCCAGGCGGCTGTTGTTAAGACTTCTGATCAGAGCCAAAAGGAGGAGAGTTTGGCGAATGGCGATCAGAACGAAACAAGCCTGTCAGTTAATTGATTTCTTTTTTACTCTTTTCCTATTACCTTTCTTTTTTCTCCGAGAAGGTGTTATCATAGCGACACCTTTTCTTGCTATTACCCTAACATGACAGGCCCGTCCATCATGTATTCGCTATACCTAGGCTCACAAATGGGATTCCTTGTTTTTAATAGATTAATACATCCTCCTTCTACTCCATCCGTTCCTGTCAATTTCGCTGGTAACAAAGCAGCATGCGTAGACGGAGGCGAAAACGACGACGAAGACGTGACTGCAGCCGAAGCTGATGATGAATTGCCATCCCTTCCTCCTGTGGCTGTTTCTTCACAAACGCGACTTGAGATTACTCACATGGTTCACGACGTGGGTTTTCGTTCTGCGATCGACTCCGAGCTTGGACGGGATCCGATATTAGAACGGCTCGATAAACCCAAAGATTCTGCTATAGATATGCAGAGTGACGCGAATGTTGCAGATTCTAAGGTCTCGGGCTCGAATAGTGAATTTGCGTCGAGTCCCCCCGATATTGGACCTGAGGAGCAGGACGGCGAGGATCCTGAGAATGGATCTCAACACGATGCCCCTGATGAAAGTCAGGCGATGGATGAAGGAGACAATATGGCAATGGATATGGATGATGCCGGACTTCAGATGGACGTTGATGATGATTTTGTTATGAATGATCATAGCGAGTTCAATGCGGGGAGCCAAGCTGGTGACGACTCGGACGATGGCGTATCCTTACCCCGAAATGATGCTACAGCAAAGAGGCACAACAACGATGTGGCTGCGCATGCTATGGCCAGCTCTATGGCAGAAGGAAAGTCAAACGCCCTATCAGGAGCACCAGGTGTGCCACCCTCTGGACATGCTTCTCCACGAGTCGTGAAAGAGGAGCCAGGACAAAGAGTCAAACCAAGCGAAAGAGGAGCCGACAAATCATTTTTGAGCACTACAGTACGAGCTGGCAGTCGATCATTCACTGATCCTGTAGCCCTCGACAATGGGAGCGACCTTGACGATCCATTGTCCGACTATTCCGACGCATATTCCACTGTTCTCAATCCATTCTATGAACGAGACGCAGCAGCCACAAAGAATGGTAAAGCTAAAGCTAAGTGCAAGAACCTGCCCTCTGCTCAACAAGACCCTCCTACTCGTTCAAGTCTATCAAAACGAGAGGATCATATACCTTCTTCTACCAACATGCTAAAAAGCAACCAAAAAGCCAATAAAGGCTCCCAATACACACCTAAGCCAATTGAAAAGAAGGGTAGCAATACCAAATCCGATCTTGGTTTGAGCTGGCTCGACGATAATCTGAGCGACGCATCTGATCCCGATTTTCCGGATATTGAAGTTCTGTGGGCATCTACTGCGCCAACGCAGAAGGAGTTTCCGCCGATTAAGATGGAGGCGGAGGCTGCGAGCCAGCAGCCGAAGTCTACGGCTCACCCTGAGGAGTCAGCTGCATCTTTGCCTCCAGTCAGTCAGTCGAGTAGTAATAATTCGTCTGCTAAAGGACATGTGTCCACTGCTACAAAGAATGACACATCTGCTGTAAAGGAGAAACAGCCTGAGCAAGATCAGCAGCGAGCAGATACTGGATCGAGCCCAAAGAGAGATAATCAGAAGAATGATAACGACAAGGGCAAAAACAGCAATAATGAAAAACCAAAATCTCCTTCCCCTTTCGTTTCCACTCTTGACTTCGACTCTCATCAAGACATCAACGACAATGCAGACATCGAACTCGACAATGATAATGACGACGAAGACGATGCATACCAACACTCAGCCGACAACAGCAGCCACCCAGATTTTCACCAGCAGGAAGAAGAATCCCAAGACCACACAATCCCCATGGTCGACCTGACCGTTTCTAGTCCGCTCGAATCACCAGATGAAGGCAGTGATGAGGATTTCGCGAAATCACAGGGCCTTCCCCGTGGACCAGGCTGGGTGAAGAAGAATGTCCCTCGTACTGGGCGACAGACGAGGTCGTCGACGGGGGTTGGCAATATATTGAGTTCGAGTTTGAGTCCGCCGCCGCGACGGAGGAGGTTTACTCAGTCACAATTTTGATTGCGAATTAGCCTGCTCTTGTTTCGAAGTCTGTTCTTTATGATTTGATACCAGTTTATTAAATTTCTAATGCTCTTATTTTTCGTTAGACACATGCGTCTATTTGTTTCTATGTTTCAAAGCAAGCGTTTATAGGCATGATGTATATACTCATAGCATGATAGCTGGTTATCTTCATACCGGCCTCGGTACATACTTAGTACATAATCCCACGGGACCGGCACCGAATACAACCACTGAATTTCCCGGTACTACACCAGCTTGCTTGACAACATGCACCGCAACACCCAACGGCTCAATCAGCGCTCCTTTCTTGAGGGGGATGTTCTCGCGAAGTTTGTAACAAAAGTCCTCGGGCAACCTGTAATACCGCGTCAATGTCCCATCGTACGGCGGCGTAGCGGCAAAGGCCATGTTGATACATAAATGATATTTACCGGATTTGTAGGGCTCGCGTCGCCGGCAGGGAATACCGGGTTCCATGGCCACTTGGTCGCTGACTTTTAAGGTAGTCACTTTTGAGCCGACTTTGCTCACTACGCCGGATGATTCGTGACCGAGGACCATGGGTTCGCGGACAACGAAGGAGTCGATTGAGCTGTGCTCCCAGTAATGGACCTGATGATTATCGGTTTGAACGTCGCGAACAAGAGATTGCTGCGGTGCTTACGTCACTGCCACTTATAATTACTCATTCAAATGTTGGTGAAGATGAATCTATCCATGGATACTACACTATCTTGAAGCAGGCAAACTCAGGGTCCGTATTCTTCTACCAAAACACTTCAACGGCATAGAAAGAGCAAAAGACCCCACCTGGTTCACTATAAAATAGACGTGAAGGCACGTCTAGACAGATAATAGAATCACAAAACTGAGAAACAATCAAATCATAAATATATGTATGTACAACAATCAAGAGAGAATCTGCTCAGGCACGTCCGGCTTCACATCAGTAACAGCATTAATCAAATCCTTTATAACCTTATCGCCGGATTTCTGACCAGCGACTTTGATCTCTGCGAGTTGGGCTTCGGCTTCTTTGTTCGCTTCTTCTTCAGCCTTCTTATTTCCGCTCGAGTGCTGTTTTATTGACGGGAACGTTAGTAACATCCAGGACAACTAGGGCTGAGTTTCTGGATGATGGATAGCCTACCTCTGCCTCGAATTTCTTGAATTCTTCTTCCTTTTGTTTCCTGTACTCGTCGATTTCGCGTTGTGCTTCTGACCGGGCTTCTTTTACTCGTTTTGTTCGGTCTGGTATTCCAAATTAGCTCTCTGTGATCTGCAAGAAGGCAGTCGAGCTCCTGGTCATGTCGCTTTGCCAGAGGATGCGGTCAAGACGTACACTCTCTAGCTATAATCAACTCCAAGTCAATGACATCTATGTTTTCATACCATCCCAAAGAAAGACTGACCTTGTTGAACAATTTTCTGAGCTTCACGTTCGGCCTGTCGACTGCATTAGATAACCCGATATAAGAAGCTCTTTCTTCGCAATTGTATCCAACTTACATCCAGAAGGGTCTGGATTCCCGCGGAGTTTTGAGCTGACTGCAATGCGATTAGCGGTTGTGAACCTGCCATCATGTGACAGATCAATCTGCCAGATACGGGCAATAATACGTACCATTCTGGATATATTCGGTTGACCTCTTTTCCCTGCTGCGAACTCAGTACTGGAGGGGCAATAAGCGGAGAAGACGTCGTCGAGAGCTTCCAAGCAACGGCAACGGCAATCGCAGCTACCTATCGGGTGGGTCTTATCTCAATTCTGCCATGTTTCACCGCCTTGAATATATATTTGCGATTTCCGAACGTCTGATCAGTTCGCATTCAGTCGCATTATTATTTTGCAAGTGTTATTGAGTTCAATTCTCGAATTCGTTATAGATACAGATAGACATATAGGAATTGTGATACAGCAACATTTTCAGTATGTCTCGCGCATCCAAAGTGACGCTAGCAGCTACAACGCTCGCAACAGCAGGGATGATTTACTTTGTCCATTGGTCACAAGAAGCAGACAGAGCGGTGCGCAACACTTCTCTTTTCCCCAGAAATTATCCCAGATACTAACGTTATTGGCATCAAATAGGCAATGCACGCCGGTGTCGAACGAGACGAAGAAAGACAACGCATCAAACGCGAAAGACAAGCTGATTTTGAAATGCAACGACGTCTCGAAGAGGAATATCGCAAAATTCAGAATGTCTCCGAGGGCCAGAATGATAATACTAGTCGTGGATTGGGGCATGGGAGTTGACCGATTTACGACGGATGCCATTAAGATTATAGAATTTGCATTGTATTATATAATCCGATGCATTGAAAGGTGAGATATTTGAAATCTGATACCGAAGGTGCCATGTGCTAATCTCGTCTTTCTGTCGTAGCTTTGACTTGCATATATCATCATGTACATTACACTCTATACTGATACTCACGACTTCATCTCCGTCAATGTACTATTATTTCTGAAGCCACCATCCTGCAGCAGACGTGTTTGCATTCCTACTCATTCATAGTTGTGATATCATTTGCTTTGCTTCTCAACTTGGGATTGGTATTGCATACAACAATCACTGATATTTGTAGAACATACTCCGTAGAAGGCGCTGGTCGAAGAGTCCGGTGACAACCAAGTACGCTTATGACCTTTGATCCAGAGTGACAGCTCCCCCCGAAAAACATGGTCAGACGCAAGATTTCATGATCCCCTAGCATTTGGAAGTAACCAAGGAACGAGTAGTCTTTCCATACAATGAGCATCTACTACGACTTTGGATCTTTGTACTCCAAACAGGTTAAGAAAATCAAGACATCGTGCCAGATGACGGAGAGACCAACATTGGAGGCAAATAAACATAGCTCCATTCGAAGAGTATAGATCAAGATCGTCTTTGCAGCCTGGATCTCAATATAGATAGGTGTGACCTATCAAGCCCTAACCCTCTGCCCTACTTATTATTCTCAACAGGCAAGAGTTAAATGCAACATCGGCGTCCCCAGCTTATCAGCAGCCTATATCGGAGGCCGGATGTATTCCGGCCTCTTGGCATTATGGAGCCGCTAACTGGATATAAGGTTTGGGGGATCAGCCAACCACATCGCCTCTTAGTCTTGCTTATTTCGAGGCTTCGATATATATGACCGCGAAGTTTCAACATATTCTTACCAATTTTGGGGTAAAATGGGTTAATATGAGATTTTTAGCACACAATGTCAAAATTTATGTGCTCCCTACAGATATATTGATCATTATCCCCATTTTCCTCAGTGCAGGCGCTCTGTGAGTGGTGATCTAACCAATAGCCATAAACGGACTAGCGCCGATTCCATTCTATATAGATCTAATCGAATATCAACTTCTATATAGACCTCCTATTTATCACTTTAACACATGAAAAGCTCTTAATACCCTTTCTAGTGCCTTATAACCATGTTATCGCTCGTCATACCTCGTGGAACAAAGGTTCGCGCGGTCCCACCAGTCTTATCACTACTTTCGTAATAGTAATCTATGAGGCCGGAATTACTACCGGCCTCGTTGGATATATAAGGATCGTCAGACTCCCGCCTCGAGACTTGCATTTTGACTTGTTATTCATCACTGTCAAGCTCTCTGCGTTTGGCCGCACCTTTTTTCCGCTTTTTTTCCAGGACTTTTCTCATTGCCTGGTTGCCTTGGTGTATCTGCTTAGCTATTTCATAGCCTTTCTGATACTAGGTGCTTGCCTACGGCCTTCTCTGTCTCTTTGTGTGTCAAGGGTATCGTTAGTGTTGACCTTCTTGTCCCACAAGCATAGATACCCATTATAAACATATAGTCCTACACCATTCCGTCTCACACCTCATCATGACTATCCTTAAGTCTGTCCCATCCTCTACCGAGGCTGTCTTCCCCTACATCAACCATGACCCAGCAACCCTACCACACTCCATAGACCCCTTCACAATTACTACTGCTTCGGGCTTCATGCCTTACCAGATTGGTCCTACCGAACTACCCCCTGTCTTCAAACCCCTGACAGACCTCCTGGAACGCATGCCCGTCCTCAAACTAGACGGCAAGCCAGGCCTCCTTGCCACTTATGAACTTGGCAAAGCTGTCAAGGGATTTCCCGATCTCACTGATGAGATTGACAAGGTACTTACCAAGGATGGGAAGAAGGATCTTTACATGTTGACTGCCATCTTCCGTGATTACTCCTATGTTGCGTCGGCATATATCCTTGAGCCATGTTGGGAGAACTGGTGTAAGAATCCTGAAGGTGGGTATGGATTGGGAAGGGAAGTTCTTCCTCATACTATTGCTGGACCTATGTGGCGTTGTGCCGAGATGTAAGTAAACTTTCTTCCTATACCTCTATCTCTTCTAACACTGTAATAGATTGGACCTTCCTCCTTTCCTATCCTATGCTGCCTCTTATGCTCTATTCAACTACACCCTTGAAGATCCTTCAAGGGGCTATGAATACGACAATCTGCGTCTTATCCGCGGCTTCGAACATGGCCTCGACCCAAAAAGTTCCGAAGCTGGCTTCATCCTGACGCATGTTGACATGGTCAAAGAGACAGCCCCCTTGATCCATGGAGCAGTTCAAATCCTCGATGGCGTTGAGCATGATAGTCGACGTACTGCTGTCAATGAAGGGTTTAGGGAGATACTTCGGGCTATGGAAGTTATTGAAGCTTCTATGGAAGGTAGATCCACTACGCCCCCATTCCTAATTATCGACTTGATACTGACCAAGACAGATATGTGGAAGAACTCCAAGCCAGCTGACTATTTGACGTTCCGTGTTTTCATCTTCGGAATTACGTCGCAGTCCATGTTTCCCAATGGAGTTATCTACGAGGGTATCAACGATAACCATCCCATGTACTTTCGCGGAGAAAGTGGTGCCAACGACGCCATTGTACGTCTCTTTTAATCCACATCTCCACTTAGGGCCACAAAACCCAACATTAACGTGTGATTATAGATCCCTCTCCTAGACCACCTCCTCCAAATCCCCATGCCAGACACACCCCTAACCAAGATCCTCCACGAATTCCGCGCCTATCGTCCTCGCCCTCATCGCGAGTTCTTATCGTACGTAGCCAACACAGCCGAAAAACTGAACATCCGGGACTTTGCGGTTCAAGATGATGAAACCGCTATTCTTTACCTCAAGACGCTCGATCACGTACGCAGTTTCCGTTGGAGACATTGGTTGTTTGCTAGGGAGTACATTATTCGTCGTACTGCACATCCAACGGCTACAGGGGGTAGTCCTATCGTTACGGTATGTTTCTTGTCATCGTCTATTCCCTGGTAAGAGTGGCTAACTGGTATAAATATTTAGTGGCTCCCAAATCAACTCTCAGCAGTCATGGATCTCATGATCGAAATCTACGATACATACATCAAGGACAAAGCAACTGCGACGACTGTTGATGGGCCCGCCCTTAACGATTCGGAACCGGATCTGATTGCCTCGTATAAGAAGCAGATTGTCCCTATGATGGAGCAGGTTCATGAGCAAAAGGAGAAGCTAGCCAGGGAGGTGGAGAGGTGGTGTAAGGAACGCGGCGTTTGATTTCGTATAAGCTTGTTTTTATTTTTTGGCTACTCGTTTACTATGTAGATGTATGGGCACCTAGGCCCGCTGTACGCTCCGTGTTTGAGTTCATTGCGAGATCCTACACCTGCTATAAAGCGTATCCATGCCAGCGATTAATCTTTTTGATGTGATTAAGGGACCAGATCGATGTCGATATCCCAGTTAGCTGCAAGATATTGAAGTTGTAGAAGTTCAGGACAGGTCATTTTCATCATTAGACCAGATAATTAGTTCCCACGGGTGTTGTCAACTCCCTCTTTCATCACTAAGGACATGCAACCCGAGGAAAATTGCTCAGGTCAGCCCAAATCGGATGGCCACATATGAAACAAGAGAAGAAAAGAAAAAAGGAAACCAACAAGTCGCTGCCAAGAATGGAAGACACAAGTCATTAATCATTACAACATTCTGATCGACACATCTCAAACCCATCTGTATTGATTGGGCTTCAGTATCTGATAACCTCCAGCTCAAGCCTTCCTGATTCACACCGGTGTTGCCCTCCAGTGTCTAATAATCCAGCTCCAATCTCCAGCTCCAAGCATATCGGGGTTATCCTTCAGTATCTGATAATCTTCAGCCCTCCTGCGCGTCCATACTCAACCGCTTCAGGTGAGACTTCTGAGCAGCCTCTGAGGTTAAGAAGCTCGATTGGGACCATGCGATTCTCCAAAATTCTCCTGATCAACGTTCCAGTCACACTGGTATTAGGTATATGGAGTTCCTCCAGATGTGGCATTAAGTCGAGTAGTGGGAAGAGAGCTGCGTTGTCAAGTTGATATAGCCTCATTCCATGGAGATGGAGCTTCTTCACGTTCTTGACAGCCATCGGGTTGGCTAATGCAACATTTAGAATGTCGTTTGCGTAGAAATTGTCGCATTGTTCGATTTGCAGAGTCTCAAGGGATCCACCATTATGCTCCAGAATGAGCGCAAGGTTATCGTGATCAAGCCAGTCGAGACGATGCAAAACCAGAGTCTTCAGTTCGGTGAGCCTCAATGGAGCATTAGTAGAACGTGCCGGATGCTTAGCGCAATCAATGATGCACAGATGCTCTACGGTGTCTGGACAGGCCCAAGTACCGTACAAGGTGATATTAGAAAGATGAATGAGTCGCAAGTTTGGGTGGCAGATATCATCAAGGCAGAGCTGTAGGCGTGACTCAGGCTGCTCCCGCTCAAAAGCTGCGCCCAAACGAAGTTCTTCAAGCTTTGGAATCACGTCAAAGTATGTGTCTCGCGTGTGCAGATCATCGATGGTAGCCATAGCTGGTACACTCCCTGGAATCCAGAAGGGTTTGTACCAACCCGGAGAACCGAGTTGCTGAGTAGTACGCTTCATGTTCAAGGTCAGGATTTTGAGATTGGGGACCGTACCCACGTCTGACACTTGAGGTTCACCCACCCATACGACTTGATACACCTCTAGGCGCTCAAGGTTCGGTAGTTCGGCCAGGGTCCAAAGCATGTTGTCAGATAAAGGTATCTTCTCAGATAGGATCAATGTCTTCAGCGTGTGCTTGTGGCGAAAGTGATAGAAGACGTGATGTTCAGTCAGGGGCAGGTTTAAGTCAAGGTGTTCAAGCTGTGGGCACTGTGAAGCCTGCCGGGCAGCATTCAGAGGGTCCCTCACGTTGTGAAGCTGCAATGTTTTGACCCTATTCTGAGAGTTGCGGATGCAGGCCTTTACGATTTCAGAGCTTACTGGTGGCCGGGAACCTCGAAAAGAGATATTAAGCCACAGACTCGGATGGTCCTTGATAAAAATGTGCCAAGCCTTTGATACGCGAGTCGCGGAGCTGCAGATAATTATTAGTATTTCGACTTCAGCTTGTCAATGCACGATGCAACTTACACTACCTGTCGAAAGGGGACATGTTTGAATACCTCCAACAAACAGTCATGGTTCAGAGCAAAGATCGGGTCTTGCTTCAGTGACGACATTTTGGTTGTGAGTTTGGTGTGCATCTTTGCTACTGCCTATGGGTTGTTAGGATAAAATTCATAACGAGGAAAGTATTGAAAGAAGGAGGGAATGGAGAGTTTTGACTGTTTCTATTACCAGATGAAGGCAACATAGAGTTCTTGATGACAAGGAACTCAGCTGCTCTGGGAGATGACAGTAGCATGAGACAAAACAAAGACAGAGCCACGCAGTCCAGGACAAAAGAAAAAAGAAAGAGGCACCTACTTCCCGTTGTGGATGATCTTCACCAAGGTTTTTCAATGCATATGCATAAACATCAAGAGCTTTTTCTGGTTTTTGATCCAAAAGAAGGGCCTTACCAGCACGGAGATAGCCCTGAAGAGAGGACAAGGAAGAAGAAAAAGTCAGTAAAAGGATGACTTCGAAGGGGAAAAAGAGGAAGGCATGCTCAGCGTTGGGGCATAGGGTGAACACTGACCCGCTCATCCTTAGCAGCAGCTTTGATCATATGCTTTGCATCACTAAGGGCTTTCTCATACAAAGCCATCTTACAGTAGACTGCAGACCGGCTGTCCATGATCTTCATAGAATCTGCATTCTTTTGTAGTAGGGCCTATGGATCAGTTAGTATGTTTCTTCTCCCCTCTTGTCAAGTGTCAAGATAACACAGTGAATCCTTTCATCATGGTTCCAAGAGCAACACACCTCACTCAAGACTTCAATGGCATTTGCATATTTGCCATTCCGGGCCAGATCCCGGCCATGTTGGTAGTACTTTTCCCATGCTCCCCATCCAAGGCTGAGCCTTTTGGTAGTGGTAGTGGTCTTGCTGACAGTTTGACCAAGGAAATCATCCAAGGTTGCTTTTCTCTTGATGGCCATAGCTAAGCTACATGGTCATGGATTAGATAGTTGGTGGATGTGTATCCAGTCAATCTGATGAGGTTGTGCCTGATGGAGTGGTGAGTACCGCGTTTCTACACGCTAAAAGTACCACGTAGTCACGTGGGCGGTGAGTGAACCTCTTAACATTTCCACCACCAAAACTGAATTTCTGTTAGTTGCCGTCCAATTGTTTACTTTTCACTGTTTTGGGATGCCACTATTCACAATAGTCTCACAGATGGATATGTGAACAAACAGGTGGAATCAGCAAAGACCACACATCTGACCCTTTATCAATGGAGGCTCATAACTTGGACGCCGCTTCAAATTATATCAATAATTTGTTGCTGGCCCGAGGACTGCTGAGAAATGGCAAACCAATCAATTTTGCGCATCCGGACAATGGCGAAGAGGGATCCGATGCCACCATGGCCCAGATTATCAACCTGATAAATGACCTAGTTGTTCGAAGAGATGTAAGTTGACCGTGAATTGAAGTGAGCATAATATTGACAAGATTACAGCGAGAAGCCGAACATCGCGAAAACCTGGCGAGCACGATTCGGACTTTGCGAGCCGCAGAATCGCAGCAAGTGGATGATATAGTACGAAACTCTGGTAAAGTTACTATTATTGCGCTGACATTCTGTTTAGGAAAAACTAAAAACCAAAAACGCCGAGCTGAAGCGGTCGGTCGCCCTCGCCGAAGGGCAACAGCGAGTCATAAAGCAGAATTTATCGAGCGCAGAGACGACAGTGCGACAGCTGAAGGAACAAATGCAAAAACTGAAAACCACAATCCAACAGGTCCGAGCTCAATGCGCGAACGATGTTCGAAAACGGGATATGGAGTTACAGAAACTGAAGACACATCTCAGTGACCGACAGCGAGGGAAGCGGGAAGGCTTAGGAGTGACTACAATCAATATCAATCGTACTGCAGACATCATACACAAACTGGAACCGGATGTTAACAACCCAGGCTATAGCTTGAAGCAGGAGACGACCGAGTTTCTAACCCAGCTCTGCCAGAGTTTGAGCGACGAAAACGATACGTTGATCAATTTATCAAGAACAACCATTCAGACCCTCAGAGAACTACAAGGACTCTCAGATGCGCCAGATGGGAACACGTCCGCTTTCAACATGTCGCAGACGGTTATTCAAGGAGGTGCGGTCAGTACCATACCTACGAATGTAATGGCCTTATCTGCAGAAATGGATACTGTGCTCGACCACTTGCGAACGCTACTTACAAACCCATCCTTCGTGCCTCTCGAGGAAGTCGAGGTTCGCGACGAAGAGATATTACGACTTCGGGAAGGCTGGGAGAAGATGGAAGTGCGTTGGAGGCAGGCAATTTCGATGATGGATGGCTGGCACAAGCGGATATTAGATGGAGGTGACTCGATAGATCTTGACGAGCTACGAAAGGGTATGAGTCTGGATTCGGGACTGGGCAGATCAATAGCTGATGATCCCTCACCGCTGTATGACGAAGACAATGAGTTGAGAGATGACGACCAAGAAGTAGCAAAAAAGGAAGAAGAAGAGGCCGTTGAGCCTCAGACGAAGATATTGAAGCCTACGCTAGCTAAACCTCCTATTCGAGCACTGGGTGAGCGAAACAACAATCGGAAGTCGAGGGCATCGAATCGTAAAGTCTCTTTCTACGAAGAAGCAATGGATGTGGAATCCGATCAGCCAAGCGACAAAGATGAATCCCTTCAGGTTAAGGCACATGCGTCCGAAACAGCCACACAGCGATCATCTCCGAGACAATCTTCTCAAATCCTGCAAGTAAGTAGACATTTCTGAATAATTCCTATCTCATACAGGTTCTAATCATACCAATAGAAGCCAAAACTCTCTATACAAGAGAAGCTAGCTGCTGTCGAAGCCGAAGCAAAAGAAGCAGCGGGTGATGTTGCCGCGCATGTCTCGAAGAAAAGAGGTCGAAATAAACCCGATCTGGGCAAGAAGATCAGAGGTCGTCGACGAAGTACACTTACGAATGATGAACTGGACCAATTACTCAGTGGTCCAAGTGAACAATGACTTTGCAGTCAATGTTTGAAGTTTTTCAGCAGGAAAGCATCAGTTCATATTGCTTGATTGTAATTTATGTTCACGGCTGCATTTGGATGAGTAGTTTGTTTGATACCCGGGTTAGCTATCTCGTTTCCTTGTTTTTATTGTCAATCTTGTCTCCCATGCATTGGCCATAATATCGCGACTCGAACTCCCTGAAACAAACTAAGATAGCATTCTTCTGAGATTCGGGCTTTCAGCGAGTCTTTTCCACTCATTGATCATATTTTCGCAAGAAACTTAGACATCGTATTAAGCTTCCTATTGCCTTAATCGCTTGTCCTGGTCGAATCAGATCAGGAAAAGAGAAAACAGTAAACATGTTATTTCTAAAGAGTATAGAGTGTTGAATTATTCACGTGACGCCAAGAAGTACTGCTGGTCCAAGCTCGAAGCCCGACGGGCAAAGCGTTAAGTTAGCTTCAGGAAGTAGACTCCATAATAAAAACGACATTCAGTCCAGCGTCATGTTTCGATGCGCTGCTTGTCACTACAATTGACAGCAATAACTTCAAAATCGCGTCGAACTTGGGATATCGCTTATCGACACGATATTCGTTTATGAACTCTTAGGAATACGCTGTTGGCGCGGATAAGTTTATTGTTATTTCGAGCTACTGCGAAGGCGCCTTTAACATCAACAATTTCTGCTTGCGCGACTTGGTTTAGTTCGGTAACCACACAGAGCATACACTGATTGCCCATAGACTTTCATCTTTCGAGCTCTCTTGATTACTTGCATATCCGTCAAAATGTCATTCAAATTCCCCGATTCGAGTCCTCCTTCGACTCCAGACAAGCCACAAAGTCCTTTCAGCAACATTTCCACAACTCCCGCAGGTCCACCCCCTTCTTCATCGACCTTCAGAGACTCGAGAGCGGGCTCGAGATCGAATGTCAACTTTAGTGAGTCTGCTTTCAGCCAGTCAGGCAACTTTGGTGGAAATGAAAGTCTCTTCTCGTCCATCTCGTCATCCGGTGCTCCTTCATTTTTGGATTCGAAAAGCTCAGTCATGTCAGGATCATTTGGCAATTTTGGACAGCAGGCCGGTGGCTTCAGAGTAGTAAATGGGGGTAATAACCTGAAGGTGCGGAATCGAAAGCCTCATGGCTTGAGTCAGATGACTACAGCTAGTGATGATTGGGAAGACGAAGAGGATGTAGGTGAGGGGGAAGAGCAAGAAGACGCGGAGACGGAAGAAGATGATGACGATTATGACGACAAAGATGAAGATGAATACGAAGACGAGGGAGAGGACGAAGAAGACGAGCATGAAGATGATGATGAACAAGATAAAGACGAAGACAGCGAGAGAGATATGCAAATGGATGCCACGACTGACCTTTCAGGTATGAAAAAGGGATTTACGGATCCGATATTCACAGGCTTTGGCCAAAGCACTGCTCCTGGGCAGAAGAGAATATATTCCAATCCTAACAATGCCAAACGCGCCAAAATTGACGAAGAATGGGCCATATCGTCACCTCAAGCTTCGAAGGATACAATCGGTCCACGAAAGACTCAATCTCAGTTCCCTTCCGTGGCTCGCGACTTAACCTCACGAGCAAAAGCTCCCGCTGTCACAGAACCTGGTGAAGTAGTGATTCAAACGGATTATTATATCGGTGCACTACTAGATAAACTTCAGCAGAATGAAGAGGATGATGCTGAAGCTCTCGTTATACTTTCCGAAGCAACAGCAGCTCTGACTGACTTTTGGGGTGCTGCATGCGAGCAGAAGAGGAAGCAGACAGGCCAATATCGACCCCACGACAATTTTGGGCCCGGCGACAACGCAAGCGGTCTTGAAAATGCCACAGTTGTTGCATCACTTCTACTTCAGCTACACCATCCTCGTGTCAAAGGCTCCGATCGACGTAACTTCAAGTCTTCGTCTAATGGTCAATCTCTGGCTCTTGTCGCATCTATCCCTAAATCATACACTCCTATTCCCAAAGTGCTAACTGACTGGCTCAACGCAAACCACCTTGGTTCATTGCATGAAATTGAAGCCTTGCAGCAGACTAGCCCTAATCCAACAGCTTCTCCGCATTTCTGGGCAATTATCCAAGCTGGAGTCCTACGTGGACGATTTGGCGAGGTAGCAGCACTCCTTCGATCAGCTGACTTCAACTATGCTCATTCAGCTCTAGAAGATGGTTTCTCTCAGCCTGGCTATCGTGGAATGCAGTTACAGACCGTACAGAAGAGTGTCAACAAGGCAATACAAATGCTGGAGGCATCCCCCATAAATCTGGATAGCGAGTGGGATATCCTTGGATTGGACTGGACAGCGTACAGAAAACGTATACAGTCTGCACAAATCGAGCTACACGAACTTGCTGAGGGCGACAAACCACCACAACAGGCAGGCGGTACTCGATTTGAAGCGGCTCAATTTGGAGCCCCTACTCCGAGCTTTGCTCGATCTCAGTCTGGGTTCTCATTCGCTCAATCTTCGCGCATGGCGGAAAGCCGCGTACCGTGGTCAATTTATCAGGGTATTAGTGATATTTACGGGGTTATCCTTGGCAGGCCATCAGCCATCATGTCTGTTGCGCAAGACTGGATTGAAGCAACCGTTGGACTGACGGCATGGTGGAACGGGCAAGAGGTTAGCAACATTGCCGTATTCGGAAATAGGGACGAGCCCACTGAAATCGATCGACAAGACGCATATATCCGCCGTCTGAACGATTGTTTTGGAGAGGTCACGGATGGTGCACAGATGAAGTCGCGACCTAATCCTCTCAATAAACTAGACGTGGCGGTGGCCTGCGTGTTCGAAGGGAATGTGGTCGGGGCGGTCAAGCTACTTAAAACATGGTCACTGTGTATTGCTTCCGCTGTTGCTGAAATAGCGCACGGAGGGGGCTGGCTCGAGGTGTCTACCTCTAATATACCCGGGTTTCTCAATCAAGACGACTTGATGGTGCTGTCCTATGGGCAAAATGGCAACGCCTCCTTGGACCAAATCAGCAAAGATGATGTGTTAGACGCTTATGCAGAGGCGCTGGGCTGTAGAGATCAGTTCGAGTACGATGGGACAGTTCGCAAAGGCTGGGAAATGGCTCTGGAAGTTCTCAGCAGAATGGAGGATAACAAAAACACCAGAAAGAAGGTGTCTAGGTTGTTGGAGAAGATACCTGTCGATACGGTGGCGCAGGTAGATCAAGTGATCACCTTGTGCGTTGATCTTGGATTCGAAGATGAAGGTCGAAAGATTGCAGCGGTGAGTCCTTATCTTGTTAAATCTTCTGATGCTATACTGACAAGTATAGAACTTTGGCGAAAAAATCATAGCCGAGGGACAGACACGTGCAGATTGTGACTATGGCCTTGCGATGATCTGTTTTGCTCGAGCACGCTCTGTTCGTAAGGTCAAAGAGATTGCTAACAATCTCATTGCTTACTCGTTACAACAATCTCGCGCTTGGCCTCCAGAAGAGCAGCTCGGGGGTCAATTGCGTGCATTAGTTCAGAATCCTAAGATGTGTCTCGCGTCTATTGCGTCAGCCGACAACGAGGCGGCTCAGATCATACAATTCTATGCGAGTGGTTATGCGACATTACGTCGATTTTATGATCACCGCGACGAACCTGTACTGGCTAAAGGCAGAAAATCCCATCTTCGACCCCTAGCGAGGAAGCGAGCCGCAGCTCAGGCACTACTTGCGGTAATTCGAAGTTCTGCTGATAGTATTTATGGCGGTCTTTATGATCCCGAGAGGGACTCCGCCGTGCTTGTCGACAATTTGATGGCCCTCTTAGGTGAAGCCGTCTTGTTTGTCAATGGTATTTCTTCTTATCCCCTTTTTACTATTCTTGTGGATTAGATAATTACTGACAACTTGTCAGAAAAACCATCTATTCTCTCCATTGAGCAACAATCCAATATTCTCGCAGCGATCGAAGACCTCGAGACTGTAACTCCACGTGTCTATGCAGCAGCCAAGGAATTCTTCTACGAATGTCTGAACGAGTACATCTACGAAACGACCGGCGAACCTCGCAAATCATCGTCGTCGCCAACACCAACCGGTTTGAAGAAATCCGCTTCAGGTCTAACAGCCTCAAGCAGCTTCTCCATGATTGATAGCCACATGGCCGATTCATCGATGACGCATGCTACGAACAATACCATCGCATCATCTGGTGTATTAGTGCCCAAACCAGACGCAGCCTATGAATACGCGAAGCCAATTGAGAGGGTGTGGGATTGGAGAAGTGGTCTTGCTGAGTCGTCTGCGGCAAGTGGAGGAGCGTCGGAAAATGAGGATGGAGACTCGATCAAGCCGGATAAGAAGTTACTGCGTGTTTTGAGGTTGCGGCTGGCACAGGAAATGACGTGGCGGTAGATTTCCAATCTTTCGATTCTTTTTGCCTTGATGACGAGCAGTCTTTCTCATTGTCCTGAGTCAAGCCAAATCAAATGTGTTTGGATTGGGTGTGCTAGTCTTTTTCTCTGGCCTGGAGGTTTGGTTCACAAAGGCCAGGGGAGAGACTGATTTTGTGTATTGTACGAGTATGTTTCTACGGGGTGAATAGGGAGACCTCTTTTTCTTTGAGCCGAATCTTATGGGGTTTAATGGTCGTACAGACAGGGTAAAGTAAGACCCATTCACTGCCTGGGTAGGATTTGAATTACTCGAATTCGGAAGCCCAAATCTGATGACCTATAACAGGCGTGTGCATGTATTGTAACAACCTACGACCGTTACCCAGGCAAAGCAAGAATCTATCCAAGACAAGCGTAATCCTACCTCCATGGCCTTGGGTCCATGACCATACGAAACGTGTGTTGGAACGCCAGATCCACTTGCCACATAACAGCTGATCGTTTCAGTCGGTGAAATGCATACGCAGTTTGATTGGTATGTCAAAGGTCAACTCGATATCCATCTCCTGTTTCACAGCATCAGTATACTTGATACCGGATCCAGAACGGGTCGAGTGATATCGGGACCATATCAGCTGAGAATCATATAGAATACCTGAAAGTAGAGTCCAGAGCTTGAATTAAAACTCCGAGATAGGTTTTGTATTCAATGCAGGTTTCAATTGTGGACATTTCAGCCCTATGGGGTCTATATGAATACAATACTGGTGGACCCTGACTCCCAGCGAACGATTAGCATGTGAATGGAACGTAGCAAATTGATATTACGCAGTAGGAAGCTCAGCGCTGATGATAACCACGACCGACCCTAGAATTATACATTTTTATTGACAAGTAGAGACAGAGGAAGGCCTACAGGGTTGAGTTGTTCTATTGATAGTAGACTATCCAGCCCTGACAGCGTATGACTTCGGACTTGCCGATAGATAGATAGACTATGTAGTCTGATGAACTGGATCGACATGAAACTGTCTTAGAACACGATAACTATTTTGTTGCATGTTGTATGAGTCATCAATGCTGCGCTGCTCGTTTCATTGTGTATTGTATACCTAGTCAGATAATATATTGCACGATCCAGCCACAAAGGCTTGTGCTTCGAGTCGAGACCGAGTATTCTGTTAGTTTCTATAGCATAGCCCATTACCTAGGTAGGCTAGAGTGTAGCTAAAAGTTATTTGATATAGCATAGGCAGTAGTATCCAGCGTTTGCGATTTCTTTTTCCTTCGAGGCTGAGGAGGGTCTGACCGATAATACCGCGTATACAACAATATCCAAGACGTCAAAGCTCAATATAACGGCATATCCAGGATAGATTAAGCAAATGCGTCGGTGGGTCGTCATATATGGAAGTAATACCAGTAATCAAGCTGAACGAGTCCAATCTAGACCGCGTCAATTGGCGGTTGATGTGTGGCTTCGTTGTATCAGCCTCATGTCATGATTTAGTCTGCCTATGTGATACAATACAAGACGGCATTTTGGTTGTGACTAGAGATACACTACCTTCGTATCTAATTAGGATGCCTAAGAGTAGGCAACTCAGCGAACGTGTACGCAGAGTAAACAAGGATGCGATGATCTCGGCGAAACCCGCCAGTAATACCAAGCGAAGGTCTGATCGAGGTCTAAGTTCGAAATGACGGTGAACCACGAATATGATAAAATCGAGACCAAGTCTCTACCTACGTATTCATACTCATTTTGATCGTATAGAAGCCGAAGAGAGACGTACAAGATGAGCGCTCACCGCAAGGTCCATTTCAGATCGATCTGATTGGCCAAACAATAAATTAGGGTCATGCCGGACTGTGGCTGAGATATACAATCTAAGCCTGAATAGGAATGGTTGGTGGGGTATTATACATGATTTAGCGGTGGTCGTAGGGCTGACTGCGTCCTTTGGGTTTGTTCACCGTCTGTTGACAATGGCCTCGATATACAATCTAACTTAGCACATAGACAGATGAATACTTTTTTTTGTGATTGTAAGCGATGACTCATTTTGATGATTTTTGTATTCGGTATTGGGATGGTCATCTGCAGGATTCTATTTGGAGTATTAGGTAGTACATGATCTCGTAATCCAAACGCGAATACGAATTGATATGCTAGAAATAATTGTAAGAACAGCCTCGAAGACATATTGCTTGAATTCAAGATATGACGTAATGCGCAATACGATCACCGGTTTGGTTACTGAATAAGCGACCTCTACATATTTACAGGCGCTGACAGGGCTGTGCCATTACTGAGTTGTCCTCTAAATCATACAATAGATTTGTTTCAATTACTTGTCATTAAAGCTGGTCGCGCACACGGACAATCTTAACCCCGCGATGCCTTATACATATCCACGCATCAAATACCGAAAACCGAAAATCGGCAACCAAGCTTCCGTGGTCCGCTAGCGTATGTTTGAAAGTGAAACTGTCGTTAATTATAGCCATTTTGAACTTGGCACTCCAGACTTAACTTGAATTAATTTAGTGAGTTCATAAGAGTGTTCAATATCAGCTGACTTTGAGCTCTAAGTGGGGATACTATTTTACTTACTTTAAGCTACTTAGTCATGATTAAGGTCCATTCCTGATATGGGAACATTACATACTTATTGAGTTAAATCTCGATTGTTGGTGCAGGTTGGGCTTAGTAATAGAGCCGCTTAGTCGCCAAGTCATCAATTTTAGATGCTGATATTCAATCTCATATGGAATTATTTGGACAAGGCGTAGTGGTCCACGCTGACGACCTGTAAGACTTCAAGTTACGGGGTCCGCCTGCCTGAAATGGTGAAGAATTTGAAAGTCTCGCTTCTTGGCATGTATCTACACTGATCGGTTCCGTATATGAATTGGTAATACCGAATCTGTGTTTAAGTAAGTACTCTCAATATAAGATATAAGTCATTCTTTGAGAGTGTGGTCTATATAGGTCCAGTCAGTTGATAATCTCATGACTCGGTTCGTACCAGAACTGTAGTGTAGTTCAGTTCATTGATACTAAGTATCGCCCCAATTGAATTAAATCGGAATAACGATACGGTTAATTAAGTCGTTTAGCTGGTGTTAAGAACTGCACAGCCACCCCGTGGCTGTTCGACCTCGGCTCATCTTTTCATCCCCATAACCTGGCATTTTTAGATCAATTGTCTGACAATAATTAATCGTAGTGGTTTCTACGTGCGTACCCGGAACGTATGCTCCGTGATCTGCGAGTAGTATAGAAGCAAACCGGTTTCATATTCGCTTTTGACCGATGGCTGTTCGGTGTTGATTCAGTGCTATCGTCAACCGGTCAACTGCTTGCTCCGGACCAACTCGTACGATAAATGCACAAACCACGGAACAATCGCTTGAGAGCGACTAAGCCTTCTAATGCAGGTGAGCTGTGGCTAGTGAAGCATTCCAGTTTTCGGGATCCACGGGCGCTACTTGCCCGTGAATCCGTGACTCATCAAATATTTACGTACAACTTGGTCACGAGCGTTGGATACGTAAACTCGGATTGTATTTGTAAGAATGAATTTCGTAATTCAGCAAATGACGGTATCCGAAATGTCCTATTTTTGCATTTCTGGGACCGTGATTGCCCCGATTTTGGCCCCTGCAGGATTCATGATTTGAAATGTTTTGTAAGATCTAGCTATTGGATCCAGTTCTATGCGACGACTGACGATTATGGTTATATGTTATACGTACTAATCATGATACTATCTCACCTGATTTCTATGACTCCGGCGGAGTGGATATCTAAGTGTCCCTATGCAGCTGAAAACTGACCCCTGCCGTAAACCTCCCGGGTCCAGCCCACAACCCGTCCTCTTGGCTGTGGAGAGTGATGCAGTACTAGTTTTACCTCTCGTGAGCATGGTAATGTAGGAACTGTCAATTTTACCGAGCATTCACAGAATGACAGGGAAGAAACTCGTGGCAGACCAGGCCGACTCGGATTCAGCCTCGGGCCAGGCGCCAAGGCAGCAACCCAGGCAAGCCTCAGGAAGCTGCGGCTAAGCCTAGCGCGTGCCCGCTAGCCGCATCTGGACTAGCAGCTCTCTCTTTGCGTCTCGGATTCTCGGCTTGATTCTTCGCTTTTGTTTCTCGTCTTCTTTCGTATTGCACAATGTCCACAACGGTACCGGAGAGAAAAAAGAAATTATTCAAGACAATCAGGCCTCACGGTCTCTCAGCTATGATTGTCCTTCCGTCAGTGCGAGGTGGTCCCGGCAATCGGGCTCAGTACGATGTACCGGTAATCGTTTACTAAGTTATACGCTGACTCCGGAGACAACGGCCTGACTCCTTCACGCTACGAACTACGCTACTTACCAGAGCTAACTACTAATGACATCGTGGAGTGGGGGATGAGAGTTTCTTGCATTAGCACAATTGACCATGCATCATTAGTTACAAGCCAAGTTCTTTTGACCTAGTCAGACTGCTGCGGTCATCGTCATCGTCGTCGTGGTCTTGTCTTGTTTCCTTCCTTTCAAGATCCATCGGCCCTACGAAACATTACCTGACAAGACGAGCTTGTTTCGCCTAGGCAGGCATCCTGGTCCCATTCCTACCTGGATCCGCTTTTGGCTTTTTACGCTCGTTTCTATTTTCTTCACGTTTGAAATGGGCCCTGACCGTTTCGTTTCTCGGCTGGTCCCGTATATATGGAACCCTCGTGGCTGATGGTATGATAAGTATATAAACTTCCGAATGCGCCCGCATCTCTGGCTGGAGTCATCAGACACAATCATATATATGACTCTATCCCCCATCCAACCTTACTCTCTTTTCCTCCCCAGCAACCCAGACTGTCTTTCGTTGAACCTTTTGATTTGTTGCTTTGTCATTGTTCTTGCGCCCTCATTCAAGCTATAGCGATTGACTCGTTTTCTTTGTTTTGCATTAACAGCGCTATTGCTTCAACAAACCCTCCGCGTGATACGAGATACATTGCTGCCTTAGCATAAGCATTCGTCAATAGCCGCTGCTTTCAAATACCCTCTCGAGTGATTCTAATCGCAACATTTCGATCTTCGTACAACAATTAGCCAGAGTCTACTACACAATGTGCTATCAAGTAGTTGAGCGTTACTCAGTGTGCCGCTGCCTTTACTACCAGCACGCTGTCGATCCCTGCACGGCATACGGACAAAGAAATCATGTTGTCCAAGAGAAGACTGTCCTTGTGGGCTACGCCTGCCCCTCACATACGTCTCGACGCGGCGGTGGCTCAAACAATCCTTCCAAGGCCTATCGGTAACTGCGGAATATGTACTGAAGGAGCTACCGGACGAC